AACTGCGTTAATTCAAATGTAGCCAAAATACATAGCAGTACGTGGTTAAGCATACTAATGGAGCGTATAAGCTACGTAGCCATTATTGGCCACCATATAAAACGTTTCCTATTTAATGTCGCTATATAACACGTCAAATACTTGAACGGCAGAGTATTGTGTTTTTTTCCAAAACAGAAATCATCAAAACATACTAAAACGGAAATTAGAAATTCGTGTTTTACACTTGATCGCTACAAAACGTCATTCACTTTTGAATTGGATATACCGTAACTAAGCTACTGGCTCTCATTCTTGAGGGGATTAGGTAATTGTTCGGTTATTGCGGGCAAATTGCAAATAAAGCGCTCCAAGTATGTGAAGTGGCAAGGGAACGTTCCCTTATCAGCTTACAAGATTTAGCCATGTGTCTTTGGCCCGCTGCCGGAATTGCTCTCTAAGCAACTAAGTTCGTTGTTGATTAAACTATAGAAGGATTACAGGCTTCTCACTGAGCTGTTAATTTTCTGAATACATTATAATACATTGATTGTTTATTTTTAACTGAGCTGACTCAAGTTAAGCCACTGTTAATGGTTCATCCAAAGGCCTGCGTTTGGCAGAAGATGATTTTGACCGTTGCACCCACCAGCTTACTGCTTGCTGGCACAAAAAAATGCAAGTACTGACAAATTAAATTTGTGCGCCCTGGCTTAAAGGTTTCGAACGACGACGACCAGATGATTCACAACCTACTGTGGAATCGAAAGCCTTTTCCACTGCTCCTTCGTTTAATGCCTTTAAACTATCTGATTATTCCCAGGTTTCGGTTCATTTTTATCTTCCTTCCCTTCCACGATATTAGACTTTTGTTTAAGCTCCCGAACCTTATCTTTAGTTGGTATCTCGTCGCATTCTTTCGGAAATTTCTTATGTGAGATGGTACATATCGTCACGAAAAAAAAGTAATTGGAAAGATGGGCTTATCTAAGTGACAGGAAGAGTTTTTTTTTTCAAGTGATTCCTTCCATACCGGATTCTTTATCCTCCATTCGCACGTCCACAAAACTTATGAAGTTTTTAGAGTGAAGAATTCCCTAATTGATTGATTAACCTTAGGTGATAATGTCAAACCTGTCCGAACTTGGGCATTGACTGAATAATTTCATTCTAGAGATATTAAAAGTCACCTGGAAATGATACTAATTTTTGATTTTCAGCAGACTCTTGTCGGATCATTTGTCTCAAGCTTTGATAGATAAGAAAAACTCGAGCCAATTGGTACGATCCAGTGATCTTCATACAACGCATAAATCTCTTTAATGTGTTACCTTGTTACCACATAAGGCCCGTTAATAAACTACCTTCTCTTTCCGCCGTTAATCCACTTAGATACTTTTAATCCAGTCGGCAGTAGTTATCTTTACTACTTCACCCATTGACCTCTTTGGTCCGACCTAATATCTCAATCAAACGCCTTCTGTTGGACTCGGACGTCTTCGGAAAATTAGTGCGTCACATTCGTACAAACTAAGGCTCTCCATACTGACCCTTGGTTGGAATATCCAAGTCCCACAGATGATCCATATGGATCCTCCCTTAGCGAGAGTAACTCAACGCAACAATTTGGTGTCAAATCGATTGCAACCTATTTGCTCGAAACGATTTCATCAAAGTCCAATGATTGGAGCCTCCAAAATATTTTTTGTCAAATGCATCATATGTATACCTTTATTAAGTTGTTTTTGTTTTATGTTTTGGTTTAAAAGAAACAGAAACGATTGCAAAGTGCAACTACTGATTCATGTTTTTTCGCCGGTCGCGGATGATTTGTGCTTTCCTCATTGTTGCTTTAGTCGGTAAAATTAAGAGTTCCTTCCAGAAGTCTATGGAAAGGCATTTACCTTCTAAGTGTAATCTACGCCCATGCAAGCTTTTCATCAGTTTTAAGTGTCAAAATCTCATCAAAAATTTTGTAAACATGTTAGCTTTCATCAGCCTCTCATGCTTTTCTACACAACGATACTTCATCGCTCTCTGGTATCATTTTCCTTACAAGAAAGAAGACAAGATATTCAAAAAGTGGACCCCGCACCTTGCTATCTTTCTTCCAAATGCATGAAAAGATTTTGCATGATTTTATGATTAGCGATCAGAGGGTCAACACGAAACTCAATCATCTGGAGTAATGGCGTTATGCAAAGATGTCATGTTAACGAGACATACTTCCGTAATAGGTTTAACTGAAGGCTAAGGAAGATAATTAAATTAACTCAGAAAGAATTTTGTGGGAATGCATCTGTCGTGATCACGCGTGTGTAGAATGTTATTTTCGCAAAATGCTACGGCATCGATTTACAACCACAGTGCGTAGGTTACGTTGCAAATCAGGATTAATTTACATACCTCTCGTAAGTCTTTTGAGAAAAATCTGTCAAGAAGGGCCACTAAGGCTTAAAGTCATGGTACTAGAACATCGTTACTTCCTCGTTTTGTTGGTTGGTCTTTTCATAGTTCTTAGAAGGCGCCTCTATGAATATCACGTGCAAATCGAGTTGACATGGGAGGAATAAATGAGGTCACCAGGTGGGCTTTCAAGCACCACATTTGTTATTCTAAAAGCACTTTGTCAGTTCTACAAATACTTAGGCGGGTTCTCGACAGATACAACGTAATTGAACTTAATAAAAGTGGCTGCTAAAAGCACTCACCACATCTTGAGCCATATTACCGCTGCGGAAGTCGCCTGACAACTTGACGGAGGCTACGAAATTTTTTTCCAGGAAACTGAAAAAGACAAAATGCAAAATGGAATTATGGAACCAAAATAGAACATAGATGGTGAAGGATCGAGGAAAAAAAAACGGGTCAGTATCGGACGACGACGACCTTGCAAAGTTTGAGCTACATTATTGTGAGATGCGCAAACCGTGACAGTCATGGTACACAAAATAACACTGTCAGCTTTGAAATCTGTTTTGTAAGAGCAGAAATACCTTTCAGGACAATTGGGGTAATAATCGACTCCTTTCATTGAAAATCTGAACGACCCCGGCTACCAAGCTTGCGATTGCCCGGTATTATTGCTGTGTCATACAATCGTTGCTCACATGTAGCAAGTCTTGAGATAAGAATTTCCAATTCCTGTATTTATTTGCTTTTTGCATAGACCCTAAATAAGTCTATTTAGGAGATCTGATATCGAGGAAACATTCATGAATTTGTCGTTTCCTCTTTTCTTTTGAGTTCGAGAAACAGTGTCAAAAAAAAATTGCAGTCAGTTCGTGACATGAGAGATTTAACTTGGCACGAATGCTGACAACTTTATTATTCCTTTTTTTTGCGGGCGAATATCAAACGTACTTGACCCGCTTTTCAAGTTCATGCGCCAATAAGGCACATCCGATACTTTTCATTTCTCAAGGACCTCTGACACTCTGTCCTCTGTCTTCCCTGCAATCACGGATTATTTCAAGTAGGACTTTTTACCTTGTCTCCAATGTATGTATTTTTGTTTGATTGCTTAAAAGAGAGAATTAGGGCATAATTAATTTATAAAATGATCTTAGTTACAAAATGTTCGGAGAGCAGTTTGGGCTTCTGCGCCAGATTTGGTGGGACACTGTTGTAGAATTCAATGCGAGGGTAACATACCTTACCCTGCTTCCACGCTAACGGTTGTTTTATAACATTTTCCTCTTTTCCATTGCTCTTGGAAAGAGCGTTTCAGTTCTAAATAATTGATCCCAGTACGGTTCATTCATTCACTTGCGCCTGAGACCTCTCCCGTATATCAGTTTGTCACAATGTCCTAGAATGGAGTTCCCGTAAGTGAAAAAGTTTTCAATACCAAATACTGCAACGACAGCTTTACAATCTTTTCGTGAGACTTCGCTTTTGGGACTCTTTAGGAAAACATCTTTTTCAATTAACGTTAAAAGTTTTTTGTTTATTGCTAATTGGTATTGACAAAACTCTATAAATAGAAGTCCGGAAATGAAGCATTAATTTACTCATGCAAACCGTTGTCCGTCAATGGTCAATGTATTTGACAAACATCGCGAGCCTTAAGCGTAATTTTCAGGCACAATGGCACTCCGCGTAACCTTCAAAGATCACTTTGTCACTTTCTTATCCTATTCATAGATCAAAACTGATTCATTTTAGTTTTTACTACTACAGTCGAACCTCCCCTTGCCACCCCCTCTCGTATTAAAAGCTACCACCTCTCATAAGCGACCACTTTTCAAAAATACCAAAAGTTTTCAAGCCAAATCGCTATCGCTGGAACCCGTCGAAAGCGACTACCTCTCAAAAGCGACCACTTTCAGAGATGATTATCAATTGCTTTTAACCTCCCGTAAGCGACCACCAAAAGTCGATATTTTGGAAGGTCGTTTCCTAGAGGCTCGACTGTAACTGTATATCGATTACTTAATTACTTTATGTCTTTATTCCTATTGATTTGTTGTTCATCTATCCGTCCACTCGTGTGTGTATGTGTGTATCTGTTTCAATGGCGGTCTGAGGGAGGTGTTATATTGGAAGCAAGTTGAGTCGTGCAAATCGTCACACGACCGTCTTGTGCCTATCAAGTTTTAAACGCATTACTTCCAATAGTCATCTTTTCAATGAACTGTCTCGTTCACCGTCTGAAATTTTTAATTTGAAAAGAAAAGCAACAGATGAAAGAGGTGTGCTTGTTTCATCATAACAATCGAAGCGATGAGTTTCGTTATAAACGCACCTGTGACCCTAGTTGACGACAGAAATATCAATCAAATGCGGGAAACATTTTCCACATCATTACCGTTTCCGACAACCAGGCTACCAATAATGCGTTCTCAGTACGTTTAAGATGTTAACTGTCATACTCTGTTAAACCTCTGATTAAAGGAAATGAAAAAGTCCACAGTCCTATTGGTTGAATTGTGAAGCGACCACAAGGTGAGTTAATTTAGTTCCGCCGAATGACGCTGTCGTACTTACTCACTCATTTGTTATTTCAGACCGAATCATAGATGCAGGATCACATTGGTTCGCCAGCGTTCAAGCTGGTTGCAAGGAATTCTAGAAATAATTCCCCTTTCTTCAGGAGCGACTCAAACAACAACACGCCTCGGCCTAAGACACCGCCAATGAATAATCCCAAGCAGGAGAGAGACAGAGAAGGAGAACGTAAGTATATCGTTAGCAAACTGAACAGACCAGATCATGTCGACGCACAAATGTAGCGTCATGCCAGTGATATTGGTTCTTGTGGTGAGGTGATATTGTGCACTAAAAGTAATAAAACAAAATAAGATTTACCATTTGCATGGAGACCTTATGAACTGACGCGAAAATAATTTTTACATTTATCATGAAACAAGTGAAGGTTCGCCCAAAAAATTATAGTGAGATGTATATTTTTAAAGTTACACCGGCGAAAATTAATTACATGCAATTTGAATTTTTCACCGAAAAAGCCATCAATACATTTAAGATGATAACGAATCGATGAGTGGCTGTTGTCATGAAACGTCATTGCAAAATGGGTAGAATCTTGATTCCGTACAGGAAAATGCATGTGGACGCTATTATAAAGAAAGAACAAATGTGCGGAAAGTTTGGTAAGAAAATTAGCAATTCATGGAGTTCTAATTATCAGATTTGATGTTCAAGGCCTGGACGAAAACTATAGTTTTAGTTATGCAGGGGCGAATCCAAGTTTTCTTTTTTTATTAATTAGTTACATGAGAGCTACATATTATTGTGATTTGATTCGCGTTATAATAACTAAAGTTACCTGCAAACAGCTATTTAGGCTAAATTACGTTCTGATATGCTAATTTTGAACAATGCAATTTTTTATTTCAGAACAACAGGTTATTTGGCACTTTTATAACCAAGAAAAAACAAACATGAAAAATGACCGGGTAGTTGTCTTTGCATATTAATTTTTTTGGAACGATTATTGAAAACGCCCGTAACAAGGCCTTAGGCCGTGAGGTTTCGGGCATCGATAGGAACTAGAAACATATGAGGAGCGAGAGGGGCATGGGCACGATCAGGACACTCGACTACTAGATCTGATAGTAAATTCTCCTGACCGGTGACCGTATATTTCTCTACTGGCCTTTCAAAAGGTCATTTTATATAGATACAAGCTTTTCTTTTCCCAAGCATTTTTTGAGAGGTAGGTAAATTTACGTCACTAGTGAAAAAACATTAAGCACCTTGATCTATAAAAAGAACTCTAATCAAGCTACGGGTACTGTGTGGAGAAATGAATAAAACATCTCTTCTATATTTAGACGCTGAGTTATTTACCTCAGTTTAGCTCACTTTATATTCTTTCATTTATTTATCTGTTTCAACCATTTTTCATATTTTGTATATTTTGTTTATTTTGTTTCATTTTTCACTGAACCAAACCTAAAACAACAGGACGAGCAGCAGCCTTGAACCTGGAATGGCTGAAAAGTTCCTTCAAGCTGTTAGAAAGTGCGCTGAGGGAGCGGAACAAACAGCTCGAGATACAAAAGAAGGAGATCGAGTTCTTACGGAACGAACTTAGAAGAAAAGATGATGTCATCAAGGAGTACGAAAACTTGATCAATGAACGAGAGGACATGGAGAAACAGGAAGTCGAAATTTTACACAAGGAAATTAGAACATTGCGTATGGACGTCATGTCTAAAGAGATGACAATACGAGAGCACCAGAGCGAGATTGAGAGACTGGACAGCAAAGTTGAAAAGCTCATGTCCGTTATGCCGCCTCCGTCTCTACCTCGCGCGCGCGCGCAGGGAGTATCCGCTGAACCAAAGAACCTGAACAACAACAGTCAAAAGCAGCTTAAACACTGCCCCAAAAAGCCAAGGTATGTAAGACGGAATATCGTGTTATTAGTTTCTTTATCTCTCCTTTTTTTTTGTAATACGTGCGAATGTATATCAAGGGAGGCGTATTAACCATTCCCAGGAGCTCGCTGGAGTTGTTAAAACCAAGCCCTCAGAGGGCTTTGCAGGGCCTCGAAATCAGGTTTTTGGTGTTTAATTAGGGGCAGGCGTCAAATTATGGTATTTCTGCCACTATTTGAGTATCCTTACTATAATCTACGCTAAATGAGTAAAAAGAGAAAAAAGTATCATTGGTCTTATTTGTATTGAACAAGTCACTCTTTCAGCCCAGCGGTTTGCGTTGATTTTTTTTTTAGTTGGACAGTAACGAGACAGTTAGTTACTGGCGCGTAAACAATTTCGAGTGGAGTCTGGTAACAAAAGAAGGGACTACATCGTGATTGCAAAGGAATACCGCATATTCGAATCAAAAAGCAATTTTTATTAATTTCTCATATAATTTTGAAAAATATTATACAATGGTAATAATAACAATGGTAGACTTGAAAGAGTTGAACCAACTTAACGCTTCGTTCGCATCATTAAAACCAGCCATGTTGACTGGTTCGCCCTGTGGGTTTCCTCCAGCTACATAAAAATATGTTATATGTTTTATAGTTTGCTCTACTTTACCTCGACGACGTGGAAACAAGTGTCCTACGTAAAATGAAAAAGAAGGCATAACTGAACAAACAAACAAACAAAAAACAGTCATACAAAAAAGGACGCTTTTTTTCCAGCTTTTAAAGTAAAATTCCCTCGATTAATTTTTAGCAGGCTCATTTGAAAATTAGAAAGCGTGAACGCAATAAAGAAAAAGAAGACAAAAATTCCTTTGAGCCGGATGGAATAAAGGGAGGATTTTTCATGATCACCATATGTAAAGGACATTGTAACCTCACCTCAAGTTTTATAGGTACAAGAAATAATTGTCGTCTAAACGCTGTTATAAGAAAGTTTTCCAAAGGGGCGTCCATCAACGAGAGAAAGAGGAAAAGGATACTGGGCTATTAACTGCATACTGCATGAACTTCCAATCACATTTCCAATTAGATAATCTTGACCTACATGCACACTGATGAACTGTAGCGTTTAGGCCAAATGAAGTCCCCTTCTTGTACTCAGTCACGTCTTATTCATAGTAACTCTGCGGTTATTCTATCATACGTAACCCTTTTGGCTATTCTGGCAAATATTAAAATGCTGAAAGAAGAAGAATTTTCGAAGAAGCAGAATTTTTCCATGATGCTTACAGAAAACAAATTTATCAGTGAAGAATCACAACCTTGTTTATGAGTGTTCTGAAAACCCCAAAATGCTGCCTTCTGGGCGAAAGTTTGATAAGATATTACAGAAATATGCAAATTCTCAAATTTTACCATTATCAATATTTTAAACTTCGCCTCAAGATTTGCTGATGGTCTACCGACAGAGTGTAATCCGAGTGGAACTGCCGGTAGGTATTGTTAATGGTAGTTAAAAGCTGGAATACAAATGATGATAAGTTATGAATCGTGCATTGACTCTGAGAAGGTCAAGTTCGTGCACGTAGGCGTTTGGTTAATGTTCTCTCGTACGTGCTACACTCCAACTTAGCTCTCCACTCCACCGATCCACCCTCAAATAGCTCAAAGGCAATAATTTAGGAGATGACAAGCGATACTCGTATTACTCGTAATAAAGGCTGTTTTCATGAGAAATATCATCCATGTCTTGAACTTTCCTGAACACTTAGACAAAGTCCTATTTAAAAGACCAAGGGTCGAAATATTGCGATCGCTAAAACATTTTGAACGGATCTCTAACATATCCTCATATGCCTTTCTGTGGTTTAATTACCCACTTTTTTGGGGGGAAATTTGTGAGTGAGGTAAAAATGGGTTTTTCTAACAAGGATCAACTCTGGTTAACGGTGATTTCCTGTAAAGGACCTTGGTTACGCAAGTATACAGGTGATCTTGTCCACGATGACCAAGGCACGTTCGTGGATGGAGGCATTTCATACTTGTTGGATAAGTTAACATCTTAAAATTCCCTGCTCAAAATATTAAGTACGGAAATTTTAAATATTTTCATGAATGGTGTTATCATTAAGTTTATCTCCTACACTTGACAATAGAATGTATTTTGACTTTTTTTCGTCTAATGGAAAATTATCAGTGTTCCAATGTTTTCGGAAGGAATTATGTTGTAAGTGCGTGTAAGGAGAAGTGCTATTTGATTGATTTGATATTGTTTTACAAATTTCATAATCCCTTGATTTAAAACGAGGCAGCAGGATTATTGTCACCTAAAGCCCACTTTACACCAGGTATTTACAGGAAGGAAGAAAAAATTATACCAAGTCAACATTTTCACCCGAAAACTTGCTTGAAACGTGTGGATAACATACCTTAACAATAGGCAGAGGCGTTACCACAACGTTCTGGTGGTTTTAAGAACAAATTTTTTCTTCTTTTTGCATCGTGGCGAATTTGTGTTGTACGTGAATGAATATTTTTAGCCTTAGGCAGGTGCAGGTAGCGCTGTTTTGACTACTGGAAGCGAGGAATGAGACACGCGACCTTCCGCGATTGTCTTTACACGTTCCTGTTTCCTACGCGCGCAAACTTCTCAGGCCAAAGATTATCGCCAATAATTTACAGTACTGTTTGGGTGAAGAAAAATTTTAACTTTTTTTCTTTTCTATCTGGGGGCTTTTTCAATGATAATCTGATATTTACGTGTAGGTACTTAGTTACTCTTTTTTATGTTAAAAAAAAAAGACTGGATGATAAAGGATAAATCTAGTGTGCGCCTCAGGGGTAAAAAGATCGCGTCAACTTTTTCCCTCTTCCTAGCACTTGCTTACGTTTATTGTCTGCAAAATATTTATTTATGTAAATGTAAATGGAACAGTTTTGATAATCCAATGTCTCGCGTTAAAAGGCAGAACGCGAGGTTGAATAGCTTTTTGACAGAAGATTCTGCTCGATTCATTTTATTAATGTACTTTCAATCAGAATATTTTTGGGCCACCTATTTTACGCTTTGTTATCAATTTCCCGATGCCCTAAGGTGAAGAAACAGATTTCAGTGGCAGAATTGTGCGGCCTTCCCTGGCTGGAGTAATTAGCTTGTTGTACCAAATATACCCTCGATGAAATCATGCCAGCTTCAAATTCCACCTCCTTACTCGTTCACACTCACGGCATTGCCCAAACAGACCAAACTTATATTATCAACAAGTGATGATAAATACCAGATGAAGAAGAAATACAATTGTCATTTAGATATTTTAAGGATGTTGCTTATGGCATACCACGCATTTTGACTGCATAAGTGAAAATCAATAGTCGACATCAATACTAATGGCTAATCGGGGTTTTTTAAAAAGGGGTTTAGAGGGGGGAGGGGTGGGGAACATCTTGCCCCTTGTTTATGATGATCCGTCACGTCGTCCGTCGTCTTATGATGATTTTTCTCTGATGGAGTATTTACTTTCAAGCCTCGAAGAAGAATCTTTGTTAGCTCTCTAAAAAAAATTGTAAAAAAAGAAAAAAATATACATGTTTGTTTTATATCAAAAGTAGATGTTGAACCCCGCACGGTTCGTTATCAATTCTGACTGGCCACAGCTGTATAACACGGAAAGTTCATTCACTCAACAGCTCTGTCCTCCTCGCAGTGTTTAACATTTTTCCCCATTAACCCAACCTATAATATCCGAAAGATGGTGAATGCTTTAACAAAGCCGACAATTCTTTGTTCCTCAGTCATTCCTCGTTCAACTAAATGCAAATGTTACAGAATTTTTGTGCAATTTAACGAATATCGGTGCCGAATACCCGGCGTTGAAGTTGTCACCAGAAAGAAATAACAAAACGGCTTGGTTCGAACTCATATAAACTGTGTTAGGCAGGTGGTATCAAATCATTACTGCTTTTATCTTATTAAGTTGGAAAATAACTTTAGTGATGAAAGTGTTGATAAGTTCAATTCAAGTTGAGCCGAACTGCACGCTATGAATATTTGAACGAATCATCGTTCAAAATCTTTACCATTTTTATCTTTTTGTTGTTGTTGTTGTTTTTTTTTATGGACAATTCTGTCAAACCATTTTATGTAGTTGATTTCAGTCTCAAAATTGCGTCGTCGTTCTGGAAAATTTAGTTATCAGATCTCAGACGAAGAATTAAATTGCTGGCGAGAATAAAGTCGTATTCATTTAATAGAATGTTAATTAGCAGTTAAAACTTCTACTTATGATGCGGTAATTTCAACTCTTTGTAGCCTAGCATTGTCACTTTTCTACCCTTTTGTGGTCCTGATATGCAAATTTAACCAATAAAATAAAGGGACTCCAACAGGAAATGTAAACAGTCTTAATGCTTTAAGATTTTGTGTCGAAAACACTTCAATGAGTGTGTTTTAGGAACAAAAAGAAAGACAATTCGATCATAATTTAAGTAAAAGAATCACCGCTTGATGGCCTTTTTTCTACGGGGCAAGTGACTTGAAGAGTGATAGGTTTACATCCGGTTGCTTTTAAGTTTTGTAAGGTAGACTGCAAAAAGGGTAAAAAAAAGGGGCCAAATCGTACGTAAGCACAGAGAAAAGGACTAAAGAGATTATTCTTCAATAAAACTATTGTTTTATCCTTTGTTGGTGCTCGGCGCGGTAAACAAGGCGCCGCTGGTTTGAACTGACAGCTCTCTACCTACCTTTTCTTTGTTATTGTTCTTTATGATTTTTTTTCCGTGATGTCTGAAAATAGTGCCCGCTGCTTGATATCCTTCATATCTACTGGCGTCGCAAAGTTTGTGAGACCTGTCACCAGCAGAATATCTTCGTGGGATTTTAGTTCAGAGTGTGATTAAAGGTCAAGTCCTCAAAACGCACAAAATTTGTCTGGATTAAAATATTCTTCAAGTTAAGTTTAAATGAGATAAGCGCTTTAAACGGTATTTGACGGTTATGTTGTCTAATTTCGGTTTATGAAGTGAGTGGAAGCTGACTGGACTAAAGCGATCACTCCGCCTCGAACCCGTCCGCACTGCTTAGTGTAAACAAACAATAAATGCAGTTGAAATTTACTTAGAGCAATCAGTTTTATCTTTCTTTTATTGGCACATTAAGACTTTAACATTTCAGTCAGTTTTGTCCTGAGTGGCAGCTTCGGCTCAAAACAGTCAACGTGCGCAGGTTTGCCTCGATGATTAGGCCAGAACATCCGTTCCAAACGTCAATCATCTATTAACATACAAATTACTTTATAACCACGTCCCTGATAAAGCTCTTACGCATGATTTACGGAACCGAAGTGCGCATTTATAAGGAGGAAGAGGTGGCGTTGCGATTTCTTCGTTAGATTCGCGCTTTACCCGGTGAACTTTAATTTCATTTCACAAATTTTGCGAGTGTCTCTTTTCAACTACCCTCAGGATATAGGCGAATGAATTCCCAGTATTCCATTGGCGATTAGATAAAGCGCGCGGAGTGATGCATTGCGGTCGAGCTAAGAGTAAAAAGAAGGCAGGGTGTTTGTGTTTTCGGCGGGGTACTGCGGCAACCACAGCGAAAATGGGCAGTCTGCGAGAGCTGCAGCAGGCCCTCCAAGAGAAGAACACCGAAATGAAAATGAAGGACAGCCGCATCTTGGCCTTGGAGCAGGAATTGAAAAGGAGAAATGAGTTGATCCGTCGACTCGAGAGCGAGTTAGACAAATATCGTTCGGTTCTGCAACCGGCCGTAGCAACTCGTACTAGAAATCAACGCCAAGGAATTTCAGCTGAGCCACAAGGCTACAAAACGGTCACCGATGCCTCTCAGCCACCTAAGAGACACAACAAAAGTTCCAGGCAAGGACGATTTCTATTCTGTTGTGCTTATGTTTCCCTATTATATGCGGGGGCTCGATCGATGGCTTAGAATATTTCTCTGTCAGTAAGCGTGTCGATTGTTGTGCGCGCTCGTAGCTTTGCTGATCTTTAAAGTCATCGAAAAGTTATTGGTAACCCTTTATCGCAAAATACGTGCGGCTGTAGACGATTGCTACTTTTTTTCCGCCGCCTGTTGTCAATATTTGCGGTCATTGAAAACCATCGCGGAACGCCAACGCAAGATAGCTGGAAAAAACGAATTTTCAATGTGCGCCTGAACTTCTGACACTAATATGAAGAAAATTACGCCTCACAGAAGGGGTGATTGTCTCAGTCAGCAATACGATCTATCTTCCTTTCGATCGTTGTTGCTGGAGGTTCGCTGGATGTTAGATCTCAGATGGTCGGCTTTGAATTATAGACCGTTTGTGCGTGTAGGCTATCGGTAGTTCTTTGGTTCTTGAAAAGTGACACCTTCGGTTAAAGTGGCCGATCGTGAATTTAATTTCGTCGTTCGGCTCAAGCACACATAATACCCGTTTGATTGCATGAATTTTCCTCAGCCTCGATTGCGCTTCTTTTCATGAACTTCTTGTGCATTTCCTGTGATCTTTTCTTTGTTGTTTTTATTGTACACTTCAAATCGACAACAAACCGCATTCGGCGAGAGCTTAAGATACACAATGTCGATCGAATCACGCTTGGTTGAGTTTTAATATTTGGCAAATTGCAACATCGAACAGGAGTCCTTCTTTCCTTTTTTTATTTTTTCATATACGCTATACCGCGATCGAACATTAAGGCCGATTTATTTTTGAAGTTACGTTTACTTTAATTCTAACATGTAAAAACGCGCTGAAAAGGATACTTATTTATCTTAATTGTGCTTCATGACTTTTCGAGTAGCGAGCATTCTCTGATATTGACATGGTCACAGATCCAGTTGGTGTTTGGGCGTCCACGAGCCTAGCACGCTTCTGTTCAATTTATCTCTTTCTCCGTGATCTGAAGTTTACAGCATTTTGGGCCCGGATTAAAGTAGCAATGATTGCTGGTTTGATTTTTATTTTTGTAAAGCTATACCCAGCTTTACCAGATATCGTTCAGAAGAAGGTTGTTCAGTTCGGGTCGTGTTTTATCAGAATGTCAAGCTTGAGGTTTTGGATAAAAGCGATGTTCGTTTTTCTTTTAAAAGCTGATCTGACGAAACAACCTGTTAACTGAATATTTCCGGGCTCTGGCTAGCCGCTTATTTTAGATCGATCGATTTGTACCGACACAAGATTGTTTATTGCTTCGGCAAGTGCTTTTATGGCGAACAAACCGCTGTTTGGTTTTGTATATTTCTATTGATGCCTTGATACTTGTAGTCTCGCCATTCGGAAGCTCCATGCGAGAATTTTTATCAAACTCGAATTATTTGGTAGCGGTTTGCTTACAGAACGATATTTACATATAATGGTTGAAACATGTTAAATATAAGCTAACTAGGCTTTGAATACAGAGATCGGCTACGCACCAAAATAAAGACGAGGTCTTAAGGGAAACGTGCGAAAGAAACGAGGCAACATTTCGTAAAGATATGCAGGATAAAAATAAGCTTTAGTTCCCTGTTGGAGTGTAAACATTTTGGAGTCAAGGATTTTGTTTTTTTTCAGATTGCTAAATAACAAGTAGCGCACAAAAGACAAAGATTACGATATGAAGTTCACTATTTTATTAACATCCTTTCCAGAATAGCATTTATGCGCATGCCTTATACTAGAGGGCAAGTGTGTTTGTTTCATCTCACGAAAGACGTTTTTTCCGTTTCTAAAAGAAATTTAATCAGTCGCTCACGAGCATACAAGCATTCTGTCGTGATTTAAATATTTCATCATGTAAATTGCCCTTTCTTACAGCTTCTATGTATATTATACACCAAGGAATTAATTTTGCGGTAAAGTTACAATTTTATCGGTTGTGAGGGTTTCTTTGTTATGACATGGTAAATTACTGTAGAATCATCTTTTCTTGATTTACATAGGAAGCAATAAATTAATACCAGGACCAAGGAGTATGCTTGAAAGCAGCTCCTAATCTTATGCTGTAATCTCCTCATCAAAACAATCACTGTTTGGGTTGAAACAAGCCTTTAGTAGCTTGTGTAGTGCACCTGTCTTGTGCTTAAAGTACTCAGACTCTTAGAAGGAAAAGTTCAACTTTTTATTGAAAATATGAAAAAAGTGACAATATTGATATTGAGGTCAATTTTACCCTGAAAGTGTAAGGGTCAAATGTATTGCAATTGAAGAAATTCAGAGTCTTTACTATTTTATTGGTGTGTAGCCATAGTGATCAGCCTCAGAATACAAAATGCAAAAACTGAACAAAACAATGAAAAAGATAGGTTATCTTTTGAATTCTATTTACCTATTGTTAGGCTTCATAGATTTTAAAAGTTTCCTGTCTAAGTGAAACAGTGATCTGACTTTTCGGAAACTCTCATAAAGCTTTACATCTGTATACATTCCTACTAATCATGTCATATTGGAAGAAATTATGGGTGATGTTTTCACTACCTAAGATTTAAATATGTAAAAAAATAATCTCTGTTTTGGATTTAGGTTGAAAAAGGAAATTCTCCACTTCTAATTGCTTCTCAATTAAGGTAGAATTCAGTTTCATTTTCATCAATTTGTACAGCATTGCATAAAAGTTTTACTTTACAGTGTGAATTTTACGCTGTTAAATCCCATGTTATGGGGTGAATCTTAGAGACTACATGTCTTTGTCTTTGAGATGTCATACAAAATTGTAGTATCTTGAACACTGCTCTTGAACACTGCTTTTGTTTAAGTATTTAGAGCAATGAGAAGGTGATTTGTTGGCTAAAGTGAGTCTTCTTTTCTGGATTTTGTTACGTTATATGCTGTATAATCATATATATATATATATATATATATATATATATATATATATATATATATATATATATATAAACAGGCTTGAAGGAAATGAAGTTATTCACGAAACAGGCTTGTCGGGAAATATATATATATATATTTATATATATATATATATATATATATATATATATATATATATATATATATATATATATATATATATATATATGATATGAAATAGTTTCAAGATTTGCATTTGATTGAGGAAATTGTGGCTTTTCAGGTTGTCTTTGGCATGTTTTGTCATGATTACACAATGGCAGTAAAAAGAATTGATTTTACAAGTTGCAGTTTATTTTTAAAAAGTGGTGATATCTAAATATTTCAAAGTTGTGTTGCTAAATTCCCACAATGAAAGGAAATACTGGCATTTGCATCAGTATGTGAAAAGATACACAGTCTTTTTAAGCATAAAATCTCTCCTTATTATTGGGAAAAAAGTACTCAGAAGCTTCACTTAGTCCTTACATTCAATATGATATCAGTTTAATTAAAGTTCAAATATCTCAAGGAGCTCACTTGAACTAATAATAATCCAATTACCAACCAAAAAGAAAGAATGAAAAGAAGAAATTTCTGCCTTCATCATGGAGATTTTATGGTCATAAATAAAAAAGACTTAGGTTCATGAGTATTTTAGACAATTTCCATGCCTGTCACCCTTTTATAATTTTAAGGTAATATCTTTGTGAAGCTCAGTTTTGCCATCCCTTGGCTTTACACACTGAGAACAAAATGGAAAATTAGCCTGGTTATTATGAAAATATTTTCAAAATGATTTTATTATTGTTCCTAGCTTTTTCTGCAAAGGACTTTTCATTTAGTTTCATGGTTTTGTAGTTTTTTGCATTTCATATAATTTTGTCTCTTGGAAGCGTATTCTATTTAGGAAACAAAACATATGCAAAAAATCAGAATCAAACTAAAATTACAATTTTTAAATTTTCATAAATGGACTTTGTATCCTTGGAAGTTACACATAAATTTAGGTTACTGAGGAAATTAAAAAAATAATTGAACAAACCAAAATTTATCCCTTGACATGTACCATATCAAATCCTATTTATATTTTTGTGTACTCTGTTTTACCCCCTCCAATAATCCATAATATATTTTGAATGCTTTGTAGAAAAGTACCTTTTCCTTCCTCCTTCCTCCTTAAATAAAAACTCTGAAACAGGAACATTTTATCCTTTCATTTGAGTTGGTAGCATTTTAGTACAAAGAATACTTCTTAAAGAAAGCCTAGCTCAGTTCACATTTGAAATATTTTAGGTTTGAACAGAAGAACTACATACTGTACATGGGATTTGTTAGATTTCAAACAAGGTGATAAATCAGATGGAAAATGATGACTCATGTTTTTGCCTGCAGTGAGTTTGTGACAACCTGCCGTCCCCTTGATATACACTGTAAGCAGACCTCTTTGTTGAGGGTCTCTTTCCTGTGTAATTCATTGGTCTTATGGTACAAGGTGGCTGGGAGGGGGAAGGGGTTATGAGAGTGAACATGACTGTGTTGACACAGATTGAAGCTAATCTTGCTACTTTTCTGTACCAAAATAGATCTAAAGAACTTATAAAGGATGCCATTTTGGACAATGATTTCCTCAAAAAGTTGGAACCATCGCAAATCCGTGAAGTTGTTGAATGCATGTATGAGAGGAAATGGAGAAAGGGTGAATTCCTTATCAAAGAAGGAGAATCAGGATCCCACCTTTATGTACTGGAAGGTACATATCTCATGTCTTTATTAACATGTTTGAAATATGATCATCGTAATTAAATATTTCTTAAGAAACATTATGGCTAGAAATTAACTCTAGTGCTTGGTGGCCAGTCGAGCCAGTTTCCCTGAATTCTTTGTGGCTCATCCCAAAATGAAGTAGCCCTTGATTTCCTCTAGTTTAAAATGAAAAACTTGAATAAACACCCCATGGCTTTTAATGGAGCGTTAACTAAAAGGAAAGAACAAGCTCGTGAAATCACTGTTAAAATGGCTTGGAATTTCTACTTCAGAACTAGAAAATTTGCTAAAATGGATGATTTCAGAGTCCAGGCAAAGAGATGAAGAGAAAGGAAGTCTAATTAAACTACATATTGAGTTTTATTTTTAACTTCATACTTCACATAATTTACATTGCAACTTTTCGAAATTCTGTAGCATAGTCACACGTCGGGCGTTCAAACCTTAACTTTTGGTGGCCCTGGTCATTTTTAACTCGCCACTGGGGACTGTGCGACCACCAATTTTTAGCCCTGAAACATATAAGCCATTGTCTATCAATTTAGAGTAATCACCTTTGTGAAGATTTTTCTGTAAACCTTTCATGGAAAACTTTCTAAAAATGGGTAATTTACTTGTAGCCATGAACGTTGATGTAATATGTTTTTTTTCCAGAGGGTAAAGTCAAAGTCCTAAAGGAAGGAGAGGAAAAGGGTAGTATGGGACCAGGAAAAGTGTTTGGGGAACTTGCCATCTTATACAAGTGCCCCAGAACAGCCAGTGTGAAAGGTAAATTTCTTGATATTTGTTTTTCTTTTGTTAACTAAGTTGAAAAATTGTTGTTTTCTGCAAGCAGTGAATTATCAGTTTTTTTTGTTTACAAATACATGTATGCCTTTCTATTCATTTCATTAAAATAGTTTGCCCAAGTAAAGAAAACTCTGATTAGTTTTAAGGCTGGATTTCCCTGAGGTACAGAGTTGTTTACACCCACTTTAGGAAGTGTCACATTAGGAGGGAAGCATTTAGTTATTGCAGACATTAACTTTTTTACAGTTGACACTCAGGTGCAGTGATCATTTATTTATAATTTGTACCAATGCCAATCTCGTAAAACACTGAAATCTGTAGACATAATCAAAGGGGATATGTTTAAGGTGTTGGTGATAAGCTCCAGGATAGTATAATCATACCAAATCAGAAGCTTGCATTTAGATAGTGGGTTGTCTGTTACTATGTACCACTGACCATTGACTACTGTCTCTTTTGCTTTAACTGTAAATAATCTTATTTCATTACTGGCATATTTTATTCTTACATGGTAAATTAGTTTAAGTATGGATATTACCAGGGTAGTCTAAGAAATATTTAGGGTCATTTAGGGTTATTCTAGCTGATTTCCTCTATTATAAATTTATGTACATATTACTTACATTTATTTTTGTTGAGCATTTTTAACATGAACCTTTGGCATGGAGAACTGGGTGAACTGGGTGTAAATTAAGTTATCTTATCTTTTCTTATCTTATCTTATTTTCATTTGTGGAAACATTAGTAATGTTTATGTGTTATCCTTCATTTTAGCTGAGAGTGATGTCAAGGTCTGGTCCATTGACAGGCAAACATTCCAGACAATAATGATGAAGACAGGAATGTTAAAACAGAAGGAACACATTGACTTTTTGAAAAGGTGATTTTAGGAGATGAAGAATCAAAACTTACATTCAGTCTATGTTAGATTTTCTGTGCTTTGGTGAAGTTTAAGGGTTGTGATTTTCCAGAACCTAACCTTCCTTTTAATAATAATTGATTAGTGTTGATGTCTATGTTGTAGTGAAAATGATTTCAGATTGAAATGGTTTCAAACTTGTTTGACTTCTTTTCTTCAATTAAGGACTATGTTAATGTAATGGTACCTAGAACAAAGGAGAAAACAAATTTATGATCATTTTGAATTTAAATTTAGTTCAAACTACAACAATTATTTGTTTAAGTTTATTTGTTTAAACTCTTCTGTTATTTTAAGTCTTAAGCTTTGAACTCCCAAGATCCAGTTTGTAATTCTCCTTACTAAGTGCTATGGAAAATTTGGTCTTATGTCTTGGTAACACCCTCTTGCTGATAAGAATCTAGGATCACATAACTTGTTTGCAAGTCAATTATTGTTATTTTTCCTAAAGTATTTCAGCATGTCTGAATCTTAAGTCTGATTGGCTAATGATGCACTCATAACTGGTCCAGCTTTTAACAATATGAACCATGGTCCATAGATATTCACAGCAAATTGGAAAAAAAAAACCCAGCAGAAAAAATTTTAAAAAGGTATTTACCATTGTAAGTAGTTCCTTGTGAGGGAAATTGTGCCTCAGGTTTTGAGCACAGCCTGAAGGCAGAAGGCCACACTTATGACCAAGGGTACAACTCTTACTCATACAGACATAATGCCTGGTAATTAACATATAATTAATTGCCAAGAGCAGTTACATGTTAATCACTTTTGGAAGTTAAAGAGTTAAATGTTTGTATGGCATATCATTTTACCTTTCAGTGTCCCATGGCTTGCTAAGTATGGAGAAGACCTGCTTTGTAAGGTTGCAGATGTTATTGAAGAGGTAAGGTTAAAGTGACGATCACAGACATAGTTCATGAAGCGTCTCATCGTTGGATTATTTCTTTACGTTACTGTTAAAGAAAAAAAAATACTTGTTTGGTAACATTGTTCTCTAAAATAGAAGGGTTAGTTCTCCTTGAAATCTAAGCATAACTTGTTGGTAAATCTTCTCTCAATCAATAATTTGTGTTGAGGCTGTGATAACTGACTGTCCAAGAGAAGCAAAAAGAGCTGGCATTAAAACAACAACCATTTATTGTGTGGGCAAGTGTTCTCACATTTGCTCAATCAGTGATTTATTCATCTCATTTAGGCATGACAAAGGGATGGCTGTAGTTGGTTATCTTCAGTCATTTGTCATTTATATCTAATTAACTATAAGATTATAAACTGAAGATTTCTATTGAGTGTCTTTTGATGAGGGGAAAGCCTGAATCAACTAACACACATAGAAATCAAGAGAAAGAGTTTCCCAATTGTTTACCAGATGTAAATTTTAAAACAAGATAGGCTCATTATTTTATTTTGTTCACAATGCCGGACTGTTTGTCAACCTACTTTACCCAATAATTACCATGGAACAGATAATGAGTACTGTAGTCAATCGGACTGTGACGTTGGGGTTGCCTTTCAGCCCCTTCTCCAGGCACAGCGGTCTAAAAAACACCATCAATTGGTGGCCAACTATTGGAAAGCTTATTGAAATCCCTGAAATGGGTGCATAATCATTGTAATTTAATACATTTCATGGTACCTTTGATTTTATAGCAGAGTATTTGCTCTGAAGCATTCTTTGAATATAACTTTATAATAGGCATTCTATGATGAGGGAGAGTACATCATACGTCAAGGTGCAAGGGGAGACACGTTTTTCATCATCAAGAAGGGAGAGGTAAGTAATGCTTAATGGAATGTTTCTTCCTTTTCAGTGATGGAATAAATGAGTGTTACAAAATTTTGAGTCATAGGTGTACACCATGGGTTAAGTTCTATGGTTAACTGAGGCAGAAGCCATTCTTTTGCCACCCGTAACTTATCTTCAGTTGTGCCGTTTACTATTTTTGTTGATTATTTTAGTTCTAAGGAAAACTTCTTTTGGTAGGTTGAAGTTACACAGAGAGCTACAGTGCATGCAGATCCTAATTTCATTCGCACTCTCAAAAAGGGCGAGTACTTTGGGGAAAAAAATCTCATGGGGTAAGGTTGGACTTTTCTATAATGTCATCAGATGTGGTTAAAAATAGTGTTGTTTTTGACCACATGGAAGTTTCTTTTCTTTTTCATTACAAGCAGACATACATGTTCGTGTAAATAACACATGGATTACTGAGTGCTTATTATAAACTTAAAAATTGGGTCCAAAAGCTTTCAAGATGTACAAATAAGAGCATAGTTATAATCCCTTGGAATTTCACATAAGATAAAGGTTTTGTGAGCAAGAAAGGCAGTTACTTGCAGTTTACAGGGTAACTTAGGTTATTTATTACTTCCTTTCAGATTTTTAAAGCCCCTTCTGTGGTCTTTACTGCCTATTTTGTCATTGGCAGCCAGTAATGAAAAACAAAATAATAGTGACATTCAGCTGCAGCAATGGGCATGTTATGGATAAATTCAGCTGTGACACATACCTTTTAATATATTTGTTCATTTATTTTAAACAAAATATGCTCCAAGAATAAGAGAATATTTTCTTTTGCAGTGATGAATTTCGAACAGCAAATTGTATTGCAGCCAAGGGAGGTGTGCAATGTCTCGTGTTGGATCGAGAGTAAGTAATAGAAAATAATTTTAAAAAAAAACTTAAAATTTGCAAAATCAATCTTTTTTTGAAAGAAAAGTCTCTAATTTAACATCATTCTAACGGAAACAAGCTCCCGGTGAGAGCTGTCTTAACCATTTGGTGTTTACAGCTATCCAGCTTTGACAGTTGTCTTCATGTGAATATACAAATCACAATTATACTAATTCTGGTCCAGTTCAAGTTCCCTTATAGAAAAGGAAACTTAAGTGTCATTTCTAAAGAAATATTTTTCTTGTTGTGAATTCACCACTCCACCTTGATTGCCCAGCTATGTTTGCATTCCTTAGACCTTTTGAAGCATATATTGGAAGTTTAGAAGACTTGCAAACAGACAAATATAGCGACAAGGCAAGAGGAGTTGAACCACAGACTGCAAGGTAATATAATTGTTTTCAATTGATTTTGATATTGCTTCAAATCAGCTATCTATTCAATGGTTATCACCTCTGAGTGAGAAGCCAAGTTAATGACTTTGATCCATGAATTTTCAAGGTGGTATGCATCAAGTATGACATAATTCTACATGTTTTGTTGAGTCATATTTAAAGTTTTGGTGGTAAGAGGAAGAACAACTTTGATAAAAAGGCTAATGCTGGAAATATCAGCTTTAAAAGCTCTTTACAGTGATCAATTAACATCAACTCAATTGATAAAAGCAGATTAGCTGATTACATGACGTAAAGAGTATGTATTGAATGAAATGATAACAAGTGAGTCAAGGAAGGATCAAAGAGTAGCTCTTAACAGTGATTTCTTTTATAAAAAATAGTTGTGCAGTTGAAATGGTACCCTCAATTTTTTTAAGTTATAAAAATGGGTTCAAGAATTAATCATTGTTTAACTGACTCCATTGAGAAGGTGATTGTTCATTCAATTTTCATGAATAAAAAGCAAGCTTGTGTTAATATCAGTTTCTAATTCTTTGCTAGGCGTAACTTCCTTCAATAATATGTATCTTCTTAATGAAGTGTCTTTTAAATTAACATTTCAATGATCAGTTTGCAGAGTTTTAACTCAGTATGCCCGTATGCTAAGGGTATCTTTCTAAAGGGCTCAGGGAAAGGTCTGATGCTTTTTAATAAGAACCTACAGTGTCAATGTCAGCTATGGTTTTTCATCTGCACTTTGTTTTGCCAAATTGTAACATCCAGTTCTACGGGATACATGCTAGTGGATTTTCTGGAGAAAGCTTCTTAGTGTCCTGCCTCCTAGGATTAAAAAAGAGCGAACAGAATCTTCATGGGAATTAAACAGCACCTTAATTGCTATGTGTTGTGTTGACTAGCCATAAAATTTTCTTTGTGAGACCCTCATAACAGCTACTGTTCACACATTCAAATCTAACAAAAGTGATCATTTCTAGGGTTTTAAAATTGCTTATTTTGAACTTTGATTTTTTTTATTTTAAGTAATGTATGAGGCTAATTTAAATCTACATTCATGGTAAATTTTGATCTTTCATACTTAGAGGTTACTTTTTGTCAAAGGACTTACATTTATTTTTTCCTCTTAACCCTTAAACCAAGTAGACAGATCCAAGAAATTGAAAGGTTGGTACATTTGGAAACTTTTCATGCACCAGCAATGTAATAATAACGTTTTTAAATTTAACTCACTGAGCACTTAACTTTAGTTTTCAAGATACTAATGATTTAAATGTACTTAAGTTGCTGTTTTCATAGTAATGAAAACTATGTTCTATGTGGTATTTACATAACTCATGGTATTTTCATGTAATTTCTTATTGTTCAAATGTTCTATGCATTGCCAATTTGAATGATAAACATCTTAGTTGTGATGATTTCAATGAAGATGGTGAATGTTAAGCCTGGTGTTTTAGTGAAAGAAGATGTTATTTGGTGAAAGACAAAGAACTCCCAGTGCTCTCAATAGGAGTCAAACCTACAACCTTCTGATTAGTTCTTCTAATGCTCTGCCACTGACTTAAAAGAGACGTGCTGCAGGCTAGGCAAAGGCATAACAAAATTTTTTTGCAAACTTGGTCAAAGTGTTTGTACTTCATCCAAAATGTTAGACAGATGTCTGCTACTTTACATCAGCTATTACTGACTTCCTTGGGAAAACAATGCATTCAAATTCAATAGCAAAAATTTTCTTGCATTTAAACTCAAATGTTTTGCATCATACTAACTCCATGGTCAGATGTGATATGACAGGTGGACATGCAGATAATGAACAACACAATGAACATGTTTTGACTGTACTATGAAGTATTTTGTCTGCAACTTAATTTTGTTATTTCAGAAGAGCACCATATTAAAAAATCTACACTACTGTTGTATTTGTTGGGAATTATTAATTCTAAAATGAAGGGGGAAAGTACAGTTTGTTCATGTTGTTTTCTCTTTGGGTTTTTACTTTTAACATATAATTTACCAGACTGACCTTTTAAGAACCATCTGTAAATAATATCTTGTTAAATTTTAATGCACTTTCAAATAGGCAGATCAGAACAAAATCATAAAGTTATCAATATAGAGATAATTTAAGCCCTAACACAATGTCAAATTTTCAGCACTAGCCAACAAGATAAATGTGTGGTACTGAGAGAATTAACTTGTATTTCATGAAAGTCAAATGGTGAAGATTATCCTTTGAGAAATGCAAAAAATTCAAGAATTTTTGCAGCACTGTTTGTGAATTGAAAGTGACAATGATGCCTAAAAAGTGTACAGTGTTGTACAAATATTCATATTTTACTCCTTACAATACCAATACACTATCAACCAGATAAGTGATGAGAATAAAGAAAAATATCAATTTGGGGATAATTAGTTGATCCAACTCTAAATTCTCTGAACTAACATTACAAGAATTGTATGGTTGACAGTAAGGGGAATTACAATTATGATCTGGGAGTTAAAGGGTTAAAATGTTAGTTTGTTTGATTGTTTTTACTTCTCTAGATAGTGTTTTTCAATGGGTGTATGGCTTATTACTGGGTTTTGTTTTGTGGCTAAGTTGCTGGTTTTATTTTCTCAAACTTAAGATATGCTTCTTTGTTAGTGACTAGGATTTTTCTTAGAAGTGTTCATGATGGGTGTACTTATTCAAGTTTTTTGTTTACAGTCGCACTAAAGAAGAACAGAATGAGTTTGCAAGTGTTTCTTTGAAAGATATCTCAATCTTGAAGACACTGGGAGTTGGAGGTTTTGGGCGTGTTGAATTGGTGAGTCTAATGAATTGGCACTTATTACTACTGGTTCAGGATATCACTGATCCAGTGTATTGTACAAGCACAGAGCATAGCAATCTATTTGAAACAGGTAACAGTTAATAACGGTCCATAACGCAGACATACATGGAAAGGTTTTTAAAAGTTATGCAGTCTTGTTTAACATTGCCTAGTGTTGCACTTGTGCTAAAATTATGAAGCCAGAGTAGAATAATCAAGATATGCTTTCCAAAACCTTCAGGTTGTGAAATATCTTTCTTAACCCCTTACAGCCTGACATCAGTTTGCAACTTCTCCATACTGTTCTTTATACGTTTCGTATGGTACTTATTTGGAGAATTTGCTTAATAGTCAAGAGCTTTTTGACCTTGTCATTATTTCATTTATTCTCATGACCTTAATGTTTGATTCTGGGGTGGTACCATTGGGAGAAATTAGATGCTTATCACTCTCAGGGAGTTAAAGGATTAACATCTGAACTAAGGAGATCAAGCCATAAAATTGATATGAAGGGGGTGTTTTTTAACTTTTGTCTGATCATTGCCTGAAAGGGAAAACTATGAAAAGAGAGGGAAGGCATCTTTGATGGACAACAGGAAGAAATGTGTCTGTGTTAATGAATTGTGTGAAATTTTTCTGGTAAATAATTCGCTAGTCTATCATTAAATTGGTGAAGCTCAGTCTTAAGAGGGAAAGTATGATATCTAGATAACAGCAATATAGATAAACTCGGTCGTAGTTAGGCGTATAACCTTTCCATTTTGTCTTTGTCAGGTTCAAGTCGCCAATGAAAAGAAAACGTTTGCCCTGAAAACTCTTAAGAAACATCACATCGTTGAAACAAGACAACAGGACCATATCAATTCAGAAAAGAAAATCATGATGGAGGCCAATTGTCCCTTCATTGTGAGGTAAGCACAAATCTTTGGGCTGGTATGAAATAAATTTTCTTCATGATGTTGTACCTGAAACGGTTCTTTTGAGGAACAACAGTTGTTTTGGGTAGCTTGGAGGGTTAGAGTTAAACTTTAGCTTTTTTTCATTCGATACAAAAGTGAAACAAGTTAAACCTTGGTCACATGCACATTGGGCGTGAAGCTTTTTAAAGTCAAATTGTGTTATTGTTTTGTTGTTTTGTTTATGTTGGAAGCCCTAGTGAACGTTATGCGTTGTGTATTCAATGACTCTTGGCAGTCATTGAGCCCTGTTCCCATTTTATGTTTAACGTCTTTACCTCTTCTTTCCTTGTTCATCTTGTGAAATCTTGCGAATTTGACCTTGTTAAAATGTGGAACCTTTTAGTCATTGTTCCTCTTCATAATTTAAAACTTATTAAGGTTTGTCCACGATGTCGGCCATTTCTATTTCCCTGATCACGTGACGTGCGTGAGCTTGATCACTGCCAATAGGGAGTTTAAGATGTCATTACGGCTGTGGTAAAAGGTTGTCGGGAAAAAACCTGATTTACTTTCCTCTAAGATTTTCGCCAATAGCTCGATGCGCACAACGTTTCTGACGGCAAGAATCTTCACTTCGGCATAACAAGTAAATGCAGTGTTGGGTTCAAAGTGAAAATGAGACTAAATTGCTGTCGAGGTTTCTTTGCCAAAAGAACTTGAAAGTTGGTGATTTCACGTTTTTGTTCCCGTAAGGGACGGCTACGAAATGTACACATTTTGAAACGTACGTGTGTCGCTTACTGTCTTGCTCATTAGATCTTTCGTTTGGCTACGTTCTCGTTGTCGTCGCTGTCGTGGTTTTCTTTAAGTCCCTTATATTGTCCTTGTATGGTCGGAAAGAATAAATATTATTGATTTAGTTTTGAAACCTCGAATTTGTTCCCCTTTTCAGGCTATATAAAACGTTTAAGAATAATAAATACCTATATATGCTTCTGGAAGCTTGTCTGGGCGGTGAACTTTGGACCATTCTGAGAGACAAGTAAGTAGGGTTCTGTGGTTTTATCTTGTAAAGAAAAATTGTAGTGGAAAATCCGTTAAACAACTCTGACCCACAAAGCAAATCTTAGGACCCCACGTTTCCCCCGTCCAGTGACCAGAATGCAAACTTCTTTGAGATGAAATTGCACGGTGGACAGGGAGGGGCACAAATTACGAAGAGCAAAATTTTCCAACCCTTCTGAAAATGCATTTATTGTGAATTTTCCAGCCCATCCCCTCCCCTCCCCCGCCCCATCCGTATTTATGACGAGCCCCTTACCTTCACTGAAAAGTCTAAGTTGTTCGAGACTCTTTAATCCCTAAGTCCTTCTCTATCAGCCCGTTTCCCAATGAGGTCAAGAATGTAACATTTCTGTGACTTACTGATTAAACTAAGCTCAAGTCTTTTATCTCCGCAGAGGGTCTTTTGATGATGCGACCACACGTTTTTATGTAGGCTGTGTAATAGAAGCTTTCACGTATCTTCACGAAAGGGGCATCGTGTATAGAGATCTGAAGGTAAAATCCCTGGTTTTTTTTTTAAGACTCAGTACAAGCTTTTAGCACTAGAATTACAAGCAGCAAATTCGGTTGAATTTTCTTTAAGGGAGGAGCTGGGGGGAGGGGAAGGGAGGGTAAGTGTGTCCTGTACTGGTGTTTACAGCTCTGCCAAGATAGTGTTTTGTTTATTTTCTTTTCCTGACATGAAGGGGGTTACACGCAAACCTCCTCTCTCCCTCCCCCCCCCCACTTTCCCTTCAGTCTCTGCATCTAAGAAGAATTCGCTTTTTCAGCCATGTACAATGATAGAAAGCCTAGACAACTTCAATAAGGAATGTAGAAATAGTGTTGTTGGTGATGTTGCTATAATGAGCTTGATTGAAACTTCGATAGTGGCTTGAAAGACTTGTCTTGCTTTCACATTTTCAGCCTGAAAATTTGCTTTTGGATGAAAAAGGCTACTGCAAATTGGTAAGTTGAATGACATGCTCTGTTGCTTTCCATTAAAAAAACCTTTGTGCTGTAAACTTGCTTGTGTACGATTCATACGTTCAGTATTTGAAAATTGTAGTTGTAGTTATTATCTGTGACACTTGAAATAGTTGTAGTTTGAAGTGCGGTTGCTTTAACCCGTGTAAGTTGAGTTAACAGTTTTTTTGAGCATGAGAAGACTTATTTCGAAGGTGCTAAATTTTCCTGTTATTCCCTTTGATCCAAGGTCGATTTTGGTTTTGCAAAGAGAATAGGTTATGGAAGAAAAACGTGGACGTTCTGTGGAACACCTGAGTATGTTGCACCTGAGATCATTCTTAACAAGGTAAACAAATTAGTCATTCTTAACTTCATTAAAACAAAATAGACCAAGGTAATCCTGGTTTCCCCCCGACACTTACTTAAAACTCTCTTAAGTCCAGTGAACAGTGTTTGTAAGGATCAATTTCTTTGAAATCAAGATTCATCTTCTCCATCGGATAATAATGATTGGGATTAATACTGAATGTTTGTTTACCTTCGTAGGGCCACGACTTGTCAGCAGATTATTGGTCTCTAGGAATTCTTATGTATGAACTGCTTACAGGCAGCCCACCTTTCACGGGGTCAGATCCAATGAAGACCTACAACATAATTCTCAAAGGAATTGATATGATCGAGTTTCCTCGCAAGATCACCAGGAACGCTCATGGTCTCATTAAAAAGCTGTGTCGGTAAGTTCTTGTAGGTTGGGTTCCAAACAGTTTGTTTGATGATAGTAAAAAAAAAACAACATCAAAACGTCATTTTCTCAACTTAAAGCTTCACTTCAATGGTAGTGGCAGTTGATTAGTGTGGGTAATAACAGGGTTTCGAGTGCAGTAAATTTTTCAAAGACAATAAAATTACACGAGCCCGTAGGGCAAGTGCGATTTGTAGTCTTTGAAAAATGCCAAACCAAATTGCACGAGAAATCATGTTGTTGCATGTCAACAATGTACATGAAAAAATGTCACAGAGATTCAAGATAGACGTAAATTTTGACAGCGCTGGCGTGCTATTTGTAATTTACATTCGTATTACAACTGTGCACTCGTGTTACATGAGAACGTCCTTTTCAGCCAATCAGAAGCGCGTATTTTTTCAGGTACATTATTAAATGTTAAATTTGGTGGAATTTCTACGGCCGGTGTATGACACGAAGAGGGCAGGGAGAAACTCTGAAGTGTCTGTTGGTGTTTATCCTTGTTAAATCTTGCCACTTAATGGTTATTTTTAATCAGAAGTGAAAACCAGGTAATTGGTTCCATCAAGTTTGTTATCAGCCCAGTTAGCTGAATTACTACGCCTTGTCTTTTGTCTTTTTAGGGACAACCCGATTGAGCGTCTTGGCTACCAAAAGGGAGGTCTGAAAGACATAAAGAAAAACAAGTAAGTATCTCAGTGAAAATGGGCGAAAGATTGCAATCCTTATCACAGCTCATGCCACCATATTAATAGCCATAATGCCAACTGAAATGGCAGCAACAACATCTACATCTACAATACTTTTTGTGGATGTTTAAGGTCGAAGGAAGGAAACCCCCTCCACAAGATCGTTGGTTCCATTGTAGCATCTCTCTGTCACCCTTTTAAATCCTCTCAATGAAGGCCTATTCACCTAACATTTGCGTGTAACTTAACATGTCTGTGTGTGTCTAGGTGGTTCGATGGTTTCAACTGGGACGGCTTGAAGCAGAGGATACTCAAAGCCCCCATCGTCCCAAAGGTTTGTAATATTTGACAAAGGTTTGGGCAATTGACGAGATAAGTAACGCAATGCTCCTCTCTGTTACCGAGGAAATTACTACTTGCCGACCCATATAAGGTAGCCATTTTCTCAACTATAAGTTTTAATTAAACCAAACCATTTTATAAAAAGACATTTTTACATACGCGAACAAGTCGTCGTTGAGCTCATTTTCTTCTTTGTTCTCGGGGATTATTTGGTTTTGTTGAGTTTTTCTAAGAGATACGAGGGGCAATTTGCTTTGGGCAGACAACTTACACAACACACAACAGGCGAATAGTTTCGTTGTGTAAGAACTTAGTTACTCGTGAGTAGGATGGTTGGCTGCGTAGGTGTCTCGTAAATCGTGTAATATTTACGGCTAGTTTCCGTAGCCCTCACACGCGTCATGCAAACCTCTTCCTCAAATGTAGCTTTTAAAGTAAACAACAACCCTAATTTTCATTTAGATCAAGTCCCCAACGGACGCATCAAACTTTGACGACTACCCTCCCGATGACGAGATACCTCCAGATGACACGACAGGCTGGGACAAGGACTTCTAATCTGGGTGTCAGTGCTATCGCCACCCGCATACTGCTTGGATTCCTCCAGTGTACAGGGCAAGATGATAAATTCCTTTTACGTAGTTCTTATCCCTTCTCTTTACTTCCTTAGTTCTTACCATCCGTGGTCTAAGTAGCCAGGATAAAAAACTTTTAACCTAATCTGAATAGTTTTTAATACAGTTTTAGTTTGTTCCTGAAAAAGTCTATTTGGATTTGAAGGAGAAGCGACAGCAATAGAGTCGTTTACTTCAAAGTAAGTAAAAAGACGAGAGATTAGATTGATATTCTAGGATTTTTTTGTAGCGGTTTTATTTGAAGTTCCAAATTGATCTTACTCCGAAAATGTTTTTATGGTTATTATATATGTCAAAAACAAGACTGTGCACTATAGACATACAATTGTTTTATAGGTTCGTTGACTTAGGTTTTCCTCTTTTCCCCCTCGTTTCTGCCTGATAAAATCCGCACAGTCAAATTGAACGCTGGAGGGGTAACGATTGTTTTGCAAAGTCTTAAATAGCAGTAGGTCAGTAAGAAACATTAAATAACTATTCTCATATTTTAACAATGTTTTATCCTTAATTGGTTTGCTTTGGAGAGTGTTATTATCCAGGCATACCCACATATTTTTATTAATAAATATTGTAACGTCTTTAAAGTAAATGGTAATGATGCCGGAGAGGGAGAACAATTTTAGTTGATTGTCAATTTGTAAACGAATCATTTCACTGTGTTCAGGACCTCTGCAAACAGGATAGCAAAATTTAACATGTGTTAAGTATATTCTGCTCTTTTATGAGATTACGCTTCAAATTTTCTTTCGGAAGTGTGTTGAAGATATGTAAATAATTCAGTCACAAATAATTGAAGTTAACACTAACATATTATTACCCTGTCACATTATTATATCTCCTAAAGATACTTTCCTTGTGGATTAGCTTTCATTATTCCCACGCTTCCAGCGTAGCCTATAAATTTCTCTAGAAAGCAAATCTTTTGCATCCAGTAAGTTTGGAACAATACCAAATCAGTTACATTTGTGGCTGAACCGCGTTTGATAGCAACCTTATCAAGGGAAAAACAACAAAAAACGCTGTTTGCTATCGGTGGTCTCTTTTGAACTGGCATTTGAATGTGTTACGCTTGCTGTTTCGCTTAGATTCCTTTATGGCTTGGGTTACCTTATTGTCAATTTATATAGGACGTATGCTGCTTTAAGTAACTACTTACCGGAAATAATTGCCCACCGTAAAGTAAATTTATTTGTGTGACAGCCTTATAGAGATTGATCACGCGTTCTTCGTATTGTGCGACGGTCAGTTGATTTTCACGTCCTGCTCGCATGCAAAATATACCTTGTAACATGAAAATAAGTAAACTTTTGTTAGAACTAAAATGGTTGATATATCTATCAGGATCTATATGGAGCTGGTTTGGCCGCGAAGTCAGGAGAGCGAGTCGATTGTCTGTGCGGTCGAAAAATATAGATCTGCTAGGCGAGTTAACCATTTTGTTATGGCCTTTGTCACTATTGAGGCTTCGGTCTCATTTGTTTTGTTTCGTTAAGAAAGCTCTGCAGACCTCCGGCCGTCAGTGACATTCCTAGGAATGAAAGAGTAGTACCTTAATACCTAAGCAGTGAGCGAATTCTGTCAGGTATTTTCACTATCTTATTATTAGGAATGTAGACTACTCATTGCCGAAAACGAAATTATAACACACCCGAGGCAGATAACTTTGCCCTCTTATAAGTATTAGCGAAATCAATTTTACGTAGAATTTCCTTTTGTTTCGTTTTGTAGTTCTTTAAAGGCGGTGAATGATTTTAGCAATGTTGCTCTTTCTTAACTTTTAAACATAGTTTCAAAATCTTTAGGAGAGTTTTATGTCGATTATTTATTTCGGACGCCCCTATCCGTAAGAAATTGTAATCGTAAGGAATTGTGCTGTGCACGGTGGTTTTGATACGTCATATCTGTGAAATGAAATGAATTATACTGTTGGTAGTTTTGTATTTATTTCTTCTAGTAATGCCAATCAAAAATATAATCGGATAAAGCTGTGCAATGAAAGCGTCATTAAAATTAATTTTTTAACCACTTCATTCGCCTTTTTCGAAGTAAGCGTTGCTAGGGGGTATGGGTGTGTGGAAGGATGCAAACGATCCCTTATTGTCGAGCAAGTCTTGTATTTCCTCAAATTCTAGTGAAAAGTGTTCTAAGTCAGCACTGGTAGGCTCGATTTCCGTCGTTTCCAAGTGCAGTCTTCGGTCTTAGGCGGCTCCCATACTTAAGTCCCTCACAAAAGTTTGCGTATTCTCCAGACTCCTCTTACAAGACTTTCTTTATGAGCTGCTACCTTTAATTTCAAAGAGCAGCGGAAGGCTAGGGAGAGAAAAAATTCTACAAAGACTATCAACGGGATGGGCGACGGTCAAAAGGAAGCAGAGGAGAGGGAACTGGACGATAGGAATTTTCGCTTAGCTCCCCCCTCCCACCCCTCTGACTCCAAATCAAACATTACCGGCCGAACTTGCCGTAATAAGATGCCTGCCCCGCAGGCCGCGCCTGTACCTCGTTGCCAAGGAGCTTACGACACATCTGATTACAGGAGTGACGAAGTCTACAGAAGAGTAGGTGTGAGGTAGAGATTGATCATCGACTCGAAATAAAATTATTGCGTGTTTAATTTCTCTTATTCAGTGCAGTATGTGATCATCAACCACAATAGTAAATTTCATTAAATATTATGATTTAGCAACTGCTATTAAAATACCTTTCACCTTTACAATTAATTTCTATAATCAATGCTAGTGCTTCTTGTAACAATTCAAAATTAACTTGATAAATTTTACCTATTGGGTGCATAAGACCACTTTAAATAGAGGGAATTCTGTTCCAAATTTCGTCCACATTACTAACTGTCAATAAATGGTAAATATTCTTAAGGTACACAGTACCTTCAAGGAATCGTTTAAATATGGAAGGCAAGATTTCTTATACTCAGTTACAACATGATGCACGACCAGTAAAAGAGACATAAATATTATATTTACCCCTAATTCCACCCTGCTACTTAAAGGCTCGACAGCCTCGTTTTCATTTTCCAATCAGAGTCAACATAGAAGAGGATAAATGTAAATACAAGACTACGTAACAGGACACAAAACAAGTCAAAAGTTCTACTAAATAAAAATCGAACCGAGGGAGAAAAGAAACAAGAAAATATTTCTACACTATTCGACAACTATACACGATAATATGTTTTAACTAAATGATTAAACGATGCCGTATTTATTTTCATTTAACAAAAAGTCGACCTTCTTTTCCACGTTCACATTCGCCGTTTTCGTTTCCTTCACGATATATCTAGTAAACATGACTGCGATTCCTTTCAAGATCGCAATCGAACCGGCGAATATTTTTTTGCAAGGAAAATGAAGAATCAAAACGTGCACAGATCTTTGATTTAGGAAGCGCCGGCCGCTTTATGGCATAGTAAAGAGCAAGTAATGAAAGCTGTTTTTGTTCTACGATGTTCCATTCGTATTTGTAACTACTGAGAAATGGAAAATCCAGTAAATTATGACCCAATTTCTGCTTAGTCCAAACCCACTTTCCCTGTTTTATTTCCCGTTACCAAAATAACTCGTTTCATTTTATGCTTTCATGAGCTGGAGCTTCTTATATCAAACACCTACCCCCACCTCCCGCCCTTTCCCAATCACGTGCGGTTGAAGCTACGTTATGCTCACACTAGACAGTGTCAACGAATTTCTTTCAATATTCAAGGGCGTGCTCGATCTTTTCGGCGTGATTTGACCTTCAAAGTTTTCACCTATAACACTAGTGATTCTACTATCATCACTCTCGAACGGGACCTCATCATCGTCAACAGACGCCTCTCTCATCAAGTTTATTTTCAGACGCATCGCCTCCCTCGGTGATCTTATCACGCGAATTTCTCCCGAGTTAAGTGGACCTGGTGACGACTCAACCATGTGATTCGACTGGGAAGGGTGTTGCCCTGAACTATCTTCTGACCAATCCTCACCCTGATCTGATGCGTCCATTTCCAAGGTTTCTGAATAAGAGGAAGAAATACAAACTTGCTGGTTCGTATGGCTGCGGAAGAATTCACTTGTTTGGACTTGTTGCTCTCCCTTGGGTGGCCGGAGGGGAACTGGCTGCGACAGAGAGTCACATGCCTGATGAGCGGCTGACATGGTCGGAGGGCTTTGGTCTGGGGCCTGGGAAGAGACAGAACAATATTAACTCGATCATAAAAATGAAATGGAAACAAGCTGTATCTCACAGAAAACCTCAATACGCTCTTATGTCGCACCGGGGAAACGATCATACTTACAACCACCACACATACAATTTTGCTCAGGATGTCACGGTAGTTCTATTTTCACGCGTGATTACCGGGCACATCAAAAGGAAAAAAAAAAGAAAGAAAAATGTCTACCCATAAGGCTCTCCCTTTCTACAAAGATTCAACGCAGAGGCTATTCGGAGTCTAACCGCCCCTGCCGAAATCATCTATTTTGGAGCAAAGAGTGATTAGGAATTTATCAAAGGACATTTCTCTAACCATGCACGCACAGACAGGAGGGAAAGGGAAGACGTTAGTTCCTTCACTCTCTATGTGTGCAAGCCAAGCAGACTATAAAGAGCAAGCAAGTCAAGCCAACTCTCTGCATGCTTTGCAAATTGAATTACCAGCAGCCATCGGCTAATGCACTGACGTCATACATTGACGTCACGAATATCTGTTGAAGCGAAAAGCAGTCTATACCTTCACTAATTTGTACACTTTCCGTTTACCGATATGATGCTTCGTAAAACTGATATATTAAAGACGATTACCTTATCGTTCAGGGAATTTACCATATCCTCATCGGAATCTACCGTAATTAAAATAAAATCTCATTGTTAAGATATGTTGATAGCATTAACATTACGTGTTTAGGTTCAATGACGCTAGGAAGAGAAGAACTATTTTACATCGAAGGGAAAATTCAACCTCAAACGAGAAGCCATAATCCAAGTTCCTTATCTTCTTGGATAGAACACTTAACCCTGAAATGTGCCTCTCTTTGACTTTGAGTCTCAATAGAACAGACGACTAGTGGGAGAGGATTTTGCTACTGATGTGTTAGGGATTGCCCCGAAGTAAAGGCGAGAGGTTGTGAGTGGATAACACTTCTTACGCTCGTTCTCTAACTTTGCCCCAGTCCAATCCCCTTTCACTTTCTAAATAACCCTTAGTTCCCATACAGAAGAAACCCCTCTTATTTTTTTTTAATTTATGGTAATCAAAGTTAAAGAGAAACTCGACCCTGAAAAAAGCTGGTAGTTGGTAGACAAACTCGAATCTTGAGCTCACCCGAAAAGCGTTTTTCAACACAGTCGTCTTTATTTTCCGGTGAGGAGCAAGTCAGCTGAATGACTGGAGCACGAGCAGAGGTCCGTTCGTTTGACATCATCTTCTTGGCATCGGGTGACTGGGCATTCTCTCTCCGTGGTGGAACAGGTGGGGGAGGCAGCAACTCTTCCCTCGAAGCACTACTTCTTGATCCATTGTGTCGTCTACCCTCCCTCGCCGATGCAGCAACAGGCTGAGATGTTCTTCCATTAGGGAGAGAGGTACTCATATGGGCAGCAGCCGTAAAACTCGAGTTACTTGATGATTTTCCCACTCTGGGTGGCAAAGGGGGAGGGTTGAACTTCTTCCGTGGGGGGAGGGCTGGCGCAGGGGCGTTGTCCTCTATGATTTGTGGACACTCAGTGTCAAGCATGTCAGAACTAAGCCCATTTATTGGACAAGACATTTCAGTCTCTATATTAATAACTTCGTTTGATCTGCAAGTATCATTCTTCAAGTCCATTTGGAACTGTTCGACGTTTTCAAATTTCCTTTGCTTCTGTTTGTTAGTGCAAGTAGACGATAAACTGGGTGAAGCCGTTTGTTTTGCTGTGTGATCAGCCGTAAAATCCTCTTTCTCCAACCACTCCTCTTTGGAAGCCTTTTTCACTGCAGGTTCGTCTTTCTTTGTATCACTGCCTTTGGATATCTTACGCAGAATCTTGGAAGCGGATGAAAATTTTGCCGTGATATCAGGAGACTCTTTGTCTTTTCTTAATTTTTCCTCTCTGGATGTCTTACGCGAGGCCTTTGGTGACGACTTGGACGATCTTCTGGTCATCTGAGGGGACACTTCTGGTGTACTTGGTTCGCTTCCCGAAAACCGTCCTTGAATATCCATGACATCCCCAGGCGACAACGAATCTCTCCGAGGTTTTTCCGGTACATCTTCGCAAGCCTCACCTCGTGACTCGTTACTTCCCCGCCGAGGTTTTCGCGCATGCTTCCACACTTTCTTCACAAGTTTGCTGGCCTTTGAATCTTTACGTTTCATATCTTTAAGTCCATCGTCTTCTAAATTTTCGGTCGACTTCCATGAACTTTTCTCTGAGGGATCATTATTGGCACTTAATAAGTCATCATGACTTCCCCCGTCAACAATTGAACACGTCGGAAGTTCACTTCTTGGAGCCAGGTTTGTTGCACACTGAGCCAGTTCATCTCTCATTTCAGTTTTCTCAATAAGTCGCGCCTGTATGGCCGCTTCTCCGCTCAGGTGGCTGGAATTGATATTAGTCTTCAGGGGAATTCGAAATATTTGCGGATCTACACTGCCTATACCCTTGGCAAAGAATGTCGAACGATGAGCGGCCGCCAGTTCGGGTCGTTTCTGGAGTTCTTCAGATATTTCCGTGGTGGATCGTCTTCGGATCGCTTCGCTGGGCGTGGGACGAACTGGCAATGGAGGAGGACCCGGAAAGGGAGGGCGTGGTGCGAATCCTTCAGAGTGAGAATTACTTTTCTCAATAACAGAACGTTTCTTGAGCGACAGATGATTAACTTTCCCTGTCACTGAGGTTACCGATGTTTGCTGAACTTCATGTACCGTCTCCACGGAAACAGCCCCAATACTGTTACGCTTAAAACGCGAACATGGAAAGAGGTTGACGTCGTTCTCTTGTGGTTTCTCCATCTGAGCAACAAGTTTCTCGTACATATTTTTCATCGACTCAGGATTAGAAGTATCAAAATTAAAGGGAACCCGAAGAGCATCACTTTCTGATTTAGATTTTGGTGGTAAACTGTTTTCCGACTTAACTGCTTGTTCCTTTTCCAACTTTGGTTTCAGTTGGATTTCACCGCAGTTTGGGTCTTTTATTTGGGAAAGAAGATTCTCGCGTGTTTTTTGACTAACTCGCACAGTAGCTGGCGAAAGTTCCGAGCTGTTACTCTTCGCTGAATGTGCACCAACAGAAGAGCGCCGTAGACTTTGGTTACCAGAGGTTTCGCCCATCTGGTCATCCGTCCATTTTTCGAACACGACAGACTCTAAAATATTCCGGTTTCCGTCGAGGCTACTTTCAGTTGGCCCAGACTGTAGGGCCTCGCATTTTATATATCCTTCAGAGTCGATGTCGTTTTCTTCCGTAATTTGCTGTGCGTTAGGAAAGGTCTTAGGTAGAGAATTAGCCGGACGACTACTGTCTTGCAGTAACTCGCATCTAATATATCCTTCAGAGTCCATTTCATTTTCTTCCGGGATCAACTGCGTGTTTGGGAAGGTCCTGGACAGAGAGTTACAAGAGCGCATGTTTCCCTCTTCGCTTCCAAATGAGCTGCTGCTCGTAAAGGAATCGGTGGAGGTTTTGCGTGAGAGAGGAACTGGATCAGAGATGTGGATTGGCTCCGCGTTCTCGTCCGATACAAGGTCGATATAAGGGCTGATTTCCGACTCCTCGATCACGCCGACATTTGCATCAATCTCAGGATAATTTCGCCGTGGCACGAAAACGTCATCATCTCCAGCTTTTTCAACAGACGACTCGGTGGCAGATCTCGATCGGGAATCATAACGGGATACAACGCCTTCTTCTATTTCGCTCTGTTCAGCGGCTCCATTGTCCCCTAATCTCTGGCCCAAGAAGGGATCGGTATCGGCTCGTCTTCTCGCCTGATCAGTCGCCAAACTGTTCTCCCTTTTAAGTACACTCGCAATCTTTCCCGTGGGTGCGGTCATCGTTTTTGAAAGCCTTTTGGGCGAACCAAGATTTGGTGGAGACCTCGATTGGCTGTTTGTCGAGCTCCTTCGGAAAGCCTCGCGCTTCTCCGCTGCCGACTTGACGACGTACCGCGAGTGATGTCGGATTTCATCGGCGATAGTGGCGCCGTGTTTGGTCAAGAACTGGAATATTCCTTCACCGGTCGCAGTGCGTCTGTTTAGAGAGAGAAAGAGTGAATTCCCCAGAAGTCTAAAAGAGAACTTACCATTTACATAACATTTCGAAGGGTGAATAACTAGCTCTCTTGGTTTTATCCTTGAAAATTAAAATGGTGTAGTTGCTTTTGCAATGTTCTTTCAAACCTCCACAACATCACTATTTGTCTACAAAGTTGAAAACCTTACCTTCCAACATGTAGTGTGAGAAGTTGCATATCTTTAGCCGCTACATTAACTGCAGGTTCACTCTTAAAAGCTCGTAAATCAGCCACAGACCATGAGACCACTGTCTGACTCCTCTCAGCAGCAGACTTCAGGAGTACCTCTCTATCAGAAATACACATCAGAAAATCTCCCCTGATATTGTTCTGCTCTGAATGGGGAGTGAGCCTTGTGGTGACAAAATAACCTGTTGACAGAGAAACAGTGTGACATTTACTCCTGGTAAGTCATTTGAAAACTGGATGTCCGGGAAGGGGGGGGGGGGTTTGGGAAATTTGAACTTTGCCTGGGTGGTGTGGGGCATTTCAACTGGAAGTGTCAAGTCTTTCCAATATAATACACGTGTTTCACTGGAGGAATTACAGGTAAAGAGTCTGCTTATCCCTGTTGATGATTGTGTTTGGTGGGCAAAAGCAAAAGCAAAAACTTTGTTTTATAATCAGTCTATTCAGTGCCATTCTCACAAACCTGCTGCCTTCCTGGTTGTGCCTGGAGACACATCTACGGATTCACTGCAAGACTTGGAGAGTGATGGTGACAACTTGGCAGATGCTTGTCTTGGAAGCTCTGGTGTTGACACTGGACTGTCATCAACCGTGACATTCGCCCACATCTCTGAGGAGTTGGTTCCACCCTCTTTGATGGCAACTCTGTTCAACATCGACAGCCAATCTTTTCTAGCTTGTTCTGTATCACAAGCCAAGGTCAAGGCTCCCTGTTTACTACACAGCACCATTAATGGATAGGAATTGGCCTTTGAGCTTTTTGTTTCACCAATGAAGGCAATTTTATCCAATCCAAAAGAATACTCCACTGATTTTTGAAACCCAAATGCAGTTTCATCTTTGTAATATTCCAACCTTTGAATGGATTTGTGTGTCTTGTCTCTCAAAACAAAAAATTTTGATTGCCATGCCTGGGAAAAAGAAAGGACTAGGTTATGGAATAGTGATTGAATCATTTACTTAAGATGAACTTGTGTTAAGAGTAGTTCTAGAAAGAGTTAAAGCACTAACAAAAAAAATTAAAGCAGGAATAACATAAAAGTCAAAGACAGCTAATTTGTCAGCTCCCAACCTTATGGAGTCTATTTTTTCAAAACTTTTTGTCTGATTTTGTTTGCACAAAGCGCATGTTAAAATAAAGTGAAAAATGCAATTCCCTGACTTTTGCCTGATTTAAATAATTTCCAGACCTACTCCTGAACCACACCAACCAGAGGATATAATTAAGTAATTGAATACAAATTTGCATTCTGTGATACCCTTGAGTTCTTTGATAAAAATCATTTCAAATGTGCCAAGGAAAATCTAAAAGTGTAACAGTGTAAAATTTCTAGTTAGAGAAGTGTAGTTTTTATTAGGTTGTTAAATTCTTTACTCTCAGGTTTCACAGCTACACTGTACTGAAATGTGTTAACTTGGCAGTGGATGCTGCATTGTCTGATTTACAATTGTTTATAGCTTATCTGCCTTGTCTGAACTGTCTGTTGTGTAAAGTTTTGAAAAAAAAAAAAAAGCATAAAACAAACACAGAGCAATAGTGAAAGTACAACATCACTGATGAGTCATTATATAAATTATGCAAAAGTTTAGCAAGATATGCTATTATATAACCAAATGATACTTTACTTTCACACAACATCATCCTAATTCACAGCTGAATTATTGTTATGACATAATACTCATCTCAGAATACACAACCACTTGAAGAACAACTAAACTACCCACTAAAAATTGTCCTCCTTTAAGTACACACTTTGATGCACATTTTAAAAATATGTAAATTCAAACATTTGGTTGCTGGGAGAGTTGAGAATTACTGATAATGATCTTCTTTCAGTTACAAGGTTTACAATGCAATTTAAGAAGCACAAGGAGAGTGCCTTTGAACTTCTCCATGGCAAGTTCTGGCATTGTGACTTAATCATATTAACTGTAAACTTCACGTAAAGGCCCAACATTTTTCTTTTTTGTTAAAATCTATAATTATACAAGATATTTTGCATAATGACAGACTGTACAGCTGTCACATAAACTAGAACATTCTTGACCAGTGCTGATTCATTATACTGCATAGGTGTAAGTTGCATATACATGCACATTTACTTAAGATTGTTAAGTTTCAAAAATCAGTAAGGAAAGGTTACACAGAGCAGCTCAAAGGAAGTATAATGGGAAATGTTATGAAAAGTTTTCCTATTGAATGACTTCAAATATATAATGAATCACCATTCAAAATAACAGCTTACGACAGTTATAGCAACTAAGTTCTTGATTGTTGCTTGAAATTTCAAGCTAACTATGCAGCAGTTGTTGGGAAAGTACAGAACATCACAAAGATCAAACATTAAATTGGTGATAGAGAAAATTTATAGCTTCTTTATCTTGGATTCAGGCCAACATTTTGGACGCATCAATGAATTCAAGCATGGTTTGGTGTACTACACTCAAGCCCTGTTTTTTTTAACAGAACTGAGAAAGAAGATATGACAGAAAGAAAAAACTGAGGGATTCTCTAAATAAGAATGGCTGTCTCAGGATTTTCCAGTTTAGAACAATCCCAATCATTCACATTCTGCTGTTCAGTTATGACAAATTATTAGTCCAGGGAAAATTTTGTTCATGTACAATCAAGTATTGATATTTTCGTGTAGACTAAAAATGCATTTCTGCCAGCATCTCTTAGAGATTAAAAACGAAAGGAAGCTATCTAACTATGATCATAAACAATGCTTTTAATACTGAGTGTGATGACAGAAGGATGGGTGCATCCCTTAAACAACTAATAAAAGTTTCCAAAAAAATTCTCTTTCCATACTATTCAGGATTTAAGGAAATATTCATAAGAAAAAAAGATTTTGATTCATACTTAAGACCTTCTGAAACACATAAGAAATTGTGATTCTCTAAGGGACTCCCTTAGCTATTAAATGTTATATTCTTAATTCTTAAGAGCCAGTTGCATGCTTAAGACTGGAAGATCAGATAAGAGATTGTGTGCATTTGTCATGAATAACACTCTGAAACTAATCACAGAAAAAAATGTACCTTTTGTAAATACTCAACATTCTCTCAGACTGATTGTAAAAGCTTTTCAGTCAAAAATTGATTGTTTGCAATCTCACTCTCAAGCTTTAGATAAATTTGTCAATGATAACTATTCACTGAATAGAGAAGCACAAAAGAGCTAATTCTTATTCATTATCTCTAGAAGTATACCAGAGGTCTCCAGACACATGACCATAACAGAAAGACTGCCTGCAGGAAGGCAAAGTCATGAGTACTAACTCAAAGGTTCCCAAATTTCAAATAAATTTTACATAAGGCTGTGTCAGACAGGTTCTGTTATATAAAATTGTTTGGTAAACACAGAGAAAAAAGGTAACTCTCACTGCACATTGCCTAATATACAATACATGAGTCTTTCTGCTTTTACAAGAACATGGAAAATGATGACATCAATCTGTAACTAGAAACACAGCGCAGCTACATCAAATGCGATGATGACTCACTGTTGAGAGCCTGTTCTTATTATGAACACAACCTCTGTACTTCACTCACCTTAATCCGCACTTTGGTAGAAGATGGTGGTCTTTTAATCCTCATGTAACCATACTTAATAATGTCTCCAGCTTCAAAAATCCCTTGGCTATTAACATCAACCATGACTACTATGTTACCTATGCAGTATTTTTCCAATTCCTGTAACAAGGAGAAAACGAAGAGAATTTCAGGAAATGGCAAATAAGATATTTGACTCATTTCATTATCTGAAGAGGTGTAAACGCACAGGCTAGGAAAACACAAGGCACAATTATAAAAGGCAGATTGTTACCCAGAATGAAAGAGAGGAATAACAGTGATAAGGACTTATCCTCCATAAGTAACATCATGCAGCTGAGAATATGAAATAATAATAATTGCCATGTCTGTCTGTTAAAAATTTTATGAATATTTTTGTTGAATAGATGACGAAATGATTTCAGCACAAACCGGAATTTGATCATTTCGTTGCTTAGTAAGGCATGAAAAAAGGAAGCCGGACAGACGTGAACTAAATAGGATTAAACATTCCTTCTTGAAGACAGCTTTCATTCTCAAGAGATGATACGGTTCACTGGTTTTCACCCGCGATGTGTCAGGGGAAAAATTGAACGGATTTCGAACCAAAACAAAACAATCAATATCTAGTCCAGTATGTTCGAGCATGACATCGGCGCGAAAGCATCATATTCAATTTCTCAAGAGTTTCTAAATATCATTTGTATTTCTTTCCGTCCTATACTCCAAAGCTGGACGTGAATTTCATTCAAACAGCAGCAACATGACGTGATTACCATTTCCAATAGTTATATTCAAGGTGCATTTATCAATGACCACATGCAAGTCTGTGAAATGAAAATCTTCTAATATCTGTTTGGAACGGCAATGCAGGATTCTGTCATGAAGAGGTAGAATGCATTACAAAATATCAGCTGAAAGAGCCGACCTTAATTTTGCACTTCCGTAAGACTGAAAGTGATCGCGTGGTTTTAGGAAATTTGATGCAAAACCGCAAGGAAGTGCAAATTTTGGAACTAATCTAACGAGAAAAAAATTTTATCACGCACAACTTGCGGCATGAAAAGGACAACTACTCGGTATTTAAGTGGATATTTTACAGCCCAAACAATTTTCAAATTTTCAATAACATGGCATGTTAGTATAATTTAAATTACTTCCCTTGCTTCCTGCTGATTAGAAGCTTTACTATGTCGTCAAAGTTCAATAATTAGTCACCGCGTTCGTTGAAATATCGCAAAACAGTTCACTGTAACTAAGCGAACCACAGACATGAATTTCAGTAGTTATAGTATACACACAAAACAATACTCGCCTCTCATTCTGTTTGACGTCCAAAGTTCGAAACGATTCTTCCCCCAGACAATGCCCACAACAGTAAACGTGATGAATCTATTGTCAGTATAACGACAAAGAGAAGTCACTAGGTCTATAATTCTTGCTCTTTGCTCTCGCAGAAACGGTTGACTTGACGGCACGCAAATCGAGCGTATATATTACTTAAGTGAATGACAACTCCGATCCATTATAGCAGACGTCGGTTGGGCCACATATCCACAATTTCCATCATTTGCATGCAGCAAACTGAAAGACTGGGGGGTCAGTTATTAGCGTAAGATGAAGCTATGAAAGTCAAAATAGCCACCAAGAAGATTTTCGATGAAGACTACACCCGGTTCGATTGAATGAATACGGCAGCTTTGCTTTAATACTTGTCCCCTCCAACTTCTGCAGATGATCGCAATTTTTTTTTATGAGAAGGCTTCGGTCGCTCAACATTCGGATAATAATCACGATTCCCTCTACATAGCTGATTTTCCCAGCTGTCAAAACATCAGAGCCAATAAATTATTCTGTTCTCCGACCTTTTCCTTCTTTTTATGTAAAAGCTTCAAAATTGCTTTGAATTATGGGAAAGCTTGGTGACCGCTCAGAAGGAGCAGAAGAAATACAAGATGTCGGAACGCAAGGTTCTCAACGTAAGTAGGATTTGATTTTACTGCCCTCCTGGCAATATGATGAAGCAATTTTTTATTATTACCTGAAATATTGAGAACATATTCTAAGATAGTCGATAATGACGTAATTACGGAATGAAATAAGCTAGGTGACCTGATAACCTTGCCTCAGCTAAGCTCACTAATTTATATGACCTGGGTTATTTGATTATTCAACTTCCTGAAAGTGCATGATTGTAGACAATGCATATAAGAATTTTTTTTTTCGAGGATATTTTCAAGTCTATCTTTCATTGAAGGTCTTTCTCTCTACTGGTCAATGTATTTTCTTTATATTACTTTGTACTAAAATAACTGTGATTTGTGGAATAATTTATTTCTGATTGTGTTCTGTTTTCAACTTCGTGTTTCTTATCTATATATATTAAATGACGTGATCAGTGCCTGACTAATAAGAAAAAATTAATTGTATAAAATGCTACTAGACAAGATTTTGGTATACCCCCATACTGTTTTTTGATTAAAGAAAATAGCAGTGGAAATTTTAGATTGCCTTTTAGACCGAGGCTTTGTTTTAAAATAGCATAGGGCTAGTATAGTATACAGAAACCTTACCTTCTATTTGTTTATATATCTAAGAGAGTATTAAAATTCATCTCTTTTTTTTTTATCCTATAGAAATATTATCCTCCAGATTTTGATGCCTCTAAAATCCCTAAGTTGGGACTTTCTAGAGATCGTCAATATGTTGTGAGACTTATGGCTCCTTTCAACATGAGGTAGGTTTTTGAAAGCATGCCAATCAAAGAGAGATGCCAATCTCTGGAATTCTGAATTGTGGAGATGTTTGATTTGCACTCGCTTCCTCCCTGCCCTCGCCTTTTAATCCTAAAAGTTGTCTTGTGAATCTTTTATCTCGGTCTTTACCAACAACTTTAGGTCATTTTTGTATTAATTTGTAAATGTTGCTTCTGAATAATCAATGGTAAAAAAAATTTGAGACATGAAACCAACCCAGTCCATGAAACAGATCTGTATCACTTTTATGGCTCCTAGAGAGTCTGAAACAAGTGTAAATGGTACACGTAGATCAACAAGATATTTGATAATTTGGCAGAGTATGAAGGGGAGCTTCTTTGTTAGGTCACAGCTTTAATATTCATGTCAAAATTGTACTAAGAAGTTGTTTTGTTAATGTACCTCAAAACAAGCAGTTTATAACAAGAACAAAGCAGTTTAATTGAATGAACTACAGAACTTAGTACAACTGACCACTACGGGGAAATATCAATATGTCACAACATTAACAGTAGTATTTAGCTTTGTATGTAACTTTATTTTTAGGTGCACAACTTGTGGAGAGTATATTTACAAGGGAAAGAAATTTAATGCAAGAAAGGTGAGCACATGGAAAGTGATATCCAGTGGTTCAAAGGTGCTTTGTTATGGCACTTCAGTCTGAGTTTATTAGCTGATGAAGCTGTAAAACTGCATCACATATGCACAATGATTGTCTTAAAAGCATTTCCAGTCATGTCTGTTACAAAAGTATAAAAATTGTGTACATCAAGCAATTAAGAGAATATGATATTTTTGCAACAAAAGATAAGTTAGGTAGAAGTTACAAATACTCTCAAATGTCATGGAAAAAGTTACAAATGAATAGGCTTGAAGAGGCTCATAATATTCCTAATGGTGGCTGGTAATGTAGCTTTTTCCTTTGTCTAATACACCATTTGAAAGTGTAGTCTGATTGTCAGACAACCTGAGCAAACATCATGATCAGAATCAAGAGAATATTGTTGTCAGTCGAATAGTTGCTGTCATTTACATGTCTAACATGCACATGTCCTTGTTTCAGGAAACAGTACAAAATGACACATACCTTGGACTTCTGAAATTTCGATTCTATATTAGATGCCCAAGATGTATATCAGAGATAACTTTTAAGGTAAAAGTTAGTCCAAAAGAGGGCTGTGCATTTAATTTTGTTTCTGACAATATTTTTGATGATCTTCATTCTGCATGGTAAACCTTGTTTGGAAAAATAATACTAAGGCATTTTACTTTGTATCATGATCTTTGTTCCCTTGGTCCCCATGGCTGTTGTTGAGTCTCTCTTTTTTTCTTCCATTTCTTTTTATTTGAGTGTTGTTGCTGGCTGATTAGTTAAAACCATGGAACATCTATGGCATCTTCCAGTAATGTATAAGCCTTCAAAAAAAATGTTATTAAGACACCATTATCAATCAAAATTATTTTTACATGTACTACCATGCCCTTGTCTTGTAGGTTAATTGAGTTTTAGGTCAAGCTAATTTAATCAAAATGGGTTTTTCGTTTTGTAAGATTATAATAGTCTGAACTTTAATTTTTGAATATACAGTTATTGGTTTCAAGATAGCTCAAATTTCAGTTTACTTAAAATTTACTTCAAAATGCAATATTGCACCATTCTGTAGATCTCAGGAGACAAAGAGGTTTCTTTGGCAAGCTTAAACTTCCAATATTCATTTTGTTACTCTGAAGATAAATACATTGCATACTTGCATAATTGTTGCTGCCAATGTTGAAAATCTGGAATTTTGAAAATACTCTGTAATTCCTTTGTTGAAGGGCTAATTAAATACTCAAAGTATCAGATTTCCAAACCTTTCTGCAGGAGTTATTTTTGTGTTGATAACTTCACAAATGACAGTGTTATTATTGTAAAATAATATATAGATTTAGCCAAGCCTAAAAGCGGAGCTTGCATTTTTTTTCACCCACACGTCTTAAGGGCATGACACCTTGCCCTGGCCAGGACTAGAACCCAGGTCGTCCAACTCGGAGCCCAGTGCACTGACCACTGGACTACTGAAAGTCGTGGCGTTGGTGTGCCCATGGTACAGTTGACCACGCATGTTAAAAGTAGCACCTTGTACGGTCATACAATCATACATCCAAATTTTTTTGGCTTGATGGGTTACTACTATTTTGTATAAATATGGGTCTATGCTCTGCAAGCTCCACTATTATTTATTAGTTGAATTTCAACCTCAGGGCACAATTATATTTGCAAATTCCCAACCTTATTGTCCAATTTGTGGTGAAGTTTTTGCATAATTAGGTGTAATTATGATGTACATTTTTGTGTTCTTGTCCAATTTGTATAGACAGATCCTGAAAACACTGATTATGTTTGTGAGAATGGAGCAACAAGGAACTTCCAAGCCCAGAAGCTAATGGAAGATGAAGAGAACAGAAAACAAAAGGAAGAGGAAGAAGAAGAGCAAAACAATCCAATGAAGGTTTGACTGTTATGAAGGTTTTGATTAAATGAATTTAATAAAGGAGGTTCCAATAAAACACGACACTTAAATCCTGAAGAGTGACTGGAATCAAATTTATCCTTACAGCACCACTGCTGAATCAAACAGTATGGTCATGAGAGTGAGGAAAATGATGGCAGTCTAAAAAAAAAGCTTGTGATTGTCAAACAAATTCTCCTTGTCAGTACTATAGGAAATGTGTATGAAGCTGTATGGAGAATATACATATTGAACTGATGGTGTAAAAGGTTTAGAAAAATGCTAAATGACCTGAAGAATGGGAAAGCGCTTATAGCCAAGTTGTGATTGAGTTATAGCCTGATTTGCATATCAGAGGATGGTTTAGTCACAGAAATACTGAAACAAAGTCATGTAATCTTGGATTTCTTCAATGCTCAACAAAAAATTAGTTACAGGTGTCACAAAAACAACAAAAACTGAAGTTTCTAATACAAAAAGTATTGTTGTGACAATCCCTTTGTTTTTTATCCTGCCCAAAAATAGTGTTTAGTGGGTCTGGGAAAACTAAGAAATCTGTGGAATTTAATGTGATTTTCCAGACATGGAAAGTCAAGAAATTTGATTACAGGTCCCAAAAAGTCTGAGAACAATGAAGGGAGAAATGTATTTATTGAACAGCTATTTTCACATTTTTTTTCACACCAGTTTCTTCATCACTGGGCTTGAAAACATTATTTAGGTTCTGAGGTGGTCAAGGTTATAGAGAGTTATTTTGAATTTTACAAGTGTGAAATTGTTTGAATTCTGAGATATCACCCTTCAGTGACCATTTGGGAAAAAGTGCCTATGCATGGAGCCCAGAAGTAAGATAAAAACATTTTTTAGGATGCCCTCATTTGCTTGATGGTTTCTGTTACTAAAGAAACATGATTGTAGAAATTATCTTCAATCTGTGCTATATGTACACATATTAAATCTTTCAGGCCTTGGAGAAGAGAACAAAAGAGTCAAAACAAGAGATGGACATTTTAGAAAAGTTAGAAGAGTTACGGGATCTGAACACAAGGCTTGCTAATGGTATGTGCTGAGTTTAATTGTGAGGAAACCACTTGATGAATTACAGTTACCTCTTAATTTTGTAGAATTACATTCTTGGGTGTCTCCAATGCCTACCTGTAGAAATAAACTTGGTCCTTTCCAAAAGTGACCATTCAGACCACAAGGATACTGGAATCAGTTGTCTGGGTATAAGATGTTTCTGCTCAGCTTTTCTAAATCAAGACATGTAATTCTGATTTAGACTGTCAGGTTTCTCTCCAAGTTGTAGTTATCTGGGCCAGTTATTCAAACAGGGTTCGCATTGGTCCTGGAAAACCCGGAATGTCCTGTAATTTTATTTTGACATTTTCCAGGACTGGAATGGAAAAAGAGTACAGATCCTGGAAAGTCCTTGAAATCTGCTTAACTCGAGAAATAAAGTTTTCAAAATTTATGTTATATGAATTGCAGTGTAGGCCATAAGGAGAATTGATTTTAAAATCTTGGTATGAAGGGTTCAAGGTGAAATTTGGAGTCGTGGAAAAATAAATCAGAGTCCTGAAAAAGCCTTTGAAAAGTCCTTGAAATTTGTCTCTGAAAAAGGATACGAATCCTGTTGACAGAGTGGGCCATGCTATGCTAAGGTTGAATCACTACTGGTATCCAGCAGATATACAACAGTTAACATATGACACTGCACTATCCAATGGATAGAGATTGGTTTAGTGGATTTCATTATCCACCCTTTGAACAATGGTGGCCTGACAAAGAACTTTCTTCTTGTTTTGTAGTTGATTACGATACCTTGTTGGAGCTGAATGCAAAGGCAGCAGAAGAGATGCGAGCCAAAGAAGAGGAGGAGGATGAGCAGTTAGTCCAGTAAGCACAGCTTGGGTTGATTTAAATTAACATTTAATGTCAAAGCACAAAAGATTGATTGACTAAAATTTGTCACAAGGATGGAAGGTGGACAATAATGACTACCTTGCGAGGATTCCAACCACAGCTTGTTCCCACTGCTTTAACAAAAATCAGTTGTATACAAGGATGAAATTTTAGTCACACTTGAAGAAGCAGTTCCTGTTGCTGTACTTAAGTTTCTGGCCACTATTACCAACACAGAGCAACTTACATTTTGACTCTTAGAACAAGTACCCCAGGGTCCATCATTAGTTCTTGACTGTTAAATAATGCCAGTTAATAAATACTGGTAACTTCACTTTTCTCTGGGTGCAACAAAAACTGGAAGAAGTGAAAGAATCTAAGGGAATAAAAGCTTTGAATTGACCTCATATATAATAAATTCCACCTCCTTATCCCAGTAGAATGGGACAATGCAGGAGCTGGTTTATAGTTTGATCTAAATACACTAACTTAAATTCTTGAAAAACAATTTTAGATCCATATTTGGTAACCAGAAGATCCAGAGAAGATTGGATGATGAAAGTGATGATGATGAAGAGGAAGGAGAACAGAAGTCAACCGGAAGAACTGAGAAAAGAAAAGCCACAGACATTTTGGCAGAGGTAAGTGCTCTCTCACTGCATCTTTCAGTAACATGTGAACTCTGAGGTACAGAGCCAATTACATTACAGAACCATTTCCTTTGAAACTGCACATTCTCCCTTAAAGAGGCATGCAACATCGAGCAATTAGGGAATGTAACATGCAATTTTCAATGATGCACACTTTAGTACTGTACTCAAAGTTCATGTTTGCGAAAAGATAAATTATACAGTAATTTGCAATGAGAACATGGAGTTCTAGGATACCAATGAACATGTGTCAAGTAATCAGTGGAATAAGATACTTTTTGTTTTATCAACTGAGCTGATAATGTACCTGAAATTGGCCACCATCAAGAGTTTCAAAGCTGATGTTTTGTTCATTGGTCTTTCGTCAGAGCAAATGGAACAATTTGGTTGGCTTTTAAAAAGTTTGGAATACTGGGTATTCTTCTTGTTATAACTAGGTAAAAATGCCAAGACTGCACACCTTTTTTTTTTTTTTTTTTAACTTGAAAACACATTTCCCTCCTGATTGTAATTATTTTGTTAAATTATGGAACAACTTGAAACTGAGCATGATGTAGAAGTCAAAAGTCATTGTGTTCTTTCCTGACTTTAATTTTCTGATTGAATTTTTTTTTTTTAATTTCAATTTGTCTTCAGGATGTCTCCCACACCACAACTCAACCAGCTCAGAAAAAACAAAAGACCTCAAGTAATGTTAGCATTGGGAAAATGCAGAACAAATCACTACTGTCATCATTAGTAAAAGTCAACAAGGACAAAGCTAAAGAACAAAAAGCTGCAGGAAAAGCAGTGGTAAAGCCAGGAACTACCTCCTCTGAACAGAGGGATGTGATACAAAATTCTCACAAAGACACTGTTGAGAGAGAAGATGTTAATAGAGCTGGAAAAAATGAATCATCACTTGGATTGTTAGGGAACTACAGTAGTAATAGTGAGGATTCTGATAACTAGGGTCAAGAATACATGCAAATGTTTCAAATAATGACACATGCCCCCATACCTTTTTTTTTTTTTATTTAGTAGATATTGATTAGAAGGGGAAGAGTCCAAAATCAACATATTACAGTATTCAATCGCAGGCTCTCCACATAAAGTTTTATATTATGTTGGATGTGTACCACTGGGATTATAAGGGACTCTTGTACATAATTAATTCTACTCTTCCCTTTTAAACTTTTACCTGTGAAAGGAGTTTGAATAAACAAATAAATATACAAGCAAGACTTCAAGTAAACTATTGTTTCATTTCATTACTTTATCTTATCATACATAAACATAACAATTATTTTAAACAAGAGTTTTTAAAAGCTAATTTTTCAAGCAAGAGATCTTGGTCAAAAAAAGTCAGCAAGGAATGCTTTGCAATTTAAATTTACTTTTGACAGTGCGCTAATTTACTAAAACTCTATGACAACAGCTGCTGTTACTATGCTTCACAGTTTTTTCCCCCCAAGTGGTTGTCATTGCACACAACATCTTTAGGATCATACTATCACTTCATTGTGGAAAATGTCACAGAAATACATCTAGGGAACCATGTTAAACATGAAATAATTAGTGGTTGTGACAAAAAAGATCTGTTTTGAATTACAATGTACAAAATGCAGTATGAAAGCAGCACAGCGCTAAAAGGGAAGGAGAACCAGGACTAGTCATGTAAATAAATTCTCTAAGTCTCTCATCAACACCATACCTCCAAAAAAACACTAGTTGGTTCCAAGTATCTAATATTCATATAAGAGTTAACATTAAACACAAGATTTTCCTAACAACAAAAATTAAATATAAATGTTTAGAACACCCAACAATGGTTTGAGGAAACATGCAAGAGACAATTCTGAAAATACCATTACTGATAAGATTCTTCTGTTCAAATTGCTTGTCTCATCTCAACTGCAGAGATAACTTTTAAAAAAGGAGAAGAGGAACTTGTGCTTGATAATTGATATTTAGTGGGCATTTGTTCTTCTCTTACAAAAACAGCACCCTAGTGATGAATTTTGGTATGCTGCATTGCATCCCCACACTTGCATTAGAAATTAAAACCAGCCCAAGACACTATACTTTTTGGAACTAAAATTGAAGTGCAGAAAGCTATTGATAGTCTTTGATATTTGACAATTGATAAATGAGTTTGGCTATAAATATAATGGAATTTTTCAGAAGGGCTCATACACTTATATCTAACAAAGTACATAATATTATACAATGTTATAATTACACTTCCAGTGATAGTGGTTTTTTTTTAATAACAATATATACAGTGAGATAGAAAAAAGAATAGCATGTTTCAGAAAGCTGGAACCAGCATTTTCCTTATTTCTTGCAACTGATTTTACACCTCTGAACAGACCCTGAGAAGGAGTAGTGATGATATCAGTAACTGGCAATTTCTGACAACTTCTGACAATTCTTTGTGCTTTACTTTTCTATGCTTATTCTAAAATCAACTAGTTTGTTAAAACCATGCAAATAATCATAATATGTATATTACCTTTAACTTAATACAATGACTGGCTTATTTTATCAGGAATTTGTGGTTTCAGTAGAGACACCATGATTGTTAACAGCTCGCCACAACCCATAGGTCTTGCCCACAGTGTGCTGCCAAAGTCGCAGTGTTCCATCTTCAGACCCAGATGCATACAGCTCACCATCAGGGGAATATCTCACACAGTGCACAGGACCAAAGTGCCCTTTAAATGATTCTAGAATAATATTGTTGGCAGAAGTAGACTAATTAAAAGTGATTTCTTAACCCTTTAACCCCTAAAAGTGACTAGCATCTAATTTCTCCCTACAATATCAGCCCTAAATCACACATTAAGGTCATGAGAATAAAGGAAATGGTCACTAGGGAAGGAACCTTTTGATTAGCAAACAAATTCTCCTTGTCAGCACCTTAGGAAATGTATAAAGAACAGTGTGAAGAATATGCTTACTGATGTTGGGGTGTCAAGGGTTAAGACAAACACCTCAAATACATAAGGCATGAATGCTGTTAGGGGATATTATACCTGAGACAACAAAAAAATTGATCAAAGCATAAATTTGTTCTATTATACAAATTTATAGGTTTTCACACAAGGAGCTCAAGAAAAAAATTAACTGCAAAGATCACAAGCAAAATCAAGCCCAGGATATAGACCATAATGTAATTGAAATTATCATAGGATAATAATTGTGACAAAGTTTTCTTACTGAAAAATGGTAACAAAATTTGTGAAATGGTTTCTTGTCTATTAAGATTTAAATAACTCTGTGTTCTCACCTATTTCCTTTCCATCCTCATAATCAAACTTGTAGAGCTTAAAGTCATCTCCTCCAGCTACAAAACAAGACTTGCTAGGGTGGAGTGAAGCTGAAAATATTGGTGTCGGAGCAACAAAGGACTTGATCAGTTCCATTCTAAACAAAAGACAGTCATCCTGTATTAAGTGGTCGGTTGTCAAAATTCCCAATTTTTTTCCTCAACACTGTAGTGTTCAACTCTATTGGGTGGTCCCCTCTATTAAGTGGTCCCCTTTTATAAGTGGTAATGGTCACCCTGAAGTGAATCCCAACAGCCTTTTTCTATTGTTTTCCATGTGTACTGAATGGTCACTTAAAGCAGAACCATTTATTGACAAATAAAAGTAAGAGTAACTTTCAAGTAAGATTTAATCAATATTTATCTCCCAAAATCAATGCTAGAAGCATTTCAGGCAAGTTTTTTACATTGAAGTGGTCAATTAAGACATAAAATGGCATATTTTTATTGTTTCTTAGAACACCCCTATTCGGTGTAACCTGCATTAGGCAGCCATCCTGCCATTCCCTGTGGATGACCACTTAGTACAGGTTCAACTGTAACCAAATAGGGGGCTTAAACTCTGCCACTCCTGTCTCTGAAAAACACAACTATAACTTATCTGCAGAATATCATTACATTTTTATTTACTAATAGTGTCCCACCGTCCAAGACATTTGTAGAAAAGACTAGTGAATTGGCCATTAAAGCATTTACAGAAAGGGTGGGGGAAAGTGGCTGAACAGTTGAAATTTGATTACCCCAGAAGTGGAAGGTTTTTTAATCTTTCTTGCCCCTACTTAATAAAAAAAACTCTTAAAGTGGTAAAAGCCATTCTCCATTTTTGATTACTCACCTTTCTGGATTCCAAAAAGAGATGGTTCTATCGTATGTAACAACAAGTACACTGCCATCCTTGGACAGAACCATGCTTGTTACACTCTGTGGTATATCTACTTTCTTTACCTCAGTCATATTTCTTGTATCCCAAAGCCTACAATCACAAGTTACTGGTCAGGAGTAAATATTACATTTCCCTGGTTTTTCTGAGAAACTTCAAGGAGAGCTTAACATAATTTTAAAGCTTATTTTTGCTGCCTTTCACCATACTTGAGGCCCTGGGTACTTCTAAAAATTATCCCTGGTGATGAAATAGTTATTATAATGATCAAGCCGAAAACCATTGGACTCCAGCCAATAATATAATACAAAACCTCACATGGACATAGAAATGGGTTGAATTTCATTAAGGAAGAGATGGAGATTTGAGCAGTTCATGCTAGCTCCTAGGCAGCACAAAAGCACAATGCAAGTCACATCTGTATTTACCACTGGATTATTACAAGTGAGAAAATTTAGTTGTGATAGAGTTGTATGAGTATACCTTATTGCTTTGTCTTCTCCTCCACTCATAATATACTTGCCATCTTCACTCCACAGTGCGGCCCTTATATTTTCTTTATAACCTTGTAATAAGTCTGGTTCTAAACAAAATATTACATTGATTTATCCATAACAGAAAGTAATAGCTTAAGTTATAAGCCTGAGCAAAGGTCTTTACATGATGCAGAAAACTTCTGTCAGTCACTGGTACCCTCAAAAAGACTTTGCATTTCTCCAACAAAGATGATTGAAAGTAAATCAATTGAAAAACTATTTACCAGCACTTTCATCTTGAAGATCAAATACTCTCATGAGCATTTCATTACTGGCTGTAAGGAGTCTATCACCATCCTTATGAGAAAAAAGAAATTGCACTTAGCTGTAAAAAATAAACATCTCCACAGGATTAGACAGTGTGCTGCTTTTGGTTTTTAATTCTTTTCTGAATGGCACAGATTGCATGCTACATTATAATCATAGTTAGTTAATAATAAATAATGATTATTATGATAGTTTAGTTTGCACTGGGCAAAAGGTCTTGCATTCCAATCACCAAAATTTGTAAGTATATCTCGTAATCATCTTAAACCTTTAACTCCCAGTTCAAATTTGTTATTCTCCTTACTGTCAATCATACAACTCTTATGAAGTTAGTTCAGAGAATTTAGTATTGGATCAAATAGTTATCCCCAAATTTATATTTTTCTTTAATCTCATCACCTATCTGGTCGATATTGTATTATTATTTTAAGGAGAAATTCTGTCTTGGTCACTAACAGGAGTTAAAGGGTTAAGTAGAAAATGAGAGAACTGAAGTGTGCTGTCAGGGCACGACAAGACACTGAAAAAAACATGTTTACTTTTAACTTAAAATATAATGTTCCCAGAATTACAGTTATCAGTAAATGCATCCAAAGTTATGAGGGAATACACAAAGTCTTCAAATAATAATTATCTATGTCTCTTTAAAATATCCAGATTTAACTGTTATTTAACCCTTCAACTTCTGTGAGTGACCAAAACAGAATTTCTCCTAACAATATAAATATCAATTGAACAACAGGCAAACAAGTGCTGAGAAAGTAGAAAAATATCAGTTAGGGGATTATTAAATAAATTGATCCAATACCAAATTCTCCCAGCTAATATTATATGAATGGTAGAAGGGTCCATAAAAAATTTTCAATTTCATGGAGCTTCTTGATACTTACTGGAGAAAAATCCACAACCTTTACAATATGTTTATGAGGTAGACTTCTAACTTCCTCTCCACTTACAGCATCCCATACTTTACTGTTGTGAAAAAAATAAATATATAAAATTTACTTATTTTTAGTCAACTCTACTTTTTTTCTTGTTTTTATACAATTGCAGATAATACCTAGACATTTACAGTAGGGATAAATTCAGCTATTTTCCAGTTAGTAAATCCAATCAACAGTTTACTTTATTACAAAATGGAATCTCATCTTTCAAATTAATCTGCTAAATTAACGACTGTGTACATAATTATGCTTTAATTTGAAGAATACAGATCCCTAAATAGTGAGTGAGATAATTCTTTAACTCTGCTGATACTTTTCTATCAAAACCATTTCCTATACATTGTGAGCAGCATTTCTGTAGCTATTTACTGGGTGTATTTGACAGTAAACAAAGTAACAGACAACATAAGCATGAGAGTTGCCAAATTCACATGAATTTTACATTCCCACCTGCTCCACCTTTCAATCCCATCTCAAACCCTTTCTTGCAACTTGTTGCAGATCAATTATTTAAGACTATTCCCATCTGGAATATCTGTCCTGCTTTCTGCCCTCAACACATTGTGGCTTCTGACCCTCTTCCTTGCAGTCTCCCCTACCCATACATTGATTGTTATTTGTCAAAACCTAGTTTGCAAATGTTAAAATTCCTTAACAATATTACAGTCATCATTCTTTGCTAACCAATTCAGATTTGCTGACTTGTGAACAAAAGAAAGCTGGGAAAAAGAAAACAGGAGCAAAAACCCCTTTTTTCCAGCAAAAAAAATGCCACATGGTTTAGAATCAATCACAAGTGATGATCAGCATTTACAAATAACTCTATCAATGATTTTAACAAATTTTTTGTAGATGGCTGGCTCTATCAGAAACCTTAGCTGTGACCACTAATACAAATCTCATAAAAAACCTTGAAGGTTGGTAAAAGGCAAGGTGATGGTACACCACTACCCTATATATGCATATACTTACGCTGTGAAGTCAGCAGCCCCAGTAGCTGCCTTGGTGACATCTTTATTTAAGGTAGCACTCCATACTGCTCCTTTATGACCTTCAAAAGTACCAATCCAGTCTCCTGTGTCACCATGTCGTAACATAGGCTTTCCATCTGTGGCAACAATAAACATACAAAACAGTAAAAGATTATACATTGTATTCAGTGTCTTCTTCACAAGGGTACTATGCACAATTAATGAACAATGAAATAGAACATCAGATAAGAAAAATATAGTGGTATAACACTAAAATTAAGAAGAGTAGAAAGCACTAAGTGATTGGAACAATTTCTCCCTTTCATTAGAAAAAAGTGAGTGCAACAGTCTGGAACAGCTTTAGGAATTTTTTCATCCTTTTGGTGGCATTGATAAGTTGTAAAATGTTAAACTAATTGTGGTAACCAAAAACTATAGTACAAAAATTTAGTTCTTGAAAAACAAATGAAAATTGATTTACAGATAATCCAACAAAAAACACACGTTAATTTTAATGGGTCCATGACTTTTCTTCTAAAGCATCTTTTCCCCATAGGGTAAAGGGGGAGAGGGAGAGTGATTCTACCCTAAAATAATAGAGATGCTTGTCTTCCAGAGTCTTTGTCTCCTTGGTCTTCCTTAGTGTGCTCAACAAGAAATTCCTATATATTCAATTTTTTGGCATCCTCTATGGCTTTCAAATATATAGTTGAAAGGAATACCATTGATCTATTTAACCCTTTAGTGCCTGACATCAGTTTGTGTAATCTCCATACTGTTCTTCATACACTTCTCAAAGTACTGACAAGGAGAATCTGTCTAACAATAAGAGCCTCTTGGGGTGGTGATAATTTCTTTCATTTTCTTGATTTAAGAGTTGATTCAGCAGAGAATCCCTTAAACTTAAACTCCCAAGATTTGATTGTTCCAGGTAACAACTTCCATCTGATTAGTTTGTGTTTTCTTATTACCTGTTTGTTGGATACTGTATGGATATTTTAAGGAGAAGTGACATGTTGGTCATTACTGGGAGTAAAAGGGTTATGAGAAGGTCAGTTTGAAAGTGAATGATATCATTAAGTAACACTTGGGGTGTGGGCCATCAACTTAGATAATGAAAAAAACGTTATGTAAACATTTTTTTTTCAAATTTAAATAATGGTTACCATAGCTCTTACTTGTCTGCATATATGGTTTCTCTAGGGGGGTCTGAATTCGATCGAGTTAATTCTTTACGGGAATTAACTTAACAATATTCGACGACGATTTTGAGATCAAAAGGTCTTTCCCTTTGATCAATAACGATAATGAGGATACGGTACATGCTGATTGACTGTTGTTTGTGACATGGGAGTAAAAATTGAGTCCGACGTAAGAAGGATAAAATGCAGAGAGCTGGATGCCAAACGAAGCGACCTTTTTTCCAGTTAAAATTTATGACAGCAATTCGCCGGCAATAGAGGAATAAGAACATATAGGCACAGTTCGTCAGAGCGCGCGTAAATTCGGCTTCTCCCCATAAAATCCAAAAGCTCCCTCACCATGCCATGTCCTAGGAATAGTTCAGTATTTCCTTACCAAATATAATAACCCGTAAAGCACGTACAACAACTGCAGTTTATTTGTCCTTCTCAGGCAGGATATGTAGACAACCGAAAAAGACAGAGAAGAGATAATTATTTTCTCTAAATATACGTAAAAAGTAACTTACCTTTACATGCGCTTATAAGAAAGTACCCATATGGAGTTATATCTGAGAAAGATAGATGAACCACCGGTCTTGTATGTCCGCTACATGTTAGAGGTATTTGTCGTGCCATACTTTGAAACTTAAAGAAAAGTTACTCAGAGGAAAGAATCACGAAACTCGGATGGCAGGAAAATGAAAAGATCCCTCATGTGGAAGAACGCTGACACCTGTCATCACCGTCCTATGGTACCCAGGACTTCTTGTTGGCCCCAAGTGATCTTCAAACCCTTCCACACATCTAATAAATGTTAAGCGTCAACTGGTCATAATCAGCCGTCAAACGTGAGGTAGCAAGGATTTGGATTATACCAAATAAAGAATCGAACGGCGATGACGCAGCCTTGTCGAAAAGCATGGCTTTCAGAGGCTCCTAACAATTCCAAAAACTTCCAGCTCCACAGGTAGTAAGAGACTTCGGATAACCCATATTTAATCAACGTTCTGTACGTTTTTGACTCTGCAAATAATTTTGACCCTTTTGCATGCCAGTGATGAAACTTACGCTCAATGAAAAGAGTAGGGTGATTTTATCGCTTGAGAAATGTGGCAATGAAATGTGTCGGGGGGCTTTTGAATGGAAAAGGACTGGGGAGGGGGAGGTAAATTTAACCTTTAAGTCCAGTTTACGATAAGAGGGGTTTCAGCTAATACAAGTTTATATATGCCCCCTGACTGGATGCTAAAAAGTCGCATACTTTGATCCAATGTACCGCAAACCTCTTCCCTAACGTGCCTAACTGGCTGTTTGGAGAAGTGCCTCACCCGTGTTATGGAGTCCGCTGTTTATAGCATTTTTCTTTATTAAGCGCCAAAAAAAAAAACAGAAAAAAAATCAGCTCTCTCGGAGATTTGAGATGGCAAGATCGGGACGCAGTCCATTGTAAATTTCAATTCTGACAGTTAAGCATCCGTTACGTTCGATTTCCCCCTGACATCATGCATCAAGATAGTGTGCTCAAACCGGAGTAAAGGGCTTGAAATCTTTCTTCTTTACGGTTGAAGTATCTCGCCTTAATTACCAGTGATCAATTAACCTCAAAATGAATTGTGTGTGGTTTACTTAGTTTGACTAAGCTTTGTCTGTTCCACTTCAGGGGTCGAGTCAACCCCCATTGTTTTTCTTTGTTTTTTTGTTTTGCTTTAGAATAAATGAAAAAAAGTGTTCAATAATAGATAGTATTCCGCACCAGTATGAGAAACGGTGACAGAGGTTATGGTCTTTTACATTTGTGTATTTTCCATATTATATTTGTTCTTAGTGAAGGGCTGTATATAGGACAGGCTTCCTTGGAAGCGTGTGATCTGTAGGTGAGCGCGATGAACACCTGTCATCTCGCGCATGGTTCTCTTTTCACTCTCACCTGCATGCAGGAAACTACAACACTCAGCGTTACCTGCTTATGTACATTTTCACGATAAGTCATGCGTTACGTGGGAAAAATGGGCACCTGCATGTATATTAGCTAGGGAGACTAAAATCAATAACGATAGCTGATAACTGATATGGTCTATGAATAAAATAACCTTAATAATTATCCGGCATCCACTTCGTCTGTGATGAGAATGACTTGAGTGCTAAATGACGTGAAAGTCAATTTGATGGTATTTACATCATGTGTCATGCAACTGTCTGAAATCTAAACCGCACTTACTCTTTTTTATGTTAATTATTACTAAGGTTAAGGTAACAGTTTCAGTTCGCATCGAGATTTCCATGGAGGAGAAAGGATCGTATTCGTTGCTTTACAATTCACCAAAACGACGCAAGTATGTCATTGCGCTGATTGTGCTCAGCCTTCTTGTTTTCTTTGGGATCGGTATACTGGCTGGTTACTTTATTGGACGTGGAGCTGCCAAAGGTTGTGATGATGGCGACAAGAATGACCGCTCCAAGCCAAAGGGCGATACCCAGGAGCAGTTGGAAGAGTTCCACAAGAGAGCGGTCGACATGATTTCTACTGTGGAGCTGAGAAAAAACTTGAAGTAAGTAGTAAGAAACTACATGCAGTAGCTGTGTACAAAACCTGATTGCCAAGTCAGGGTCAACGAGTGAATTCATATGACGTTTTTGCAGAGTGCAGTAGCAATCAATTATTTATGGCGGGGAAAGTTAGAACTTGTAATTGATACCGAATTCGGTTCTACGATTGCAAAACTTTTATTTTGGGGGTAAATGGTACAGGATACCGTGAATCTTAAAATTTTTCTTTGCTCCGGAGGTCCTACGCGAACACACGGTTAGTAACAGGATATGGGTTTGACATTCACCCCATCTCCTTTAAACAGGGTGCACAATTTCAGACGCAGACATGTCTGCTCTGGATGCAAAGTGAATCTGTGATCATACTACGACTGTTGCCGTGAAATATCATATATTGATCCGGATTCACCCGAATTTATAGAGCACTTAGCAATCCAAAATGCCGAAGAATCAGAAAACGTTTTAACTCGGTGTGAAATCAACTAACAACAACTGATTATTTTTTGGTCTCTCCCTGCAAAAATTCACCCGATCGCGGCTGTCTATGCGAGACAGGAGAGGTTAGAATTCAGGCTACTTTCTCTTACCAAGAGGGTATTTCTCCAAGGCGGCAGTAATACCCCCACAAGAAGTTCAAGTACACCCTCCTAATCCTAAGCCCACGTTATTTGTTGACAGAAAGTTCTTAGCAAATGAAAATAACATTTTCACCTAGGTCATGTAAAACCTAACAGGCACCTCCAGCTTTAAAAGCGACTTCATCAAGCTAACTTTTGAGAACCTTGTAAATAGTTGACATCTCATAAAGCGTAGATGACTACATGATAAGCATAGTCACACAGCGAGCAGCCACCCAAAGAAAGCCTTTCTTTTTTCAATATATTTGCATACGATAGATGAGCCGGCCTTTGGTAAACAACCTGGAGATATGTTAAACTGGTTCATTTCTAGAAATAAGATGCATTTAGATCATCTAATGATGATGAAGACCCTGAATTTTCAATTTTTTTCGCCTTCTCCTCCCAGGTTATTAAAACTCCTATTTATTCCAAATTGCACGAGAAAAATCATGTGATTACGTGCTAATAATGTACATGAAAAAATACGAGATAGCTTATCGTAATTGATGCAGAGGCAAAGCGCGCGAATCAAGTGCAAGAATAATTTATTCAACTCTGCAAGTAACTTTGTGTGTTCAGTCAAAACAACCGCATACGATCAAAACAATAATATATAATGAAATTTTCACATCTTTAAGGCGCAAAAAAGTTCAAAGTCCGGGTAAACAGTTCAAGGAATTGTTCAGTCTGTGTCCGAATCACTTTCGATGAAATGGAATCGTCGTTTCGAGGTTAAACCGTATTTTTAATTTCGGCGTAGAATCGCTCGAGTAAAGTGTTAAGCTGGGTCGGCTCGAAATTTTCGATTTCCTTTCTCAATTTTCCTTTCCTTTCGCAATTCCTTTCTCTGAACACCACTTTTTCCAAATCGACAACCCAAAAAGCAGTGCTTTTTACAGTGTTTTCGTTGTTAGAACTGTTTTTCAGCCGCTGTATTGTTGTTACGGTGGCCAAAGGAAACCTACTTAATACGCCGGCCATTGTTTCGCTCGCAAATTTTCAGCGTATCCAAATGTTGTGACATCCAAGGCTCGCACTTGATTGGCTATCTGTGAGTTTCTTTGATTATTGACCAATCAGAATGTCTGGTTTGTTACTTCTTTGCGCTGAATTAACTCTCTTCTGCACTACCTGAAAACTGCATTTATCTTAGCCAATCAGAACTGAGTAATTTTCTCATGTACATTATTAATTGCAAAATAGTTTCGATTTTATGTCCTTTTTTCCATAAAACGAACGTTCACACATACTCTACGCTTACTGGAATGTTCATGACGGCGACATCAGTTGTAACCCGTTCGACCATCCGTTTAATATTTTAGAGCAAGTAATTTGTGCGCAGACAAACATGAACTTAAACGAGTTAAAAAGAATTTTAAACCAAACCGACGCCTAAATTTTGTTTTGTGTATTTGTTTGTTTGTTTGTTTTTTTTCTTAACCAAACATCCTTTGAAAGGACTTTCACTATCTTTTTGCATAACGTCTGTATTAATGCACGTCTTCTTGGATTGTTTCATTGTAAAATCTGCTGATCCAGATAAAGCATTATACATCGATGTCAATTTTCTAGTGATCCTATTAAACGACACTAAAACCTGAGTTAAGATGTTTTACTGGCGTGAGGTATGATGGATATCACTTGTATTTAATCAAGTTCATGAACGTAGTTCCAAACACTTGCTTGAATTGCAGGAAGTTTACCAAAGTGCCACACTTTCCTGGGGACCCAGAGAACTTTGAACTGGCGAAGGACATGGCAGAGAAATGGAGGGCATATGGCATCGATGTTATATGGAAGAATTACTCCATTATGTTGTCTCGGCCAAAGGATATGAAGGCAGGAGCAGCTGCGCTGTACAATGGATCTATTCTGATCCACAAGTCAGCTCCTCAAGAAAGATTCCTTGTTCCCTCAGAGAACAACAGCAAAGTGGTCCCGCCTTTCAACGCCTATGCACCATCAGGATCCGCAAAAGTGAGTGTCGATTCACAGTTTAAATGCTTGCTTGACTGGTTTGCTCAGCTTAAGCGTGAAAACCGAAATCCCACGTCAATAGCATTGGAGCAATTTTCATATGAGTTTTGGAAGTAATCCAGAAAACTTTGATTTTTTTTCCTTTGCATTGTGACTGCTCTAAAAACTGACGCTAGCCAATTACTCTCAACCCGATAATTCGCGTGTTCCCAAGCTTCAGGTAGTTTGCATATTTGTATTTAAACCTTTAAAATCCCAAAAGTGATTCAAAGTGAAACTTCTCTCTGCAATATCCATACATTTTCTAGCATACAGGTGATAAGAATACTCAAACCTTTCAGTTAAAAGTTGTTCGTCTTGATCGAACTTTAAATTCTCCTATTTAACTTGCAAGGAAATGTGTAGCAGCCAGAGGGGAGAAAACAATAACAATCATAACTTGGGAGTTTCAGGGTTACATTCTCATGACCTTCTCGTGACATTCTACGTTTTTGCTGAGATTAGTCGTTGTGATGACTTTGGTTTTAATGTTATGACATAGATAAAAATGACCCAACAACTGGTATGGCATTTTTAACGAAGCTTTTCAAAGTATCAATGATAAAACATATGATTATGTAAAAGGGCTTTTCCCTACCATTATATCCAGTGGGTGCATTCAGATAGATGCATTAAAGTGCGAAAACCAGCTTCCCTAATTTCTGAAAAAGCAACACCTCAGAGTTTCCGTGGCGGATTGAGTATTCATGGATGTCACAGACTAACGCTAGTATCCACTAAATTGAAAAGTTAATTTGAAATACGATTGACAACCACCACACAAGCTTAATTTTAAGTTATATTTTTCATGATGATATTCATCACCGCACTTCCTTTGCTCTGAATCTCCAGGGGAAACTCGTGTATGCTAATTATGGGCGAGACGAAGACTTTGAGAAACTCAAAGAACTTGGAGTTAACTGCAGTGGTAAAATCGTCATTATGCGATATGGAAAGGTTGGACGTTCAACTAAGGTTAGCTCTTGTTTGTTGTGGGAGAAGTTGACTGATTCACTCTCTGGAGTGGCCATGAAGCAATTTCTCCTTACCCTATCGAAAGCTTTTCAAGCAGTGAGGTGATATGAAGAAGGAAAAATATAATGTATAGGATATCGTTTGATTTGATACCACACTCTGAAGGTTAAAATGATACGAAATGTATGGAAAGCAATGAAGAAAATTGCATTCATTTGTTGAGGGTGAAAAGGTGAATCCAGCTATTGTTGTCTTTTAAATGAATGACCCAGGAAACGGATGGCATGAAGTTGGCCACGCGTTCTGAGTGTTGTAATAAATGCTGGAAGATGTGATAATCATTTTTTTCATGGATAAGATTGGACTGTACCTTGAAGCGAAATGTAATTAGCCCATAGAAAAAGTATCGTTTGGGTAAAGATTGTCTACAATTTGAAATCATTTTGTTGTGGTGCGAGAAGCTCCGGAGAATGTTGCTAAAATTCAGTTTTTTAACATAGCGTATCAGCAGGTTTCTGGCTTCTCTCTTGGTCTACCCCTCAGTTTATCCCCTCTCCCCTCTCGGATCCTGTATGAGGTTCTCCTCGGATGAAGAATAGTAGAGATACAGCTAGAAGTAAGTAACTTGTCAACTCTAAATCACAGACTGCTTTCCTTTAGCCCAAACGTGCTCACAAGGAAGGAGCTATCGGAGTGATATTATACATGGATCCTGAGGATTATGCAAAGAAAGGTGTTGATAAGGTGTACCCAAAGTACAATTGGCTGCCTAATTCTGCAGTTCAACGAGGAAACATCAAATCAACTCCAATAAGAGGCGATCCACAGACGCCGGGCTACCCTTCAGTCAGTAAGTAGGATATCTAAGCCGGTTAACGTGCAAGACGTTTAGATGCCTTAAAGAGGAGAGAATCTTCTCTCTTCATGGTCGTGGTCAAGGTCTTCAGGTCGTAGCTAAGCTCTGTAATAGGAAGAGACTATCAAATAAAAGAGCAAGCGAAAAATGGTGGTCAGGTGGACCATGGTAACCGTTGGTTTTCGCTCGCCGGTTTTTTTTCTTTCTGTCGTTCAGTGTCCCCATAGCTCAGACTGAGAGCTTGGAAAAGGCTTGGAGGGTCATTATACTTTTTTCGCTTCTGATCTCCTGTTTGCTTGGGAAATACTTCAAGTTAATTAATCTGTGTTTCAATACGGATTAGTTATGTAGAAGGAGGTAAACCCATCGTAACATCTCTGATTTTAAGCCACTAGTGAAGACACCGCTAAGCGACATAGGAGCATGCACACCACTCATCAGAGAGACAAGGTCATACACTATAAATACGTTTGTACAGAACTGAAATTTTTACATTGCTATACTTTTTTCTGATTCTAGAGGGTATGTATCGCCTGCCAAAGGAGGAGGCTGAGAAACTCCTCCCTCAGATTCCTGTTCATCCCATTTCTTATGAAGATGCTGAGCCCCTGCTCAGGTGAGTGAGCACGTAAGTTCTGCAATCCTAGAGCACAACGATGTATTATTAATTCTCAATGACATTTTCATCGATCTTAATTCTGAATTGTGAAAAAAGAAACCTCTCCAAATGTCCATAATGGCGTAGTAAGTTGTGGAAAGAATCCCTGTTTTGCTTGTCAAGCAACAGCCTCTTTAGCCAGTTACCTTCCATTAATGACTTTATTTACAGCTGTATTGTCAGTAGGTTCAAGTTTTTATTTTGTGAAATATTTCCTCTACTTTTTCTTTATGAAAGTAACGTGCGGCATGTTTTTTGTCTATTTAGGATTCTCACACGCGATGTGGTCTTACCCAATTCTTCCTTCCAAGGTGGTTTGAACTTTCCGTATGGAATACAGATGGCGGAAGATGATCCGAGGTGAAGAATAGATTTTGAAAAGTACAGAGAATGATATCGAAACGGGCTTGGGTATGAAATTCTTAGAGAGAGTGAGAGACAAAATCGGGTGAAATATTTTGGGATAACATAGCAAATACCATTGAGTGTTCGTAGGACCTTTATATTTGGACGTTATCGGTGTTATTCTGTGGCCACAGGAATAGCGTCAACAGAAGATTCATAGATTCCCCTGTAAATTAAAAATTTGCTTTGATAAATGTTTTATTATTTGTCGGTGCGACGCAAAGAATTATTCTCCAAACCAAGAGATTGCTATCTCTTTTATAAATTTGATCTTTCTTCAATTTTTGACCGAATGCGAAATTTCATTTCCTGGTGATGAACCGCGTCACCTAAATACTGTATTGGAAACTAAGGTTGCAAATAGGAGGAAAGTTGGAGTTTATTTGACATTCAACACGTGATGGTGGAGGAGGATAAGCTATGGCCACCTGTAATGCCAGAAGGCGATAAAGGTGTTGTCTGTTTTGAATTAAACTTCTGCTAAGGCTAAGGAGGACTGAAAAACTCCTTCAGAGTGGGTTGAATTTTCTGACAATCCTTTGGGGCTCCGGTGGCTTTTGTGTTAATTCGTTTTGTGTTTCCTCATTCTCCCAGGGAGATCGAGGTGAATTGTACCAATGAACTATATGTAACAGATGTTTACAACTTGATGGGAGTAATTCAAGGATCCACTCACCCTGGTATGTGTCTGAGCTACTTAAGTGAGTCATAATCAATTGACAAAACAGTTAATGCACATCCTTAGCCTTGGAACTTTGTTTTAAAAATTTTACCAGCAGGAAATTAAAAGAAAACTGTGCAGTGCAAGGTGCCCGTATGTTCATTTTTTATGTAATGACTGAGATACTACCAGCGCCCTGATTGGTAAAAAAAGCTATCGTTCATTGAACCAGTAAACCCACAGGCATTTCATTAAAGCAACTGATCGCACATTCTATCAGTTTACCGGCGTAATGATGGAGAACACGAGAAAGGTGCGCCTGCGATAATGAGCCGGCGTCACTGAAGTGAGGTGATATTGTTTAGTCACATTTTTGATGACACTAGAGAGTTCGGTTTTTGGAGATTAATGAAAGAACCCCTTCTGCTTTAGACGAATTACAAGAGGTGGTGAGGTGGTCTGCTGCAGAAATGTTTAAGTTTCACTTTCAAAGTACTTCTAGGTTATGATTTACGTTTCAAACTTTTCGCAGATGAATTGGTGTTACTGGGTAACCACCGAGATGCTTGGGTATTTGGTGCTGCAGATGCATCTAGTGGCACTGCCGCTTTGATGGAGTTGTCCAGAGCTCTTGGAGCACAGCTCAAGGAAGGTACAGTGACTATGTTTTAACTGTAAAACAAGTTCCGTTGATATGATCGATTTATCGCAATGTGTCTTTGATTGGTTAATTCGTGAACTTCAAAATTGATGGGATTTTTTTTATCATTTTAGGATGGAAACCAAAGCGCACTATAGTGTTGTTAAGCTGGGGAGCTGAGGAACCGAAGTATATGGGATCTGTTGAGTGGCTGGAGGTACGTTGATATATCCACCGGTAGACGGTTTAGAAATATGGAGTGCTCCTAGCCCATAGAGGCCATAGTACAAATCCCGGGAAATGCGAGCCATCAAGTTGATATTGAGTGGGTCTAAACTCTAAACTGAGGGTGGTATAAACCAAAAGCGTAGTAATGACAGCGGTCAGTCGAACAGAGTATCACAAGGAGACAATGATAACTCAAAATAAACACTGACCCCAAGCGCGAAACAGTTCAGCCAATCAGATCTTCGAGAGAGTGCCCTCAATTTTTAGACCAGTCACATGGCGAAGGAGTGAAAACGTAACGTAATCAAGGGTCATTTCGATACCAAACAACTTTTCTATAACTTTCGGATTATTCAGAGGAGGCTTCTAAAATTCATTCGGCTTAAAAAATAATTTACCTCCTGTGGGTTCCTTTTTCAATTAACCTTGCCCTTTAACTCCCAAGATCTCATTAGTAATTCTCCTTACTGTCTACCATACAGTTCTTGTGAAGTTAGTTTGGAGAATTTGGTATTAGATCAACTAATAATCCCCTAATTGATATTTTTCTTTATTCTCATCACTTGTCTGACTTATATTGTCTTGATATTGTAAGGAGAAATTCTGTCTTGGTCATTCATGGGATTTAAAGGGTTAAAGAAAGGGAAGCACGTTGCTGTGGTTTAACAAAACTCTCAAAAAGTAACCAGTCGCGTGAAAAAAATTATATTTTTGTTTTGTTAAAGGAGCATTCGAGGTTATTGTCTGCCCGAGCCGTGGCGTATCTCAATGTGGACATGTCAGTTGACGGTAAGACCATATAGGGATAATCAATATAAAATCAATATAACTTCAATACAAATGATTTAACTTGTGATTTAATATATCCAAATTGGTGGTCGTTTAGTGTCTTTTGGTTGATGACTATCTCTATATCTCTTAAGGGAACTATTCTTTCCGAGCAAAGTCCGCGCCTCTCATGGACTGGGTTCTGGCTAGAGGAGCAATGAAGGTTAGCGCCAAACATAAATAAATTTAGCTGCTCAAACCATGCTCGTCGTAAATCGCACTAGGAACGAAATTGGAACAAAGAAAGACTAGCCGGGTATACTGTTTTGATGTCATTTTGGTATCTAACTATTCTATGATACGGGATAAGAGCATAAGTGTTAAGCAGAAGTGGGATGAGGGACCTGAATGTTATGTCGACTTCCAGTTGTTCATGTTACTTTACTTGCCAAGAGTGCAGAAGGCATCAGGCAGACGTGAAGGTTTAGTCTGTTGCTCACAATTCAATTTACATCGTAGTTCTAATTTAAAATTCTTCAAAACCTTTCCGGGGTGTATATTATAGAAAAGGTAACACATCGGATAGGTTACCGAGCTAAACGACCGCTCTCACTTCTTCAGGTACCAAGCCCCTTAGGAAACGAAACGGCTTTTGATGAATGGATCAGGAAAATTCCAAACACGTTGGGGCTAAATTATTTGCCAAGGTACGTCATCACTCGATAATTTAGTTAATTTTTCTTGTACATTTCGTAAGAAGGAAATACAGACGGAAAAGTGAACAACCAAAAAAAAACAACAACATTGTTGTAAATATGTCCAAGTAATCTGAGCACTCTAGATAGTTACCTATTATTTGTTAATACTTACTTATTATTCTTTTCATTAATTTTTTTTAGACTTCAGCAACCAAGAGCAGGCAGTGATTATGTCAACTTTATCCAAAGGCTTGGAATTCCCATTGTGGATATTCGTTACACATACAACAGCGTAAGTAGTAAGTCGTTTGTTTGAAAAGGACGGCAAGTTTCGCTGATGTGATTTATCGGCCTTGTGCTTGAGAGTGCTGATAAGGCTCATATCAATTGAACGCTTGACCTCTATTGTGCCCTAAATTCATTTTTGAATGAGGCAAATGGTATGGTAACTCATGCCATTCGTAACGCTTTTTCTATGACTCAGATTCATTCGCCGCACCTCTCAGGTGAGGGGGAAGTGACAAGGTAACATAGCTAGCTGTATTTGAAATACCTGCGGTACCTTTACCGTGCTAAAATCAAGCATTAGACCACACTTATCAGTTTACCGGCGTAAAAACCCACTAGGGATTTTAGAAGAACACGAGAAAATATTATAAATCACGAGCCAGAAAACCGGCCACAATCTAATACGTTGATGAAATAAACTTCAATTTTCTATGGGGTCTACCGGTGCAACTAACGATAGGTTCTTGACCAATGAGGATGTTCATTACTTATCAGTTATTTTATAATGTACCAGAAGAATATCAGTTGTACTTTATACGGGTTTTGTAACAGGCCTTAGAATCTTCTTGACTTATATTGAGAGCAACTGTTGATCTAACATACCCGTAGCTATGTTTTTTTACTTACATAGCTATCATCGTTTTTCTTCTTACAGAAAACTAGCAGCAATCCTTTATACCACACAGTTCACGATAATTTTTGGTGGATGTCAACTTTGATTGACCCCGAGTTTAAATACCATCAAGTGACTACAAGGGTTTGGACTGAGATTACTATGGTGCTGGCTGACTCTGTGATACTTCCATTTAACGTGACTCATTATGGCGTTAATATGAAAATTTACAATACACAAATAAAGAAGAAGTTTGAGGAAGACTTTAAAAAGTACAATGCAAGAGAAGATCTGAGTAAGTTACCGTTTTCATTAATAATAACGTCGACGCAAGGTTAGAGAAAAAACATGATCGTGTTTTCTAAGTTCCCTCCAGTTTGTTATTTTGCAGAATCAGCTCATTGTATGCATTCTTCAAAAAAGATGTGCGCTGTTTTTTGAAGCAATTCTTCTTTGAAAGGATTTTGGCATTCTCCGGACGTGCAGAAAAGATAGCTCTTTGCAAGACTCTTTAAGCCGGCTGTCCTGATGATTCAGAAGAAAACGGAAATTCGATAGTGACATCGATGGGAAGATAGAGATGATCATCATTTTAGAGATGGTTGGAAAGATTAGACTTCCAACGATGTATTTTATTTTATTTTTTTGTATATTGTGGTATTATGAATGCTCGGCTGACTGATATAACCAATATGAGTAATGCGTATACTCATTATTGGCAGAGTATCTTGACGAAGCTGTGGAAAACTTTCTGAGTGCTTCCCGAGAATTTGACGACTTTGTGAAAGGAGCAGACAAAGAAAAGTGAGAAAGCCTTTATTTTAACCCCTATGCTTGAGTACCATTGGAACATTTTCTTGCACTATTTCGTTAGACTTATTTACCGTGGAACACATCTTAAATTTGCGTTGGGAAAGAGATACCTTGCATATAGGAGATAATCAGTGTCGTTCACGAGAATATGTTGCGACATGCTTCTCTGAGTTACCGTCTACAAGTTCATTAATTTGTCTTTTTTTCGTTGCTTTTTTTCAGCGTTGCAGTCGTGCGAAAAATCAACACACGCTTGCTTAATGTTGAACGGGCATTCATAAATCTTGAGGGAATTCTGCAGGCCAACCCATTGCAGAGGTAAGTAAGATTGTTTTATTTATTTTCCCCAACATGTGTGATAGCATTATTCATATCGTTAAGCATTTCCATATATTTTTTCTCTCTCTCTCAAAGTGGATATCACAATTTATTTAAAAGTTCTTTGATTTTCCCTCTTCCCTGAGCAAAACCAAACAGTACCAACAGACTTACCATTTAGCGTGAATGCTTTCTGGTTTCTTACGTGAAGCTAATGAATTTTCTACGTTTTTCAGACACGTCGTTTTGGTTCACAGCCCAACCATTTACTACAGTTGGTATGGTGGCGTGGTGGACGCCATTTATCGTGCTCGAAAAGGATTAGTTACCAAGGAAGAAGTCAAGAAGCAAATATCAATTGTTGCATATGGCATAAACTCAGCTGCACAGATACTCAAGCTCTCGCCGATTGAGTGAACAATTCTAAGTAGTCCCCGTAAAGTTTCTCAATTAGAAGACTTAGTCATGTAGCTAAGCTGATTTAAGCACGAATGAGATAATGAAAAACACCCTTTGTAGCGTACTCACGACATATCATTACACATTTATCTCTCTTGTCAAGCAGTGATAGAAACCATAAGTTTTACGATTTGTTTTGTGTATTATATAAATATTTAGAGACAAGTAAGGTGTTCATTTGTGTTTTACCTGGCTTCTCTCGTATTACGAGCTGGTGAAAGTGTTTCTGAGAAAGTGTTGTTGTTTTTTCTAGGAGTAAATGGTGAATTCGAAAGTTAGTGGTGTTTTGTTAGTAAGTCTTACAATTTTTACGATGTGGTGTGAGTAATTAGAGCTGAGTGAGATGAAAATTCTGAAATTGCGACCCTTCGGTTGAATGATTAAGTCATTATCGCAGCACAATTGTATATACATGAATCATACATGAATCTCCTAAAGAAGAAAAGAAACGTTTTTTCCAATATGGTTCGGATAGCAATCGGATTATTTGCTCTTGTTTTTATTGTTAAAATTTTCACAACATTGGTCCTAAAGATTCGTAATCCAAGCGAAATTTCAAGGTACGAAGTTCACAACGAGTACCACGACAAACTCAGTAAAACAAAATTGTAAGGTTTTTAAAATCTTCAGGCCAATTTCAGGCCTTCTACAATTATTCGTCATCCATTCCAAACCCAAATAATGCGTCGGAGTCAAACCATGCAATACTTTCTTGCTTCTCTTTCTTTTTACGCGCAAGTGGTTTTATTTTGGTTATTTTGCTCTTGAATGGGGGCTTCATTCCTTGGTGCAACCCACGAGACTTCATCTGGTGAAAGAAATATCACACCCCATGGTATTTAAAATATAGAGATTACTACTACGTTTAAACATGAATACAGTATTCGAAAAAGAAGCGATGGGCAGTATGTTGGGATGTTTTGCTCTAGTATTTTTCCAGAGATAAATTATTTATGAAATTCTGGCAATACCATTTTAGTTATGCCCTCCCAACTTACCGGAGACTTATCGTACAAGGAATCCGGACTTTTCATATCTGGAAACAATTCCTTGAACTTGGCCATTTCCTCGGATTCCTCACTTTGGATTTTCATCTAGTATGAGAAAACCATGTAAATACATATTAAGAAAGGACTGAAAGAAAGTAAACGATTAAGGCTTATCAGAGCTTTTTAACCTACCCACGTCGAGTGTCATAATGAAAAACATGCAAAACAATTAATTCTATAGTCAAGTAACTATTATCACCTTCTTCTGTGTTTGTGGAGCCATTGGCTTTCCTCGTGGGATTTGTTTGAGTTTATGCGTTTCCAGATATGGGGAATTTGTGGACAAGGGCTCACTGTTCGAGCTAAATGGCTTTGGAGAAAATCGAACATTCGATCGTAGTTTGTTCCTCTGGTTCGCTTTTTCCTGGCCAGGACTTGTTCTTCCGACCTGTCATCAAAAAACAAGCAGAGATCTTGTGTGGATGGTGCATTGATGAAATACAACTAATATCTGGAATCAAAATAACACTTAAAAACCTTGGTGAGGTTAAAAGTATATTTCTCGTCTCCTTCTTCTTGCTCCCCTGCAGTAGTGAAAGCTACCCTCCTCTTTTTCTGAAAGGCTTCGTTTAGTTTAAGAATTCCACGAGGCTGCTTTGGAGTTTCAGGAACCACCGCAGAATCTTGAGGCGTCGCTTCCACCTCGTTATGATCTGGTAGTTTTGGCGTCTTGAGTTTCCCGTCTACAGATGGGGTTCGCGAACTTCTGGTAGACTTGAGGCAAACGATAAATCGAACCAAAAGTATTAATGTGATTCTTTATTTAAAAAAAAAGGTGATGAAAGGGTAAGGTTTATCAATTCCCCAAAGTTAAGCAGCACATTAAAAAGAAGTCTGAAGAAATTAAAATGATCAAATTATGTAAGCCTAACTCAAGAGCTATCAGCGTATAATTTACTTCTTACATATAATCATATTGATCATAGGAGAGAGATACACAAAGATGATTCTAGCTGAATAAATTGCAAACCAAACAATAATTCTCTTACTTTGTGGTATTTTTCGCCAATGTTTTCTTGAAACAGCGTCATATCTTCATTCTGAACGTATCAGTTCAGTAGGTAGTTAAAAGGAGAGCAGTAAAAATAGAATTAACGACCTTGAAAGCGGCGATAGAGACATATTTTAAGATGACACTCGGAATATTTCGTAGGGTTACCTTTGCTTCTCGTTGTTTCGTCAGAACTTGGATTGCTTCAGATTTTTCGAACTCTAATCTTTTCCAGTCTTTTTCCTGGAGGCATCGAAAATCAGTGATATAGATAGGAAAACATTGCATTTACTTAGGTAAACAATACATACGAAGAGGAAAATCCCCAATTCTTCTCGAAAGTCGGTCAGTTTTGTAGCTAATAATTGATTGAATTCAGTAAATAAGCAGTATTTCCTTTTCTGTTTTTATTTTGTTTGTTTTTTGTTTTGTGAGTATGTTTAGTTGTTTTTATGGAACAGAAATAGTCCCTGTAGCTAAATAACAACGACAACATATTTTACCGAGCCCCAGTGGGAGGAATTACTTGGAAAGAGTTATACCTGATTCTCCTTAAGATCACATATATCTCTCTCTAATTTTTCTATTTGTTTCTTGGCTTCTAGAAGTTGTTTCTCCTGCAGGGAAGAAAAAATCAGAAGAAAAAGAAGTAAACTGTTGAATTAATGGGACCTACTTTTCACCACTGCTCGTTATAGCTACAAACGTTCGCTCAGCCTCGTTGTACTTACATGTTTTTCCTGCGATTCTTTCTCTGCATTAGCACGCAAGAGGTCCAGCTCTCGCTCCTTTTGTGCCACTATTTTTTCGTTTTCCAGCTGTCGATTAAGAAAATTAACTTGCACTTTTTACCTTTTTTGAGGAAAAAAACCCAACTATACTTAGGATTAAATTTATCTTTGAAAGCGTGATTGATCTTGGAGGATTTCACAAAATTATCACTATGCACATACTAGGAAAGGCTTACGAAGAAATTCAGCATTGTTAATGCTCAAATTAAACCTTCTCTCACGCACAGTGTAAATATATCTGGGCTAATTTATGATTTACTTCTATGACTCAGTTTAAGGCCGTTCGACCATAAGTTAACGTGCCATCACTATTCAGGTGGGATATCCTGACACTGGATTAAAGGATGCTATGTTCTTGCAACAACAACAACAGTAATACTTTAATTTACATTCCCTTACTATAAAGCATTAAAATGTATAAGCGTATCTAGCTAGATTAAATTCTCATAGGTAATTATAGGAAAACCCCAGTCAGAAATGTCTATTGAGTTCCTTTGCGTTCAATTAAACCAAACAGTTTTCTCGTTAGAGACTAGTCTTGTAAGTCTTGTTTTTTTTAATCTACCTTGTACTTTTCCAATGTTGCGCATAACTCATTCATTTGCTTTTCAGATTCCTTTTGTACTGTTTCTTTATCTTGTATTGCTTTTTCTTTTTCCTCCTTGAATTGTTGAACCTGTTTAATTATGTTCAATTCAAAACTGTAGTAGATTTAGGGGAATAGATCCAAAAACAAAGACGACAGCAAAACAAATTTAAGGTGTAAATCACCATGGCAGTGTCCTTACAAATTCACAAAGTAACTTGGTTAATTAAGAAGAAAACATACATCAGTTTAAAATTCGGGGGCCCTTGGTGAAATGCTTTTAATCTTACTTGTTGTTCAAGATACTCCGCTGTTTCAGACTTCTTGATGATTTCCTTTTTCGTAGCCTCCAACTGAAAAGCAACACGCATTTTTAGATTCATCGTTTTTTCTTTAATCCGCCTTGATTTTTTACCTGACATGTTGTACTGAGTTTTGAACCTCTGATAAAAAAGAAAAATGCTTAATTTTACTTGCTTATTTGAGAGCTCTTTTGTTGCTATTTTTCTGTTTGTAATGGGATGAGCATGTAGAAGTTCCAACATAACTAAAACAATTACCGAACTACGATTCCAGAAACTTCAAGAATACGTCATAAAGAATAAGAACACCTGAAGGAAAATACGAATTGGAGGGCAAAACAACTTGAACAATCCGTTTTGGAAGTAGCACCAAGATTTTTCGTAGTAAAAAGCCCCTAAAACCACTCAACACCTGTCTGTCGATGACTTCAGTACGGTCCCTCGTTCTTTGTAACAATTTAATTTAAGTAAAATAAACAGATTAACAACATGCGTGCCTATTATTTAACTCAAGAAGCCAGCTGAAAATGGGAGGTGTAAACGATCTAAATCGCAGCTGTATAACATGGAACTTAAATTATGCTCACCTTTTCTGAAAAATCTTTAATCTGTTCTTTGGAAGCGTCAAGTTCACTGGATATCTTTGATTTCTAAAGCAAAAGGATGAATACCAGTGAATACATACATTATCGTTCTGGAGGAGGATTCCGGATTATCGTAAAATTACCTGATTTTCTAGCTTTTCGAGAGCTTTGGTTTGGGAGGTAACCTTGCTTTTCATCGTCCGATTCTTTGTGCAATAAAAAACAGTAACATCAATGGTCAGTCATTAAAAGCACTCAGATTGTCTAATTTAGTTCTGTCATATAACCTTAGTCTAATTTGGTGATAGGGTTCTGTTAAATAACCTCTGGATATATACTTACTTCTTGCTGCAGTTCTTTAGTTTGTTTAGTTTTGGCTGTAAGCTGGTCCTGGAGACCTTTTGCCTACAAAAGCAATTCACTCGAAGTTTTACCAAGTGTTTTAAAATGGGAGGGAAGAGGACCCAACTCTTACGATTGCAAATTTATGCTCATGAAATTTCCAGAATTGGCTTTGCAATTCACTAAAAAATTAATCGATTTAATCATGATCGAAACGAAATTGATTCTGAACGTTTCAACGTGGCTATCGAAGTAAGACATAATAAACTCTTGCTTACCTTTGTTTCTAAGATTTCCAACTTCTTGGTCTGTTCTTTCAGGTCATCTTTTAGATATCGATTCTGTTTAAATTTGGTAATATAAAATAAGTCTTGAAATGCACCTAAGTAGATAAATTGGCATGAACAAGCTTCAACCACATTTGAAATTTCTAATAAAAATGACCACAACCCAGGTCAATTACGTTGTCTTTTTCTTTCTCTAAAACTGTCGCCCTTTCTTCATCTTGAACTCTTCCGTCACTCATCATTTTGTTGTATTTCTTCCTGATGATTTCAAGAAAACAAGAAAGGTAATATGCTAAATTTCAGGTTCATTGGATTGAATATTTTTAGAGGTTTTACGCTGCAGTAAAGAAAATGAGGGCACAGAAACATAAACGTTTTTCGCTTCGGGTTCGCATTTTAAATTCTCGTGCAAGAAATACAATTTTTCGAAAACGTTTTTATCGTCAAAATTATTTTGATCCCTCCTTTCTTGGCTGTAGTTGATGCTTCATGTCTGGAGGGGAAGAATTAATCGGCCCTAATCAGCTGTAGTAACTTACTGAAGCTTCTGAAAATCTCCATCTAGCTTTTCAATGAGTTTATTGGACTCCTCTCCTGTTTTTGTTGCTTCCTGTTGATTAAAAATGAATTGGTATAATAATTGCGACAAAAATATATTCTTTTTCATTTAAAAAAAATGATTAAACATCAAAGCAAACAGAAAAAAGAATTTATAAACAAGTACCGCTAAGCTCTTGTCCAGTACTGAGTTTTTTCCTTCGAAAATACTGATTTCATTTCTAAGTTTTCTCTCAGATTCCTATTTAAGGCAGAGAAAACACAAACAGATTTATCAAATATTTGAAAAAATATGACTTGAAACTGAAGTAAGTACGCTATAATGGAGTGGAGTTTCTTAGAATTGAAAACAGCGACTTCCGTCTCTATCTTTCCGGCTTTTTGTGGACTGACCTTAGATCACTCATGTTGTGGGTCTCCATTTATTCAAGTCCGGCAGACGTTAAAAGATTGAGATTAAAAGAATCGCGTACAAACAATATTCATCAGAGCCGAGTTTTCAATTTAACTACTACGAAGAGCGTTTTCGGAAAGATCCGATTTCTAAGGAATGGAAGAAACCGAGTGACGTTTTCAAATTATCCGGCGTTATGCTGGCGAGGCCTTATACGAATAAAATGGATCTCAATTAACAGACACCATACCTTAGAGTCTTCTATGCAAATTTGGAGCTGCTCTTTTTCTTTCCTAAAACAACACAAACGAAAGCAAAATAATTTTTTAAAAGCTACCACCAGAGACATCAACTCAGTTCAAAGAAGCCAATACACTGAAACAGCCCTAAATATATGGTTAAGTCCGATTAAGACAATAATCTACATTTTAGATAAATGTACCGTTAGTTTTTGTTATGTAGAGGGTACCTCTCATCTTCAAGCTTTGTTTGAAGATCTTGTGCTTTTTCCGTTAGGTATTTCACATTGTAATTTGCATTGCAGAATTTCACCTCCAGATCGCCTATTTTCCTCTACAAAGGGGTTATAATATTAGTCAAAATTATTAACAAATGTCACCTACTTCAGCTGGTGATATTACAGTAATGTTTAAATCAGCAGGCACATTTACCTGCTTCTCTTCGGAGGCAAGTGTTAATATGCAGATCTTTTCCTCTAATTCCTGTTTAACTTTGTTGACTCGCTCAAGTTCATTCATTAAGGAGGAATTGGTCTCCTAAACATCAAACAACTATTGAGTAATGATAGGAGAAAATGAAGATCGTACATAAAGAAACAAAACTTTAAGCAGAAACCTATGGTTCGAGAAGAAGATAAGAAAAGTTCAGGAGAGATTTCGATAAATTGAAACCCTAAAAAATACATTAAACCGATGAATAAAAGCAATGACCTGTAGCTCGCCGAGCTCTTCTTTTGACTGCCGCAACAAATCTCCTTTCGATGATACCCTCTTCGCTTCCTTTGACAAGTTCTCCTGCAGGTCTGCGCAAGCTTTCATCAGATCATTCTGGATAGGGAGACAAAAACGATCCATAACAATATTGGCAAAATATTTTCTCTTGAGGTCAGGACAGTTTTATCAAAGTTACCTTTTCTTTTAGAATGTGATCGTTTAAAGTATCTGCTTTTTCCTTCTCCCTCGTTAGAGCTTCTGCAACGCAATAAAACATTTCTTCACGATAAGGTCGAGTAATCATGAAAAACTGTTGGGGTTGTTAGCAGATAAGCAAGTCCCTAACTCTTTCTTTAACTAAAATAGGTAATATATCTAAATAGGCTTAAGAACGCAATCAAAAGCGCGACAACTGCAATGACAAGCTTATTAAATATTATCAGCCAGCGCTTTAGGCCTCAATCCTATATAAAGGAGTCGTTAGGAAATTGCTAAAAGCAATCAACTCATAAACTTACCAAACTTTACCCGTAGATTTTTCAGTTCATCTGTTGTCGTTTCGTTGGTTTTGGTAAGATTTTGTAGCCTTGATTGCGAAAGAAAAAGTGTTATGTGTTTGACAGAATAAAATAGCAAATTATTAACGTCACATAGTGGTACCAGTATCAGTTTCGTCTCTGGGCCGTACCAGTTTTATTTTAACGACATATATTTATACTTACTCCTCCTCCAGTTTTTTCTTTTCCTTTATCAGAGAAGAAAGTTGTATTTCTAGCTCGTCCAATATTTTCCGTTGCTCCTTTTTCATCTCGAGATTACTCTCTTTCAATTCTTGGTTCTCTTTTTGGACACCCTCAAACTGTGATTGGATGGCTTCTCGCTCTTCTTCGATTCTCTTGCACTCTTGCTGAAGTGCACACCGAAACAGAACGTTACAGAGTCAAAATGAAACGCGAAATGTTTTAACACAGTAATTTGGTGAAGAATAAATAATTTTTTCTTCTTCGCCCGTTCCCCATAACTTTAGGTGGTATTTTATGAAGAAGCCAGCATTTTACTTTTTCGCACCTTATTGAAAGACAACATGTCCTCTGTATTTTGAATTTGGACTTGTTGCGAGGTGATGATACTTTCCAATTTCTTCAGTTTATCTTGCAAAAGAGCTATAGAAGAAAAGAAAAGAACCTGAGAAGTAGAAGTTTGAAGGGGGCATTGCACTCTAAGAATGAAAGGAAATGCATATCTATTTCCATTTCATTAGAAATTAATGTAAAGTTTATTTTCATAATTTTTATATTAACAGAGCAAATTGCCTAGCTCGTGTTCCAAAGAAGTAGATTCCTCTTTGCTCTTCTCTAAAGCTGCCTCCATCGTGGAAATTTGGTTCTCCTTCGTTTTCTTGTCAGTTTCGAGGAGCAGTATCTGCGCAAGTTTAAAGAATGATTAAAGGAAGCAACGGTAGATTGTATGATATGTAGTTTCCTAAATAAATGCCTTCCAAAAGATCTCCGTTTCTGAATCAGTGAAAGTGTGTTCAGTTTTCAAAGTAAAAGGTGAGCAGATGAGTGACATCACACCGATACCTGATTTTCTGCTTTCTGAAGTTTTTCTGTATATTCCATGACGAAGTCTTCGTGCTCTTGTCTCTGCCCATTAACTGAAAGAACATCGTAGTGTAGGTGAGGTCAATAACAGACGTTGAAAGAACCCATCGGTTTGGAAACAAACACAAACACTTACGTTTAGTTTTCATTTCATTTAATTTTGCTGTGTGTTCGATTTGTAGATCCTGGAACTTAATGACCATTTCCTGACAAAAAAAATGCATGTTAGGTTACTGTGAATTCAATACGGACATTTGTAACTAGGATACAATACAAGTTTATTATTATCAGGCATTCTACATAAATCAAAATCCAATTTAAAAGTGAATATCATAACATATGAATGAAAATTTAAAAATTTAAAAAAATTAAAGTTAGAATCATAAAATACAATCTAGAACAAATCCACGTTATGCAAAGAAGTAAAAACGATAATCATATGAAGTAACAATAGTATAACAATAATTAAAAAGTTAGGTTGGAAGGCCCCAAAGATTAATTTACTTTATACTGTTTTTGAAGGTCTCAAAAGTTCTAGCAGTTCTCTGTGACTCTGGTCGTAGATTCCTCTACTAAACTCGTTGCTATAGCATCTGGATGTTATGAAAAGCAACAACTACGAATTCAGCATCACCTGAAAATGCTCAACACGCTTTTCATCTTCAAATCTGAGTTCGTCACGATCAGCTTCTCCTGCATGGGTCAAAAAAACAAAAAATAGCTCTTAGTTTATGTTGTTGATAGTTCTAACTACTCACCTTCATTGGAGATCTAAATTCAGAAACTCGACACATACCTACCTTTAAGAATATTTTCCTCCACCTTTGCAGCGTGATCTTTCAACACATTGCACAAATCTCTGGTAGAAACGATTCTAAAACAAAAAATTATATTTACATTTGTGATATATTAACATACGCGTCAGTAAATTGGATCTTGAGATTTTAGAATAACATTCATTGTCAACAACATTTAGTTCTTTACTCTTAACTCAGGTTTGCATCATTGTATGCCGCTGCCCGTCTTCATCCGCTTGTAGACTAACTATACAGAAACTAATGATATTGTTTTCATTATTATTATCACCATCTTTAATTCAAACTTTATCATGATGTGTTGATTTACTTGTGTTCCACCTCCTCCCTATTTGCAAGCTCTTCCTGAAGTTTTGAACTGAGGCTTTCATTTTGAAACTATAAAAACAAATTTAAGTACAGCTGGTTAAAAAAAAAAAACATCTTAAATAGAAGTTGCTATAATAGACTATTAATCGCATACATCATAAAATTTTTTGCCTGCTATTTAACAAATAGATTCCAAGTTGTCGTGCGTCTGTTCAGTAATAGATCACAGATGACGTCAAAATGTGGTAAGAACAAAAATGTGGCACACGAGGCGGAGCTGAGTGTGTCACTGATGTTCTTACCACATTTTGACGTCATCTGTGATCTATTACTGAACAGATGCATGGCAACTTGGAATCTATTTGTTTTATATAATAAAGAATAAAAATATACGGAAAAAAAGTTTAATGATGACGTCATCTATAGTCTGTCCTCCAATAGATCATATGTGAGAACCAATCAGAATACGTGCATAACTGAGCTTATTATATAAAGCACAATAGAAACAATAATACTTGGCTATGGCGTGCAAGTAAAATGGTACTCATTTTGATAAACTTTCATAACCACTTGAAAGCCTTCGAATACCTCTTTTTGCATTTTCTGACCTTCGCGTTAAAAATAAACGATGTTCTTGTTCCATCTACTCTTTTGTTTCTTGTGATCACCATTCAAAGCAGGGATATTAGAAAGATCCATCTTAGTCAATATACATTATTGGACTGATGAACATGGGTGGACCATACAGATAGACCGGAGAAAAACTCTCTTAAAACTGAACCATGTTATTGGCATCTCAGTATAACAAATTAGACATGCTCATGCTAGAAAAAATACGAGTCTTCATTGGGCAAACGCTTGTTTGATTTGTTTACAAAGTCTTATCATCTCCTAGACGTCTTGTCAGTCCTATAAATTTGCAAATTCTTGCACAGTCCTCAATGATGTTCATCTCACACCTAAATGTTTGAGAGCTTTATCACTTTAAAAAGTACACAGAGCTTTGCATGATTGAATGGAGTCGAAAAGGAATGCAATAAACTGATTATAGCGAGATAATTAAAATAATGTGCAAAATTATTAAATGCTGATTGGCTGAGACAATGGCAATTTTCGTTAATTTTAGTAATTACCCCGATCAGTTACCAAAATTTAGAAACATTTAAAAAGGCTTAACTTTAATTAAAACTTTTATAAGTTCATTGATGGCGAATGTTTTTCAGCAGAGTTGTTTCCGTTACTTTGGCGTTGTTGTGCAAAAATAGAATTTCATTCAGCAGCTTAGTTCGTTTAACATTTCACTGACGCTAACTGGACACTAAATGGCTTCCTACGAGAATGCGCAACAGCGTGCGTTGTTGATCTTTTTTATAAGAGAAAATTTTGCTCTTAATATCATAAACAGTGAATCGCTTGTTTCCTCATAAAATTAAGCATTAATGTTATTCGTGTTTTAAGAAGTTGCAACAATTGCACTCGTTGCTGTGACTCGTGCAATTTTTGAAACTTCTGAAAACACGCATGAAATCAATCCTTAATTTTACTCAGCCTCATGCGATTACCTTCGCTTGCTCGCAAAATTGCAAAATGAAAAAAAAAATAGTGTGGTATAAAATTTCATTCTTAATTACTAAAATAAAGTAACAAACAAATAAGGCTACCTGTAAATCAAGAATTGACTTCCTCTGAGAATCGATGGTTTGAACAGCTTCCAGTAACTTTTTCTCCTACGTATTGAAATACACAACTTGACACAATGGTAATATATCCACGGTTTGAGAAACATCGTGGTTGTGAACAGCTTGAATTTTATTACCTTTTCTTTAATTTCTATCTCTGTGGACGTTTTCCATTTCCTGATTTTTTCTGCTTCTTGATGGAGACGGGTGTGAAGGGAATGAATTCGTTCAGCTGATTGCGTCCTGTCTTTTTCCGCTTTGTCTGCCTCTGCAATATTACCACTATGAACAATTACTTCAATTTCACTAATGCTCTAACGCTTCATAAATAAAAGAACTTTAACAAGTAATACATAATTCACTAGTTATGAGTAATTATATTAGCCTTAACTCCAATTTTTTAATAATGTAGCTATTTTAATTTTTTATTTTGTTGTTGTTGTTGTTGTTGTTTTTTTTTTTTCCAACGAGAATTTACATCACCGCAAAAGTAAAATTATAGCAGATAAATTCACCTTTTTCCTTCTGTCTTGGTGATTTTGGGCGAAAATAGCTGTTAGAGGGTGAGTTCACAGGTCGGATATTTAATTGATGTCCATGATACGGAGATTTGTTGACAGTTGGGCTCACAAATTGCGAGGCTGTTGTTGAATGAGTTTGAGATTGAGAAAGTGAGTTTGTCAGCTTGAATAAAGGCTGCTGAATGTGATGCCTCAGCTGACTGTGGGCGTGTGACTGCATTTCGTTAACATCACCTTTCTTCAGAGAGAAGAAAGAGCATGTTCCTACAATTTAAAAAGCCACAAATGGCAACATAACCGATCGATGTTCGTTTTCTTTACGATTAAAAATATTTTTGGATAATCTAAATTTCCCGCCACTTAAGCGGGCTGCAAGTGCCTCGTTACAGTGCGTTATCGCAACCCAGTTTCCTCTCTCAGAACAATTCTTGTCACGTGATATTGTTAAGTGATGACGTTTCCAAACTTCTCTCGGAAGAGAAAAAATGGCGGATGCAATTGCTGGTCCGAAAGACATTACCACAATATTCAAACGTTTGAAATCTCAACCCGACAATAAGGTTAAGATTTAACTTTGTGGTTATTTTATTCTATTGTTTAGCTCCTTTTCGCTTGAGTCTAAAAGTTTCTTTTCCTTTTCAGACGTGCTTTGATTGCGGACACAACAATCCAACATGGGCATCAGTAACTTACGGAGTATTTCTATGTATCGACTGCTCCGCTGTTCACCGATCACTTGGTGTTCACTTAACCTTTATTAGGTAAAGAAAAATATATTACGTTACTTTTCAACAGATTCTCTTTTCACAGGGGAGTAATCCTCCTAAGAAAACAAAGCGGAATGATCGTCATACGGAGATCTTCGAAACGACTTTTTTTTCATGCGAAATTCCTTTTCAAATGATTTGTTCATTTGGTAACACGCTATGGATTAGATTTACATGTTTATTTCATCTCGTCTTTCATGTATCAAAGATCCACCCAATTGGACACAAACTGGACATGGCTACAACTGAGGGCAATGCAAGTTGGCGGAAACGCAAAAGCGGTAAGATAGTCGGAGGAGAAGGTTCTTGATCAGTTGTGTCAGGGGGTGATCCTGACTTGCTTTTAGACATGACTAATTAAGTTATTCAAAGGTTTTTCCGTCTTTTTGTAGGTGGTTGGATTTCTTTGGTAAATCAGGGTTTTAATAGTAGTTTCACATGGCGTGATTCAGCTGTTTTCGAAAAAAAAGTAGGGAAATCAACCCCAGATTATTACGTGATACAGTGTTGTGTGGTTCGATTATTAGCGTCGATTACTTTGATTGAGGTTGTGATTATAAGGGATAAAATCTCCTCTACAAGCACTTCACTTGATTTACATTTGTTAAGTGTAACACGGTTATAACAAGTTTTTAGAAGCCGGTTGTATAAAAGTTCAGTTTTAAATTTTCAGTTTACAAATTTAATTCATGATCGGTTTTCCAAACGACCTGTTGACTAGTCACAGGGTTAAATATTAATTTTCGCTTTTGCTTATAAATAGTTTTTGATAGACTGGGTTATTTGTTGAAGGGTAGAGTTTAAAATAGTAAATAACGTTGAATGCTTACACAGACAAGGTCTTATGTTGATGATAAAGTTTATTTTGTCATCGCAACACTTCAAGAATTAAAATCTTTATCTTAACTTTAGTCAGTTTTACTTAAATGGGTGCTCAAAGAAGAAAGCAGCATTTGTAAGTCTTTTGAATTGGAGAAATCTACAGACAATTTTTGACAACACCCACAACAATAACTTGAAGATAAAGTTTATGATGTTAAAAATATTGAACCACAGCATTTGTATATGTGTATCAATGGCCAAACCAAAATAGTCTCTCAACACTTTGTGTCAGATTGCTTCACAAGATATGAATGAAGTTTTTTTCAGTCAGAGCAGATATTGTCTCTGAGAGGCTTGATTGTATTTAGCTATTTAGTAATATTGTTTTTAAAAAGTTTTCGGTGGTTCAGGAGTGTTATCGAAATTTGTTACAATTGTGATTAAACAAACAAGGCAAAATGACCTTTTTGTTTTTAGTTAACCCCTGTCTGAGAGAAAGCCTGACTTAATCTTTTCAGTGCAGTCATATGAGGGACATGGCTCTCTACAATGTTGTTCACATTTAGATAATCAGGTCTTGGTAAAGCTATTTTTTTAGGTAGTTTTGATATGGATTTTGAATTTTCTTCTAAAGATGTTTAATTTTGTTATGCTTAGAATGCCTTCTTCAGACAGCATGGTCTCTCAACTGAAGACACATCTGCTAAATACAAAAGGTAATTTAAAGATAAAAGAAGAGTTTTCTGTTTGTTAAGAGATGTGCATTACTAAGCAACAAATCAGCTTTTCCCTTTGTAGGGAGCCGTATTGCAAATGCAAAGTCAACATCAAAATGCAAAGGAACATCTGGAGAAATTCTCTTAAAGGAAAAATCTTAGTGCACATTTAAATATTTTATGAATTTAATTTGGGTTGAATTTTTGTTAATTACACTGCAACTCTAAAGTAAGGTGGCAGTCCCTTGAAACTCAATCGTTAATCCTCAATTCCCAAAAACTTTGAGGATTGAGGCTTGTGTTGAGTTTCCAAATGCTTGAAATGAGTTCAGGGTCTCAAAACAAGGAAACAAAGAAATTTTCAGCAATTGATTATTAACAAAAGTTGAAGCTTCTTACCTTTTGTTGTACTCATTGGAAAAAAAACCAAACAGCGTGCATCATTACAAATGCAACAGAACTTCTCACAAATTCTCTCTGATGTTTCTTACAATAACCTTGCGAATTATTACTTTCACAGTATGCATTAGTCAAAAGTCAAAAGAAACAGCTCGAGATCTTCTCTCAAGGGGAAAATCTAAACTCATATCTAGATATTTTGTAAATTAAATATGATTTGTAGAACTACTCGTCTACTTTACTCTTTCTCAACCACTGAAACTTATCAACATAGCAACAAGAAGTAATTTTTCTCATCATCCTCTGTGAGCCATTGACCATTGAAACTTTTTTTGACCATGATTATTGTCAGTGTTACAGAGTATATATCATCATTTGTTAGTAATAAGGTGTATTTTATACATTTCATGTAGGTTGTGAGCTGATTGCATCTGTGTTCACTAGGGGTATGGTACGCTTAGTGACGTTGCTAGTCCTTTAGGTGACCACATTGGGCAGCAAACTCAAATCTGCAGTATTTAAAAAGAAATGAGGCAGATCCTTGATTTAAGTGCATCTGTATTCTTATTTTTCATTTGCAAAGCCGCGTGGCTGCGATGTACAGGGAAAAGATTGCAACATTAGCAACGAAGGCCTTACAACAATATGGAACCCAGGTGAGGGAAAGTATTTTTTAAATGTCTCTGAGACAGGTTTTTATGTTGTGCTAATGTCTGCTTAAACTCTATACACATTCTTGTAAGTTTCATGTACCTTTTCATCCTACTTCAGGCACTTTTGGACAGTCACCATGGACCCCAGTCACCCAACTCTCCTGATCGTAAAGAACAAGATTTCTTCAAGGAAGTAGAGAGTCAATCTTTTCAACAGACAGTTATGATACCAACAAATGGAAAGAATGGAAACAACTCTGGTAAATGAAAATTGTGTATTGACTTGGTAAATGTGTAATTAGCAAACATGATGAAACTGTTAATTTCTTCTGTTACTTCAACTTGTTTAATCTCTTTTGCTAGGAAATGATTTAAACAAGAACATGGAAGATCTCAGTGTCTCACCACCAAAGCAGCAAGGTTTGTGTGATGTTTATTACATGTACTTCAGATATAGTGTAATGTGTATGTACTTATCCTCTTCTAACAAAACCAGTCAACAGCTTGATAACTCAAGCAAAAGCTTTGAGAATACTCATGGATTTTAATTGCACACATTTATGAAATCTCAACAGTGGTTGGGTAGCATGCATTAAACTCCAAAGTACTGTAAGATGTACAGGTCTGTAAATATACTTTTCCTTTTCAGAAACCCGTGTGCCTACAATAGGAACAAGGAAGCCAGTTACAGCCAAAAAGAAAGGGGTGAGGTGTCCTTTTCATGTCATCACTTTTATGTTGAAGAGTTACCACCAAAATTGTGTCTGAGCATTTTTAGTGATCCTTTAGTTTCATGCTACTACAATGTGCTGCTGTTTGAATAACAGCTGAAACCAACTTGAAGATTCCCTTGGCTATAAATGAATCCAGTTAATAGGGTAAAGAGATGTTCTTTGATCACAGTTTGAAACAAAGTGATGCACATTTACACTGCATAGTAGCTTACTTAGTGTCAATTTTGTACTACTTGTTATAATGAATTAGTTCATGTAAAGTGTATTCTATATTTTTTGACAATTACATTTTTTACTTTGCTTTTACCTTAAAGCTTGGAGCAAAGAAGGGCGGGTTAGGAGCAACAAAGGTTTGTTTCTTTAACACTTATGTTTGTTAACTTGATGTTAAACCAAATCCTCATATGTGATGTACAATAAATAATGGAGTTATTTATCAGATTATTAGCGTTACTGGGTTATACCCTCTTAGTGGAGGTCTGGAACCTCAAGAAAAGATTTCTTTTGTCTGCACTTTTAATATAGATTAAAATTTTTGTTCCCAAAGGTGAAAACAAACTTTAATGAACTGGAGTCAAAAGCCCAACAGCTGGACAAAGACAAGGAAAAAGCAGCTCTTATGAATGCCAAGGAAGCAGAAGCAGAGCTTATTTCTCCAAACCTAGCATACAACCCAGTCAACTTTAAGAAAGAGGAGGATAAGCTGCGTCACTCTGATCCCAAAAAGGCTGCTCAGCTGGAACGCCTTGGAATGGGTGTCAGTGGAGGCAGGAAAGGGACAACAACTCCTGGTAGAGGTCACTCAGCATCAGCTGCTATGGCCACTGTTGAACAAGTGAAGCCTACTAAGACCCAGCCATCTTTTGCTGACAAACTCAGAGTGTCTTCAAACTCTAATATGGATTTCTTTGATAGGTAATATCCAGAGATGATAAATGTCCAATTTCCCCCCACTAGCAGTTGAAACACTTTCATTTCATTTGGGTTGTTACACTGATAGTAGTTGTTAACTAGGCCAGCAACAATGAATTGGTGCTGCAGCCAAATGCAGGATAAGTAATGTTTGGGAAATAAAAAGATGTAAGTTAAAAACTATATGTTGTAGGTGATCATAAGAGTCAGCTTATATCCACTGTTGAAAATGCATCAATTTAGTTTGGAATAAAAGACTGATGTACATTAATACATACATGTAGGTTTGAGCAGTTACACATTGTTTCTCTTTACTGAGCTAAGACACTTTTCTTCTTCTATATGTAGCTATGGAATGGATGGCACAAGTTTCACTGAACCGCCTCCACTGTAAGTATTACAATCAATAATCAATTCAGTCAATCAACAACTTGGAAATAGCTTGCCTCCAACGAGTGTTAACTGGTATTGGTTACATTATTTAAACTATCACCATATCTTGGGTTGAGTTTTATCTTAATCTGTCCGTGCACTGATAGGTTTCACATAGGTTTGAGCCAGTTTTCCTCTACAATATACATGTATGTGCAAGAAAGCACAATTAGTCTGATCAGTAGCACAGTACATATGAACAATAGCATAACATGCAAGAAAAATACAAAATATTTATAAAGGAATCAAAAACCTCTTGAAACTCTTTACTTAGAGAATATATTACAGTTCTTTCACTTATTGCTTTATTTTGGGACATTTCGGTTAATTTCCAGCAATTTCTCTATTACCCATGATGCATTGCGACCCCACCCATTTTCATTTGCATGATCTCTTTCACGTGTACCAGGCTTGCTACATAGCAAAAAGCTTCTAGAAGCTTCTAGGGTGGTTACAAAGCTGTTGTTTTTCCTTCGATTGCACGTGGCCGAGTGAAATGGCGGTCGAAGTGGTCGAGAGTTTTCAAGTGACGCGCGCTGTTTTCGCTTTCTTCCCTCAATGTAACCTGAAACCCTGAACGAAATGTTTCAAAACGTTTGGGATTTAGAAAAACGCTTCTTGTTCCCTCAATTTGTTATATTTTCTCGTGAAAATGAGCAGTTAGCTTCGTTATGAGATGAGAATGACACCGCAGGAAATTAACATGTTTGGTCCAACGCCGGCAGTACTGCGGATGGCTTACATTTGGCATTGCATCCTTTATTTACGGAAAGACGCGGTATGTTTCATAGTGTTTGGGAATCAAACATTTGCTTCATTCTCAAGATTGAAATACGCAAAGTCGCCAAAACTTTCAGGACTGGCTCTTCAGAAGATGAGAATTCCATTGTAACAAGCTTTTTACTATCACGGCATTCTATGCCGCCGAGGGGAATACCTTTCTCCTGATTTCATGGACTGAAACATGGAGCGTGATGCTTGTACACTTGAACAAAAAGTGCTATTTTTCTCTCTAAGGATAGTCTGTCTTTCAAATTTGTACATATACATCTGAAATCTCTGATTTATTGTGATATTTTAGGTGATTTTTTCCGTTGATATCTTCTGCGAAAACACAAGAAATTTTAAGATAATGATAATTTTGTGTATGGGAATGTTACGCGTGACGCCCTAAATTATGCATATTTTTTGGAAAAATTAAATTTGTAAAAAAAAATGAGAATTCAATAAAAATCCATGATATTACGCAAAGTTGTAGAGTATTATGTCTTTTTTATTTGTGCCAAGTCTCGGCATTGTAGCTGGAAAAGTACGAGAGATATTTTTGTTTATGTTTGCTTCTCTGTGTTTGTGCACGTGAACTGTGCTACTGATCTCTACTCTGAATCCTAATTCTACCTTGAAACAGTTGTGGAAGAGCTTTTAATTTGTGGATGTGCCACTACCTAATCTTATTTGCAGATCCTTTGTAGTTTAATTAAACTAGTCCAAAAGTTGTGCATGGTGTTGTCTGTGACAAGTACTAATCACTATTATCACAAAATGCATATTTCCCCCTTTTTGTTGGTCAAGAATCAAGAGAGTGAGCAGCAAAGAGTTGTCTACTGATGCATAATACTTTCTAACTGTGATTAGCTCTTATCAGTTTTCCTACTCCTGCATGATTTCTTTTTTTTTTGGCTTGTCCTTGAAAAATGGTACAGTACATTGTCTCCTTAAGCTCTTAGAGAGTTATTTCCATAAACTCTTATAAACAACAAAGTTATTTCAGTAATGAGTTATTTGCCTCAGCTTACAACTGAAAAATCATGAACTCTGCTGGACCTCAACAATAGGTTGTTCTTTTCACTGTCTTTAACTGCATTACCGTTTACTTTCTTCTCGGGATTAGGTATGATAGTCCATTTGGATCAAGCTCTTGGGACAGAGGTCGAGATAGGTATGTTTAATGTGATTAGCATGTTTTTACATTGTAGCTCTTATAAGAGGGTGCCTGGATTAGATAAATGTTGTTTGCACACCTTGAGTAATCCAAGAATGGTTATTATGGTAACCAGTCACATGAACATCAACCCGCCATTCATAGTCTTCCTGTTACTACTGTGTGATTACTCCCTCCTTTTTTTAAGTAAAATGTATTTCAAGTTGGATTGGCTGAAATGTTTTCAACACAAGAATGTCCCAGAAATACATGTAGATGTATTTTCAGTGCTCAGGGTATTCTGACTTTGAGAGTAAGACTCTTCAAGTTCCTCTACTAATAGATATTTTACTGACCATGATTATTACAGAGTAGATGAAAATGGTTATTTTATTGAATGAAATTTGTTGTTTTATACATAGCCTGGGCTGGTGATTATTTGTTCATAAGTACTGTAATTAGTTTGCAAAGTTATTTACCAATGTTGGGTTTTAACCTTACTTTATTTGTCATTTGCACTTATCAGGGATGAAATAGGTTCATCTTTCTCCAGTGAGAGGCGCTCCAGTCGTGAAGAGAGGTAATTATTTGTGATTTTGATTTGATTTTCATCTTCATTTTGCCTCATTACTGGAGCATTCTATAATTGATATTTTCAAGTGCTATGCAGAGGAAACTCTCGTAAGGCCACACCCTCTGAATAAAGAAAAGTGACTATGATTGGAGCTGGCCCCCTCCAAGAGCCACTCTCATACTGCTAATTGTCAGGCTTCATTTAGAGGTGTAAGCAATAGATGGTTGCTTACAGGAGCTCTTCCAGTTGGAGGGGTTACATGCAGACAGGGCTTAGAAATTCTTTGCCACTACATTTGATAAGAGGAACTCTTGCAAATTTTAGTTAAAGTTTGGAACCTCAAACTCAAATGTTTGTACTGTTTTTATTATATTTTGCAGGGTAAACAGAAAGAGAGATTCAGAGCCTGTGAATGTGTCATCAACAGGTAAAAATTCTGATTATTTTACATTGCTGTCAATTGTTGACTGAGCATTATATTGCTAACACGCATCCTTAATATGTAGATGAAGCCCAAAGAAAGTTTGGAAACTCTAAGAGCATTTCATCAACTCAGTTCTTTGGCAATGACCAGGTACGATGAAGTAATGATCTGTAAGATGAAATCCATAATGTTTTGGCAGAGTCATTTCCATAGTGCACCATTGTGCAATTTTGTGCTCAAGTTGGTCATTAGAGACATACTGTAAATACACACTCTACACTATGTTCATTGCTTAGAAGTTGAACTTGGAGTAAATGAGGTGTATTCACATAGCACCAATTACCATGTAAATGTAGCCTCAGAACTGAGTGCTTCTAAAGCTTATTGTGTGTGTCTTTGGTTTTCATGGTATTGTAGGAAGAATATGCTATCAAGTCACGACTGGATCGTTTTCAAGGATCTAACAGTCTTTCAAGTGCAGACCTCTTTGGTGATGATGATAGCAGACCTTCTCGGTCAAGTAAGAAATTTTGTTGGGATGACTATTAGCAACAAAATCAGTCTGCCAAATTGACTGAGTATTATTTACTTTTGTTGAAAAACTAAGGGCAGACTTTGAGACTATTGTCATCATGAGTTGCTAAAACTAACCTGGAAATATCTATATTTAAGCATGCAATAATGTAATTTAGAACTTACTTTCATGTGTAAGGGTATGTATCACAGGAACTGGTAAATATTAATTATTTTTAATACTGGAGATCATTTTGCTATTAACTTGAAAGGGTTGCAGTTCAATACTATCCTTTCCTTGTGGTAATACTCTTGATTTTTTTGTCCAAATTAATCATGGTATGCATTTTATTTTTCCTTATTCTTCACTCAGATGCCTCTGGCAGTTTTTCATCAGCAGATCTTTCACAGCTGAAAGAGGGAGTTGCTAGAGTGACTGGAAAGGTAGGAATACTATCGATGTTAAGATACTGTAGCATGTTAAAAGCCCCATAACGAAATAAAGAAATTAAAACAGTGATTAGTAATTGAGAGATTAGAAAGATGATAGGAGAAAGTGTCTACAAATAAATAGATATTGAATGCTGAGTAAATGAGTATACCAGACATAATTGATACCAAATAATGATAATAATGATGACAGTGATACTAACAATAGAGATTATAGAAGTAAAAGAGGAGTACCCTAATAATTACTTATTAATTAGTTACTTGTCCTTTAAAAATTTTGACATTAATTGTAGAATTACCTGACAATAAGTATTTCTGTTTGCTGTGACATTATTCTGATTCTTGTTACAGTTGTCAAGTATGGCCTCAGGAATGATAGGAACAATACAGGTAAATGTTGCAATTAGTTCTCAATATATATGCATTACTGACCAAGTGTGAGGTCAAGATGGCTCTTCTTTTGAGTTTTTATGGTCCAAGAAAAGTTGAGGTCTCTTAAAACAAATACACAAAAAGAATGAGGCTAATATTCAGAAATCTTGACCAAACAAGCATGGTCAGTGAAGGACTTCATGTTCAACATGAAGATTTTGCTTTCATTAATAAGAATCAAGAATGATGTGTTTATTTTCAAGTATTGGGAAACAAAGCCTGCTGGTGGGAATGGCACGTGCTTATTTCTTATTTGACAAATTGAAAAGTAACATGATTTTATAGGGTTACAATGTGATGACTAAATGTCAAAAATTTTAATGGAATTAAAAAAGCTACTCAATCTTTCACAATAATTTTTTTTCCTGCTTAGTCTAATCATTTGCATCAGTAAAACAGAGCATTGTCTTTCTTTTGTTTGAAATAGAACAAGGACCACATGTTAAGTCAGTGATGAAAATTTTAACTTTTCTTTTCTTTCATTTTTCAGAATCGTTACAGTGGGTCCAGTTGAAGATTGTTTCAAGCTTTTGCAATTAACTAGGGGAATTTATCATCTTTGGTAATAATCTTACCAAAGGATGATAGAATTGGAAAAGTCACAAAGGCAGAATCCTTCCTTTTTGATAGAGTATTTATTTCATTTTATTCTTTTCCTTTGGTTGGGGAGTTCTTGAATGATAATTAGATTCTCTCAAAATGGTCTATACTAAGTGTAATTTGATGACTCTCTGGAAGAAATCTGTTTTTGATGAGTTACATGATTGTGGGATTGCAATCCTTGCAATTATCTGTTACAAGAAACAAACTTCAGAATAATTTTAAATGAAAATTGCTTTATTAAATTCCCTTGTGGTAAGAACTTTATTATAAAGGCAGATTGAGTTGAATGATAAAACAGCATTGTGAAGATTTCTAGAAACTGTTTCTTTCAGAAGCAAATAATTTGATACCGCCTTATGGTGTAATTTAGATTAAGATGTTACCCAGGGAGGAAAATAAAATGAAAGGAAAAAACTATTTTAACTATTCACATAGCTCTTTAGTTATAGAAAACTGTTCAGAAAGTCAAATTAGCGTTTTAGCAATACATAAAATAAAATTGAAATGACAGTGTAATTGTAATATTCATTGCATTTTAAGTTGATGGTACTCTCAAAATAAGTTTAATCTTTTTCTCAAATTCATTGTCAATGAGAACCCAGTCACACCAACTGAACTTGTTTTGAAAAAGGAGTTAGTCAAAAATAGCATACAAACTGAAAGTATTCTAATACATATTCTATAAATAAAATTCATGCACCATACAGACTTGTTTAATTCCTAACATTTAACATCTCAATCAGGTTTTTAAGATGCATGGGATAGTGTTTGATCAAATCATATAAATTGTTCACATGTTTATTGTCGATTAGCCTGTGCAAGACTCCCAGTTTGGTGAAGAAGTTCAATCCAGGCAGCAAACAAGACAGGTGATCTCCACAACCCTCTCCCAGAAGTGTGCCAATTTTCAATATTCCATGTTTTTGGCTAGTTTTAATTGAATGAGAGCCTTGTACAGGGTAATTATTTGATTTTGACCAGTTTTTCACATTACAAAACAGGTTTTGGTTACAAAACTGTTTGCATCCATCACTGGGTTACAGGAATTGATAACTTAGAAGTACAGCATGTACATGAATGAGTTCAAGACATTTTCTTGATAATTTACCTTTCTCTAGTTTGCATCGGTATGTGCTTTATTTAGCTTAGCAAATTAGCAAGTAAATGTTTGGCAAAAATAGATTATAATAAGAAAGAATATTTTTCAAATTTAAAGGTATTGTGTGTGTATGGAGGGATCTCTTTCACTTGTTTTGTTCTTAAAACTTATAGTAGTGTTTCCATTTAAAGAAAATACTACTATGAGACTTGTTACATCTCACCTTGATGCACATAACAACATGACTTTTTAATTCAGTAAAGTGCTGTGATTGGAGAGCTAGGTGAAATTCTGTTTTCATGTCTCCTTTCAGGATGCGTGCTCATCCTGCTATGGCAGTGTTACTGTTTCTTTTTCTTTTTTTTTTGGTCTTTGATTAAACTATTTTACCATCTGGTTACTTCTCGTTTTAATTGTATTGATTCTTGTGAACCATTGCTTCTAACCCTGGTCCTGAAATGGGTTTCTTATTGTCACAATTTGACCTTGGAGCAATTTCTCAACCGAAGGAAGATTTAATTATTCAAAACGAAGATTCTCAATGTTATTACATTCCAACCATTGTTTCTACGCATCGACGACCATCAAAGAAAATTTACTCAAGAAACATCAACAATGTCATCTCTATCACACGCGTTGGCCATCTACCGAGAACCAAATCCACCAGTAATTTTGCTCTCCTCAATGTGCGTTCGATTGTTAAAAATCAACTCATTTATGCGATTTGGTCATCTCCCACCATTTAGACATCCTGGCCATAACAGAGACTTGGCTTAAAGGAACCGAGGATGACAACCATGTTATTACTGACATCAACAACATTCTTCCGCATTTTAAACTCCACCACATACCAAGAAGGAATCGTAAGGGCGGCGGAGTCGCTTTGTTGATACGAGATGGTTATACCGTACTGCAAAATTCCATCATGAACACAAGCTCATTTGAGTACTTAGATGTGAGCATATCCAACAAAAGTGAGACATTCCGTTTAATTGTTCTCTATCGCCCTCCTCTGTGCAAAAAGAACAACACTGGAAATAGCTTTTTGCAAGAATTCTCATCTTTTCTTGAAGAACTTACATTATCAAGGCAGCCCATTATAATTGCCGGTGATTTTAACTACCATGTTGATGATCTATCAAATCCTGAAGCTGCCTCCTTTCTAAATCTCCTTGAGTCCACTGATCTAATTCAAAATGTATCTGGATCCACTCATCGCCTGGGCCACACATTGGACTTGATATTATCTCGTGAAGAGAATAATGTTATAACGGATGTTCGCATTCTATCAGCCGACAATATTTCAGATCATAATTTGGTTACTTGTAAGGTGAAATGTACAAAACCGAAACCTTCTACACTACATGTTAAACACAGAAACACCAAAAGGCTCGATTTAGCTAGTATGATCAAAGACATCGAAGAATCTAATCTCATTACTAATCCACAGTCTTGTGTAACTGAGCTGACTACACAATATAATACTAATCTCTCGTCTATCTTTGATCAACATGCTCCTGTGAACGAGAGATGGGTCACTCTGCGACCGCATTCTCCTTGGTATACTGATGAACTTCGTAAGGCTAAACAAGACAAACGTCGTCATGAAAGAAGATATATTTCATCTGGTCTTCAAATTCACCAAGAAATATTTATTGATTCCTGCAAACACTACAATGATCTTCTAACAGCGACAAAGACAAACTATTATCGGACTCTGATCAGCTCCTCTGACCAATCACAACTATTCAAGATGGTATCTCGCCTATTCTTATCAAAGAACATTGCTGCACTCCCTAATAATGATTCATTGGATACATTGACCGAAACGTTCAACGATTTTTTTTCAAAAAAAATTGAGAAAATAAGATCGGATTTGGACTCCCATACTGCCCAAGCACCCGACATCAACGTCAATTATCCAGTCACCTCGTCGTTCCAAATTTTTCAACCTGTATCTGCTGATATTGTTCACAAACTTATTGTTCAATCTCCAACTAAGTCTTGTCAACTGGATCCCATTCCAACACGAATTCTAAAGTCAATTCCACACTTGACGCCAATTATAACCAAGATTATCAACGCCTCCATGGCTAACGGAGAATTTCCTGATCAGTTAAAACAATCCCTGGTATGTCCATCTTTAAAGAAGCCTTCATTGGACCCGAACTGTCTCTCAAATTACAGACCGATTGCAAATCTATCTTTTCTCTCAAAAACAATCGAAAGGGTGGTCGCAAATCAAATATACAGATTTATGGCCGAGAACCAGTTATTTCCAGCGATGCAGTCAGCATACCGCAAATACTACTCCACTGAAACTGCTTTAATAAAAGTCTCAAATGACATCCTAAGAGCTGTAGATCAAAAAGAAGAAGTAGTACTTGTTTTGCTAGACCTTTCCGCTGCGTTCGACACGATCGACCATAACATATTACTTGAAAGAATGGAGAAACGTTTCGGATTTAGAGGTATCGCACTAAAATGGTTCAAATCATACCTAGAACATCGTGTTCAGTCAGTGAAGATCAATCACTCTATCTCTAAGCCTCGACATATCTCCTACGGCGTACCCCAGGGATCAGTACTTGGTCCACTACTCTTTCTAATGTATACCTCGCCTACAGAAGACATTGTTGCTGAACATGGCCTAAACTGTATGATATATGCCGATGATTCGCAACTTTACATAAAGATAAACTCCTCTGACAGAATGCTAGGCATGGAAAGATTGAAATCATGTGTTAATGCAATCATGGAGTGGGCCAAGAAAAACAGATTGCAGTGCAACCCTTCAAAAACAGAAATCATTCATTTCCTCTCACGCTTCTCAAAAATCCTCCTTTCTGTAATATCAATATTGGAGATGATATCATTAATTTATCTAATACTGTCCGAGACCTAGGCGTCATGCTTGATTCTGTGATGAACTTACGCTCGCATATAAATTCCATCTGTAAATCGTCGTCTCTAGCAATCAGAAATATTGGTCGCGTTCGTAAATACCTCTCGACGCAGCAAAATGAAAGATTGATACACGCCTTTATCTCATCGAGACTTGATTATTGTAATAGCCTATTGTACGGTCTACCGATTTGTGACATCGAAAAATTCCAACGGATCCAAAACACAGCTGCCCGCTTGTTAGTCGGTGCCAAATCAAGAGACAGTATAACACCTATACTTAGGAAACTTCATTGGCTCCCGGTCACAAAACGAATTCAATTCAAGATACTGTTGATAACATACAAAGCACTAAATGACATGGCTCCAACCTATCTTGTTGAACTTCTTAGTCGATATATTCCAGCACGAAACCTCCGTTCATCAAATATGAATCTACTTGAGGTCCCAACAATTCGAACTAAAACGTATGGGCAAAGAGCATTCTCCTACGCAGCACCGTATTTGTGGAACCAACTACCTGAATGCATAAAAAACGCCGAATCTGTTGACTCCTTTAAACGCTTATTGAAAACTCATCTTTTCAAAAATTAAGCCACCAGATTATTTGATATCGTACGTTGTCAAACATATGCATAACACGTAATAATTCATTAGTTTAGATAGAGTAGCGAATTGCATGTATAGGATTTTTATCGAAATTTTGTTAATTTGTAATTGTAAAGCGCATAGAGTTCAATTTTAATGCGCTATATAAGAACTTATTATTAATTAATTAATTAATTGTGATTTCCTGTCATTTTATCAATTGCCTCTCTCTTTTTTTCTTGACTACACTACACACATAACTTGTAACACCTTTATGGGTGCCTCTTACCTTAAGTTCCCTCTTGAAAAAGTAAAAAAAATTGAAGGAAGGACCTGCTGAGCCCTCTCTGACCAATTAATTCCACACTTAACCCTATGTTATTTGGGGTTTCAAAGCTGTAAATAAAGTTAAAAGATCAAAACTGACTATGTAATTTAGTGTTATCAACTGAGTTGAAAAAGTAAATTGTCCACCATTAAGACTTAAACTCTTTACCGTGGCCAATTTACGTTTTTAACTTGGTTGATAACACTAAATTACCTTGTTATACTCTCCCACCAACGCAGCACTACAGTTTCTTTAGAAACTTAGCCCCCTTTATTCAAAACCAACAATGGTTTGATGTGGTTAACAAATGTGCTGTACATGCTGAGGAAGAGGTCTGGGAGGGGTATGTAGAGGGTGGAAAGAAAAATTTTAAAACGAAGGTGTTAGAAGGGTATTCTTGGAAAATTTGAGAAGGGTTTACTGCATACGTTAAGTTTTCAGAAAGCCTCATACTTTTTTATATTTATGTAAGACATTTTCCCCACCTTAAGAGGGTGAAAAAGGACGGGAATTTCGAACCTTAGTTTCAGAATTTTTGGCTTTTCAGACTGGAAGCGGCAAAGAACCTCACTAATTTGAGTTGCACTCTACAACCCCCCCCCTTCCCCCCCCCCCCCCCTCCCTTCCTTCCCTCTCGTGTAAACTTGAAACCTGAAGGAAGGAGAGACTCTTGGAGTAAATAGGGGTAGGAATTCTTTGATATTGTAAATAATCCTATGGTTTGATATCACTGATTTCCATCTCAATTAAAAAATGATATTTCAAACATCACTGTTATGTTATAGCAGCCAAGCGGAGAGCGACTTAATGATGCTACCAACCCCTCCTACAGTGAGAGGTTTTAAAAGGACACCTTATGTATCTTACATGAAGTTTGCACCTGCTCCACGAAGGAGGAGTCTGCGTTCACGCCAGTGTCCTCACTTTCCTTCGTTATGGTTTTCTAATACAAGTAACTCTCGAAATTTGACATGTAGAGACAATTTACAGTAATGGGAAATTGTTACGATTGCTTTAGCCCACAACCAGAGGTTGAAACCCCGGATCCGGTGAGTGAAAAACGCGTTATTCTGCAAAGATTTGTAGCTTGGCTTATTCTAAGTTTATCGTAATAACATTCACTATAATCATGTGGGCTTTTGAGCAGATATACACAGGAAATAAATATTTTTCTTTGAGCGCCATTTTTTTTGTATGTATTTTTGGGTCCGTGGAAGACATCATTGTTGCGTATTTGATATACAGGAAGTTAGAAGACGGCAGCAAGAGGAGGCTGCGTTGAAGCGACAGCAACAAGTAAGGCTAAATAATTGTTCAAAGAATACTGGCAGAAGTAATTCTCTTTGCACGGAATAAGCTTTAATCATGTCACTTAGCGTTAGGCTTTTCTAGCTGTTTGTGTTTGAAGGAATGGGGGGAGGGTTGATCAGAATTCTCTGGTTTGATACTCTCCAGCCTCCTGCACCTTTGACTCCCCTCTTGCCTCCTGTCTTCTTTTCTCTCTGCCTCCTCCCTGTTGACCCCTCCTCTTGAAAAGCTGACTGAAAGAAACCATCATTTCCTTCCTCCCTCCCCTGAGAAAGGGCTTATTTCCAGGTCATTTACCATGCCATGTAAAGCACTTGCTAACTACTTACAGGTAATGATATCTCAGTTTTACTCAGTATACCTTTACCGAATTTGTCTGTATTTTTGATTGGCTTTTTCTTGTTTAATATGCGAAATTTGTCATGGTTTGGATCCTTAGTTCACATGTTGTGGAGTGGGCCAAATGCCTCCTCTAATAATATCCCTCCTCTATCAGGAAATTATTTGCTTTTAATGCCACATTTCTTTTTTGGTAGCACTTGTGATGGTGCACTTTTACTGTTCCTGGATTGTCTTTTAAGTAAAAATCAGCCATTTTTCATGAAAGGGGATTCATTGGTACCTTTATACCAAAATAGGGCTTATAAATTTCTCATTCTTAATTAGGCTGATGGTCGTGGAGTTAAGGATCCAGAGAGACTCAAGAGACAACAGAAACGAAGAGAAGATGCTGAGAGGGAGGCTTTGAAGCATGGTCCCTCAGATGGGGGATTAAAGGTTAGCACATTTTGGCATGAACAAGTTCATCTTTTACAGATGGATGCCTTTTGTATCAAAAGTGATTTATTTATAATGTTTTACTCAGTGAGTTTGGCTTGAGTGGTCTTATTCAACAGGGTCAGTGTGTAGTTTCTTGGGTATAAGTCACTTGATGACCTAAGTACCTGTAGCTTAGCAGCCTTTGTGTACATGTATTCTGCAAAGTGGTATTATATGTGGGTGGAAATCTAGAGCGGCAGAGCTGAAATAGGGTTAGAGAAACCATTAACACCTGTTTTCACAACTCTGCCACTCAAAGCTTCAAACTACACACAAAACAGATAACATGAAGGCTTCTTCTTTCCACTAAGGAGTATTTTAAACAGTGTTAAAATATTACAAGGAGTACAAAAACTGCTTAGCCTAAACTTAAAAGGAAAAAATCAGTGGGATGTATCGACATACTTAATCATTGACAGTCTGCTGGGTCATTTGGCAATATCTCATTATTTTTAGTATTTACCTTTTGTTGGATGAATGTATTGTTGAGGAAGACAATTTAATCAGTTTGAGAAATCAATTTATGAAAATAAGTACAGATGATGCCATGTGCTTAGCAAACTTTTGATTGAAAAGTAACTGTTATTTGCAACTTTTATGTTATGATTTAAATAAAACATGACGGCACACTTTTGTATCTCATCCATTGTTTCTAACTGTGATCATTTCAATCTTTTCTATGCAGTGGACTGTTGGATAACTTTAGGACCAGGACAATCCCTCAAGATACCCTTGCATGAGAAATTTCAATTCAAAGTCTTCTTTTGGAAATGTATATCTAATGTAAGCTTTAAGCTTTTGGAAAAGTCAATTTGGTTTAAAAAATGTATATCTATGTATATCTAAATCTCTAGTAACAGTGTTACTACTGATCAGAAACAATTTTTACTTACAAGTAAATTTGATTTCTGGACTACTTCACTCAGGTGTTGTAGGAGGCTGAGTTACAAAATATTTAGAGTATAATTAGATATTCATATTTATCAGCCAGTGGGCAAACATGACATATGCCAGGCTTGAAGTTTCTAGCTCTAGGTTTCTTTGAAATTGGGTCTAAGTCCACTGATAATCTGGTGTTATCCCTTAAGTAGATAAAAATGTCAATTGGCCACCATAAAGAATTTCCAAGGCTAATATTTCAAGCATGAGCCCTTTATTTTGTCAGAATGGCTAGAGTTCAACCCAGGTTAACCCACTGTCTCTGCCTGTTGGTGAGCTACTGAACTCATTTCTCACTATTTGGACAAAAGTATGGCACCTATTGTCAAATCTTTACCATCATACATTAAAGACAGCCAATGTGCACATGAAATTTTTTGCAATAATAAAAGTTATAGGTAGGTATATGTAGTCAAAGTAGAGAGCTGCCAGCCAGAAAAAATAACTTTCTGCTTTGTAAGTTACATAGCATGTTGTGTGTGGGTATTTTTAAAGCTGAGGCTGTAAAGAAATGTGTATAAGAAAACAACAGACTGCTTAAATCAAAGTTTTTTTTAGTCACTTTCATCCCTACTTGAATGAACACAACATTCCCTTTGGCTGAGACTGCCCATTTGCCAATAGACTGTCTTGATTACCTTGCAAGGTAGAAGTAAAAGGCACTTAAGCTGTAAAAAAAATGGTAATGTGAAAATTGTAGTTAAAATGGGTATAGATTGTTGCAAATTATTATGCAAAGAAAGGGTATTTAAATTAAATTTATTTCTCATTGTGATGCTCAGGACTTATTAACAACTGCAAGAAACTTAACAGTTTAAAATTCAAATCAGTGCATTCTTGCTTTATAATGAGTTCTGGTTTCTTCTCTGTGAGTGATGGTTGAATTGCCTTAATTTCAATCCAAATCACAAATGAGAATTGAATTATTGAAGAAAAATTATTAATTTTTTAGAAAATTAGTTGGGTAAAGTATTTAAAATCCAGTATTTATCATGTGTGCCAAACAGTTGTATGCATTAGGTCTAACATTGTAGAAAAGCCATAAAATGTTTAAAATTGATGTCACTTACTAGTTATCTCTGATCAGTTTTAAAAATATACATGGCCAGGAATAATTTTGCAGGCGTGTTAGAATAACATTGTAAGCTAGTTTCACTTGACAAATAAAGAAGCCTCTAATGTACTCTTTACTGTTGAATAGTTGGCATCAAGTGGCCAGAAGACAAAAGAAGTGTTGAGGGAAACACCAGTCCGGTCAAAGCAAAAACTAGAAATTCAGCTAGCTTACCATACATCTGAATTCTAATAGAGTACACTTTTGGAATAAGTCAGATTGAGTTATATTTAACACATTTACCATAGTGGAGGTGGCTAGTGGTAGATTTTAAACAAGCTGGGAAGTGGCAAGGTAAATATCTACAGCTAGCTGCCAACACTGAGGTGGATATTCCTTTTAGTATCTACTAAAACAGGGAGCTGATACAGTACGAGATGATTTTAACTCATTTATTCCTGTTGCAAATCCTGTGTGTTGCCTGGATATTTGGAGTTTGAGTAGCCAATTAGAGTGTGCCTTTTACACTTTCTACTGTTTTAGTATGTACTAACAAAATTTAATCATAGATTAAGAACTTATTGCTTAGCAGTGAAAAAGAATTCAGATCTACAAGTTACAGCTGTTTTAACTAGAATCCACTCAAAGTCAGTTGTCTGTCAATTTCCTCTTGCTAAAATGTGTTTGGTTTTTTTTTGAGAAATGTGTTGATTTGCAAGTGACAGAATGAGGCTTGAAACAATGCTGTTGTGGTGGAAAACACGAGGACACTATTTTCTCTAGAAGAATGATAGGCTTGATTTTCCAGTCATGCTTTAGCTTATATTTGCTGAGAGAAGGATTATAAACCAGAGTCCAAAAACTGCTTAAACCAAGCATAAGACAAACTCTTTCAGTGAAAATCAAGAGTAAGACAAACTCTCGCAAGTAAAATAATTATGCACTTCCAAAATGAGGCAAATTTTATTAAACCTTTCTGAAACATTGCAACTAATTTACAATAAAAAACATCTTCACACCAATAAACTCCATAATGTAGCAAATTTCGTGAGTTTTTATTTTTAAAGATTTGAAGTTTTCTTCAACTAAAAAAACAAATGTCTGCCAAAAATTTTCACTAGGCATAGCTCAACAAAGATTTTCATGCTAAAACCAAAAGAGAAAACTCCTCTGGAATAAGGAAAGGCAGAGGGAAGCATGTTGAATTTTATTTCATTGTTTTATCAGTCCTTTAAGGCATCTAGATTCCAAGATTTCACAGAGTTTAAAGAATTTTTGATTAGTAATTAAAACAATAAGTATTAAATACATCTCTAACTTTCTGGGTAGGCTGCAGCAACCCAACATGTTCTAGAACTTGAAAATATTACATTTCCGTCACAGTGACTATTTAAGTTCTGTTTGAACAAAAAAAGCAGTGCAAATAATATCTATCACTGTTGAATTTTTGTTCAATTCCACCTTGGATTGTCAATATTTTGTTCCCTAAAGCACAAAAAATTGCTGATCTGCCAAATGTAATCCCATAAAATTTTCATGCTCCACATTATCTTGAAATTGCAACTTACAATTCTTGAGTTGCATTAATTTAAATATCAGCCATAGCATAACTGGCTCACAATGCTTAATCTTAACTTATCACCAATGATACCAGTATGTCATTCCTGATTCTCAATTGTGTATTCAAATTTGCTAATGAAACCCCAAAAGCAATTGTCTTCATTTAAAAAAAACTCCCTTTAAGCTTTTGGAAAAGTCAATTTGTTTTAAAAAATTATTCTTCTCTTGGTTAACCTGCCAAGCTATCAACATCTTTTCTTGCAACTAAATACAAAGTTTTGTGAGATATAGTTTACCCATATCCCATGAAACATAGCATACATACATGTTAGTACCTTATTCCTGCTTAAATTTTGTTTAACTGCGCACATGCACAAAAAAATTGCCCTATTCACAGCCTTGGCACAGCTTGCACATTTTATGACTCTACATAAAGAAAAAGTTTGTGCCGCATTGACCTTGAAGAGGTTCATGCCATACTTAGGTCACTGGCAAATACCAAATTTAAAAGGCATCCAATGTATGTAGTACACACATAATACTATAAAAATTAGAATTCATATTTTAAAATTATTAAAAAATATTAGAAGTTTCTTTAATTGAAGGATCTAACTGGGTCCAAATACAAAGCTTTTATGTTGAAGCAGAGCATGGCATTCCAGGTATTTGACTGTGATGATGATGATGGGAACAGGCCTGAGGTGTTGCTAGGAAGACAAAATGATATGGCAATTTAGTGAAATTTCTTCTCCATTATGCCATGTTGGACACATTTTCTGTTTATTGCCGAATGTTTTGAGCAGTCATCAGCTGAAATTTATTAAGAACTACAACTCCAAAGGGTGTCTTAGTGGTCTGAATCATTTGACAGTCTCAGATCTATGCCCCTTATTTATGCCCTTATCTGAAAAATTCAAAGATGAGAAAGTCACAATAATTTATAAGCCTTACATGAATCAATTACCAGCCAGGAATACACTAGCCACCACAAAATCAGTCAGAGAGAGAATATATACCCAAAGTACTGATCTTGTACTGTAATGAAAGTAACTTACATGTCAAAATTCTTCCTATCTTATTGGGATCATGGCGACTGATAAAGTGTTCCAATGTGTCCCATCCACCTCCAACTCTCACCATAACATGGTTCCTTAAAATCTTAAGTCACAAGAAAACAAGGTTACATTAAAAATTCATTCAAACAGTGTGCAGATCTAAGATTTTGATCATATTATCTTGTACAATAAAAGTCTCTTTACCAATTGCAATTATCAATTGGCAACTACATGTATAAATATTGTTTCAGACTCAGTCTTTCCCTACAGTGATAAAGCACTGATTGCATTGATGCTCATGCATGACTGTGTCTGCCCAGTTTCACTCCTAGTATTCACAAACAATCTAGACTCTCTTCAAAGGCTTTCTTCAGATAATTTTCTTCAATTCTTTTTTAGAACATCCAGGCAGCAAATTGTAGACAAAAACAATAATACTGAATATTCTTTTAAAGCTTTCAGATCTGAGGTCAGATTTTACAGTAAACCCTATGGTTAACCTAGTTTTGAAAAACTTGGCCCAAATTATTTCTGGCATGAAAACCTCCAGCAGTACCAGCTTCTTAAGGCCAACACACAAGCACATTTGAGTTGACCTTAGCTTCTCATATTACATGCAAAAATGAATAGTTTACACTACCAGTCACTGTGTATAGAACTAAATTACACAGCATGTCATTACCCTGACAAAGATGTTGATTTTTCCATCCACCACATATCTCCCTTCTTTAATTTTTTCAATTCTCACATTATACTTCGCAGCTAGTCTTGCAACCTGTCAAAGGAACACTTTACATGTAATCTGGCACATGCATGCAATCATAATACTCAGCCATTCAAAGAATGTAGAAAACAATAACAACCAAAAGGCTAGATAACTGGAGAAGAGAGGGAGATTATAGTATTCCATGATGTTTTGAAAAGGAAATGAACTAATATAAGTTTGAGTGATTAACAAGATTGAATAAGTAGAAGATTGAGTTAGGAAGAATTCTTCTAGATACAAATATTCTTCCACTTACATCAAGTGCTACTTACATTACAACATAAAATCACATCAATATTAACTGTCAAAATTTAAATTCAAGGATAAAAGGATTACAAAGTAGCCAAGTGTCTCCAATACATATACCATAGTTGTCAAAGCAAACTAATGTGGAGTTGGCAGTTAGTTGCACATTTGAGAAATAGCCATTTTTACCAAAGCATACACCCCATAGAATCAAATGAATATGAACCTTCATTACACCTGCATTTCATGAAAGTCAGAATGCAATTCTTTAATCATTTATCTCCACATAGTAAAAATTCACAGAAGTAAGTCTAACCCAATATTTTCTTCATTGGAACAATTAGGGTTACTATATCCTAAAAGAAATACTTATTATCATTAATTTTCCTTCTCTACTCCTTAAAATACAATTTCAAGTCAAAAGTTATGGAAACAGCAGCAGAGCCTTAAATAACCATTTAAACTGCAATTGAAAATCATGTCAAGTTTGGTTGAATTTCATTGGGCATACATTACAGAGGCTTGAAAGCCAACATTATTTGAGAAAAAACAGGAGTTGTGTTTATATTCCAATATATTTCAGGGCCTGTAGTTGATTTAATAATGAGTCACAACCCTGGCTGGGATCTATATTTTTACAAAAACTGTGCTGCTGTGTTAGTAATATTTGATGCCTTGCCAAGTAACATCAGTGGGAAAACAAGATATGTGGTATAGTAAAATGTGGTCACCAAAACACATAGCTACCACAGAAAATTACATATAATTAAAGTTTTTTTCTCTCTTCTTTTGCCATAAAGAAATGAAGTTTAAGTTGATAACTGTTCAGTTTCCTAAAACTGAAAGCTTTCATGTAATGATCCCTAGATCATACGTGAAGCAACAACTGTATTTGCTCAACAAAAGTTGACTGATATTATTTTCAGTGCGAATGATCTATTACATTTAATAACTGTGTAGACAGCATTAGTCCTTGCAGAATACCATTCTTTTATCAGCAATAAATGATCTTATGTGATAAATGCACGCTCAATAACCTTCGTCGGTTTCTGTCGCGTAAGTAACTGAAATTGTCTATACGCAGGCATTGAAACAGCCGGAAGGACCATTAATACAATTTTACGTAATTCGCGTGGGCATGTATATATAAATTCCCTCATATGAGTGACAATAATATTCATCTCAATGACAATTTCATCGCTTTATCATTGAAATGAACAACACAAAATTGTAAACAGTAGGCCGTCGGCCGAGAAACGGCGAGTGGTCTTTCATAATTAATTGATGTAAACAATAATAAGTCGTGAACTTTAAAAACTTGCAGGTGCAATTAACCTTGATATAGCAATGTCAGGAATGAAACTACACACCCATCGATTGAGTGATATTTTCAAAGTAAAATATCGACTGCTTACCTCAGCGTCAATGCTTGCTGCTTTCGACACTTTTTTTTCCTTTCTGATTGGTTTTAATTCCGGCTTCTTCTCCTCCTCCGCGGCAATCTCATCGTCAATTTCTTTTTCTAGCTTGACAAGTTTTGGAGGTTCTATTCCATAGTTTGCACCCACTCTGGCAATTGCTAGTAGACACAATATCACTTCTCTTGGTTGCTTTTGAAGAACCAGCCCATCCGATTCAAAGAGAACTGAATCTTCAATCTCGATCTGTCGACACCACTGCAAGAAATGAGCCGCATTGTCCCGAGCAAAAAATGTGCCCGCTTTAGCGTTTTGGTGAAACTTGTTAGAGAACGGGGCAAGTGATTTCACTGATTTTCCAGCTTTTATGCAGTCTTGAGCAGCTGACTGTACGATCTGAGCAAGTTTACAAACCAGGACACCGTTATCTAAACAATCTAATAAATTTTCGGCGGTAATTTTTTCTTGCAGAACTCTCGATAGCCATTCCGCTAGGTCTTCCTTCAAAGGCAGCAGATCCTGCTCTGAACGCTCGGCAATCTTCGAAGTCAAATCCATGTCAGCTCTTCCTCCTTCCTCTTCCATAGTTTCTCTCAGTAATAAAGTGAGCAAATATCCTTGTTATCAAGAAAGTGAACGATATTAATCACAATCTAGGCCAACATTACGGACATGCACGACTAAATTAGTCCGTGATGTAAACATCCGATAGCTGATCTGTGAAGTGTTTAACTAGCGCTGGCACTTAATATTTCCCTAATGACCTCTAAAAACTGAAATTAACATTCTTTGGCAAGTGCTGATGTTTCTATTTCCAGAAAAACGTCCTTGCATAATGCTGAATCAGAAAATGTAAATTTCCAAAGAGGGAAAAAATTTTAGTTTCGTCCAGGTTTCACCTTTGTCGTCACGCTAGGCTGACGCGTGCGGTTTTGGCGGGAAATCGCGGGCTCTTTAAGGAAATTGACCAATCAGGTATCAAAGCTTGGTCCTTCAGAGAGAATAGGAAAAGGGCATTCACCAAGACACTTGAAACCGAATTACTGCTGATATCTAACCCAAATTTCTACCTATCCAGACAAAAAAATTTTTACTTTAAATCTAGATTAAAATCAAAACTTACGAGGTTTTGCATTTTTTAGAGGATCTTACAATTGCAATCTCTCCCACCTCTTTAATTGTAAATTAAAATTCTCAAATTGTTAATTATGATCACCACATTTTAATATCTCACTTTCGAGTGATTACGTACCTAAAGACATAAAACTTGGACTGTGCGCAAATCATTACTTTTGGCTTTACTGAAATATTTCACCAACTCATCCTGATTCAACCACTTACTAGGCGCAAGGTAGTTCCCACAGACATCCTAAAATGTCTTTGAGTGTACCCGGCCCTCTTTTAGCGCAAAGTAAAGTGCAGCTCTCCCCCAGGAACTAAACTTTCTTAGCATAACAAAGCTGTTTTAATGAGAGAATCAGAATTTTTTGTTTTCCTTGCCACAAGCAAATGCTATTGTTTTGAATGCTTTGACCATTACTTTGTATGAAAAATACACCCACGCAATCGATACCCCTCATGCGACGGACTCGGTTCATGTTTCTCCCGCAAGATTCGTCATTTTACATGAGAAACTTTATTCAGAGGTGTGTTTAGCTTTTCCTTGACCTGGGTAATGTGAAATCTGATCATCAAAGACTGGAGTATGAAGTAAGTAACTTTGACTTGTTGCCCAGATGACCGATTATTAGGCGAGCCGTTGAGCGCGTAAAAATTCAATGACCAGGTTACATTCAATAACACCGACAAAGAATATTATGATGGAACAATAGAGAAAAACTGGACCGTGAGGGGTTATCAAAATATTTCTCTCTGCTAACCTGTTACCAGCAATGTATTCGATTTCTATGTGAACCAATTTTTAAGTCCAGCGTAGCACATTTTCCTATTAATTCTACTCAAAATCAAATCGACAGACCAGTCGAGATTGTTTATCAGTAAAAAATTGAATGTCTTCTATGAGATTTTTCTGAGATATGATCTGAGTATTTCAACGAAAAAATTGTTTATTATGCCAGCTTGTGCTGGTGTTTTGCTGGTTTTTTTTTTTTTTTTTTGTTTTTTTTTTGCTTTTTCTGATCGAGCCGATCGAAATTGTAATATTTTTTCTTTTATAGTTAAGCCCAAAATTGGAGTTGTCTCCGAGACTTTTATGTATTGAAAAATATTTTTTAAGTATCGAGGACAGTTCTTTTTTATCAAAACTGCTGTTTGCCCTAACGATATGATGGAATGATGTTAGACCAATTCTTAGCTTGGTAAATGAGTTTGCCCAGAGCAGAATATCAAATGGTGCTTTGGCTCGTTTACTGTAGTATCTATAACCTTCAAATGATCTTTTTAATTATTTGACTATATTCTTCAACTAATGGAGGGATTCATCTTCTCTAATGTCGTCAGAGCCTGCAAAGGTCTCACTAAATCGTAACATTGTTTAGTTTGCGTATGATACTAAAATACATAAAATAAAAAAATTGTACCCTGTAACTGGAAATTCTGTAATCTGACAAATCAACATTTCTATTACAAGACGGCATAGCTCACAATGAAGCTGACGGATGAAAGGGACACTTAATATCAATTAATCTTCATTCCTTTTGGCAATTCCACTCATTTTCTCAGTCCAAGTAACGGATTCATCTGGTCGTCACTTATTTAAATTCCTCTAAGTCTGTTTTGGCTAAGCAGCTTTTAGAAATGTGCTGAAATGTCTAGCTTAGGCGACGGAAAGGATTTTTCTCATAGGTTGTGTTTATTAGCATCGGACTCACCAGGTTTTTTTACCATTATGAATAATCGCCTTTTTCGTGACAAGGAAGGGGCACGTAAGCATTCAACTCTTCAACCCCCTCCCCCCTCCCCCCTCCCACACAAGCAACTGCTGGTTGCGCCTTCGCAGTTGTTGTCACAACTACAATTTATTTTCACGAGATTCTATTTGAACATCAAATTGATAAGTTAGCTTTTTGGTTTGTTTGCATTTTGAGGCTTATCTTTTCTTTCTTGCTGTAGGTTGGCTGTTCTCACATATTTATTCATTTTCACAAGGATTTCCTGGGGAAAGGACGGTAGGTGTTACACTACATCGACGCAAGTTTGAGCAAATTACAACGGTCCTCTGTGACTCTTTAAGGTCTAGGCATGAAGCATCTATATACCTTAATAACATCTGATTTAATTGCGTGAATAAACAAAATTCGTTTTTACTTTTCGTTTTTCTTTTTTCACGCTCAAGAAAAGAAAATTGCAACTTTTAAATTTCTTAATTTGTTCGTGTATCACGATAAATGACATCTAACTTTCACTTTCGTTTCAATTTTTTTCGCTCACTGGAAAACATGCAGACCTCGAGTTTATGGATCAGTATAAGAATACTTTTGATTCGCACTGTAGTCAGTCACTCGATAAGCTGGAAACCACTCCGCTTCGCGTCGTGGTTTCTTGCGCTTATCTCGTGTTCTCCCAACCTCCCGCGTGTTTACATCAGGCTATGTAAACACGGAAACCATTTTACATTTCTTCAATAAATAAAAAAAAAATAAAAACTTTGCAAGTCAGGTTTGCGTAAAAGCGTGAATTCTAGGAATTTTCGGAGCATAAATCTCCTCTGGTGCTAGATATTCCATTTACTGGTCCTTCCCGGCCCGCCGCGTGAATAAGAGCCCGCTTATTCGCAGGGTACAGCATCGGTGTAAGCCGCTGCACTTCAGGTGCGCAGAAATTTGTTACTGTTAGGCCCTCATTTTAAAAAAGTCAATTGTCTGTGTTACCTAATTGACTGACTGCCCGAACGATTAAAAGACCTGACGACCCAATGAAACAATAACCGAATAATAGTCGAAAGACCGATCGATGCGTGATCGACTTACGACCGACGGCTCGATCAGTTATCGGTCACAAGCCGTGTTAAGAGATTCGACGGATACGTGACACTCTATCTTGATAAGGACTAGTACATGGCAAATAATGTTTAAGTTTCAAGATTTCTATGGTATCTGAGCTATAAAAAGGTTAATAGGCAGATCACCACTTACTGAGTTTTCGAAAGGGCAGGCGCGGTTATATTTGCAAATTAGCATTAAAAAATCAAAAGAGAATCGAGAGAATGACTCGTTGCTGGTTTCGCTACCCGCTTCACTGGTATTTCTTCGAAATTAAAAGCAAATAGACAGACCGCACGATCCTAGTCTCCAAACAATAATATAGCAAAGGGCACGTTACTGTATGGTAAAGTCTTGTATGAATTAGGATTTTTTTTCTTTTTTTATCAGTCATATTAATTTCCCTAGGCTTGACATATCGAATCACACCAGCAAGCCGATAGTTTGCAGCTTTCTTGAAAAAATAAATAAATAAATAAATAAATAAAAGTCAGATGACCATCCGCAAATCAACGGCAAGCACTGGCTTGCATCTTGGAAAATTAAAAGTGCGCTACCCACCTTTACACTTTGTTAGCCGGAAGTTACAAAGTTTCCAGACAGGCGAACTAAATATCCAGATTTAAAAGCTGATAATACTTTCTGCAAATAAGGCTAAACACTATGAGGCTGACTTTATTTATTATAGTTTCCGGCGATTTAACGCACCGTTGATCATATGGTAGTTAAAGTTTGCCACATGATCGCTTGCTCTTGTATCATGAGACTCTAAGAGATTCGGTAGAACCCCGCTAACTCGAACTCCTAGGGGAAACGAAAAATGGTTCTAGTGTTGGGGTTGGTGTTTGACTTCCAATTATCCAGTTAATGATTAGTAAGGAATCATGTCTTTACCATTCTTGCACTACAAAAGTCAATTTTGCACATTTTGTTTGTTTCATAATTAAGAACTTTTTTATAAGAACATTGAGTTTGGGAAGTTTAGTTAAATGTATTAGTTTTCATAAATGTTATCACGTCTGTATCAATCGGGATTTAGGCTAGCAGACTGAAGGTTGAGACGTACTAATCAGCTATGTTCTGACAGTGTGAAGTTTAGCGACCGACGTTTTTTGCTTTAAGCTCGAGTTATCCGGGTAAATTTGAGCTAGGGGAAAGAACAATTAATTCGAGTTAAGCGGGGAGGTCGAGTTAGCCGATAGTAAATGACTGGAAAATGGGGTCAAATCCGAGGGAAATCGGATCTTATTCGAGTTAGCAAGAGGTTCGAGTTAACCGGCGGGGAGAGGATCAAAGGAGCTACACGGGAAAACTTGAATTCATCTCCAACAACTTGAGTCATATCACGGGGGTACAGAAAGTGATCATTCGGCCATCCTTTGTGCTGTCATCGCAAAAAAAAAAAATGCTACTACTTCAACTGTCACAATTCTCGTAGCACTTTCACCATTGGTGTCGCAACGGGCCGAGTTAACTTGATGAGGAAAGGGCCAGTTTTACAAAGTTTTAGGATTATAAAGAAGCCAATCCGCTCAATTTGATTCGTGTTTGATTTAGATTTACTGACTGTATGTTCGGCGAAATTGTTACAAGAACACCTTTGCTTTCATACAAAAGAAATTGTATGGAAACAATGTAAGAACAGTGGTGTATCAAATGTTTAGACCAGAAATAAGTCGAGCTTTTGCAAAGACTGCGATTGGAAAAGTGTGCTTTCTATGAAACGACATATTCAGCCACACTTAGGGACAATCACGAAAGCACAAGATGTCCGGCTACGTATACTTCAGTCAAGAGTTTAATTGAGCGATTATTTAACTTTGCCTTCCGTTCAGAGAGAAAAGCTACCAAACACTTCTTTCTCCAAAGACTGGAGGACGCAATAAAACTCCATCGTGATGACCAAGGACAAGCTGTTATAAATCCCGCCTCGCTAGCTCTGTTTGCCACAAGTTCTAGAGATGGAAACAAAATTCGTAACATAAGAGAGGCGAATGGTAAGCGTCGTTTCGCGTTGAGACTGATACCATGGTAACGGTGTTTTGCGTTCAATGACAACAAAAAAAAAAAGATTTGTCTATAATTTTTTTACCGAAGAACTAGTATCCTTAACCACTCATCAGTCGCCTAAACGAAAATATTGTGATATATTTTGTTATTTACTCGCTTTATGAAGAACTGCTAGTGGTCTTATAATTTCGGGAAGGGAAGGGGGAAGGGAAGTTTTGTGGATAGCTGCGTCTTAAACATTTTCAGAGGCTCTGTCGTTCCACCCTCTCGTCCTTGTTCTATACAATTGCTTCTCCCTACTGAGCATTAGGTTTGCTCTCTTTGTCCTGAAAGCCTTGGAGAAAGTTAAGAAAACAAGGCTTTGAATCAGAAGTCAAGACCAATCGTTAGTCTGAACGTAAGGGATGTTAGAGGCTGACATTAATCTGACCTCAAACACACCGATTGATATAACTGAAGATTTTCTTTCGCCGTATCCTTAGGTATAATGAGCATTTAACATTTCATAACTTAACCAGCGTCTTAGTGATGTGGGAGGAAGTACGTAATATATCCTTTTAAATCTTTTTGCGCACAGATCCATGTCTGCGGAAACGTAGCTATTTAAAAGGAGGAACAAAACGAAACCTCACAGGTGAGAGCCGATGTAACTGAAAACTTGTCAACTTACTTTGGTGTCCAGAATTGATGGAACTTTTTTCTAAACCAATCACACAGCTCTAGAAGATTCGTATGGTCTGGGGGACCAGTCTATTCAGTTCACAGTTCCAAGTAAGTCAATATCCAGTGTTAATTTTCAATGACAAATCTTCCCAGACATTTCTGTAAGAATATAGGGCCAGTTACGACACTTTTCAACTGAGAGCTTCATTGGTATCCCGATATTACAATATCAAGGCAATAAAACAACAATCAGAGTGCGTCTTAGAAGACAGTCAACTTTGCTGACTGTAATTTAAAATATTATCATTATTTCGACGACTACATCACTATTTTTTTATTTTAACATGTATTCCCATAACACCTAATTTCAGCCACATCTCCCCTTAACGATGTCATCTGTCCGGGCGTGGCTGGGCTCCCCTTAAAAATTATACTTGGTGTAAAACCAGTGGCAAATTCAAAGCCAACCTCAGCGGCAACGACCAAAATTACGGCAGCTACAGTGAAACTGACTCCTTCCGCTGTCAAAACTGCAGTGACAGCAGCTAAGGCAGTAGCTGCTAAGGCTGTGGCTAACTCTAAGGCTGTTCAAGCTGCCAAAAAAGCAGTTGCTGCAGCAAAAGTAGCGGCGGTTAATGCTGCTGCAAAAGCGAAAGCAGCTGCGAACGCGAAGAAGGTGGCAGCTGCCAAGGCAACGGCAGCAGCGGCGGCAGCTTCCAAAGCTAAAGCTGCCGCAGCTGCTAAGGCGCAAGCTGCCATCAAAGCAGTGGCAGTAGCTAAGGCTGCAGCAGCTGCGAAAAGTGCAGCTGCTGCTAAAGCTCTAGCAACAGCAAAAGGAGCATCAGCAGCCATAGCATCAGCAGCGGCAAAGAAAGCAAACGCTGCTAAGGTAGCAGCATCAACTGCAGCTGCCGCCGCTAAGGCTCACGCGCAAAAACAACAGCAAGCAGCGCAGGTAGCCAAAACAACCGCTGCGGCAAAAATGGCTGCTAATGCCAAGGCGCAGGCAGAAGCCAAGGCGGCAGCAGCTGCTGCCAATGCAGCGAAAGCCAAAGCGGCTAATGCAGCAAAGGCTGCAGCGAAAGCTAATGCAGCAGCGAAAGCAAAAGCTGTATCAGCCGCCAAGGCAGCAGCCGCAGCAAACAAAGCAGCAGCAGCTAAAAATAAAGCAGCAGCCGCAGCAGTGGTAGCCAACGCTAAGGCGTCTGCAGCAAAGAACGCAGCATCAGTCGCCAAGGCAGCAGCCCAGGCTAAAGCGGCTCAAGCAGCTAAGGCAGCTGCTGCAGCCAAATCCGCCGGTAAGCCAACAGTGGCTCCGACATCTTTGGCGACCCCATCAGTGACGTCGTCTGCAACTGGAGTGAAAGCGGCAACAAAGCCGACCTTGTCTACAAAGCCTGGAGCCGGTGGCACCACACCTACAACAGCCGCTACCGCCAAACCAGGGTCGTTAACGTCGGTTGGAAATAAACCAGGTACGTACGTACCATGTAGTGAGGTTAGAACAGCGGTCTCTCGAAACAAATTCAGTCATAGGGCCATGTGTGCTATAAGGATAATAATAATCCACCACGGAAACGTTTAGGTCTCTAAGTAAAAAGCCGAACGTGGAAGAAAGGAAATAAAACATTTTGGGGAGAGCAATGGAACTTCGGGAGCATACCATGACACATGAAGATAACTCTTCTCTCTTTCTGTGGAAAGGTTCTCGTCAGAAGTCGTTCAATGCAGTAGTGAGATTACCTAGTGCTGCACACAAGCCTGTACTCAACAATAAAAAATCAGCACAGTTCAAGACACTGTCAAAGAACCTCTGTAACAAGGTAACATATCAATAATAACCAAAACTTCTTATTTCTAGCACACTGTTCCCTCTCGTCGCTGACCAATCAAACGTCCCCTAATGGCTTTAGAAAGTATCAGTATGGAATAAGAGCTTGTAATTTCCTATCAGCTTATCGTCCAGCCCTGTTGCATTGCAAAAAAAGTAAATTATGCCTCATTTGTAATTTCAAAAGTTGCACAAGCGTACCTCACACTGTTTCAAAACATTCGTTTCTTCTTCCCGTTCCTGAATCAACTAACTGAACTTAAAACATGCTGGTTCGAATGCTTTCTTCCCCAGTTAAAGTCAGCTATTCAGGGAGGTAAAGCTGTTAAAGAATGCAATGTTCAAAGTTTCCGGTAGGTACTACTATAAGTAGAAAACAAGGGCCAACATTTAATATTAAAGATTTGGATAAGCATATAGGCTTACAGCATAAATAAATTGTATATACAGCTGTTTGGAGAAAGGTTGTCGGATAAAAGGATGAAAGTGCAGGCTACAATCTTGAAAAAGTAATCTGGATATCCGGTAATCAATAAATTTTAATAAGTCAAATGAATAAATAGATTCATCAAACCTGCCATGCCTCGTCCTTACAATGACATTTTCTCAGATTCCTTGAAATCGTGAGGTCAAGGAACCGTAACCTTAAAACTAATCACAATACCTTTTGGGGTTTCTACGTGCACTTATACGTTTTTTTCTGAAAGCCTTTCTCGAAACAACTGCATTCATCCTTAAAGGCTACTGAAATTTTACGGCCACCTGCAATTACGGATCTGGTTGGAATCATAAACTAGACAAGATAATTCTACGAAAATCGAAAAATTCCGTTTCTACACGTCAGTACTAAAAAGGGAATTTAACTTCCGATTTTTCATGAGCGATAAGAAGCCTGTTGACCCTGAAAAGTCATATACAATAGTTGTAAGTAGAACATGACCCAGTGACGTATAAGTCGGGCGTCGACATATTTTGAAATGCATAAAATGTGAGCAGTAACCTCCGTGCGATTTCCTGATTGATTCAAATGACCGTAATTTAAAACGCTTTTCGATTGAGCATAGTAAAAGCAAGTCCAAGGTGATCACAACGACCAATGAGGAGACAAGAAAATACCTCTAAGAACCGATGATAACTCAAAGTAAAACAGATCAAACTGCCTAAAGCGTGGGAAAACGCGTGCGATCAAGTCGTGATAGGTTTTAGTTTTGCATCTGATTGGTTAAGATAGTGGCGCCAGTTCTCTGGACCAATTACAGAGCGAAAGAGAGCAAATCAAAGCAATCCTAGATTAATTTCGATACTCGGGATATGCTCTAATATACGTTGATAATACGAATCTAATCACATTTGATTACTTCTTGTTTTTGTTCTCTGGCAGTCCCGGCAGTCTCTTGGTAGATTTCTACTTAAGGTTCTTAAACACCTTACCTAACCCCGTGCAGCTGTTACTAAACTTACTGAAAACTGGATTTATGGGAGGAATTCCAGTTGATAAATTACCACTGAGGCTATACAATGGGACAGGTGAGTAATTTGCCACAAGTTATGGCAGTTTCTGAATAATAGTACAGGAGCCCGTGAGTCGGTAGAAAGTCACACATTTGATATATAAACCACCTACTGAATAAAGATTAACGGAAAAAGGCAACTGCAGAAAGAAGACGTGCATGTAAAACCACCCTGTTGTGGCAAGCAGCTTGTTTTGGGCACCAAAATCACAACAAATAGTTATATAGTCCCTTTTATACTGGAGTTGGAACTATTCTCGTCAAGGGATGAACCACATGAAGGTACCGAAGCTTAACGTGGGTAAAAATAACTTTTCGTTCTGTCTTTCTCCCGCAGGAGTTAAGTTTCCACCTGGTTTCTCAGGCTGCAAACCCGCGGGGTGCCCAGTTCCTTGCACACCTCCTACATGCAGCATTGCTTGCTCGACTGGGATTCCGTGTAGTCCTCCTGCGATTATTCAACCGGTCGCTCCAACTCCTCAGGTCATTGTGGGTCCCACAATTCCAGCAATACCTGTTTCTTATCCCGCTCCTCCTGTCTACGCTCCAGCACCGGCTCCTTATCCGCCTCCTCCACCCATGCCCTCGCAGCCGGCCTGCCCGGTGCAATGCTTACGGCATGCACCACAGTTCTGCCCATCCTACTGTGGGCAGAGCTGCTGTAAGTCAAGTTTTCCTTCATATACGGGAAAGAAAACTGAAGTGGAGAGACCAAAAAGCATCAAGTCGTTTCCAAAGGAAAGGCGTGCTAGTCAGAAGACGTAAAAATCGACACCCGCACACATTTGATGGGGAATAATCGTATTCCAAGAATATGAACAATCATCTATCCCTCACTTCTCTTTTGGGAAAGCAGACTGAGAGGAAGCAAATCATATTTACTATGTAATCAGGAATTTATACATTAAGAGTTGGAATGCGAAGGTTATCAGTATGGAGGCTGATAATAGTTTAATTTGTATACTTCCCGCTCAGACATGGTCCCCCTCGAGGGACGAGACCACCACACAACTGCCACTCGGGTGACTGGGCTAGACATGCACCTTCGGTAGTAGAATTCACAGAAATCTAGTCAGATCATTTGATTGTGAACAGGATTGTAGATATACAAGGACAAAGACTTGTCAGCCGGGTGGAAGGTTTACTGATGCATATTTAATCAATAAATGCCGTTAGGCGTAAAATTTAATGAATTTAACCGCTAGTCGTAAAAAAAGTTAACCATAAAAATTTTTCCCATCTACGACGCGTCATCCAAGAAATAAACGACCGTTCATAAATGTGTTTTAAGACATTGAAAATCAATTGTTAACTTTTAAAATAATTGATATTATTATTTCACATTTATGTTAATGATACCGGAAAGTTATTAACCATTAGCCGTAAAATGGCCAAGATTTTATCTGTTGGTCGTAAAAGCCATTACCCTATTGAAACCCTCTTAAAATGTAACCAAATTAAAGTGTAGTTCATGAAATTTTTATCTTCATTTCCTGGCAACAATAGTGGTTTAACATACTGATGATTTATATATTTTCCGGTTTTCTAAACCTGAATAAGCAACAGAAAACAGACAATGAACATAACATCGATGTTTTCTGGCCTGTGCATGCGCTCTTTAACCTTGATTGAGGACCCTGGTTCCGGTCGTCGTTCCGGTCATTTCAAAACATTACGAAGAATTACAATCATTTGTAAGATGCATGTGAAACTGTGCTGATATCGTAAACTTTGAACTCACACATGTTCTAGCACTACGATCTCTTTTTTCTGTTGAACTATTGCCATTCTGAAACGATCACAACCAGAATGTATGCCCGGCTTTGAATAAAGTAAAGATTTAGGAACAATGGAACTACCCTCGACACATTTTCGACGTGGCGTCACGTGAAAACACCTGCCATAACGATTTTGATTTTGGTGCCAATTGTTTAACGCGTAAAGGGAAATTGAACGAGTAGGCGAGTATCACCACATTGTTTGGATCAAAGCAAGCGTGCAAAGAGGAAAAAAAAAGAAGGTGGGAGGATTCTGGCGCTGAGACAGGTATGACGCATGCTTCCTTAAGGTGCATTATCTGTCCTTGCAACATACAACTTAAATAACATAATAGCTGCCAACTCATGAGGCGCTTTGCACAGTTAACGGGGAAATAAATACTACTTCACTCACTTCTGGGCCTCAGTCAGGGATTGCGGAGCCAATTCTCAACTGGGGGGTGGGGTCAAAAACGAGCCCATCATCCCCCAGAAAATTTTGAAATTTAGAGTCCCAAAAATTGTATTCTTACATTCTTCATGAGATATTTTCTGTCGAAAAGTTCCCGCCACCGTGTAGTATCCTCTTTATGACAGTAACTAAATTTTCACAGGAAATCCAACTTCATCGCGATCTCGCGGAATAATCTGCGATGAACCAGACTTTTTTTGTTTTCTCTTTCTTTCTGTTTTACCTACCTCACAGGAATCTCATACTGAAACAAAATAAAATGCCGTCCTCCTTAGCAAAAAGTGGGGGGCTTAAGTCCCTTGAGCTCTGCCTTCCCTCTCTGCAAGTAAAATCCCAAACAAACGTTGCATATTGAAGGTGAGTTTCATTAATTTAACTTAGATTTTTTTTTTATAGAGAACTAGTTTGAATCATGTCTTCTTTTTTTCTGTGCGCGCCGCCTTGTAATTGATATCCACATTCATATATAAGAGGTGTCATGTACATGTAGTATAGCTGTTTGCTTAGAAATACTCAAGAAAGAGCGTATCAAAATAATGGTAAAAATAATTTTAATCGGCTATCCGTGTAAAATACAAAGGCAAATGGAATACGATTTTAAAGCGAGGCGATTTTCACTCTAAGAAAATATATTTATTATACCCGTTTAGAAGTAAAATAATCATATAAACTATGGTAGAAACGGCATAAAAGCTTCATTCCCTATGCAACGGGAACTCGAATCCCTCACTCAAAAAAATACTCTACCCTACTTATTAAGGCATACATTATATGTCGCTCTCAAGGTGAAAAACTATATATCTGTAAAAAATACGTTATTTTGGGTAAACTAAAGCAGCAAAATGGACTTCTATCATTCCTACACATTGATTCAACTATAATGTTGTACGTTAAATGACCTATTGCACCATATGAAGTTTTATGTAAGCCACTATTTATAAGTACAATAGCTTCCTTTGTCAAGTCTCAAATTGTTGAGTAGCATTCAGTCTAATTTGATTGATTAACCAAGCAGTGTTACTGCATCAAGTTGTTTATACAAAATAAGACTTATAACTTTCAAAAAACTGTGAAAAATAACCCTAAATCACGCTTCAAGTTCAAGTGCAGAAAATTTTTTCATGCAATTGTCTTAAAAAATAATGAACCACTTAATATTAATACTTACCTAATACATCTTAAGTTAATATAGCAACATATTAGCAAAAAGTATCTTTATGCTTACAAAAGGCCTAGCCTAGCTTGGTTAGCACTTAGTACCATTTTATCAATCATGGTCAGAACAGAACCGCCCCTAACACCATTAAATTCACCCTAAAAAAAGTTTGGCAATGCACCAAACTCATGCCCTCTTATGCTCGTAAATAATTCACATAACTGGATCAACTGGATCAACTGGATCAACTGGATCAACTGGATCAACTGGATCTGAGGTCAGCATGCTTCAGAGGTAAAGCTAATTTACTTCAAACTTAAAGCTTTTTCAATTTGTTTTTTTAGATGTCTTCCATTATCCTTTCACGGCTTTGGATATTGTCCTATAATTTTCTGGAATCCTGACACACCCTTGCGGAAAGTCTCACAACTGCATCTCAGAAAAAAGCTGGAAGGCATGGAAATTTTCCTTCTATTCAATTATCATCTGAAACAACAGAAAAAAAAATAGACAACGACACACAGACAAGCAAATGAACAACAACCAATTCAGTTCCTGTGAGTGTTAGTTTATACCTACACTACATAAACATTTTTTTGCCAATCGACCCCACTTCAAGAATATCTGGTGATAAATGTTCATTTCGGTTCAAGGAACTAATTAAGTGTGTAAAATAAACGACATGACCAGTCCTGCTGGTCATACATGATAAACTAATCTAAGCTATTGTTCTTGTCTGACACTCTATAACTGTTACCGGTGTTTCTGCCATAAACTACTTGATTGTACAATCTACACTCGACCTTACTGGGATAAAAAAAATCATTATTTATAAATCAATTTCTAAATCGTAAGTAATGATGGATTACAAACCCAAAATTTTAAAAACCATATAAGAACTTCACTCAATTGTTATTGTAAGTCTTCTTAGAACGCTACACATAAAGCCTTCCATTTATATTTAATTCATTATAACTAAATATAACATCTTTAAAGACTTTAAAATCAACTCTCTGGTTAAGAAAAATATTATAGCTTGTAAACTGACACGTTTACTTAGGAGGAACACGTGGTGGAACCCTTGGTTGTATTTGAGGAGGGGGTGTATCTGAAAGGAAATGAGTACATTCTGTTAAAAGCGATTTTAAAATCAATAGAGATCAATTCATACATTAACCTCAAATTAAAAGGCAGTACCAAATTGTAGGCATTCAGTCATTCATTTTGTTAATGCACTTTTGAAAACATTCTACAAGATAAAGTCCATGGTTTCGACAAATTTGTGTAATAGTTTGGCATGTAGGGTAGAAATCATTTGTTTGAATGGTGTATGGCAGGCTTCATAACAAAGTTTTGGGGTTGAACATCAATTGGGACATCATCCTGTTTTTTTCTCCAGTTGCCGATACTATTTTGTACGTGTAACAAATTTCGTTAAAGTTAAAGTAAAGTTGTTTTGGAGTTGTCTGTAATGTCCATAGGAAAACATTGGAGCATGTTTTCATTCTGATTGAATGCTTTTGCATATATATTGACTGAAGGTTTGTACATACCGGGAAAACCTGGTAATGCAATACTTCCTACTGGTCGTCTTGGTGCTGCTCTAGGCTGCCTTAAGTCATCAGGTGAAGGCAAAGGTCCTCGGGGAGCAGGAGGAGGAGGTGGAGGATCTTCCTCAGGGATACGGGCAGGAGCTCTCTCATACTGAGGTAGTAGATTTGTCATTGGTGTTTTTTGTTTCAAGGAAAAAGATATATCAAAGGAAATTGGTTACTATGGTTTTGATAAGACAAGTTTACACAAATATATATATATGTATCAATATGAGTACAGTAAAATCAAAGCACTACTGAACAGATTAATTATAAGCAATGCATTTAAAATTACCTTGGAATGGAGATCTAAAACTGAGGTTGCTGAAAAATAGAAACAATCATATGATAAAGAAAGTCTCACTCTGACATTTCCTTCAGTTGTTAAAGTTTTAACCGATAACCACTGTTGAACAGAACCCAAAGGCTTTAACAGAACCCAATGTCAAGTCAATTGGTGAAAACATATCATTTTACAGCTTGATTTGGATAATGAAGAAAAATTGATGGTTTTAATACTATTTATTCCTTTTATTGTAATTGTAACAAAAGAAGGTAGCCTCACCCGGCTCGCTGCTCCGTCGTTTTACGGGAGGAGGAGGCCCTGGTTTGATTAGTCCCTCAAGATCTCTTTTGTCCACAGGTGTTGTACCAGGTCTTGGTCTTGGATGAGGCCTCCTCGCTGAGCTCTCTAAAAAACCATAAGCTTGGACATCTGAGTCATTTTACTAAATCATATTCTAGAATTATTTGCACTTCCATATGCACTATGAATTAAACACAGTTTCATTATTCAGCCAATATGGTTAGCTACAACAGTTTCAAAAGAGAATCTTCTGATTCAAAAGTTAGTGAAAGTTATTGCAATATTATAGAATTATCTGTAGATTATGTAGAGACTTTCTCTGAAAAAGCTCATCTTTTAAAAAGTAACCTCTTTGATTTGAGGAAATTTATAATAAAAAACCATAGATGAAATTTGAAAATCTATCAAAAGTGATAACAACCAACCTGTGATTTTCTCCTTTTTATCATAATCTGGGCGTGGGAGGGGGGGTGGGGCACCTCCAGTTTGTGTGTCATCATCATGACTCTATAATATCAGTGAAGGCAACAACTGATAAATTATGAGTGACATAACTTGGGGTGCTGTGCATTTGGGAAAATAAAATTTGAACAACAGGTGCTTTTTAAACTAATAACAACGAATACAAATGTTTCTGAGGCACAAACACAAGAATACAAATTAGAAGACATGGTGCAATTTGTCATAATGGTGCATCAAAATAATAGTATGCTTTGCCATGCTTAAGGTTTGGAAATACTTTAAATTTATGATTGACATAAGCTTACTGCATGTTCAGTAACTATACAACTATAAAGTTATAGTTAACTGTATACATCTTAAAGCCATACCTGCAGTAACAAGACTGCAATGTTAGCATTCAGAATGCTGTTTCTAAATATCTATCAATAATATTTTCCCCTGCAAGAATAATCAATCTACCTTTGATTTGTGTGGCTTAATATTACACTTCTGAAAGAGTTCTTCTCGAGTGAGGTGTATTCTAAAAAGCAAAGGAAAACAGGACAAAATTAAAAATGTTGTCCTGGACATCTAGTTGCAGGGTTTTTAAAGGATGTATAAATTTATGTCTTGGCTAGTTTGACAGAGTAAAGAGTTTCAAGCAATTAGTTGTCATTAGTATTTGTACCTCATTTCCTAAATATTGAAATCCTTTATTATTCATTTCATTGCTAATGTTAGGTATTTTGCATACTTGCAATGATCAGTTTGTGATTTAACTTTGTGACAGTTACAATTGATCATTGCACTGCCCTTAAAATTAGTCGTTGGATCATAAACTGAGCATTTCATCATGGATATGTCACCATTTCGGTTCCCTCTTCTTCAAACTTCGTCCTTGTTATTCAAAACCTTAGTAAGAACCCTAAATTAAGCATTCTTATATTGTATGGATCCTATCATTGGTCGAATGTTTTTTAAGGAAAGTTTATACACCCCTGTTTAATTTCTGAGGCATATGTTGAAATGGCACTTTATGTTTGAGTTTCCAATCCATGATTTCAAAATAGCTTTTAGTCATTATTATACTGCACATATAAATTTAAGTGAAAATACAATGTGCAGTTTTTTGAGACAAAGGGTGAAATTTGAAAGATCCAAATATTTATCATGAGTTACACTTCACTACACAAATTAACTATACCTTGTAATTTTAACATCAACATGTTTTTATTCCTCCATTGGCTAAATTCACTCAATTTAAATACTTACTCCTCTTCTTGTAAAGGACATACATCTTTAGGGTCCTCTTGATGGTGTATAAACTGTAAGTTAAACACAGTGGTCATGTGCAATTAATAAATTGTTTAAAAATAAAATTACTTTTGAATCCCACATAGAATTCCGGGCTGACTTTTCATATGCAATCTTCCCCCATTTCAGAGAACACCCACAACATGGGACACTGCCAGCTTGAATATGTAAACCTTACCTATATCAATGTATCATCACAGTCAGGATTGATGTGAAGTCAACAAATTGTGGGAAAAACAAGTAAACAGTGTATTAATGTTGAACTTCACCACAATGAATAACCACAACTGCCCCAGAGTATCAAGTGCTCCCCTTTACAGGATAATTTGAAGAAACCTGAAACTAGGTTTCAGCTATTTTCAAATACCTCATTTCCTGAGCTTATCCCACTACTGCTGCTACTTCCACTACCAGTACTGCTGATAGCTGGAAGAAAAAAAAGTGTCAAAGAAAAAGTCCAGTTTATCTATATATGTATTCATATATATATATATATATATAGCTGCAAGAGCTTACAGCATTAGCAATGTAAAAAGCCTTCTCTACCCAAAGGGATCTACAAACATTTTACTTTAATTATAAGGGTTATCAAGGTTTCAAAGTTTTAGAGAGAGACCAAGACTGTGAAGATTACTGTTTTTAGGTATATTATTGCTGATGCAATTTATCAGATTGAGTCAAAATCAACTTGTGTGGCTGTCATTTTAAAAATTACTGCTTCACAGTATTTTAATCACATTGCATAAAGTGATTACAATAGGATATGCAACCTACATGTACCTTTCCACCACTCAGAGCACACACATCTCTGTAATCACCTAGCTAATGCAAGCAACTATTCTTATTCTTCATAATTGGAAAATTTATGCCAGCAATCCAAGAAATCAATACAACTGTGCCAATCTCAAAGCATTAAGACTCCTGTAATTTCTTCCACTATATTCGACTACATTTGTTAACAAAAGTTCTTAGTATGATAACGATTCTTAATTATAGTTTGTAACCACTGTCTCTTATCAATGACAAATTAAGCAATTTTTCACTGAGCTACATGTAATGTTCCACACAAACTTTACTCACTTGAGATAGAGCTCCTTGAACTTGTTGAATCTGTCCTTAGAATTGGTGCCTGTAATAAACATAAATCTTTTCACTAAATTAAACAACATAATTGTTTTTTGCTGTTCATATTCAGCATCTTATTAAGCTACAACATGACATGAGTAACTGATCGATATCACTAATAAAGCTGTGGCTAAATTGTAGTATCTATGATAAGGATCCAGTGGACCAGGCACAATTTCTTTTCAATAGTTGTTCCTCCTTACCGCAGAATATGAGCTGCTCACATGCATACGGCTCACCATGTCTTCAATTGCTTCACTTGAATAAACTCCACTTTGTTTTAATGTTCTTCGTAAGAGTTCTTCTTGTGACATCTTGCCTAAGATCAAAAAATAAAACAACTGCAGTTCTTACAGTAGTATTTTCTTTAGAGTTGGCACTTGGAAATTAATTTGCCAGTTCCTTTTTCAGGCTTATTAATTTAAGCTGGGGCCAGTAAAATGGCATGTATTGAGACCAGAAACAGTGAAACGAAATGACCAAAACAAAACAAATGAAACAAGCATAACAACCAAAACAGAACCACTACAATGATCAAAACAAGTGGAGGATGAAATGTCATGGAAAATGTAGAATTTACATCAGACATTCTCTTGCATTTAAGGCTTTTAAAACTTGGGGCTGTCTCACAATACTTAATTTTTTTTCCACCACATGAGAAGTTGAAACTAGAAGTTGACACTTATATGGAGCCAGCCATATCAAACACCAAAGCATATATGGAAAGGAGAGGAAAACAGATAAAGGTATTCATTGACAACATCTATGTCAATGATTTTTTAATTAATTATTTTTTAAATTAAGGTTTCCTCGAGGCCTCATGCCAAGTCAATGGCAATCAAGAGTTAACTGAGTTTCCCTGTAAGACAGATCAGGAGTAGACCATAAAAACATCAAAACCACATGAATAAGATGGCTGAAACCTGACACCTCTGGACATTCATTTCATTTTTACTGACTCTTTCTTTTTTAATTTTCTAATTGTTTTGGTTATTTTGTTCGGTCATTTCTCCTGTTTCACTAGTTTTGTTTCAGTTGTTTGGTTTTGCTGTTTCTGGTTTTTAGTACATGCCCAATAAAATGACTTTTTCTTAATTCTTTTTAACATGATTCTCAAACAACTCTTCCTCCTTTCCCTCCACATTCTTTTCAACTTTCTTAGGAAATGTTCCCTGCAAGATTTCACTTGCTGTTCCTTAAGTGTTGACAATGTACATTTATATTCTCTTACCACACATAAAGATGAAAAAAAATGTTATGCAATTTCTACCTCCAATAGGGAATTCATACTAATTTCAATGTTTGCATACCAACAAACGACAAGGAAGCACCTGAAATCGCTAATATAATGCAGAGGGAGCACAACAGGATTTTACAATGGGTCAGTAATTACAATGTATAATTACTGCAGAAGTTGGAGTTATGAGATATATTGCAGCCATCTTCGGGCTATGCCCTTAGCTTGCTGCAATATATCTCATAATGCTGACTGCCTCAGTAATTATCTATTAACTAGCTGCAGCCTTAGTCTAACAACTTTGCAACTCGTGCTGGAGTGCCAGAGAGAGTCAGTATCAGGGATAGTAATCATGATAATGGTAAATATTGAAAGTATTCATCAGTACTGCAAAACGCTATCCATCTCTTAACCCTTTCATTCCCAAGATCCCACTATGAATTTTGTTCAATGTCTACCATACAATATCATCATATTATCATATGATCTTAAGCTTTAAGAATTTGGTTTTAAATAATTCAGACTGCTAATTATCTTAAAGTTATTGATATTTTTTTCTCTTCCACTTCTCAAAAGGCTATTGGTTCAACATCTGATTGAAGGGTTAAATTGGCAATTTTATTCAGTGTGAGGAATTCAAATATAGTAGATACTTTGAGCAGGAAGTCTCAAATATATCGGTAAAGAAATACTTAGCCTATGGCTAACAGTCTTAAATTTTACATGCATGAATTTGGAAATTTATTTTTGCTATGTGGTAAATAATTATTAAAGTAGAAACCTCTTATTGGTGGCAAGGTCTGAGTCTTCTTCTCGTGTTCAATTTCTTTAGCCCTAATAGCTGCAGCCATGCTGGCAGAGCGGTAAAATCCTGGATCCGGATGAACTGGTAAATTTGACTTCGGTGTAACATAACCAGGAGGAACCTCTGGTTGTTCCACTATGTTAGTAAAGAGATGATTAATGTCTTGACGTTACAGAACATTTCTCAGCTAGCAAGGCCCTTTTGAAAAATATACTCCCTAACAGAATTTAAGACACACTAGAAGGTTGTTCTTTCTAATTTTTCAGTTTGCTATATTAATTCAATTATATAATTTAATTTATATACTTCTTAGAGTTAAATATACAATAGATGAAGTGTTCAGGAACATTTACAAATTTGTAGGTTCAAAGGCAAAATGTGTACAGGAGACAATTGGTGAATGTTTGCAATACTATATATTATTAACAGAAATATATAACCTATTCACTGCACAAAAGTAACACTGACCAATATTAAATGCTGAATCTTCAAGTCTTCTTTAGCATCCAGAGACCACGTGTAGTTACATATTAGAAGGTCATGGTTCAACAGCTGTTAGGAGCACTTAGAATTTCTTTTTTTTGCTTAATGAATACTATAAGTAAGGTTGTTTCACTAAATGAAAAACATATTAATCATTCACTAAATCACCAAGCTCCTAAAATGCTCTCTTTTCCCATCTTTATAGTACTTAATATATCAACTTACCCACAGACTCCATTGATGTGTAAAATTCTGAGGGATCCTCTTCTCCTCGTTCTCTTTCCATGTCCATGTAAAAATCATCTTGTGTTTCTTCACCTTCAGGATTGCCCTCCATTGCTTCATAAAGTTCCTCATCAGCGCCAACTTCAGCTTGATAATTTGCATATGTTGCATCCTCTTCTTCATTCTCTCCAGATTCCGTGTATCGTTGAGTGACCTTGTACTTCCCTTTCTCACTGACATCTTCATATAACTTACCACTGTGGCTTTCCTCTCCCTTTACAGGAACATAATTATAAGATCCATCACTGTTGCGCATCTTCACATAATAACCAGCCTCATCCTCTTGTTTGTCCAAATTTATGTACTTCCTTCCTTTCATATACATATACAGTCCATGGCCCTCTCTTCCCATGGGTACATAGTTGTATGAACCATCATCCTTTTGCATTTTGACATAGTAACCATCTTCATCACCCATGTCAGCATAGATCTGATTTGGATCTCCTTGGTCCTTGATGTAAATAATCAATAAATATATATAAACATCAATAGTAATAATGATAAAGATAATAACTACAGTAATTAATTAAATTTATTCCTGTTATTATTATTATTATCATCATCATCATCATCATCATCATCATTATGGTCTTTGCAAAAGTACCATCACTATCATTACCATTGTTATTAACTAGGGATAACTCTTTAAAAGAGAGGGGTATTTTGAGCTAATGGTTGTCAAGTACACTTTCAAACAATCCTATCAACATTTCTGATCCCCTATTTAGCTATAAGATCTTCCTTACCAATAAGTTCTGCCTGGCTCATTGTAAATGGACAATGAAATCCCAAGATCTATGGCTAGCTATAGAGTTCTAAATTAACTAGACTCAAATTCTTTTATTTGTCCATGCTTGTAAAAAACATAGAACATCTTCAAAATTTTCCATCTTCAATTTCTTGATTTATTAGAAACACTATACTATAATTTAAATTAAAAAAATAGGATCACATCTACATTTAATAAAATCACCATTTTCTTTTTATAATTGCACAATTAGTGGCTAATGTGTAAATAATTTACAACACTATTTAATTTACACTTTGAATCAAGCTGAGCTAACACTTACACGGAAAGTACGCAGATTGTCTGCCAATTGTTTAAAACCATGATCCTCTGCAATGTTGTATGGCCATTTCCCATGATAATTCTTTATAGCACAAGCCTCTTGAGCTCCAGGATAATGTAAAAGGGTGGCAATGAGCCTGCTTAATCCAAATTGTGCTGCAAAGTGCAGAAGAGTCGGATGCTCAGCAGTTGATTCTCCAGCTGACAAAAGATATAATACTTAGTAAGAAATAACTTATAAAAATCACTAATAAATGATGTAAATTGAACAGGAAAGCTGAATAAGTGAATGTCAAACAATTTTGGCTCAAACTAAAGATAATCTTTCACCTCCATGCAATGAAACTCTCACCTTCAGTATTCTTGTGGATACCTAGCAAATTGAATCCTTCAGGAGCATTTGAGGTAAATGTGTCTGCCAAAGCACAATCCAGACTTAGGACATCAGTTGAGGACAGACTCAGCGATTCACACATGAACTTGACAGGATCCAGTTCTGTGTACAGCAGTCTATAGAAGGTGTCACTTCTTGATAGAAATTCAAATGTGTGTTGGCCTAACAATCTACGATTTATTCCATGATAGACATAGGCTGTCACAACACTGGCCACTGGATATTCTTAAGAAATAAAAGATATAAGTCCATGTTACAATGCTACAGCATGGCAGTTTTTTTGCGAGGCTAACATTAATATATAAATAAGAGATGGAGTTATTATTTTGGATGGTCTATACCAGCCATAATGGACCAGAATTTACTTTTATAGATGCCAAATGCCAAATGGCAAATATGTATTATTGTTTTAGTTACCAGATTGGAATAATTTGTCTGAACACAAAAAAGTCCAACTCCTAAAATAAAAGTCAAGCCCATTAAAAAGTCATCAACTACATAGACCTTCACATCTTGAGTTCTGGATCACACAAATATTAAGGCAAGACTTGAAGTGAGTTGCCTGCCTGCTTGTGACTAGCCTTAACATTAACCTGGGCACTGATAATCAATTTTCAGTCCTGTTGACAACCAGGTGGTTGTTAATATGACTACCCATATGCCTACTTGAATAGATCATGCTTAAAACGCTGGCCAACTGAAAAAAAAAACAAAAAAGCTTCTGATATCTAATTTTAAGGGTGGAAAAATTGACTTTGGTAAACCTCAGAATGTCCCCCCCTCTCTGCCCCTTCCGTGGCCAAACCACTGGGAGGTAAAGCAGACACAGGATTTGCACTCTTTATTCTGTTGGAAATACACCAAGTGCACATCTCTTAAAAACTTTAGCCACCTATGACTTGGTACCCACCTGGTGTCTCCAAAATCAGGGTTGAGCTGTTCAACTGCTTGGCAGATACTTGAACTGCACCAGCCGTCCCCACAAAATCAACAGAAAATGGACTTCTTAATTTTGAAGGTAAGCGCTTATTAAAAACAATCACTATTTCCTCTTTTACCTGCAAGATTCAAAGACATCCACTTAGGATCTTCCATTTATTCTCATTGCATTTGTGTATTGAATGTCAACAGATATTTTATGAAATTAGAGAATTTTATTATCCATTTATAAACTGAACATAAACAAAATGTATCATGCAACATTCATTTAAGAATTCAAGACAATATAAATATATAAATTTTCATACTGAACAGTAAAAATTTAAATCTACAAAGACTTTGAAATATATTTTCAAAGAAATGAGAATTTCTCCACAAAATTTCCAATTTACCATACAGTGGATCATTATAAAAGAAAAAATCTCTCTTTTTCTAAAATTTTGCTTTACACTCACATCGTTCTGAACTCTTGGTGGGATAATTGCCTTGACAATCAAAGGATCTATAACAAACATCAACAACATTTAATCCAAAATTTCTTCAATACAAACACATACATTACATACATACATTATCATACATACATAGACAGGTTGAATAGCCATCTATTTAGTATCCCCCAAAAAATGCAAAAATTACTTCCAAGAAAAATTATAATTTGCTTCCAAATTTTATTACGAAGGTAGCCACATGCAAAAACTCAAAGCAGTGCATGGCAAGAGCTCAAAAATATTTGTTGTATGGGGCATATTCCTTGACTGAAAAGGTAATCTTGACCATGTGTCGAAAATGACATGACTGCATTGGATTACTTTATTTCATTCTGTGACTAGTGCAGAAAATTCTCACCATCATTTTCATTGATCAGATGCAAAAGGAAAACCAATTACCACTTGGTCACTCATGATTTTCCCATTCTTAAAGGAGTTGAATGCTTGTTTTTACTTTTATTGGTTCCTTTTGATAATTTTCATTAGTTTGATTGGCTATTGCTCATTACTTTGGCTTTGGTGTTAAATTACTCAATTGAATAGCTCTCTGATGCGTCATTTAATTATCAAAAGCAGTTCATTTCATTCATCAGAATGTCACTGTGTTTATACAACCCAACATTCACTCAGCTACTAAAATTTATCATTCCAAATTATGTACGAATATGACTGTTTACCACTCCAAAATGCTTCAAGACTTTCGAATTAATTTTCTACATGTGTCAATACACTTACCATTCACGAAGGCTTCATCATTCCCAAGATCTTGAGAATGCATTGCCTATTAAGAAGGGTAAATTAGGAAAGAGCAGATTCATAAATACAATATAGGATCTGATAATATTACTGCTGGCAAGTGATCAATTTTGATTTACACAATTTAAGATTGTTTTTGGTATATGAATAATATTGTGAGTAACAAAAATTTAATTTCACACAAATGAAATATATCTTTTTTTACTAGGGGTGGAGTAGCAGATTTTAGGCAGTGAAGTGTACAAGAAGTTACCAGGCTGATTTAATCATAATAGCCGAGGAAAACGTCATTGCGCTTATAATCTCTCTCTCTCGATATTTTCACATTCGAGTTCGTTATTGCGATTTTGGCTGACAATAAAACTATTAGAGACTTGAAAGGTTACCAATGCGCTTTTCCTTTCAAATAACAGCCAGAAATAGCGCTCCTGAACCGACAATATGTAGTTTTGAATCCCTGTTAAGGTACTGACGAATATTTCGGATATTACTTTCCTCTACAGCATTTGTTGAAGCTGTATACAAACGTGTAACCTATCTTTCCCTCTTTCACTTCCGGGTGGAAACTTGTTTACGACAGCTAAATCGATGGTCTTCGACCTCGAATAACCCGGCGCCGAGATCAAGAAACTTATGCCCTGTGATTTTAGAGAGCAAAACCTAGCGTGAAACCAGAACCTCCCGAGTTTTGATGACTATCTGGTAAGCACTCATAATCAAAATAACGATTGCTAGTTATGACGCTCATGAAGTACTCAAAATTAATTAGGAGGAAATGAATTTTACCTAGCTAGTCGGGTGTCAGCAGTTGACTTTGTTCGACGTTCGTGTCAGCATTGCGATTGCCGAATTTCGTCGCGATAAGGTTTTTCAGAGTAATGAATGCGATCAGATGACTTTAGAAACGAGTACAATGTTTGCCAAAGGATACAACTTAAAATGAAAGAAAATAACGAATCTTAATCGACAAAGATGCAGTGAGAAGTTAGGTAGTTGCCGATAGCATCGATCAACTTTCAAACGTGATGCAGTTCGCGCGCTCAAATATGGCAATCAGTACTAACCTGGTTATCCAAAGTGTATTCTGTTCTTCAGTGATCTCGTATTCCACCTTCAAGAAATTACAACACACCAGGTAATCCAAATAAAACTGGGCGCAAGTGCGAAGTCACATCACCAGGCGCTTGCCTCCACTTCAAGTCCCTTATATGGAATGCATGAGCGGAAGTCGTAAGCTGAGTAATGGGCTATCGTTTTAAAATTATTTTGCGGAAAGAAAGTTTCTGTACTACTTCCGTCAGAGCTGATTTTAATAACAGCAAATCTTCAACTTGGCAATTTGGGCTTGCGTCATAGTTCGGCAAAAGATTGATGCGTGCGTCTAGGATCACCAACGCGCTGTATCAGAGCTAAAGCCGTTATCAAATTACGGTTCTGCACATTACGAAAGCATTCCAGACATATTTCCATCGTCCCCAGCGCTCTGCGCGCATCTTAAGGCTTTCCAGCTTTAAAAGAGAAACACTCAACTTAATATCTCCATAAATACAACCAAATAAATCGAACTAGAAAAGGTTTCTAAAATTTTCTCTCATTACTTCCGTTTGAACGAAGTGCAAATATCGACATAGAACGTGCACATGTCGAGACCCATCCGGCTCTTGAACTACTTATATTCGTAAGACAAGCCTTTGGTTCTTGCGTTTAAGATCACTTTTTGGCAAGATTCCAGTCTATCCTACGTCGAATTTAAATCAATTATAGGGATATAAGATCATCTAGACGGACTCCCTGTCTTCTGAAAATACCTAATAAACTCTTTGTTGCTCATGTCATTAGAAATAGTCCTGACAAGGATGTACACCTTTTACTGCAGGAAGGGGAGAATGGTAATTATAAAGTGCATGCTCGAGTTTAAGATAAAAGCAAAAAAAAAACTGTGAGGACTGAAATGATCTGAGCACTTGGTCACACAACAGTCTGAGATTCCGTTCAGCTTGTGTAAACCAGGGCCAGGTTGTTCAAAGCTGAGTTTTAGATAACCCAGGGTTGGTGTGAAATCTGATTTCAGATTTGAAAGCTTATAAGAAAATTCAGTCGAATTCTTGTTGTCTAGAATATAATTATTGGATGCTCTAAAAAGGATACAGAATATTATCTCAAAAAGGCTTTTGAATATATATCTAAAGAAACCCAGGTTAAAATTTAACATTGGGTCAGCACTAATTGGCCTTTGAGCATCAAGGCCCAGCTGAGTAAAAAGTAAATTCACCCTTCTCAAACATGGCAACTGCATGTATGTAATGAAACCATTTTTAGACAATAGACCCCCTACAAAGAAATGAAACCATGATCAAAGTACATTTGATTAATCATGATTTTGGTCACATTAAAGAAAAAGTTTCAACTACCCAGACAACATTTCTTTTCAAAGTCTGAAAAAACAAACAAACAAACAAGCTGTTCAGTTGGGGTTTAAACTTCAACTACCCATCCACCATTGACTAGTGAGCTGTGGGTAACAATCAACAAAAGGTTTACTAGCAGAATAGACAAAAAGACACAGTGACTGATGGAGTCTCACACTCCCATAAATTAACAAGTGTGTAAGTAACATTTTATGCTAAAGAATAAAAAATTAACTAAAAAGACAGGAATCCTTCAGATAATTTTTAACACCAAATATCATTCATTCATAAAAACTTGGAGGGTAATGCCACACTACCTCACTAGTAGTGTCTCCACTTCTATCACCAATATTTCCATCCTTAAATTCTTCCCTCAAGTCACTACATACTTCCTTGAAAAATTAGTTCCAAGAGTTTGGTGTCAGATCCTGAAAATGACTTCTACGTGACAAATTTGAGTATTCTTGATCACCTGTTCGCTAGTGTATAGAGAGAAGTTACATGCTAATCAATTGTTATAAGTTAATCACTAAAGGGAGTTAACCAAACATCCTATACCAAAAACTTGTGTTTTTGCATTAAATTCACATTTGGGATGTCAAATATTAAATCTAACATCACTTATAAAGTCAAAGGTTAAGGAGAAAGGATCAATCATTTAGATATGCATACTCATTTAATCCTTCATTGTCCATATTGTCTGAAATAATTTCAATAGACTTTCCATGAAACTTTATTTGTGGCTCCAAGACCACTACTTGTTCTTGTCACTAATGAGCCATCACTTTACATGGAAAGACCTATCCAATGATAACTAGTTGCCGATAATAATACAAACAGAATAAACAGGCCTGCTATGTCAACTCAGACAACTACAACAATTGTGTTTAAAAAAAGTGAGTACTAAGTATCGTAATAAAAGTCCAATTATCCTGGGCCATAAAAAACTGCCCAGTTTTATCTAGATACAGTCCAGTTCTTGTGACTGTCATACATCATCTAAATGCATGTGTTTTCTCAAGGAGCAAAATTAAAATGATCACAATTGTCACACGTAGACACCCGACCAACTAAGACATGAACTGCTGATCAGATGCAAAACTGAGTGTGCTTAAAACTCATGTTGTCTATTACTTGTGGTTTAGGGCATGTTAAGTTCCAAGAAATAGATAAAAAAAAAAAAAACAGCATTCGCCCCTCTAATCAAACTTAGTATAACCAGCACCATAGGCAGAGTTTGAAGTGTAATTTCCTGATCCACTGTAAGATGAACCACTTTGACTGGTTGTAGAGTATGGATCTTTTGGAGGGGCATAACTGCTGTATGCATCCTTTGAAGAGTAGGTCTCCCTTGGTGGATAAGAAGTGCTGTAAGACTGGTTTGAACCATATGTTGATGAATATTCACCTGGCCTTGAACTGCTGCTACCTCCACTACCATTATAGCTACTGCGTTCCCCTATCTGATTGCGATACTTTGCATTTTGTTCCAAAAGAACCTCGTTGGTGGCCTTCAGGTCAGCCACCTGCCTTTGGAGATCAGATATTCGACGACGCAGTGATTCATTTTCATCCATGAGGTAGTAGTAGCTGTGTCCTTCATAAGAATCGCGGCGACGTTTACTGGGATGACCATTATAACCATGGCCCATAAATTCTCCTTCCTCTTCAAAAACATGACGATAACGACAGCCTTGCCCTCTTGTGCACTTGTTGTTCAGAAAATCTTTGCAGACAGGATCATTTGGTCCTGCACGGGTTTGTTCTCCTCTTGCTCTAAATGGGAAGGGACCATCTCGCCTTGGAGGTATTTGACCAGTGCGAAGAAATATCTTCTCTTCATTATTGGAAAGGTGTAAATATTTGCAGGTTGAACGGCTGCATTTTCCATTTTGAAAGTCTCTGCATATCATTGGGCTGTTTGTAACCTCTGTTCCCATACCATCTGGGTGATTAAATTTACACTTTGATCCCCGAGAGCACACACCACGCTGATAATCACGACAGATATTTCCACTTCCTTCCTCACTCCTTCCAGTAGTGTTATTGTTGGTGTCATTTTTGTTTTCTGATTCTTGCGACATTTCTTTTAAAATAGGTTTGACTGTGATCTACAAAATAGCGCTTTGCTATCTCTCAAATTCAATGCTTACAGTCAAAGTGCGCTCACCAGATTAAATGGAATCGCAGACTAGTGCTGCAAATGCTGCCAAGACGGTGTCTGCTAACCTGTCGCAAGGTTTCTGCGTACAACTCACTGCTGCCTGCGCCACGCAAATCTGGCGTACTGGAATGCTGCATAACGGAAGCGCAAAAATTCATTTAGTTAGGCCAAGTCATTGTTTCAAGTAATGCCAGGGCATGCATATAGTATAGGTACCCAAACTTTTGTTGAGAGAAACAGTCCTCAGCATACAACTAATTAATCAAACCAAACAAATAAGAAGCACCTGATTCAGTGACACCTTAAGTACATAGTATATGTTTATTTGAGAATCGTGTTTTTTGAAGAAGTCAGCTTTTAGTATGAAAGATAAGCTCATTCTCATAACGTAAGGACGCCTAAGCCTCTTCGTTTTGTCATCACTGAACAACCTTTCGTTAAAAGGTGACTAATTCATTTCAGTCTCCAGAGAAATGCAATGTAAGCATTGTAAAAGCAGCAAAACGTCTGGGTAGTTTTCATCGTTAATACAAAACACAAACAAAACAAGATATAACCTTCAAAGAGTTTGAAAACAAATTGGAGATTGCCTTTCCTAAAATATGATTAAAACTTTTTTTCTACAACTTAGAAGGCACAGGGGATATTTCTGAAACAAAATCAACTTAAGGACAACATAATGCAGCACTTTTCATAACAAGACGACCGCGTGCTTGTCAATTTGTATTCAAAAGGTGACGCGACTGCTTACGGCAAATCCCTACGAGAAAGTTGCAAACGTAACCTAACAGTGAAATAGCGCATACTTTGCCTGGTATCCTATGGCGCCTTTAGCTTAGAAATCCTTGCTCTGAATGTAAAGAGAGAGTTTTAGCTGAAGTTGCTCGATATATCAACAAAGCTTCGCCCTGCTTAACCAAGATGGCGGCTATTTAAGACCGTCAACGCCGACACGTGTCCAGACCAGGCGCGGCTGCTTCATATGTCCTAATATGGAAATCAGCGCGCCATTTCGCATTTTATATTTACTACTCTTTCCGATTATTTTGTTAGAATCTTATCATTTTGACTCCTTAATGATATTTCTCTACAGCAGAGCTGGTAAATTAAGCATGTTTTTTCAAAATTTTGGCGATTACATTTTCACTGTTCTGTCGGAGGGTTCGTTAGAGGTCGTTTACTTCACGACGACTTGATATAACTTCCAAGCTAAAAGAATTTATGTTATCAAAATAAGACGCACATTAACAGCCAAACTTAAAACTATCTGAATTTTTTTAGTAAAATTCCTTGCTGTTTTTGCTTTCTTGTCATTAATTACCGTTGAGCCCTCTGATTGGTTGCTATTATACAAAACACTTTGAATTCCACGTGATTCCATTAGCAAAACATGGCGGACGTCGAAGATAGATTGGAGTCGCCAATTTGTCAGACCACGATCGGCCTTGGATCGCCGAGAGATGGAACGCCTAACAGCTTTTGTAGTACACCAGAACTTGAGATAATAGGGAATGAAAGCTGTTCAGTAAACGATTCAAAACAATCCCCTAATCGCGAAGGTTCTCCTGCGTTCATTTCGTCTGAGACAAGTTTATCTAACGAAGCTAACACTACTCTGATACGTCCCAAAATTAAAGAATTAGGCAATTTCAAAGGGCCATCTACAGGAGTGGACTTGAAGGAGTAAGTATGCGAATCTAATGATTTTGTTTTCAGCATTCGTTCAATCAGAGTACCAGTTTAAACCCTCCGCTTAGCTGTCACGCTATTTTAGCACTCACGCACGGTAGTTAACCAGAATGCCGAACCGTTGCTAAAGTGGTTTTCATTTTTTCATCTGATGATAGGACAAGGAGAGAAGGATCTAAATCTTCTGTAAATAAGGATCAATGTGGTGTAGAATGCAAGTGGATTTCTTGCCATGTTATTTTAAAAAACGCTATCGAATTATCGGAACACGTCAAGACTGCTCATGTTGAGCCAATGTCTAAACATCAAGACGTCTTCGTCTGTTTGTGGGAAGGCTGCAAAGTGTTTGACAAACCGAGTTTATCACACACGTGGCTTGCGAAGCATGTAAACGTTCATACTGGTGCTAAGCCATTTAAGTGTATGATAAGTGGATGCTCCATGACATTTTCTTCGAGAGAGGGTCTTGCCAGGCATGTGCCCTCGCATTTTAATGACGCTAAGCCCACAAAAAGACAGAAGTCAGATAACGATTCCTCGCCCAAGAAAGTAATGAAAAAGAAAAAGAAGAAAATTAAGAACCTTCGGCAGGCGAAACCACCGCCTCAAGGTTAGTGTGATTTCTTAAGTCATCTTTATAAAAGAGTTTTAACTCTTACTTGACACGACATGGGAAAACTTGTCTTTTTCTGATCGTCTCTCAGTCTTTTGAAATTGGTTAAGCAAGTTCAACGAGGATTTAAAAGTATTTAATTAATAAACTAAAGTTAAGTGTCAGAAACACGAAATTTTTTGTTTGCTTTTAAAGGAAAGCTTGACCTCACGTAGGTTTCTTAAGAGAATGTCATCATCAAGTTAGTCTCTTCAAATTTTTGATGTAACCGTCAGCGAGATGTCAGTCTACTAAATATGAAATATAGGAAACACCTCTTCAAGATTTCAAAGGTCTCTATTGTATGAACCACCACTCTGTCACAGAATAAGCCTTAATAGGTACCAGATTAAATATGCAATTTGATTTTCTGCTTCTTAGATGCAGCAATTCAATCAGTTGAGGATTCAACTGGAATGACCTTTTGGGTTTTCAGAACCATTGTATATTAATTACAGTGTGAGAATTTTGGTGGAGGGAATCATAATTTATAAACTGACATTTGTTTGAACAAACACATTGAACAGGAATATATCAGAGGTTTCAGGAAATTTTACAGAATCTAACTTCTGCAGTTTGTGGTTGTAGATATTTGTTGGAATAAATTGTGCAGTACTTCATAGAAGTCATTTAGCAATTAAAGTGGCAATAAGATCTGACACATTTCAATTTTTAAACACTTAGCTCTTGATTATTTTGCAACTTTGACAGTTAAGGAAGATTTCATTGACCAGCATGCAGTAAGCAGCATAAAAGAGAAGCTACCACATGTGATGCCTGTGTCATGCTACAGACTTGGCATTGATGGTGCAAATATTGTTTTTCAAAGTAAGGTGAGTATTTTATCCCTGTCATGGAAGAGGATTGAGTTGAAGAAAGCATGTTGGTTTTAAGTTTTGATGTTGTTGTTGTGGTTGTTGTTTTGGGGGAAAGCTAATTTGTGTTCTCAAAGGATGAAATGATTGAAATATAGGATAATGAATTGAGAACCGAGGTTAAATTTATACATCAATATATACAACACCAGTGGGAGAAGCTTTCCAATGTGTAGTTGCCCTTACTCAAGTATCTATGTTGTTTCCTTTGATAGAAACTTTATCGTCACTGCTTGTCTCCATCTGAAAGCATAAAATTATCATTGGTAGCTACAAACAGTCAGGGAAAGCATTTAAATTAGCTACAAAGTTTTAGAGGTTGCTCTAAATGGATCTTGATCTTCTGTAGTCATAGCCCTTGATAGATGTCATGTTGTTCTTTTAAAGATCTAAGATAGGCTAGAAAGATACAAGGTGGCCCATGCACAGACCCCTCTTATTGTGAAGTTTAAAGGTCTAATTTCTCTTCACAATAGCACCCTGAATCACACATAAAGGTCATGAGAATAAAGGAAATGGTCACCAACTAAAGAAGTTCTCAATTCTTACACAAATTCTCCTTGTCAGCACCTTAGGAAATGTATAGAGAACAGTATGGAGAAATTGCATACTGATGTTAGTGTGTAAAGGGTTAAGCTCCCATCATAAATGGATCAGGAATCATCTGAATGGATCAAGTGGTCTCTGACAAATAAAAAATTTGAATATTTTTTACATACTTCTTGGTAGCAAATTTACCTCAGAAATTTCTCTCAGATATGTGTTTTTGTATACTGAAGGATCACATAACTGAAATCCCTCAAATGAGATTTTACTTTACTAAATGATTGTGTAAAGATCCCTCTTGAACAAAGAGATAAAAAGGATCTGGTATGTCTGAGCTTTTCTGAGCAAAATTTTTGTTTACAAAGTATGTTGGATTCCCGGATATTCTTGGAGTGATATGTATGCAGAAGAATGGACTTAAAGGGGTTTTGCTTAGAACATTGGGAAAGCAGATTTCTAATCATGTGACGGCATTCTTGTGCATTGTTGTTAAAATTGCTAGAGCCTGGAAAGAGAGACAATAAGGAAATTTTAATTTTATCCTTACATTGGAGAACTAATGACGTGATGGCAAACAACCTAATTAGTTGTGCTGACGTAATAATATACCACAGGTTCTTGGAAGAAGAACAGAAGAGAAGTCTGGGGAGGAAGATGTACTTCTAAGATGGCTTCCAGAAGATATGTAAGTTACTAGCAGTGGTAATAATGATAATATGTTCTTAACTGAGTTTACACCTTATATACTACTCAAAATTTCTACAATTAACTATTGATATTAAGAATCATAAAGTTGAACAATTTTCAGAAATAGGCCTGGTTATTATTTGAGCGAGGTAATTGACAAGTGCTCTGTTTTAATTTGGCAGTGGCACTCAAGCTTAAAAAAAAGATACATCTCCATGAAATTTCTGTGGAAAGTTTCCAATAATTTCTTTCATAGATATTATGTTGTAAAAGTTGTGAGGAGTGCCACATCTTAAAAAGTACCTTTTAGAAAGCATCAAATTGTTGTTAAATCTGTGTCACATGCACTAAAGGATGGAGGTGGTATGATGTTCTGGGGATAACAGCTGAATTGGTCTCTTCTAAGCTACATATCCTTGTTTTCTTAGCAAGTGATTTAGACACTTGTTTGTTGTGCCTTGTATAGTTTTATGATAATAATGAAAGCCTTTTTATGAGGTAGCAAGACCAAAATCAGACCTTCAAGGTCATTTTAAGTTAATATGTATTAGTAGCAAAGATTTTTTAAAACCCTGATTAAATGTCAGAAAAATATGGTATTGATCAGGAGTTTCACAAATTTTATCCTTGATGAATGTTAACATGTGTAATGTCATTATTCCTTCATCTAGAAAACAGCTTTCTTCAGGTGGTCTTATATTTAACTTACCATTGATGAAATGACTTAATCTAAGTTTTTGGGCCCTGGAAAATATGGATAAACTTAAAAAGGAAAAGAATATAGTTGCTCAATTTATATTTGGAAAATTGTGGGAAAAAAGAAGCAAATAATGAAACAGAAATTGCGCGTCAGAGAGGCTCTTCAACGTTTAACGTCGTGACTCCAAGAAAGAAATGTTCAAGGCTTTGTTTTTAAATCTCTCCTTAACAGATTACCAGATGAGTGGGTTCCTTTAAATGAGGTTCAAAAGCATAGGACACGAACTGTACACATCTCTCAGCTCCCAAACGACGTGGCCGCTGATTTGGATCCCTCGTTCTACAGACAATTGTCCCACAGAAAACACCACCGCAAATGATTATCGCAGTTTGTTACAAAGTGTAGCATTTATAGAGATCTTAGTCCTTTACATGCTTTCAAAGTTATGATACTCTTGAGAAAAGAAATCCCTCTTAACCATCAAAGCTAATCGGTGTTACCATTGGGCTAGCTTTCTCACTCTCCTTGATTGCGTTAGAAAACTCTAAGCACTCTTTCCACCAATCGTATGCAAGAGTAAACCCAGCCATGATTTTCTCAAGGACGAGGGCGTTATATGTGTCTACTTTCAGTTCGCTTTAGGCTCCTGGAGTTCTTACAAGTTACTTTGTTCTGGTTGGCCATTGTAAATACGCTGGTTTTGGTTTTTACGACTTCAGTGGATAAAGGCTTCAATTTAGCTGACGCTCTCTCTCAAAATTCTAACTTTTCTTTCTCCTTTCTCTTCACGGTCACAGCTTTTCTGCTCGTGTATTTATAAACCTCTTTTGGAGATTATTGCTGTCATTTCGTTTTCATTTTAAAGTTAGGTTACTTTTATCGTTCTGTGCGACTGTCATCCGACTTTGTTCTTAACTCGTCCTACAAACGTTTTTTTTTTGGAATAAGTAACTTAGATGAGGTGAACCGTCTCTCAGAACTAACTTATGCTTTTGTTATCTTTGTGAGGCGTGTAGAAATTGTGGGCTTTCTTTGTAATGGGGCGCTTTCTGTGAACTTTCTTGGATGACAGATTATTCCATCGGCTTTCTTAATGCAACTTGTCAAATTAAACATTTGTAAATAGTTACACAAAGAGACTATCGGGGTTTGGACAGGCGCAAATATTTTCGTCATCTCCTCTTGTGTTTACGCCTGGCTGTCTCGAAATACGTAGGAAAAGTAGCAAAGCTTCTAGTTTATTGTACAGGCAGCACTGCGGCGTGGATAACTGCAGTACTGAAGTGAGTTTAATATCTATTTCTATTTATTTGCTGCAATATATTTTGTTCACACATGACAGAGTTTATGAATAAAGCTATACTGTACATAACTTGCTTTGCAATAAATGTGATATTGATTCTTCCTAAGCTGGAATTTGATGCACAGTTGTTCGATCATTTGAAAATGATTCACCCTCCAATTGAGAGGCGAAGAATACCTATTTCGGTCCATCGTGAGGAATGACCACAATTCTCCTCTTTCCCCTCATTGCAGCCGACACCTGTTCCAGATACCATCGTTATGTTGTTCACATGTCGAACTGATTGTTCTGATTAAAGTTGGTCATTACCAATTTCAACTTACTAAAGCTGTCAAAGACCATGGTGTTAAAGGGAAAATTGAAAACGATCACAAACGCGAAGGAAGCACAATCGTTGAGCTCTGGGGCCTTTGTTCGTTCTTACTTAAAACGTCTTAGTTTAAATAAATTGACAGAAAATGATAGTAAACAGATATTTGAGCTACTTTTGTTTTCTTGTTTGTTTATAACAAACTATGCATCCGAGATTTCACAAGCAATTATCTACTCCTAAACTTGAACTTTTTAACAAAGCGCCCTTAAAATCAAATTATCATCAAATGCACACCACTTCTTTCACCCACATAAGCTAATCTTTAGTTTACTAACTCTTACATGACATACTGGGGAGTGAAATTTACCTAAATACCGCAGCAGATATAAAAAGAATATTTTAAAGAAACGGACTTCATAAAGAAACTGTCTTGATATACCTTATTTTTAAGTTTAAAAAAATATATTTAATACGTAAGTAGGTTGACAGAGCTCTTATTTTTTGGAGCACCGCCCTTGTGCAAGATACTTCATTTCCACGTCACTAAGAGCGTAATTATAAATGATAAATTCATCAACTAGTCCTGTTAAATAAGATCCTGTATAAAAATGTCTTCCGATACCGGCAAAATGGCCCCAATCTTGAGACAGGTCACCGCTCGCAGATTTTTGTTTCACCATGACTCCGTTAACATAAACTTTCGCCAGCATGGCTGTGGAGTCATACGTCACTGCCACGTGTGTCCAGTTGCGCGCAGGAATGGAGGGAAGGGTGACGACATTGAACACTTCTTTGTCGTTTTCTTGGTGATGATACCAAATTACCTTCCCATCCTGCACTGCGAAGTGGTATTGGTCATGCTTGTGATCGGAATGGCTTCCGATTGTATTAAATATTTCGTGCTCTTTCCTATGTAAAATGCAAAAAGAATCTCAGTGAATTAATTGCGTCTAAAATCATTACAGGAGACAAGCATTTTAGCGCAGCTGTCTCACTTTGGTTATCGAGAGAAGTAGAAAATTACATCGAATTCTTTGCGGTAACACCTCTCGCTATTTTAGGGGGAAAAATAATCCGCCTCCATCCAAAAGAGACAAAGTGGGAGAGAGTTTTTAAATATACAGCCATTTTTTAACAAAGAGAGCTTAACTGTGAGCAGGGGCCGGAAGCGTTTACCCCCCCCTCCCCTCATCGATTAAGTTCTTTTTTCCGACGACCCTGAAGATAGAAACTGATATAACTATAACTAACTAGTCATAACTAGCCGTAGTTACTTATATCAAACCTGTTTGTTTGTAGACTGATCCACACTGATATGGTTATGGCTTTTTGGGGTTTTTCTCTGAAAGTATCACCGGGAATTTTAATCTGTCCCATGGTCATATTCACAGCCTTCCCGCACGTTCCATTGTTGGAGACAGCTGTACCATTTATAGCCATGCCATTGTTTGCAAGCCCAGACTGGTCATACACTGTTTTACCCGCAAACAAATCAAAGCCATAATGTAGTACTATTCTGTGGTAATTGCAGGTCTGAGCAAGAAGTGTTATTTCATTTTGTTTCAAGTCGCGCTCAAATAAATAGAACTCGTCGATGATGCCGTTCAGATTGTTTTGCTCAATCCATTTTCCATCAGCCCCTTTTTCGTACTCTTTTCCGATGCTAGTCTTTCCATTCCAATCCTGGTCAACGCAAGAAAAGATAAATACATTTAGCCCCCCACAGTCTGTCTAATTAAAGTTTTGGGTAGTCTTTCATACACCGGGATCTACAATGGAAAATAATTGAGGTGTGATAAAGGTTTAAAGATTAAAGAGGAACAACGGGCACAGAGGACCAGAGGAAAAGTGGGCACAGAAGATCAGAGGAACAGTGGACGCAAAAGAGCAGAAGAATAGCGGGCACTGGGGACCAGAGGAACAGTTAGGACATAGGGCCAGAGGAACAGTGAACACAGAGGATAAGAAGAGTGAATACGGAGGACCAGAGAAACAATGGGCACAAAAGACCAGTGGAACAGTGGGTACAGAGGACCCAGGGAACAGTGGGCACAGAGGGCCAGTGGAATAGTGGGCACAAAGGACCAGTGGAACAGTGGGTACAGAGGACCAGCGGAACAGTGGGTACAGAGGACCAGAGGAACAGTGGGTACAGAGGACCAGAGGAACAGTGGGCACAGAGGACCAGTGGAACAGTGGGTACAGAGGACCAGAGGAACAGTGCACAGAGGGCAGTGGGATACAGAGGACCAGAGGAACAGTGGGCACAGAGGACCAGTGGAACAGTGGATACAGAGGACCAGAGGAACAGTGGATACAGAGGACCAGAGCAACAGTGGGCACAGAGGGCCAGAGGAACTGTGGATACAGAGGACCAGAGCAACAGTGGGAACAGAGGACCAGAGGAACTGTGGATAGAGAAGACCAGAGCAACAGTGGGAACAGAGGACCAGAGGAGCAGTGGGAACAGAGGACCAGAGGAACTGTGGATAGAGAAGACCAGAGCAACAGTGGGAACAGAGGACCAGAGGAACAGAGGACCAGAGGAACAGTGGGTACAGAGGACCAGAGGAACAGTGGGCACAGAGGACCAGAGGAACAGTGGGCACAGAGGACCAGAGGAACAGTGGGCACAGAGGACCAGAGGAGCAGTGGGTACAGAGGACCAGAAGAACAGTGGGCACAGAGGACCAGAGGAACTGTGGATACAGAGGACCAGAGCGACAGTGGGCACAGAGGACCAGAGGAACTGTGGATACAGAGGACCAGAGCAACAGTGGGCACAGAGGACCAGAGGAGCAGTGGGTACAGAGGACCAGAGGAACAGTGGGTACAGAGGACCAGAGGAACAGTGGGTACAGAGGACCAGAGGAACAGTGGACACAGAGGACCAGTGGAACAATGGGCGAAAAGGATTAGAAGAACAGTGGATATAGATGTATTATTTCTGGCTTTTCCTAATTCAGAGCGCTTCTTCTTCGTGTCGTAAAACTAAACAAGGTAACCACAACTACCAGTCGTAGCGAAGAAAAAAATATCACCAGGAGCTAATGGGGACTCGAAGCAAAACACGCCTAATGCGTGGGGAAACGTAAGTGACCAAAGAGCAGTTGTTTTTTAAATTTGATTGGTTCCGGGGGCTTGTTTTAGGACCAATCACGCAGCAGAGGCAAAACCAGTGCGATCATGGAGTACTTTCAACTCTCTATTAAAAATTTCTCCCAATCTGATACAATTTAAGATCACCTCTAGCTTTCTGCCGTTCTAAATCGACGGGGAGATCCAATTTTGATCAATCATATCCTTGGACAAAGTTTTGCAGAAATACACATCCATTGTGGGGTCAATAATTTTTTTTGAATTTTTTTACTGAACTTTTCCTCGTACATTCAAGAAGGGATGTTACCTGAGAAAGAATTCCACTGCCAGTGAGCTCTTGTTTTTTTAACACCCCATTCACATATATCTCAGATTTCCCGCCAGTTGCGGTGTAAGTGCAGCTGATATGAGTCCATGTTCCAGCTGGTACAAGTGGCGAGTTTGTCTCGGCGCTGAAAACAGTCTAAAGAATCAAGGAAAGAAAGTGACGGAAATTTAATCTTTCCTCCCCTCTCTGTGGTAAATTTTCTTCTGTCAAGCGTTTTCTTTTTCTGACCGACTAAACGAAGTCAAGTGACGATTAATATAAGCGTGTTTGTGATTGGTTGCAAAAAAACTAAATAAGCCGTAAGTGAATTCTAATACAAAAACTGTCGAGTAAAAAGCACACATGTTAGACTACTCACAAGAGCTAAGCCATTCGTTAGGTTGCACTTCCTGCGCGCACGCCAAGCAGACCTATGTTTTATAAAAGCTCACCTGGGATTTTTCATTACGGTGAAACCATCTGACTCTTCCGTCTTTGATCGTTAGCGAATACTGCAGATGTGTGTTCCACGGGTTATCGGGATTGCAGGTGCTGAAGACAGACTGTTGACCGCGGTTTGGTATTCAACTTGAGCCATAGCGCCACTGTCACACTGAACAGCGGTTTTCTCTTTATTCGTTGTCCGTCAATCAAAATATTGCCTATGGGAAGATGATGAAATGAGTAACTTGTGCTATCTTCAACTGTAGTTTTTCCATTCCATTCAGATAACAAACCTCTAGTTCGTCATTGGGTATTTCAGTCAATCAGTCAGTCAGCGACCCAGCCAATAAGACGAGTGACTAACATTCGAAACGTCAGCTTTAGAAACTCTTTTCGGTGGTCAATTCACATTATAAACTCAGTTGATAAAACAGTAAATCAGTCACCCAGTCAGTAAGACAATCAGTCAGTCGGTCAGTCAACTGGTCAGTCAGTCCTTCCGCCCGTGCGTTCGTCCGTCTATCAGTCAGATGGTCGGTCAGTCAGTCAGATGGTCGGTCAGTCAGTCAGCCAGTCAGTCAGTCAATCATTTATTCGTCATGGTAAATCAGCTAATAAGTCGGAGGGTCGATGGTTGTCCTTAACAGGATCTGTATGATGCTTCAGTTTGCCATCGTTAACTTATCTTAACCGCCGACATAAACTTACCTCCACGTAGTTGAAGTCCATTCCCGCAAGTTCCACTGGTCTTTGTCACGGTAGCAAGGCTAGTTAATTTACCGTCATTCAGGCTACCGGAGTCATCAAACACATCACTGCCTGACACGCGGTCAAATCCAAAGTAGAACACTTGACCAGTGCTCGCTGAAATGAAAAATTTGACTTAGTATTAAAACAATCGATATAGGGCAAAACAAAAAGACGTGGGTTACAAGAAGCCCACATTCAAAAAATACATTGCATTCATTTTCGTTCTTTCGTTCAATCCAAACTCATTGCTTTGAGAAAAACTATACATTAGCCTTTTCCTAAAAATAAATGCTTTTATGAATCTTAATGGTCGATGAAAGAATCGCTGAGTTATTGTTTATCCATATCAGCTGATGTTCAACGTGGAAGAAAAATATGTTGTGTAAACAATTTGAGAGAGAGGAAATTACAGCTTTTGTTGAAAGTAACTCACGTGTTTTGGCTAACCCAAAATTGCAGTTATCATAGAGCGTTTTCACTTCAAACGGAGTCAACTCCCTGTTGTACATGTATATTTCGTCCAGAGTGTCGACATCTGTGACAGTTCCTTCATGTTTGCCAAATGCTGCATAGCTGTCCCAGTCTTCTGACAATCTTCCTGATGCAGGCCCTTGCTTGTTGAGGTTGCCGTTAATAAACACCTTAGCCTGGCCACTCTGCTCATTGTATGTTACTGCGATATGCATCCATTGTTCTAAGGTGATAAAAATAAAACAAGTACGTAGCAACAGGGGGGAAGTCCTTGGATGCCCGTGACCTCCTCTTTGTAAGTCTTTTTTAAAGCAAACGACCTACAATATTTAGGTGGCAAGAACTGGTGAGAACCCTCTGTTTGACACGATGTGACCGTCCCCCACCTTTTGAAAAATCCTGGCTACGCCCCTGTAAAATGGAGTGTGGAAAAAGCTTGCAGTGTCTAAGTGGCAATTGATAAGATAGGGGTGAGTTGATGTGGAACGGGAGAATTGGGTCGAGTGTGGAACCAGGAGGACGGCCTAACTCTCTAAAAAGCATGGAGTGCAGGAGAAAATTGCTTGGATTAACATTTTATATCTAACATTTGTAGCATTGCACAACTATTACATTCAATGGTAAGAGATCTTGGCAAGCTTTATCTTAATAATAACCCCTAGTCTAAATTTTCCTCAGGGTAAGAAATTTTTCACCATATGCTGATCAACAGTATAAAAGTAAGAGAAAAGTTACCATACATTGTGATAAAAAGATAGACCGTAAACTTACTCTCCGTTACTATAGGATCAGTGACAACTTTGAAGAGTTGTTTATCATTTTGGTCGTTATGACTCCAGCCGATGGCCCCGTTCTCCATCATCAGAAGATACTGGTCGTGTTTGTGCGCTGAATGGCCACCAATCGTGTCAAACAAGTAATGTTTTCCCTTAACCGAAGTAGCATTTAACCACATTGCTATGGTTACACTGTCAATTGGTTTGTTCCGGAACGTTTTCCCGTCCAGTTTGACATCCGCTTGTCCAGCATTTAGTTGTACTCCGTTTCCACAGCTTCCTTTTGCAGCTAATAGACAACAGAGAAGCAAAAACTTTCGAATTAAAAGTCTCCTTGGAAGGCTTGCAGATCAATTATATTCTCAATAGATCAATTTTATATTTTATAAAAATAATAATCTCAGAATCTGACATGCATTAATTACACTTACGTGGAGGAGGAGCAGGTTTTGGTTGGCCTGGTTGCAGAGGCGGCCCACCAACCTTTGCGTGGTTCATAAGTCCTGATTCATCCAGAAACGTATCACCGGTTTTCCTGTCAAAGCTCAGATGTAACACCATGGTGCTTTGGGGCCCTTGGCACTTTTTAATAAGCGTTTTTAGCTCAGGTTCCGCTAGAGTCCTGTTGTAAATGTAAAACTCGTCTACGTAGCCCTCTAAACGACCTTTTCCGCCATATAAGCCGATCCCTGTATGCGAGGTTAGATTAAAAAAGGGAGGCAAATTACGTAATGAATAGCTTTGTAAGTCACAGACGCTAAATGATTGCGTGATCATGAATTTGACTCAATCCTTTTTTGTTGTACGTGTAAAGTAATATCGGGCCACTTAACCTCCACTTACCCGCATATTTAGACCAGTCTCGCGACAGGAATACACCGGGGTCAGCAGTTTCCTGTTTTGAAAGTTTTCCATCGATATAAATCTTAGCAATGCCCCGAAGGCCGTCATACATTGCGGCTAAATGATACCATTTTCCATTGGATAACACAGGACCGTCTGTTATGATACTGAACACGGTGGAACCATTTTCATTTCGGTGAAACCAGCGTACCCTGGCATTTTCAACTTGTAGATCATATTGGGCTGAATTAACAGGAAATAAGTAAGTCATATGTAACGTCCAAAATTTGTGGCATTTTAGAATTACAAGCAGAGAGCTACTTACGTTCCTCGTGATTAGATCTGGGCGGTCCTCCAATAGTCTCGAAAAGATCTATTGTACCGGATGTTTCCTTTAATTGTACCATCATTGCAATAGTAACTTCAATGTAAGGAATTCCTATATTGGGGAGTCACAATCTTTAATAAAATGGTGATATGTCATGTGCATGCGTATGCGGGTGACTCAAAGTTTGGAAATTGACATAAATAAGACTAGCTTATTTTCGTGAGTGAGCTGGGTGAGTTCACTATTTCGTTCCTCCCTCTGTCTTTCAGCCAGTCAAACAGGCAGGCAGTCAGTCAGTCAATGAGTCAGTCAGTGAGTAAGTCAGTGAGTCTTTCATCGAGTCAGTCAGTAAGTCGGTCAGCCAGCTTGAACACCAGCCAGCCAGCAATTCAGTCAGACAGGCAGAAAGACAGAAGACAGAAAGACAGAAAGACAGAAAGACAGACAGACAATCAGCTGGCCTGTCAGTTAGCCAAATGCATGGTCGGTCGGTCAGTCACATGAGGCAAGTGGCCCGCACTGTCGGAAAATAGCCGGGAAGTGTGTCACAAAGCAGATTGGAGTAAGGCTAATCCATCTCGAATGACTTGTAAGCCTTAGTAAGCTATATCTCTCACCCCTCCTCCCCCTTCGACCCAAAGTTTCCATGAGTTGTTTTGACATTGTGTTCTTGCGTGGCGAAAGGAATCATGAAAGGAAGCCAGAGGAAAGAGCCTTGCCCATGCGTAGTAAATAGAAATAGATATCATAACCATCTTTTTCAGATATATTATAACTCACCGACGAACTTTGATCCGTCTATTATAATCTGTCCACCACAGCAGATCTTAGCACATTTGCCACAGCTACCTGCTTCTTTATCCAACTGAACATTCATGAGAGTCGCATTGTTGTTGTGCGATGAATCATCGTACAAGCGTTCTCCATTGTACCGATCAAAACCAAGGTAATAGACCTGATTATAATCCTCTGGAAAAAAAAAAGAAATTCAAATAAGAATTTTTGGAGGAAGGAAAAGAGAGAAAAGCCTATAACCCACGAGTGCAGTTGATTTCACAAGATCGATGTGAGCCATGTTCTATCGCTGTGACTACTGTTTGCATCATCAATAACCAAGGCAGTCGTGCCTTTTTAAACTTGTATTTCCCATTTCTAGCAGTAAAAAAATTGACATTGGGTAGTTAAGTTAAAGGTCAAGTCGACCTTGCGGTAAACTGTGCCAAGGATAATTGCTATACTATAAACTAGTTTACGGGGCTATAAATTTTCATTTACAAACACCACAAAAAAATGTTTGGTTTTAGCCAAGAATTTCATTTTCAATATCATTCCACACGAATTAAGAAATCTATTGACCTCTTAGTTTTGAGGAAGGTTTTTTTTTGTTTTAAACCCTTCAGCACTTACTGCAATGAGCGTAAGCTTTGACCTTACAACTGACCACGAATAACACAAAAAGTAACTCACGTGTCAGTCCAGCCCATGTGACAATGACACCCGCCAGTAACAAGAGACATACACCCCTCAAGTGCATGGCTGGAGAGTGCCTTCTTCAAATCCCTCCACCTTAATGAATTAGAAATGAGAGAAAGGGAGAAAGAAAGAAAACACCATTAAGGTAAATAAAATTGAATTAGTTTTCTTTTTTAAAGAAATCTCAAGAGAATACAGGCTAATAAATCTTACAAACGTTGCGCGCATGCGATGACTATCCCGGATATGTCCTGATTGTAACTCTGACAGATTTACTATTAACGCGCAAAACTATGCGTTGATACAGTACAGCTTGTGGAGACTAATTAGCCTGATTACTTTGCTATGTCTCTGTTGAGTCGGTTCCAAACGGCATAGGAACTTACAAGTTTGTCATTCGACCGGATTAACTTACCCGTCATTGTGGTAATACCTTGAAAAAAACTTGCCAAACGCTCATCTAGAGTACCCATATCATCTTTTTAGATCTTTAAACACTTTTATCTCGTTATGGTAAAGGATCTGGCTATTAACATGAAGTTCAGTCACAGCTTTACTCCCCTCCGAGTTCAGTTTGGGGGGGCACGCAGTATTGAAGCTTTTGGGACTCCATATTTGGGAACAATGTGTTTTGGTTATAGCGCGCAGTTTATTAATTGGGCTGGTTGTTGGCGCATTATATGATAGTTTTAAAATTTTCCAGTTTGTTAAATATGTCTGTCTTGAAGAAAAATTTTTAGAAGAACGAGTTGAATAGGAATACTCGCGTGAGAATATAGCAAATTTTGTGTTGAAGAAAAAGATAGTTGAAGAGGGTTGAATTCTCGAAATATTCGCTGCTATGTTTCTTTAACGAGGCTCCAAGAGTTAGCATTTGAACAGTCAAAATAGAGGAAGATTAGTATATTTTTGTAAGGCTGTAAGGACGTCTTGTGCGGAGTAAAATAAATGAATATAAATGTATGTTAAAAGTGCAGGTTGAGTCCTCAATAAACAATGCAACCACAGGAAATCACGTCGGGTACCTTAAAGTTACGTACGGTAAGAAATAGAGCTTAAGAATTGAACAGAGCAGCTACAATTGTTTATTACGGATGTGTGGGTAAAGAAACCACAAGATGGTTGGTCAATCGAAAGTTAAATCACTGATGAAAATTGATATCAATGAGCCAAAGGATGAAAATCAGAACTTCACAAAATGACCTTCACAGCAAGGGTGGTTGTACCCCTTGTAAAAATATCATAATGTTTACTCGCTTTAAGGACACCATACATCGTAAGTTCAACTCACCTTTCAGGAATACATCAGTAAGCTCGTTTTATGTTTTTTCAAGTCAGTCATGTTGGCTCTAGAATCGCCATCTTTGATCTCATACAAGGGCTCTATCTGAAGACATGACGTCATAGTTTTGGATTGCACGTATTGATCCCTTTGAAGGAAAGACGGGTGTCGGTGTTGATAGTTTAACGAACAAAACATCACATGCAAGACAGGTTCATTTTATTAAATACATGCCAAGAACATCTGAAATTAAAAATGTGTTCAAATGCAGGCGAGTTCAGTCTTGTTCAAAGTGTTGAAAAAAACTTATGACCACAACTGCTTAAGCGAAACGTATAATAGTATTTTGATTCATTGGGCATGCGCAGTGAAGGCCAATTTCATAGTGAGAGATAAATGTTTTTGAATCAGAGATCAAGACTTTAACATTTGAAAATTATTGAAAAATCTCAAAAAATAGTAATAATTATAATAATAATAATGGAAGCAATTATAGAAATAAGGCGCAAATTGTGAATTAAGTTCGTTTTTATTCTTTAGCTAAAACAAAATTGAGCATTGTGGCCTGGCAACGTGACTGGCTTCCTTAAAAAATGACATACATCCAAAAATACTAAGCTTTCTTTTGTTTTTCTAAAATAAGTGCAGACTTACAAACCGGCTGATAATCATTTTCTCCAGTACCATTTTTTTTGGGCCGTTTGAGGGTTAGTCTCGTCAAAACTCATTAGTTGTCATTTCTTTCTTTTCACAAGACAAGAAGCTTCTCTATCTGCAATTAACGCTGTTTAAGTCAGTCTGCTTATTAAAAATGTTGGTTTGCTAGTTCAGGTGTCGATGGAATAACAAACAGTTAACAATGACGCAAGCTATTAGAGCTTTTTTATTCATTTCTTCTTGCAGCTGTCGAGTTGATTTTAATATAACAGGGCCACGTACAGCAAATCTATGCAGTTTATGAATCCGTTAGCTGTCTTGTTATCAGTGTTTAGTGTGCGCCATCCCTACTACAATTCAGGTAGGTTATTCGTTTAATCTTCTTACTTATGCAAAATGAAATGAGATATTTGGTTTTTTTTACTGCCGGATTAATTGAGCGATTTTGACAGAAGGGTTGGTACACAAATCCGGCTTTGTTTATGATTTTTTATTGAGTTAGCATTCATCGGGCAACGACTACCGGAATTCTACATTAAGATGACATTTTCAGTCCCACTACGCCAAAAAGATGGGTTGGTTTGGATCTTAAGGAAGTGAAAGTAAGAAAACGAAACCTTCGATTTTTGTTACTAAATGATGTTGTTTTCAAAACTCTGCTCTGATCAATGACGCATTTTCGTCCTGAAACCATAAGCTTCAGGAGTAAGCCTTTCTTACTTTCATTTCGGGTTTCCATCCACCGATCAGCTCCAGTTCAACGACAAGCTTGAAAGCATCATGGAGTGAAACTGATAATATTGTTTAAGTGTTTCAATCAATCGTTTTGATTTAAATGTTTGAATGTGCCAAACGGAGAACATTTGACTAATGAACTCCTTTTAAGCGCCAGAGGGCTTATAGGAAGCGAAGAAACGTCACGTCACGTCACCGTGCGGGTATTTCATCGCAGATATGCCTCTTATTCAACTTAAAAACCAGTTGAAGCTTACTCGTTAAATTGTGCTAGAAGATGACCCACTCTGCCTCTCTAGCGAAAAAATGCAAAATTAGCGTTTTTAGTTTTTCTATAGAAAAGTATTCTGAAATGTATTGAGTCTAAAAAAAGAAACCAAGATTTTCAATCCATTCCCAGAATTACCTTAATTTTGCGAGATAGATCGGTTTTTTTGCGCGATTTTTCATGATAAAGCCCAAACATTGCTCATTTCAGCTGCTTCTATTTCTTTGAAAAACTCGAGCCGCGAAGCTATTTCTTTATACTTTTAGGACATTAAGATTTCACGGACTGACTAAGTTTATTTAAAAACAGAAACTTCAATAAAAATAGGATGCGATTTTCCGTGATAAAGCCCATACGTTGCTCATTGCAGCTGCTTTCACTCCTTTGATTAACTAGAGCCAGGAAGCTCTTTCTTTATACTATCTTGAAGACATTAAGATTTCATAAATAGCCGTAGTTTATTCAAATTGAAATGGGATGTTATTGAATTACAGCTTGCACTATTTAGAGTTTGCTAAGAGCCGCTTTGTAGTTTTCACATTATTCGCCTTGCTGGTTACGCACGTGACATTTCATGGGGCTATCTTTGCTCCTCTTGACGCTAGAGCGAGCTTTACTCTATATGGGAAAACCGCTGACCAAGAGAGTCGCATTATTACTCTGAAAACACGTCAAAATTTAGAATAATTTAAGCCTAAGCCAGTATTTTGGCGAACCTATTACTTGAACCTTGAATTTAATCTACTTTCATTTAAAGCGTCCATATCCTGCCATCCATCAGCTTGCAGGTTTTGACTGAGAGGGTTTTTATGCTAAACAAGCGATCAATCGTCCAGGTAAAGTCCTTTATGAATTATATCTGTTTTAGGAATTACATATCAGTTCATGATGTGCGCGAAGCGAACATCATGAGAAAATTAGAGTCAAGCCAGCCGAATGCTGCATCATGAACGAAAAAAAAACGAGTTTTGGGAAGTAATTAAATTAATCTCCGTTTTTCACGCGGCTGAATTATTATTACACGAGCTGAATGTTTCGCTCCTTCTTTTAAACTTATCGTATCTTGGACCGCAAACAAGAAGAGTAAAGTGGTTTATTTTATATCATATATCGCCGAAAATATCGTTGCGTGCTTTCACTATGATTTCACGCTTATTGTTATTGTTTTCATTTCAGAAAAAACAAGTTAACTTTTAAGAGAACTCGAGCGACCTTTTATCCGTATTTGTCTGAGATAGTCGCGTTTCCCCATTTAGGGTAATGTTTTGAGATTTATGCTAAAACAAATGAGTTTAGGCTGAAAGCCATTGCACTCTATATTGATCTGAGGCAGAGGAGAATGGAATTCTCCCCATAAAAGATCATGACAGAACTTTTAGTTTTAACGACAAGATAAAAACCGTAAACATTAAAGAAATCTCTCAATAATCAAATTTCTCGCCGTTTAGCATTGGTATAGCCTTATCTTAACAGCTTTGAATCAATTTTATATCCAGAAGCACCTTTAACTTGAACTTAGTGGCAGAGGAAATCTTTTAAGAAAAAAAATCCGCAAATCTTTAAACTGACTTATAAGTCGGGGACTTTAGTAGATGAAACCAGCTTAAATTTCAATAAAATCATTTTAGAATTTACTATTTGACATGGTGTAAATGGTTTTAAATGGATTTCATTAATGCAATTTTCCTCCTCTTGTTTGGCTCCTAATGGATTTCGGTAGTTTTGTGATCTATGTCATACCAAGTACACAAAAGTCTTTTATTATTCCCCAAAAAACGTTCAAATCACGGAAACAATATCGACAAGTGCTATTTCAGTTTGCTAACTTTCGTTTAATGAACTAGGAATGATATTGATGTTTAAAACCGAGTAGCAATTTACAGTCTTATCAGATTTTATCTCAGCATGCAAATAAATCTTTCTCGGCAAGTATAAATTTGGAAACTTGGTAGGCCACGGCGAGATTTTGGCCTTTTGTCAGGCACGTACGTCGAATTAAGAGCTTTCAATACACAATACACAATAAAACTGACCACGTTATCGGTTGTACTGTCATTGGAAAAGCTTTTATTTAAAATGCCGAAATTAATCTACTGGTTTTACATAGATCAAAAAGCGATCCAAGGCGTCGATAAAAAACTGAAAAAAAAAATCTTTTGCTAGAAAGGAGACTAACAATAAAAGAGCCTCTCTAAAGCCAAACATCGCGGTGAGACTTTTGCGGCCAGCGGAAACTCTATCACGACTGAAGAAAACTTCGATTCTTACCTTACTAAGCCATAATTATCACGGTAAGAATTAGAAATGGCGTTATCTTTTCTCGATTGCGTTTAAACTACAAGTGGTACCGAAGCTACAATAATGATGTAGTATCTTTTTGTTTTCCAGAAATCCTAGAATCACGTACAGCATACATGTTTAACCCTTTTTAAATGGTGTCAATGGGTAAAGGTTTCATTAATACAAACAAAAATTGTCTGGAGATTTCTTAGTGCGATTCTAAGAGGATTTCAATTTTCTGTTTTTTGAAACATGCGCTTGATACCAGGTACCTCATTTTTGTATCATTGCGATGATCGTGATTGGGATCTATTAGGCTTCATCTCGAGGAAAAGCGACATAAGGGTCCTAAACACGTCTTAAGACTGCTCAACTGAAACATACATTTGCCTAATCTCTCTTAAATGGCCTGAAATATTTCTTTTTAAGATATTAAAATGCTACCGTGGTATTTGCATTGATATCCTGGTTAAAGGTAGGGTTGGAAAGTACGACCAGCCACGATATGTGCGTGAAACGTACTCCTTGCGCCGTAATACTTATTCAGAAATATTTTTAGAACGAAACTCAGTTTTCAGACAGCAAACAATTGTCTACACTTTGAAAAAACTCTATATGTCACTTCAACTGCCGAAAGCTTTCTCATGTTAAACCTCTGCGGCACAGTGTTTAGATTAAAGTTTTCAGGACGACACGAGTATAAGCAAATATGGGAACTGATTTGGACTTATATAATACCTACATCCTGTTGTATGATATTTATCTAACGTGTCTCAAGGGAGAAGTCGGGAAGATTAGATTGAGAGCAATAAAAAAAACTTAAAGAGAACTATACTCTGGCCCTTAAAAAGATATCCTGTCGTCAATTCGATTGTTATCTGTCTATCATAATGATTGCAAATGTTTCTCTACAATCAAATCTGAGAAGAACCATGGAAATATCCCATCCAACACAAATTGAAATATTAAGGTCTTAAAAAAACCTGATATGCTGATGACGTGGTCATTTGAAGGGCTTAGTGGAGTTACTTTGCTTTCTATCAATTAAACCTCAAACAATAATTCTACATGAAAACAGGAGCTAAAAATTTTTCGTTTCCGTGCTGATAACAAGATCTTGGTGAAAAGAAAAAGCAGTCTAGATATTACAAAAAAAAGGGAAACTTAACGAACGCATATTGCCTGCTTGGCTGCTTCTCGGCAAAAGAGCTTTATTTCAAAGCGATAGTACTCCGGAATTATTACCATGGTAACTGGTCAACCTTACTGAGGCAGTATCAACTCAGGAGGTGAAATTGTTTTGATGCTATTTTGGTAGAACTTGCTTTCGAGATATTTACTTTTGCTTCTTCCTACCGTGACTCCTTTATTGACAAGAACATAATAGTTATTTCTTTCCATAGTCAGGATGACGGCTGAATCCCATTTTAATCAGCTATAATTGCTTAGATTAGAAAACTTGCCTCTGCATCTCAATTGAAAGTTTACCAAATTGGCCAATCACGACTTGTCAGGAACTCCTCGTGAAGGACTTAGATTACTGAGTGACAGGGAATGTCTTTCATGGTTGTTTCAAAGGAGAAGTACATGGATCCTTAAGGATTTGCAAGATAAACATAGCCACGATCTCTAGGTCACTCTTTTGAGATTTGACATCTATCATGATTAGTTTTGAACAGGAGAGTTACAAATGACATAAAAGACCGACCCAGTCAGAATAGTTCCCTTTGTCTCTGTAATGTCATTTGAAGCTCAGTCCAAATTACTATTCATCACTATTTATCAAGCTGACTTTTCTTCGCCTGCAACCGGATTCTCTGAGCACGTTCTACATGAAACTTTCACAGACTGGTGAGAATAAACAGTTTGCTTACGGCAGTGTCGATGCTTTTTAAAAAAAAAACCGTAAACCAAAACCTTAAGCCCAAATATTGAAATTCGAAAATCCTTAAAAAATAGCGGTCACACGGAATATTATGGTTGGGAACAATAGTATCGAAAAATGTTGTTTTATCTGTATATAAGAGGAACAAGCCAAGATAAGTCGAGTTTGCAACAACATGCAAATCGTATTTCTATTGAGGCGTCTAGTAAATGAAATGTTTAAACCATTTTAGACGGGAATAGAAAATAATTAATACTTTTTTTCCCCTCGATGTGGCCACGAATACATATTAAAGCTTTTTAGGCTCCTTCTTGTCGATGTTTTATTACTATATTTGGAAAGACTTCGGAACAAGCTGTTTTTCATGTGGGGGGGGGTGAGTAAGGTGAGGGTGACGAAGTGCGTTTGTTTTTAACATCACTTTTTCATCAATAACTTGTGCGAGATGGAAAAAAAAAGTTGACATTGGGTCAGTTTCATTCCGTTTATCTAAATCTATTGTTGCCGAATATATGATAGTGGAAATAAATCCAATATATCCTGGCACTCTGCTATAGACACCATTTGATAAAGGCGAAAACATTTCGGTTAGGTAACCGTGCGCTGACATTGATAAAAAAGGAAAACATATAAAATCAATAAGATGAAATTCTCTTTAAGAGATATTTGTCGATATAATGTCATGTACACACAAATCCATTTACGATGAATATGAAATTTAGTAATTCTTATTTCCGTCCATATATACAAATTTTCGAAATGAAAAGGCAAACATGAAAATGAAACCCATTGACACGAACATGTTTATTTTTATAATATAAGTAGTTATATATACACAGCGCCTCCAGCTTAAGAGGTTCTATGCTAAAGAGTAACTTGAAAGGATACTGAAATCATATGATAAAGGTGGTTGCCTGGGAGAAAAATCGTGGAGAGTTTTATTTGATAAAGAATTACAAGAAGGCAAGTATTACAAGTATTTTGAAAAACATTAAGTTACATCCGACTCCGAAGTGGAAACTGGTTGGGAAATCTGGTGGTTTTCTTTGTCATTTGTTCTTCGAATTCAAGCAAGATAACAATCTCCTAGTCTTTTTGGGTGTTTACTCTACCAGAAACAAGTTTAAGAGAAATTTACTTTAAGCTAAGTTCCATCGTTTCAGTGATTTTTTTTGAAAAACTGTCTTTAGAAAATCACAGAAAAAAAAATTAAGGGACGAAGCTTTCCTCTGGTCATTTATCTTACTTTTATCTTGAAAACACCAAAGTCACTAATCATCATCTGATGAAGATTCAGAGCATGCTGAATTCTCGAAAAAAATCGAAGCAGGTGGAAACAGTATTTTGGGATTCCTAACGAGTGGAAACTCTCAATTTGCGTGTCAAACTAGATTCTGGATATATTTGCTTCTAATTCTACCAACACAATATTTTGTTAACTTTTTATTCACGTTATCAGTGGAAGAGAGTATGACTAAGTTGATTTAAAAAGGGAAATGCTGTCTAACATAGATTTAAAAGACAATAGACGAATTAAGGGCTTCCGAGCTTTCCTTTGTCAACCATTAACATTTCTTTTACGCTTTTCTATCATCCTTATGGAACCGATGTGAAAACGTAAGATGCGAATTGTTTCTCAAATTTTGACGATGTAATCTTCCAATAACGGCTAACATGTGCTTAAGGACTAGCTTTTACATCCATGTCCATCTTTCTTTCTCGCAAAGACAGTCATGGCAATTTTTCACTGCTCTCATTAAAGCAAAATAGAATTACAATATGATTCAGACACGGAGCTGGGATTAAATCATCTTTTGTGTACTTTCATGCGAGATGTGAGAAGCCTCATTCATTAAAGAAGTGTAATGATTCAACCACACTTAAAAATTAACATGACGACACAGCTGTTATTTTTCGGTTAAAAAAAAAATGATCCTTATTTTTCATGTTTGTTGAGGAAACTACACCCAGCAACCCTCCAAAATAAAAGTAACTAGAGCATGAATTAATCAATCCCACTGGGCCTATATAAATGTATGATCCTTGAATTAACGTTATGAAAATACACCAAGGTGAGTAAGGTGAACTTAGCGGGAAACTTCTATTGTAAATACAAAGGATGTTTTGTAGAGAGGCCGCCTACTGCAATTTCTGACAAACGGACAATTGGAATTTTTAAGTTAAAAGAAAACCGAAAGAAATTTGATTCTGAATTGTTAATCTTTAGTCATTTCCTCTGTTTTTCTAGAATACGGAAATCAATTATTTGCTTCCAATCCACTTATACATTGTCGTGCATCTGTCATACAGACTTAGGACAACATAAACACTCTTTGCGGAAGCTTGCACGACCATATCAAACAGTGGATCTATAAACTGAACATAATTATTTTTCGAAAGGAAACCGAGACAATCAGCCACAAGTTCAGTCTACTAAATTCTGACTAAACGGGAAAAGAAATTCCGATAACTGGAACGATTCTTGTGGTATTACTACCATTTTTTTGTAAGTATGGGGCTTCGCTGCGCGCATGAAGCATAAATGAATTTTTAGTTGTATTATCAGGTGAGGTTTAAATTAAGTCAGATGCTATTACTTTCAGCGCCACGGTAAAATAAATATTTAATCGTTTTAAGCCAAATTTCAGTTGGGCAAACTGGAGGACTTAGTTTAGAGCATTTCTGGTTATATATCTTAAGTAAATCAATTCAGATTTTTGGTAACTTTTCTTTCTTTTAAAGTCATATGTGAATTTTAACTTTGCAAAAAGACACACCTAAGAGATGCAAATCAGTAAAATGAACAGAAAATTTTTGATGCATTACAGATTGAAAGTGGTTTTGATCTACGTATTTGCGCCTTGATCCCCTGGGATTTGAATCTTTTTCTACTGCCTATAGGAGTTTCTTTAAAGCCTTCCATGTACAAAATACATAATGAATAATTTGAAAGTCAATCTTGTAAGTCGAGATTTATTCAAAAACATTGTGAGCACTGATAGAGGCACGTGCGAAAATAATTTTTCTGAAATGAAAAAGAAAAGGGAAAAGAAAGGAAGGAGAAAAAAATACGGCGAATCGTTTAAGATGATTCAGAGTGTTACCTTAGACACATTACTAGACGATAAAATGTAGTGAAGTATAAGTGGTTTTTGGGCAAAATATATTTACTTTGGATGTGCGGTCGTTACGGCATCGTTATTCCCATATTTAAGAAGAAAAGATAGAACCAAATCACAAAAAATGAACGCCCATCTTTCCTAATAGCAATTTAAATAGATCTAAAACACTTCGCAGTGATGAATGGCCATCAAGTGGAAATTTGCGAAATGTCGAAAAAATTGTTCAATACTGGACAGGGAAATCTTAAGGAAAGAAGAAAAAAGATATTGTTTTTAAGTTAAGTCTAACTTAGAACATTTCTTATTCCTTCAGTTTGCTTGAAGAAATTGTAAATTGTCAGAGTTAATGTTAACTATTACGAGAAAAAAAAAATTAAACTGAGCGTTGGAAGAAGAGAAGGATCAAGAGATAATTTTCTTATGAAATTTGAACGAAATAGATAACGTATCTATTTCGTTCAAATTTCATAAGAAAATGATCTCTTAATCCTTCTCTTTTTTCAATTTTATTATCAGAATGTTTAATTTTTAACTTCAAATGTTTTTTGTTTTTTTTTGTTCAAATTTCATAAGAAAATGATCTCTTAATCCTTCTCTTTTTTCAATTTTATTATCAGAATGTTTAATTTTTAACTTCAAATGTTTTTCCAAAAGGAAAATGAATAACTCAAGTGTAGTGGTGCCAAGTTCTTCTGGCGGTGAACCGACAGAAAGTCTCCCTTTGAACGTGTCGATTCAAATCATCCAGGCAGTCTTGTCATCCTTGGTTTTGATTTGTTCGTTATTTGGCAACGTGTTGGTGATCTGTGTTGTCATGCAAAGCCTCCGCATGCGCACTGTGACCAACTTCCTAATTGTGAACATGGCGTGCGCGGACATTCTTTACACACTGGTTTCTTTTCCTCCACTTTTTGTCATGATTTTTAACGAATACGATTGGGCAATGAGTCGCCGTGGGCTTGGCATATTCTTCTGTCAGGTGGTAAATTTTGGTCAATACATGTTGGTTCCTGTTTCAGTCCTCACTCTAGCCGCTATCGCTTTCGATCGATTCTTCGCCATTTTGATGCCACTGAGGCGTATCATCAACAAACGTGTCTTCCGCTGCATCGTAATTGTCATCTGGGTGACTTCCGCCGCCGTAGCTGCGCCATTGCTGTACGCATTAGAAGTTACTATAGACAGCAATGGCGGCTTGACCTGCGACGAAAAATGGGCCCCACTCTTTGACGAGAACACGGCGCACAGGGATTACGCATTGGTTTTATTCTTTATAATGTTTTGTCTCCCAATCTCCGTAATGATCGCCTTGTACTCAGTGATTTGTCGTCATTTGTGGTCCATAAAGCCACCTGGAGAGATGGAGCAAGAGGAATCCAAGAACTTGATTAAACGACGTAATTCACGACGAAGTGTCGTGAAAATGCTTATTACCGTTGTTGCAGTTTTCATCATATCCTGGTTACCACTGCAGATTGCCAATTTAATATTTTTCTTTCAGGAAGTTGTTATTTCAGAGTCACTTTACTTCGCCTGTGAGATTTTCATGCGCGCCAGCTGCGCTTTCAATCCATTGGTTTACGCAGTTTTCAGTGAGAATTACCGTCAGGGATTTAAGAAGGTGTTTGCCCGATGCTGTTGTTCAAAGATTAAAGCTTTTGTTCCGCAAAGAGCTTTTAGTACTTCGTCTTCGCGCCAACAAACGGCGCCTTCCTTATTGAGGAGTGACTACGCCTTATCGAGGCGAGAAGGCGGCAAGAAAAGTTGTCGGGAAGTGAAAGAAGAGGATCAAGAGGAACATCAAATTTGAAATAAATGAGTGTAAAAATTTCTTCATTGATTTTGTATCGTAACTGAAAAAGGTTTGAAACCACCTTAACTGAAAGTAAACGTTGACACCGTTGCCAGTTTGCCAGACACTGTTGACAAACTGAAGAGGAAAAACGTTCTACTTAGCTGACTTAATAAACTAAGTGCGGTGGTTTAATCTTCGAGTAAATTTGAAACTATTGCATGTCCCTGCGGACACATACCGTATTATTCCCATTGTTATTGTAATTAATATTACTGTTACATTATTATTATAATGATCACTATTATCATTATCTTTACATTATCATTGTTGTGCTATGGCCGTAAGGACCTCCCTTAAATTTTGACTAGACCACTCCAGTTAAAAATATCTGAAAACGTAGACTATCTGTTCAAGCGCTGGAAAGAAGGCGTCTGATTAAAGTAACTAGACCCCCTAAAACTGTAAGTCCTTAGGACCTGAATTGAAGCATCAGGCACGTCCTGCGTCAACAGCCCTGCTCAAAATTACAGCCCGGGAGAATCGTCCAAAGCGATCGGTTATTACTCCTGGATTTGAACCATTTACTGTGTGAAGGTATCTGTTACTATTGCTATTTACACCCGCCAATAATCGTTATTACTATCATTTATATTTCCTCGTCAATGAAAGACCAGCTGTCCTGAAGTTCCTTATCAAGTCTCGCTGTTGCTATTTTTCAGAAACTTTCACGTTCGAGTTCACTATTTCACGCTGATATAGATCATGCTGAGATATGCCTATTCGCAGAATTATATTATACACCTACAGCAAGTGAAAATAATTAAATTGGACGCTCAAAAAAAACTATAATCGTTAGAAGTGAATAGAAACGGAAGTGTAATTCTGCGACCTTGTATATAATAATGCGCTGTTACGCAGATGGCTGTAATGATGGAAATCTTCTTCGTTAAAAACTAATCTAATAAAAACTGCAACATATATATCCTAAAAACAAAAGATAAAAATAAAGACGTCTAGAAAAAAATTAATTGGGATTTTCGTAGTAGTATGTATGCCTCGATGCTTGTTCACTTTCTATTTGGACATCATATTCCAGACACACTGTTTTAGCTTAGTTATGAATTTCCTGACTTTAGTCAAAGTCTTTAGGTTAAATTATTGAATCACACTGCATGTCACCTGCGGCAAGTCCTCTTTTCTTTATCACTATTTTTCTCCATTGCTGTGACGTACAGACAAATTTCTTTCCTTTTGTGTAGCAAAGTACGAGGCCAATTTCATGCAATCTCCAAAGTAATTTTCTGAAAGGTGACGTCTCTTTGAAGTTAGTTATAATGCCATTGTTATATTTCAAGGGGTTTCAGATATCATTATTTTTTCAGTCAATGTATGTTGTTTTTTGTTTTAGCTTAACATATGCGGGGTATAAGTTTGTGATGACAGGATAGATTAGTTCTGTATAGAGAGGAAGTTATTTACAAGATTTCACTATCATTTAGTTTACAAGCAAACAACAACTTTTAAAACGATCTCAAGAGAAAATGTGTTTCCCCATGATTTGAAAAGTGTCCGGTAAAACTATCAAAACAACAATCACTGATTCACCGGCTGAATCTTTAAACAACAGGGAACTCACATGACTAAAACCCATGGGGCAAAGCGCGCCAATAAGAATGCAATCTATGGGCCAGGAAAAATAAATTGAGTGCCAATACAAATGTGCCCCGAGTAAAAGTGTTGAATTCGCAAAGGATACAGAAAATCGTTACTAAACATTGCCATAAGATGGTAGTATCAGTTGTTTCTTTCCCAGATTTAATCACTGGTAGATAATTTTGGTATATACTTGACCAATTCTTGACCTACCCGTTCAGGAAGCAAACAACCTGTCTAGGGTCAACGAGCATCACTGATTATTTTACTTGGATTTACTGTCTCTTAGTTCACTTATAGTAAAATACAAACGCAGTTACCTAACCTCAGAGCTTGGAAAAAACCGAGTATCTATCTTTTGGAAAGGATTTAACAACAGGGAGGAGATTCAAAGACCATTTTGCCGAAGCCTGTATGAAAAATTAAAAGCTAGAACCCGTCGTTTGTGGCCAAAATCGATGAGTCTTGGTTTTTCAGTCTGTAATGCGTTTTCTAAGAACTTAGTCCGTTTCAGTTTTCTCTACTTGGTCCTGTTTGTATGCTGTTTCATTGTGAAAGTTTTTCTTACTTGTTTGAACAAAACAAAGGTGGCCACTTCACAAATAGAATTTGACTGGTGGTGTCAACAATTTGTCGCCTCTCAATGGCTGATCGGGTGACTGGCAAGTTATCCTGCGGAGCAGGGTTATGAACATCCCGTTGACAAGTTACACGAAATTGCAAAAGAAAATCAGAGTTCTTGAATGATTCTTCGAGATTGCAAAATAAACCAGCCTTTCTTTTCATTAATAAAAGTGCTTTTGAGTGGGATTTTCTCTATCTACGACCGTCACCTTTTCTGTCATTTGCTGTGAAATATTCATGGAAGGTAAGTGAGAGAATGCCCGGGTCATGACTTTGGAATGTGCAATTGATTAAATAAGACTCCCAGATAAGACACGTCAAATAAGAATACCAGAAACTCGAAGGCCATTTTGGCTCAACCAACAAAATTCGATAAGGACTTTTTAAGGGTTTGGTAGTTTCACAAGGTAAGAAAATGACCATCGTCTACCATTTGCGTTTGTATATTTCCCAACGAGGCGCATTATTTTGGAAAGGTCTTAATTCAACCTGTCTTCTACCTGCTACAAGCAGCCGTGTTTTTCTTTGTGCAAGTCTTCGTGGTTATAGAAACAAGAATTTTCCACTGACGTAACTGTAGGTTGTACTTAACCCCTCACTCTCTGGGTCTTGTAAGAACGCAGGTAGCAGCCCTTGTACTCGATACGTCCAAGCAGCTTGATTATACAGCGTTCACAGGACGACGGCAGAGGGGCAATTGTTAGTCAATATTTATGTTAAAATTTCATAACACTTTTATTTTTCGATCGGTTATTATAGACCAGCTGATAATTAAGTTCTGTTTTGTTAAACGGCAAAACATTTTTTTTTTTGATACAAACAAATTCTGAATTTGATGTATTCTTTTCTTTTAGGAAGGATGGAGAGATTTGTCTTCCTTATAGCTTTGACCGTTAGCGGTAAGTGCATTTTCATATGATGCTTTGAACGATCATTCAACGGTTTTTAGCCTGGATACGGTTTTCAACTTGTAACAACATGAGTTTGATGATAATTTTGTTGAGACGACGATGTAATCGCCTTAAATGCTACAGAAGACGATCAATTGTTAGTTTTTTTCATAATGTTGAAGAGATAATTGTTTGATCTATATAGGCAAACCCCCATATAGTTTCCGACTGACATGGCTTTATGTGTGGTCATCGATGTCCTGAGCTATCAAGGATACTGTAAAACGATGCTGCAACTCAAAAAGCGTAGTTCGCTATGAAATTAACAGTTTGATATGCAAGGCCATAATGTAGAATTAGTGGCAGCCTGAATCGGTGGACCGCCAAACGCCGGGGCCAGAGGCCTTTATAAACTAACCTGTGCACTTACTAGCAAATCCACTAGAAGCAATACACATGGATATTGTTTTCTTAACTTTAATCACAATATTTACAATACTTTTTTGGTTCTTTGACAACTTTAAAACACCGTGAAATTTAGAGGTTCCGTCTTGACATTGTCTGAATACCTGCAGATTGCGTAAAGTTTGAATGACATGAATCTACTGAAAATGTTGAGGATTGCAGTTTCCCGATGACTCAGAGTCAATTCCGTTCAGACGAAACTGAAAACAGATGTAGTTTAACTGAGCATTGTTAATGTAATAGGAAGTTTTGTAAAACTGCGCTCACTGGAAAAACTTCCACCAGGGAATCAGAATAGGTGCACTTCAGTTGAAGCTTCAAGGCACAAATGAAATTAGCCTCAAATGTACGTCACAGTGAACTCTTTTGACCTCAGATCCTACGAAGAATTAGCTTAGTGGAGCCGATGTGTATTTCTCCAATATATTTTTTATTCTTTTCAAGAGGCTCGCACAGATTCTTTGACCACCATCGATTTATTTGTTGGGTGACACAAACACAAAAATGCTTATTGTAACAAACTGATTATTTTTGATGCAGATTTCCGTAAAAAATGTTTTTCTTTTTCATGACAAGAAAATAATTTCTTACAAAAGCTAACAACTGGAAATCGAAAAAAGAATATTTACAATCGACAACCAAAATCATTAGCGAATGATTTCATGTTTTCAAAACAATACCATTACCTGCTTCTGGAAATCACGTACCGTGACGTGATAGTCAAGACTGCTGACCTTCTCGGGTCGATCAAAGACTCACTGAATACAGGATTTTGCCACTTGACCATTCAGAACCTGTTGAACTTCAGAACAATAGAATCTTAATGGATTTAACAATCGTAGGTGTTAATATGAGTTTGGACTAAAAAGAAGGCTTAAACAAAGATATGCAGAACATATTTGTCCTTTCGACGTGAAAAACAATTTTTCTAACTCTTTTATAACGTTATAACGTGATTCTCGCTTGCAAGACCACATTAAAGTAAATAAAACTGTAAGGCGCACAAGTTGATTAAATAGGGAATAAAATGGAGATTTCCACGGTCGCTATATCAGCAATATTTAGATCCGTTAACTTTCCATGTCAAGCTCTCATTCAGGGGGCCTGTAGCCAGTGATCAAAGTGTAATCTCACTAAAAAACCTTCAGTAATATACCGAATTGGAACTTAGAAATTGCATTCAAATGAAGATGTTTCTTTTGGCACTGAATATGATGTCGAGCCTCTTCTGACCATAGGTTTCTTTACAGGTGCATTGGCTTCTTGTCGGCACCCAAAGCCTGGCCAATTCATGGCCAAAAAAGAGGGAATCCCCAGCTATGTAGACAGTCCATCAGCAGCTGACTTGGCAATTGACAGTGAGTATAAATCCACCGATCATCTTCACCACAATTAAATACATTTTGTATATGTTCATTTAATTATTGTGGAAAATGATGAGGGGTATAGGTACAGTGTCTGTTCTATGATTTCTCATTGAGTATTTGAAAGTACCTCAGATGTACAAGTAGAAAAAGCTATACCTGGAAAAATAAGTAACTGTTGGAAAACTCAATACTGCAAGTCGGAAAAATTCTCCTAGGAGAGTTGTAGTGCAACTCTTGATCTCATAGGCGCTCATCCAGGGAAAACAAAGGAACGCTATTTTCTCTTGGTGCTTAAAGCTTCAAGGAACCTTTTTCGCAGCTCTATCAGAATAATTACTAATAATCATTTACTTGTTTTCGATGAAAGAGCGCCTCGTGGGACATCTTCAGTTCAACACTACCAAGGGTAATGTGGTTGAGGACTCCTCGGGTTATGCCAATAACGGCATCCTTCAAGACGGTGCTATTGTGGTCAACTTTCCCAAGAGCAAGTGTGGAAATGCCGCCTATGTTTACTGCGGGGACATTCTTTTCCACGGGGACACCTTCCAGGCCAAACCCAGAGAGGGCGTCACAGTTGCTGCTTTTATCAATTTGAAGGACGTCGAAGGCAGCCGATCTGTCTTTGATACCATTGGTATCAGTCATCAGTGCGGTCAATTTCACTTTGAGGTGAACTATGGTTCTGTGCGCTGGTTCCACAGGAATGAGACTCAGCACATTATTTTCAGCGTCACCGCGGAGGGAAAGCAGGTGCCAAAAGGTATGTGGCTTGCTCATTATGTATTTTCTTTTCAGCATAACATTGCTCCCTTAGGACGGGTTTCCTTCTTGCGGCATCATTTCAGCTGGCAACCGCTTCAGACAAACATAGTGGCAATACGCGTGAAATCTAAAATTCTGCATTTTGGTCCAAATTAACCGAGAATACTACACTCACAAGCTCGAATTTGATGAAATTGTTTTTATCTCTTAATGAAGATTTATAGACCTTCCTTCAAAACGTTTTTGCCTTTTAAATTTATGCCATGCTTAACTAATCCTCCTTTCGTCGTTTTCTCTCTTACTAGATCAATGGACCCACATTGCAGGAACCTACGACTCCGCTACAGGCAAGTCCAAGATCTATGTCAACGGTGAATTGCGTAACATGACAATTGGTGGTGGACTTCTTTCGAGAGACTGGCTTTCAAGGGCTGGAATTGGTGACCACAAGGCTGGCCGTCCACTTTCGGGATTTATCGATGAGTTCAGGATCTACAACTACGCCCTGACCAAAGCTGAGATCGAGGCTTTGGCAAAGATGTGTCTGCCAGGTATTTCCTAAATTAAGTTCATATCTTATTTTCATGGATTAGATTTATAAAATGTTTGTTTCCACTCCAAAATAGATTCCAAACACAGCTCTTTTGGTTTTGCTCTTTGACTTACCTGCGTAGTTTGTTTTCGCCTCACTGGGATAATATGATTATGTATGCATGTGCTCCTGTTAAATGAGTCTTGTTTGAAAGGTGTTACTCCACAAATGGACAGCATCAAACCATCCAACGACAAACCATCGACCCTCAATGACGATTTCGAATTAGGAAATAAGGCAAATGCCTTTGGTCAAGGGCACAAGTCTAACCAACCTCAAGAAGAGTCGGTCGAAGAAGCTATTCTTTAGGATGAGCAACGAGAAGACCACCATTTGCCGACTTGAATAACATTGACAATCAGGATTGTTTGACGTCACCTATGTGAACATGCTCGATACTGCATTGAAACACTCTAAAAGCTTCATGTGATAGTTGGCTTTTATTTTTTTCGTTCTTTCTGTTAATTGTTTACTTGTTTGTGCGTTTTTTCTTCTTCTCTTTGGCGGAAAGTAACAGAAAATTAAAAGCTATCACCCATACGCAATATTTTTTGGAGAAACTTGATTGAGGTTTTCCTGAGTGACGTCAGCAATATGCCAGCATAATAATTAAATCTTTCCATGCAACGAACAGCAGATACAACCAAGAGAAAGGAAGATTTGAAATCCACCTCGATCCGCGCCTTATTATTTGATTATGATGGGAGAATTTCTGTACAAATCGAGTGTAAATTAATTAAGTGCTGTGAAAGACCATAGTTTTCTTTGATGCCGACTAAGTTTTAATCAGGTTTCTGTAAAGTATAAGAAAAGATGCTATGCGTTTCGCCTTGAAATCGGATGTTTAGCAAAACAATCAACTTGAAAATAAATCCGGGAATGTTCGTCATATCGATATACAGTATTTTTTAATTTTGATTGCCATGATGTTCGGTGGTTGGGTATGATGGTTAAAGCGGGGGATGATCTGGAATAATAGTAATTCATGAAAGGGGCGGGTAAACCTTGTTGACCTCCTTCCCCCCCACCCCCACCCCCCTTCCCCCACGTAACCCCCAAAAGTTGGCGTTACCATCGAGAATATCTATCGTATTTCCAGGAGTCCAATCGGGAACCTCTTTTGTTTTGAGAGATAATGTATCCCGAGCGCTAAATGAAAACTTTTCAGTTTCATTTACAGTATAATTTTGGTCGCATAGGAACTACAAGGATATTTTTTGATTACTTGACGTACAGGCTAAATTTCGAAAATTAGAACTTTTAATCTTCATTTCAACTTTAAGTTCAGGCAAAACAAGATGCAAATGTGTGTTAGTTTTTCTCTGGTACGTTGATTACGTGAAATTAAGATTATTACCTGACCGAGTAACTAGAAATCATGCTCACTAGGCTATCAACATCGACAAAGTAGGTTTTGGCTAAAACAATTACAGTGAATTCAATGCAGTTCTAAAATATTTTCATTTAGTTGAATAGACTGAATTTGGCAAGTAAAGGTTGTGTTGAGTATAGTTTTCATCTTCAACAGCGAGATCAATTTGACTAATTATAGAAAACTGGAGTTAGCTGACATTAAGGAGTAAAAGATGCTTGCTATGTTAACCTGCTGTTTTGGCCTCTAGTTTGTTCCTAACTTGAAAGAATGTAAAGCGTTTAACTCTAATTTAAAGATACTATGTGCTTTGGGCACATTTTTATGATCAGTTCTATCGAAATGTTTCCAAATTAGTCCTTTAGTGTGGTTATCAGAAAAATAAATTCGATTCAAAAGATCCAAGTTTACAGGCTGATATGAGCAAAGTACAGGTAAAATACCAAAACTTCTATTCGCTTGAGCACGATATACTCAATTACGTAAAACTTCCCCTTTTAGAGCTGTGTTACTTTTGTAATCCTTGCTTTAGCCTTTGAACCAGTTTTTTGGGGCATTCCGGAGATATTTTTTGGTATAAGACATGCCTAAGCTGGATTTCCCCCCCCCCCTTACACTGGTAATAGTAATAGAAGGAAGTGGAAAGGAAAAAGTTAGTTAGGCAGCATTATCATCATGTTCTTCTAGTGTGGGCGGCATGCATGTCACCTTAATTACGCAAGTGCATTGACCACAATAAATGTTTCCGTTACGGTAATGCTCTTTGAGGTCGTTGCTTCTTTGCTGCTCACTCAAGCAGCGTGTGACTATTGCTTGTAGTTACGTGGCCAACATTATATACAATGTGGTATCTGACCTATATGAAATTTGGCGTGATATCTGACCTATATTGGTCATTGCTCTCTTGCAGCTTCTTGCTGGTCACTCTAGTACCCTATGAGCGTTGAATTACGTTTTACGACCTATATAATATGTAATTTGATGTCTGACCTATATAAAATATGGTGTGGTATCTAACCTGCAATAATTGTTAAGCTTTTGGTGTGCTGGTCACTTGAGTGCCATCGGACATTGATTGATGTGATATGACCTACTGTTTTGAAATGTAAAAATAGCTCTGGTACATGATATTGGATTTGATGCATAACTAAAATAGGAAATGGAGTAAGATCTGACCTACATCGTACGTGATATGATTTCTTATATATGAAAATTGTATTGTTATAGGTGGTGGCGGCGCCGCAGGTAGTACTCCAGCACCAACTGCAACCCCACCCTCCGGCTCAACCCCCAAGAAACCTTCTGACCGAGTAAGTAACGATGCTGAATTCGCACGCAAGGCCGGAAAACATTTCAAGTTCCCTCAAGAAGAATCTGTGGAGGAAGCTGTGCTCAAAAGGTCATCTGTGAGAGGATCACGCAGCGTCGATGTGCTGTAAACAACAACAAACAATTGAATGAATGACGTTACTCATGAACTTAAACTCGATGCTAGTCAAGGTATCGGCTAGAATTGGATTTTCTCTCTTTGAAACTGGACAATGTTTAAAAACCCAACCAACATGTAAAGTAAGGCATCTTCGTTATAGGAGACCTCTTCTTTGTATTACAAGAGCCCCGTTAGTGTGGTTTTTAAACAAGGGATGTATCATGACGTAAAATCAAAACCCTGTCAAACCGTCCACAACTGTCGATTAAATGCTTTGTGCATCATTGTTCTCATTCTTTGGTATTTCTGTCACTTAACATCGCACGTTTTGCAATCACTCATAAATGGCGTGCAACATGATTGGCGGGTAAACTTAGTGAGATCAAACATCGATGTAAAATTTTCACGAGAATACGAGTCTAGATCCGACACTGAATGACTTACGGGTACATGCGACCGTTTATGGGTAGTTCTCTTCCCTTCATTTCTAGTTTTATGGCCAGTTTATGTAACACGGCTAATGTTTTCATGTAAGGAACTAATGTACAAATTGCTTGTAAAGTTATCTTTGATTTTTCATGGTACTAAATTATCTACCGTTTCCATAATACTATTTGATTTTCTAAGCTTGATGTTAGTACAATAAAACGAGCGAGATAAAGTTGTGTTTTAAAATTTGAAAGAAATGTTTGGATGCCGAATAGCTAAGAAATAAACACGGGCAGTATTACAATATCTCGTCTGGAGTCTCATTTTATCTTAAACTGCGCATACACCAGGGCTGGTACTTTTAATTCAATACCTAACAGCCATCAGTTTCTGTAAATTGGTAGTGAACCCCGTCTCTGCTTTTCAAAAATATCTGCCGTGATACACCATTCAATATTCCATTTACAGAAACAATTCCTCGATCGTCATATAAAAAAAAGGATTTTTATATGCAATTCCTTGACATACTGACAATTTAAGCTTTCTACTTAATGTAGGTTCAGAACAACCTAACTTTAACGATTCGTTATGTTAGCTCTGAACTAACCTTTTTTCTTCGGTTAGCAAGAAGTCTCGACAATTAAGATAATTTTCTTCGTTTATCAGGATTTGTACGTAATTTGAAAGTCTAGAAGTGTGGCGTGAAAAGGTTTGTGTCGTGAGATTTGCAGTGCGTGTTTCTTAAAAACGATAAAAGAGTCGTATAACCTTGATTGAGAATCAAAGACACGAGCGCTGTTGAACTCCAAATTGTTCATAACGCTCCCTGAATTTCCTTTTGGACCCTTTGTATTTCGTGCAGGAAGACAAAAAAAAAGTAAGAAAGTTAGTTATGCGTTCACGCGTTTTCATTTTGGAATGCTAGAAAGTATTGACAATTTGTTACGTAGTACTTAGTAAATAACCTTATGAAAGTACAGTGCAATTTGGATTTTACGATCCCTCGTTTTGCTACTTTTGTCTTTAACTTTGTAGGCTTATCTTAGGATACCCGTGAAAAAAACGAAGGACAAAATTGCGTAAAGTGCCCATGACACGAAATGTTTGTTTGCGTAAATATTTAGCTTATCATATGTACAAACCAATTCCGATAGAAGAAAAATTTCAGAAAACTTAAAACTCGGTTTTTTCGGGCCCTAAAGTGCTCCTATTTTATCTTAAAAGTGGACTGGTAACGAATTAGCGGGTGATAACGTAGAAAACTGTGAAAACCCTCAGTTGACACTTACAAATTACTCACGTCTCTTTAATTTTGTGTCAGTCAGCGTTGAAATACTCTTGAAATAATGTCCGATAGCAATGTACACCTAGCTACCTTCAGCAAGCTCTACCGAAAGTTGTGACACATCGTAGTAGAGAAGAAATGGAAGTTACGAGTATGCTTCAGCCCTACGAAGGAGGACCGCGTGCATCAAACGAAGATTTCGACGAAGACTGACAAACACGGTTTTCCTGCCTGCGGTATCTAGATCAAGATTAGAAAAAAATTCCCTTTACTGAATGTTTAGTTTTCTGCGTTTGTGTTTTGTTTTCTAAGGCGAAATCTATGTTAAGAATGGGTAGCTGTGTTCGTTTCTGTTCCCATAACATTTTATTCCTTCGCGCTATGTGCGGCGAAGGTTTCCCTCAGTCAGTGCTCTGGAGTTTCGTTGCTGTAGAGAAATTCCCTATGTAAACCAAAAGCTAACTTTTGACCAAAGAATCAGCTGACTCACGAGACACGATGATTTTTCACTGAGAAGTCACCGGGCACTTTCACTACAAGTTGCTCCATTTTGGCCATACAGCTACATCCTTTGGAAATTAGTGTAAAGAAATCCCCGGTATATGTGCATTATTCTTGTAGCGAACATCATGGTGCTCCGGCCACGCAATACGTTCGTCCTTTCCTCTAGATTTCTTCTTTCTCCTCCGTGGTTGCCGACGTGTCTTCACAGTTTTCTTCGTCACAACTATGTAACATGATCGTTTTAGCTGCGCGCTTAATAGGGACACTTTTTGGCCGCCAAATCGTGCTTTCAATGCGCAAAAGATGGTCAAGGAGAACTCGGTAGGCGCTAAGGTCGATTACTTCTAATTCTAAATAGAGCTATTAACCAGAAAATGCGAAAAAACATTTCGCGTCATTGGCACTTGAAAAAATTATTTCATGGCTTTACATTGTCAACCATAGTCCTTTCTTCTATAAAATTTTGTTTAATAACTCAGGATAGAAAATAAAAATGTTTCGCTTCTTCCGCCGTGAAATTTAAGGATTTTCTGAGCTGATCTGTCTAGTTCACGAGTTGCCTTTTGTATGCAGGTGTTATGCACCTGTTGTGAGCACACAAAACTATTGCTTTCGAATACTGATGAATTAGACTAAGGCGTAAGAGCCTAGGAAACTTAAAAAAGAAACCTTGAATGAAAAAAATCAGCGTCAAAGATCTGTTTTCCCCTTTGCGCATCTCATATAAGTGAGTAATCGGAATTAATCTATCATCTGATAAAGTTTAGCAATCAATGATTACAGAACGCAACGTATTTGAATTCTCAAAAACCTGATATAATCATTACAACAAATATATACTGATCAGTTAATTTACAAAGTTAATCAGCAGCTCGCAACGTTTTAACCTATTGATTGAATGTTTACAACAAGGTGCCTGTACCTAGTGTGTTGTTATCAGATTGCAATGACATGGTGATATTTCGAATTGGGAGAGCTGTTTCTAGTTTAAAGGAAATTTAAACCGTAAACCTGTTATGTGTGAACACTGTTCCGTGTAACATACCCATTAACTCTTACCTTCCTTGAAAAGTTCCTGACGGTGTGTCAAAATAAGTTAACCAAAAAACGGTTTGCCTCTTTCGTTGCTTTCACCCTAACCCTAAATCTGACCTTGCGTGACCTCGGCCCTCAACCAGTTCCTTAACAAGTTTCAGTTCAAAAATGTTCATGGCTGGTATCTTTTACTATTATTGCGCAAGAGTTCTGGTTCTCTGAAAAGGTTTAAGATCTTTTTGAGCTTTAACAGACAGTTTAAAATGAGGCTGGCATGATAGAAAATTTTTACGTGTTTGACAAGAGCAGATGAACCCCGAGCACTATGGGATACTAAAACTCAAACGCGAAAGGTACTCCAAATTCATAAAAGAGAACTGATTTTTTTTAAATTCACCAATGGAGTCCGCATATGAACTCCATCTGAAAATTGCATAGAATTGAAATCCTCAGGCAAAATCTTTAACACCTGACACACAAGTAGCAAGCTTTAAGAATTCAATTTTTTTTGTCTAGTCGCGGTAAAACGCTGCCCGCCTCAGGAGACACATCTTCCACCAAACCAGAATTTATGGAACCAGCTTTTATACCTTACCCCTTTAACTCCCAAGATCTGATTGTTCATCCTCCTCCTTGGCTGCTACACATTTCCTCGTAAATTAGTTATGAGAATTTAGTGTTATATCCAGATAACAACTTTCACCCGATAAGTTTTGAGTTTTCTTAGCACCTGTTTGCTGATTATGTAAGGATACTATAGGGAGCAGTTTCATGATAATCACTTCTGGGAACTAAAGGGTTTATGTTGAATGTTCAGCGATAGCATGAGTGCAGTTGGTTTCGCTCACCATAGGACGATCTTGCTTCTTCGTAAGCGGAAGAGCGGCGTAAAGAAGTGAGAAACCATATCACTTTCCTCCATTCAATTTAATCATCGTGAACCAAAAACTACCGGATCCGTAGGGAAAAGCTGGTCTAGAATTAAATTATTTTTAAAGCCTTTTAAATTTCGTTGATTGGAGACTGAGATTAATCCTTGTTCCGTCCTGGTCAGCGGTGATTGTTATTAATGTAAACATGGCGGCGAAACATGGCGGCGAAGTTGTTCAGCTCATTTGAGCGCGTTCAAACATCTCAAACCCTTCAGCACAACGTTAATATTGTTTTTATCTTAAGTTCTCAGTACTCACCATCATAGGATGATTGAAGTTAAACTATTTCACGAGTTTTGATGATCTCGCATGGGTGAAAAGAGGAAGCAAAGACGGCAAATCCGAGATCGACTGAATCATCTTTGTTTCACGTCCAAAGTATTTTGTATTTTTAAATCTAAGATATTAAAAAATTTCAATTTTTCACTACAATAAAATTGGATTTGTAGTCATAAGTTCTTTCAGTACAATACTACGGTAATGGCTTGGTCAAAAACCCATTCACGATCGGTGCGGTATCACAGTTAATAAATAACGCGAAAGCGAGTTTATTAGATCAGCTAAGGTAAGTAAAAGTAACATATATCTATCAGGAGGAGAGCTAGGTTTCTGGATACTTTTTGAGATGTTTATTCCAGATAGTTTAGAATTAAATGTGGTAAAGCTGAGTTACTTAATCAGAAGGACTTATTTTAAAACATGAATATATAATAAAATTTTTACTTCTTTCAACATCAGTGGTCCCATGGTGTAATGGTTAGCACTCTGGACTCTGAATCCAGCGATCCGAGTTCAAATCTCGGTGGGACCTAAATTTTCTCTGTTGCGTTTCGCTTCATTTTTCCTCTTTATCTTTCTATTTCGACATTTTATGGGATTATCTACACTGAAAAACAATTTAAACTTTTTTTTTTGCTTTTCCCACTCTATATTAAAGCAACACTTTTAGCTTTTCATTTTAGAAACGATCCCCCAGTACAGCTCTTTTAAATCCGTCCCTTTTTAGCTAAAGATACTGAAATGATGAAATGGCTTAACACGAGATACTAGCAATGAGTAAAACGTTCGTCCGTGCGTATCATGTATCAAACCATCGAAAAAGGGATCTGTTATTCCACTTAGTTACGTTATTTTCTAGTATTTTGGCCACTTGTTTCGAAATATTTAATTACACACCTTAAATTTCGCTACCACAATTTCTCAATTTGCTCTCTATTTAAAACTCAAAAATTTATCACCTTTTCGGGTACTGTGGCGCATTTTGCGAGCTAAAATGTTTTTCATCCAGTAAGCCTCCCTCTCCAACTGACTGCTAGCGCAATTTCAAGCATATTTCTGGATTTCACAAATAATCTTGGATCGCAAATTATTTCGCTGTTGTTAATAGGTCATTTGTGAATCCAATAATCTGATCAGGATATGCAATTGTTGGCTAGATTGAAATTTTCTTTTCAAAAAGGATTCATATGAAAAAATACGATTAAATGTTTCGGGGGATTTCTAAAATATGTTAGGATTTTCTCTAATCAGTTTCCGTTTGGCCCCGTTTGTTGACTCGCTCTACTTTTCTTGTGGGCCACCTGATGGACGCCTGACAGATTTCATCACCATAACTACTGGAAAATTGCCGAATTTTTTTAAACTGTATTTGGGTATTTAAGATACCTAATCATACCATTTCGGTACACTTTGGCGGTATATCAGGCTTGTATACTCTTGCTATGAGTGTATGGGATCGATTGCGTCTCGCCACAATACCAACCAACGCTCGACCAACTCGCATGTTATGCCGCTGAAGCGTCTGGCAAAACGGTACGAATGGGTAAAGTGACAATACTAGTGATACTTATGATCCTTACAATTACGCAATATGTATTAAATCAATAATAATTTGAAAAGTGCAATCAGTTTTTAATTCTATAGAAGCTAAGAATTTCTGTAATTGAGGTATTTACGATATCGTCTGTTGTGACGAAATTAATTGTTGCGGGTCCCATGGTGTAATGGTTAGCACTCTGGACTTTGAATCCAGCGATCCGAGTTCAAATCTCGGTGGGACCTTTCGACTAAAATCTCTGTTATTTTGTCTCTTTTGAACCTTTCCTTAATAAATTCAAATTTTGATGTTTAGTGCCAGGAATATAATATCATGATGGGAGCTTAGTATAGGACGGGTCTTTGAAGTTAAAAAATTAGAAACGATGAGTTACAACTAGTATGGACGGAGGGCCTTGTTCAGCTATGTATCACAAGTGTTTTTTAACTCAGTACTCGAAGATCTGTTTTAGACTCTGCCAATGAGATCCTAACTCACATGCCTGGTGTGATTTTGCCGTAGATAGTGCTTTTTGGTGAAACCTGGGACAATATCCAGTGTTTAATTTAAAAAATATCTTAAGGGTGGAACTTGTGGCATTCCTTATCTACATGTATTTTTGTTACGCAAGCAATTCTTGTTGACAAAGAAGTATAGGACTACTGAAGTCTTTCTCGCCATCTCAACATTCCCTTCGTCAGCCTTTAGTCAGTCCTCGATTGATTTCAAAAACTTTTCTGAGGCTCTCTGAGTGTTTAGTGATTTATGCAGTTGGGTTACACACATAGTAGCACGTAGCAAAAACTCGTTAAAAAAAGATTCGTCCATCCCAGAGGTCCCACCGAGATTTGAACTCGGATCGCTGGATTCAAAGTCCAAAGTGCTAACCATTACACCATGGGACCTCGCTTACAAATTGTCTTATCCAGTGCTTATTATGATGGCCTGCTGATGAAGGTTGTTCACAAAAACGTCACCCTATCCTGCAGGCAGACCATTATTCAGAAAGATTTCCAAGCTGAGTTTACCGGCAACATAACTTAGAATTCTAGGATGGTTGTTTGTAGGCTTTGTCTTTGTTTCTTCCCCGAGTCAAAAAAATTCAAGAAGGCTTTATGGGGCACATAGCTTCAAAATGGCACCCTTAAAAATCTCCTTCAACATACATGACCACACTATAGCCAGACCGATTATCATAGAATAAATAAGTAATCATATCTGCCCTAAGCGTCATATAACGGATCCAAAATTCCTTATTGGCGGCAATAAACCTAAGGCGGTAACGGCATCATGTGCTGGACTCTTATTAACGGCAAACAAATGTGTGCTTTTACTTTTCTGTGCCATGAAAATAAACGAAAGAATTCCTCCTTAAAAAAAGAAACGTCGTAGGTCTTATGGTGTAATGGTTAGCACTCTGGACTCTGAATCCAGTGATTCGAGTTCAAATCTCGGTGGGACCTTTCGTTATCGTTTTGCTCATCAAAGTGTTAGTAGTCCGTTTTACAATTAAGTGCTAGGTTGCCAAGCCTTTGAACAGGAGTAAGGCTAAGGGTGACCTTGTTATGATACAAACATTGCTGTTTTTCAAATGTAAATTACTTTGTTATCCTGCTTACTAGATACTGGTCTCTATCACAACAAGGTCACCTTCAGCACCACTCCAGATCAAAGGCTTGGCAACTAAGTAAACAACTGTAAATGGCCCATTCTGAACTGCGCTTTTATTAGCGTGCATGGTGAGCGTGGCGTTTCCAAATCCTTTTCTCCGTACGGAAATAGAAAGGCTTGCTAAGTATATCATGCAGGCCTGATCTCGAATTGATGAACACTGAGCCCCACTTATCATTGATTGCAATGATCTTTTTTTTCGCCGAAAAGGAGAAAATAGTCTTCGTATATGGAGTCAATGAGGTCGTCTTTGCGATATATGAAGCTGATGATCTGGTTAACTCATGACCTTAAAACACTTGAAATGGGAGCCAGTGAACGACAACAAATTTTTCCTCACGATAATCAACACATCATCACTAGTAAAGGTCGTGACAGTGACGTGAAAGATCAGCAAATTTTGAAAATATTTGAAAACCGAGGAATATAACTTGAGGTATATCTCTCAGCCGAGGACGATACTAGCCTACAGACCAGCAATTGAGAAAAACTATCTGCGTGGCAATAAGATACAAATTTAGGTTAAATGTCAACTTTTAAAATTTTTATGATTTTATGATTCGCGTAACGATAACTGATAGACTTGTCCTAATATGTGGTTATTTCGTGTACTAAACCTAAAGGTAAAAAATAATCGTACCCAGGACGCCAGTCTAAATCGGCGTCAAACAAAGGTTCAGAAACTGAAAACAGAAGTCCACTTTGATGTTGTTTCTTACGCTATACACAAGCTACCTCATTTCACTAGAGAACATTTTCCCCGAGAGAAGGTTTTTCTTCTCTCTTTTTCATGACAATTTTATTTTAAATATTTATCATAACTGGCCCGAAATCATTGTGAAAATGAAATGTACGTGTTTCTTTGGTTCATGAAATGACAGCACGGTTTCCTACAGCTGCCTATCAAGCGTGGAAACCATGAATGCTTCAATTATTCCTAATAAACGTTTCAAAACTACTAATGAAGCATCATTATCAGTCTCTGCGGGCCTTTCATTCCCAGCTGTCCGTAGCGAGGTATTTATGCTGTTTGGACAACTCAAACCTCTCAATAACGATTTACATGTGGAAGAATTATAGCGCGCTTTATTGCTCACCGTTTCACAGTAACATGGCTCGTTTATTGATAGCGGCAATGACCGCTCTTGTTATCTCCTGGGTTCATGGACGAACCGCATATATTCCAGCCAGTAAGTATTTTTGACAAAAAATCTTGTAAACATCGCTTCGTAAACAATACTTTGTGTCAAATTTTTTCTCCTTTTTCGGCATCGATGGAAAGTAATTCAGTCAAACAGATTCCAAAAACATAAAACCCTTTAGATGATGTGCACTGAATGGTACGCGACATTGGTTCAAATATAGGTATGTTTGCCTTGTGACAAATCGCTTAGACACCATTTGGTGGAACTACTTTTAAAAGAGTTTACATTTGATTTTTTTGATGCTTTTCTTTCACCTTTCCTTTTCAAATACTTCGTCCACTGTTATTGATTTTGGAGGAAAACGAATAATGAGAAAAGTTATCTTTCTTTTCAAATTTCGCGTTCTAAAAACGATTTTTAATCGAAGTCAGTTGTTCTCAAAAATCAACAATTGGCTTCTAACTTGGTAGCTAACCAGCCACTCAACAAACCCATCATGGAGCTGGCTATCAAGGGCAGAGGTAAAGCCAGACGGAGTGGAAGATAAATTTTTAGAGCCAGATCAGAATTTATCGATCGTTTTGAATTTTGTAGAACGACTTGCCAACACGGTATTTGATGCAAACAAGAACGACCGCAGCGATGCACTGGTGGGACACAAAGACCCGTTCTGGGCTCGCAGTGAGGGGGATGAACTGGAATACGATGGAAATTACGACAGCTCAGTGGAAGAAAATAAAAGTCCCTTTCAACGTAACTACAGGGTCCCTTACGAAAACGCTGATGAAGACGTTATCCCCAGGAGCACCGACAAACACGAAAACAACGATGGAATTTTTGAGATGCGTTTAAGGTCGGCCAGTCATGAAGGAATGAACGATACTCCTTTCAAGCGTGCCCGCATTCCCGTTCCCTGCTCGATGTGCTGTAAAATTCGCAGGTGAGGAGAATCTTTATAATTTAGTTCTGCTTTGTCTTATGATGCAGGAAAACACGAGAGGCTTCACAAAGGGCATAGATTTGAAGTGCACGGCGAATGTGACTACCACACAGTATAAACATTCAACGGGTTTATCGTTTGATTTGAGTGATCCTCTTGACTGTCTCCTAATACATTTTTCTTTTTTTATTAGGTGTATTGCTACCTATGATTACATGTGTAACTGTAAGAAGTGAAGGATGCAGCATGGAGCCAGCAGGCATAATGTAGTTGTTAGCAATAGGTTGAAAAAGTCACTGAAACGAGCACAATTCTGTTTTAAGCATCTTAAAAGTAGTCATAGGAAAATGATACGTTTTTTTTTCTTGTTGGGCCATATAAAAAGAAGGGATGAAAGAGATAATAAAATGAAACAGGAAAAGAAGAATCATATTGATTACACCGTCATCTGCTACTTCTTACGGCTTCGCATTGTTTTTATTTTAAATGTTACTTTTAGAAACTCGATCATTCTATCACCCCACCCCCACCCTCACCCCCACCCTCTAAACAGATCGATTCTGTTTCTCCTTAATCAGTCGATGAATGCGATCAGCCTTTTTTTATTAAGCCCTCTGACTGTTTCATTTCAAGCCTGACAGTGTAATCCTCTCCTCTAAAGTAGCTGAATAATGAAAGATTTATTACAGGTTCATAGCGCTTTTCGGGCCGGTTTTAAATAAACCGTGTAGATATTTTCGCCGTGAAAAAAAATTAATAGGCTCATCTTTATCGTGCCGTGTTTGATTTCTAGTTATGATTTCACATTTTCTTCGTTTTGCCGACAAAGTGCAGTTTTGGATGCGTTCATGAGAGCCTTAATTTTTAGCCTTCTATAAAGTAAGGAAAGTGTTAGCTGTGTTCGTTTGAACATAACAAAACTTGACATCAAAGATACTTGAATAGATTCCTACACTGAGCAGGAAACAAAACATTTTTTTTGCGTCACGAAATCAGTTAATCAGTGTGACACTTCTAATCAATATGTCCGTCATGACTTCTACTTTAATCTATTGTGAGGTATTTTCTGCGGAGTGTTCCGAGTGGAAATTCAGTTGTGAATATGAAACCAGGTAATTCAGCCAGGTCTATCCCTTGGAGAGAGGAGACTTGTCTATGGCTCAATTTCGACCGAAGACAGGGTAATTAAAATATGAAGATTTATAATAGCATGGTGCTTTTTCTATCATAAAGCGAACTTGATGTTTGGAGTCACAGAACTCTCCTTAGAGGTGGTGGCCATCCCCTCAGCGTATAACCAAAGGGTTAATTAATCAGTCCAATGTTCGTTTCCCATTACCAATTAATAAACAGTAAGACGTAACAAACATTGCTTTTAGTGATACTGATTCAATGGTTGTTTAATCACCCAATAAGTAAGTATTAAATACATTTATGCATTTACTACGTGTTTAAAATGTGCTTCTTGCCCTTTTATTTAAATTGACTCATCAGAAAAATACTCCAATACGAGATTAACAATTAATGAAGTAACACACCTTAACTAAAATTTTTAGACTAAAGAATGATAGAAGGGATAAAATCGATCAAAAAAGAAGAAAATGTAACTAACAGTTCTTAATTCAAGCTGATTTTAATTCTGCGTCTTCAAAAACTCTCACTTAAGCAATGGCTCTTGCGTTCTCTTAGCACGCAATAAGGGGCTGCCAATCCATAAACAGCACCACCATTGATGAGCTATAGCAACTTCATGTTACGTCTCCTCCAAATCATTGGGGAGTCATATCACCAAAGGAACTTATAATGAGCATTTCTCTTACATTAAAAAGGGGCAGAAGCATGCCAAAAAACGCTGTGGATTTAGTAGCAGTTTAACACGCATTTTTGCGTTTTCTTTGCGGCGTTGTTCTTCTAAGAAGCACGTTAATCTAACAGTGGAGACAAAACGATGTAACGAGAAGAGTACACACTACAGACTGCATCTGTCGGCGCATTCCTTTTCACTTTTTAAAACGAGGCACCTGCAGATATAGAACCAAGAAAACAAATTTTGTAAGAGGCAATCAATTAAATTGTCCCAGCCTTCTAAATACAACCGCGTCTAGCCAAGGGGTGAGCGAGGTGGGAAAGCTAGGAGATATAACGGACCAAAGGAAAAAAAACTTTGTAGGAGGCAGTCAGTTAAAATTGTCCTATTCATCTGAGTACAGCCGCGTCTAATCTTGGGATGGGAAATGAGGAAGGCGGGGGGAACGGGAAGGACTGAAAATATAAATGAAGTAGCGATTGCCACTTTATCAAAAAATGGAACAGATTTGGGGGGATTTAAATCACGGTGGATCACAGAATGGCTGGAAGTTTTGACCTGAATTCGACCTTGGAGTTTATCTTTTACCATCAGAATTCAGAAGATGGTTCTGGGTCATTTTTTTCTTTGAAAAATTCCGGAAAAGGAAAGTCACGTGTACTTCTTTTTCCTTGACGGCTCAATCACGATTTTAACTCTTATCCAGAGTACCAAATGGCAAAAATTAGACATATGCACACTAGGTTTAGGACATGAACAAACATGGTAGCCTATCGAGTTTGGGCCAAACCTTCATTACGCGCACCTGTTATCGATTTGAATACTTCCTTTTTCAAATGAAAAGGCATAGAAGACGAGCTAATTTTTCGAAAAGTTTGTCCAGAAATTATTCTCTCAAATTTCATGGAGACAATAGACGATAAGTCAGGAGACAAAGGATTTTTTCCTATTCGAGAACCTTTTAATTAACCCAACAAATTTTGCTAAGGTTTAAACAACGATCATGTTTATCATAATTTATTCGTTAGTCTGAATAATTGTTCAGTCCAAGTTAAAGGAAAAGAAGACGTTTGGTAAATATTGGTTAATATTCGGAGATGGACGCCTGAATTTGAGATAGCATTTATTGTATAACTGAAATTTCAGCTACTTTTTTGTTTGAGGTGAGAGACAAAAAAATGAAGGAAATGATGAAGTGTTTAATGAAGAACACATCTCTCCAGGCTTAATTGACAAAATGGAAGGAACCCGGTTTTTTTTTTGTCTTGAACTCTCCCTAAGATCACGTAAATCACGAATCGTTTTAAAAATTGTCAGACATGGCAATTTTCCTCAGTCAATTTCTCAGGCATGCTCAACACTGATAAAATCGCAGTCTGAATGTTCTCAGCTGGACCAGAAAACACGATTTTTAAATAAGGACACCATTTAAATACTGCTCCCATTTTATCTCTCAGACATCCTGCATCAGTACTGCTATTCAGTACTGCTATTCGAAATCACGCAATTATTGAGTAAAAAAGGCTCTTCCAGTATATTACTCTGAGTCTGAAGTCCAGTGAGATTGGTCAAAAGCTTTTGAATTGATGAAGTAAATTTACAATGATCGCTGCACTATCACATTTTAAGTTCATACCAAAAATGGTAGGCTATTTTGTAAAACACGCTGTTGCCTTACCATCTACATTTTAGGGGCATGGGTTCCCTTCTTCTCAGGTAATCGTCTTCAAAGTTGCTCTCATCGACCATGTCTCCGAAGTCAGTCCCCCTTTGATCCAGTATGTTCTCCAGAATATTGGTTTCATCAGCACTCACTTCATCATATTTACCTGATGAATGAAACCCTGATTAAAATCATTACATTCTTGAACACTTAACACGAGATAACATTGCTATAGAAGTCATTTTGACATGATGAAAAAAAAAATCAAGGAGTTATTTAACGGTATCTTTCAGCAAACGCTCAATTTTACCTTTACCCAATAAACGAGGGAAGGCCATGGCGTTGTGTAGCAGTGCCATCAAACAAAACACAGCTAGAATATTGAGGGTTTTCATGGTCGAAAGTGACTCTAAAGATTTAAGGGCCCCAAGAAAGTGTTTAGCAATGTTGTATGAGGAAACTGGCACGATAATGTAGACACGTCTTCGTAAATCCTTCCACAACCTTTGAATCTTTTATGGTACCATGCTGTTTGTCATCTGCTCTTGTCCGTGGGTTGCTAAATGTTTTACTTCAGGAGATTAATTTACTCGAGTTCTCAAATGTTTCGTTTTCAAGTTTCATTTTATATTTCTATTCCTTTCTTTTATGTGGCTGTGAATTCTCTCGATGCCTGATCGATTCAATAAAAGTCAGACAAAAGAGTATTTGATTTTCATTGATCAGGGCGCTGGAAAGGAATCTAAATCCCACCTTAACTCCAAACAACGTCAGCAGACTTTGTGTACATGATAACCGATGTTGTTAACTGATCTGCTTATTTGGTAAAATAAATACTGAGGTTATTTTGGTTAGAAACTGTTAATTAGATAGATTTGTTTACTTCACATGATTGTCCTCCTATACTTTCCTAGACCTTAATATGACCTTTTTCTAAGTGTCAGAACTTAAAAAAGAGAGATGTTCGCGCTTCAAAAATGTTTTTGCGTGTGGCAGGAAAACAAAAGCGACTCCTATCCAAAATGGACCTTGGAATACTCCAGGAGAATTAAGCGTGTGCTAATCAATTTTTTTTTTATCAAACAGCAGGTTATGAAAAGAGTTCACACATTGGTGTTGAATGCCTTGCCGCTTAATCAGACGTTCGGAGATAAAAGACGTTTATCTTTTCCTAATATCACTTCAGATTCCCGTCGCTTTAGTTTTCGTCACTAACATTATATGCACTTCGATAACAAGAACTATAAATAGAGAGTCTCATGATTCCCAACCTGCTCCACCAGCAGCGAGTTTTAAAATTTAGCAGTATGTTGTTGAGAGGATATTAAACTTGCTATGAGCTAAAGGTGTTTCATTGGAGACTTCTTGGCCAATTTTTATGGACACTTAAAATGTATACTCAATGGAAACCACTGAGACCAGGAAAACTGTTCCATGGATAGGGAACCAGTTTTATTTGTTCCACTGTTTCAGAACAATAGGAGATGCATCCAGTTTCAGTCTTAGGAACACTTCTTTATTTTTGAAAACAAATTTTCCTTTACAAGGGAATTAACAATACAGAGTAAGAGTAAATGGAAAAAAAATTAAGTCCCCCGGAAAAAGAAAGGTTTGTGGTTTTTGAACAAGGTGATAAGGGTACTAGCAAAGGAATTAGATTATGAAGAACTTATGGAAAATTTTTTTTATGGGAAGGTTCCGCTGAGAAGCTTCTATCCAAAGAAAGTGTTTCGTCGGGTAAGGCACTCGATCTTGCAAATGTAAATACAGCTTTAATATTTCAAATTAGGGGGAACTTTCTGAGATTGCCATTACAGGGGCTCATTTAGACAGAAGTACGACATATTTAACTCCTGAAATAATTCTTTATTCAATTAGAAAAAATATTTTATAATCAGGGGCCAACATTCCACCGACCACTGCACAAGCATCTTCCGTTGATATACGAACACCTAAATAATAAAAAAGGAAGAAAAAATCCATGTATTTTGGTTTGCACAAAACTTAAGCTACTAAGTGATTGCTTTGTGACAAGGTGTTGGGGGAGGGTTACGTCATATTTTATGAAATTCTTACTTTCAGTAGTTTGATTTTCAGTTGTTATGATTTCGCCTCCCAAGGCTTTATCATGTTCGCATGAGTGCCCTATCGTTTATTTCACAGTCTATCATCAAATGATCGATAACGACACAAGAGATAAACAAATATGATCTGGTGACAAGGCATGGATATGGTGGCCTGTAGTAGGTCTTGTAAGCTTTTCAATACATTGCGGTGGGAGTCCAACCAGAATGCGCATGTCGCAGTTTACAAAGGAAAGGTTTCTATCAAGGTCTGAATGACGGTAACCTCATCGCATCTGATGTCTTACCAAAAGTTCTGGCAGCAAGTTGCACATTCTGAGGGTACGAATTGATTCCTTTTGATGTCTGGCGAATCAAATTGCGGCTTATCCAGTCCTTTTCCATACAAGTCCTCGTTCTCTTCTGGATATGGTTTTTGGTAAAATGGAAGTGATTGTCCTTCAACCAAAATACACAAAACAGAAAACAATAAAACTTTCTTTTAGAGAAAGGATTACATCTCAGTTTTTACTCACCGCTAATGGGGTTCCTCAATCTTTTTTTTTTTTTTTACCGGATGAAAGACTGCGTGAATATTCAACCATGATTTTCATTAGTTGTTCACAGCATGCTGAGCCAACATGGCGATGAAACTTTGAAAGCATGTAAAAGGCGCAGTATGCACGAAATACTGTTTTCCATTACATGGGCGTCTTTGCTCTCGCTTATTCGTGAATTTAGAATTTTATTCTGAGAAAATTGGTTTAATCTGTGGGGGGTCTCCCCTCCTCTAAGAAATGGGAAACACTCCCTCAGTGCGAGTTAATAATTGATCGACTCTTCACACTTTGGCTAATGCAAGAGCGTCTATGTAGACCTTTTTAGCTTACAAACCGACCCTAACATACATCGGGTAACAAAAGGTGGTTTTCGAGAAGAATGAGAGGTTTAACCATTTATTCGTTATTTTCAACACATAAAATCTCCTAAATTTTTTAGAAATATATATTTTGTAGAAAACTAAATCAATTTCATGGTTTTGAAGAAGATTCCAAACAGACATCACAAATCTCTCTCATAACGAGCCGAAATAATGAAAGTTTATGAAACTTTCAATTTGGGTTCTAGCCTAAAAGAGGTAATCTTTTGCGTTAAAAATACCATTTTTGTTTGAACAAACGAAAAATAGTTCTCAAAACAAAAATGAAATTAAAAACAATGAACGACTCCCCTTCAACAATTACAAGAAGCCAAAACAGTAAAAACAATGTATAAACTATATTTACTGAATCGATGATATCGATGATATTAGCTTTGTCTTCAAAGTTGCGTAGAAGAGTATTCTAAGTTAGAACCTATTATCAAATTCTGCACAAAAGAAGCTGTATTCGCTCTTGTAGGTTTTTTTTGTGACAAATGTGTATGTACCTTCCGACCTACACTGAAGACTACATTAAAAGTCTCGATCCTGAAATTCATTCTCGAAATTATCTTTAGTCTTTCACTAACTGACCTAAGTTCAGAGAACAATCTCGTAAATCGACAAATATTATAACGATAACGTATCTGAAAATCTTCATACCTGGAAGTCTTTTGGGTGGAACAGACATCGCACAAGAGATGGCTACAGAGAATAGGAAACAGCTACACCAGAACCCTATTGCAGTCATTATTTCCTATCGCAACGTTTCTAGCCGGAGTACTTCTGAAAGCGCAGACAATCTAATCTCAATCGTCTCAGTTTACTTCTTTATATAAGACTTAAGACAATTGGTGGTTGGCACTTCCGAGCAAGGGCTCAATTCAGCGTATTCACGACAAAAGACTTGACAACTGGCATGGCCAAAAACGCGAAGACGCGGATATTAAGTGTTCATAGAAAATTTAGCGTCACCTATAACCATGCAGTTTCGATCGGCTACTTCCTTTTTAAGCTATTTCGGATATGGGACGCCTTTGTTTAAAAAAGCGTGTTTAATAAAACTTGCGAAACAGTTACAGAGGTGTCGGTTCTTTGATCTGTTTCAACAGATCAAAAGATGAATAGTGCTGACAATATTTGGATAAGTAAAGAAAAGTTAAATTCTGTTTAAAATGATAATTTTCGCGGCGCTGCGAAAGTTTGTTTACGTCTTCTTTAGTTCATATCATTTAAAGGGACTCTGGGGATTTAGGGTTATTGTTTTTATTACGCAAAATTTGCAGCTTGCTTTTCAAGTTGTATTTATGATTTTGATCAATTCTGGCTGATATTTTACCTTTTACAAAGTAAATCGACTTGTAAGTTTTGAAACTGAATCACTGTTTATATTCTTCAAGAGAATTTCACGCTTGATATTATGGTACGCGAAAGGCATGAAAGCTTTTGAAAGGCATAAGATCGCAATAAACACAATAATAAGCAGTGACGCAGGTGCTTACATGAGAAAGGTTCGCTTGAATAACGGTGTATTAGCTGCGTTTTCAACAACATACATTACTCACTAGATATCCAATGAAGGCAGGAGTGGTTGACGACAACTTAACAAGATCCAATAATAAAGGGCAAAATTGTTTCGGAGTAGCCTACTTTAGATAGTCATTACCTATCAAGCGCGTCATTGAAAATGCCTGAGTTTACCGATATTAGATATAATGAAAATGATCTCCTAAATCAGGTTTTCATATTTCCATTGGAATAAGTGGATTATTTTAGACTTAGCCCGCAATAACAGAGGTAGACAAAATTAATTTTTTCGTACGAAAAAAGTTCTCGCTTCCTACTCAACAAAACAAAAAGTTCTTTCAATAGAGGACCACGTGCCCACGCTTCGATGCTGTGCGCATGCAGGTGTTTCCGTCAGACTTTAGTTACAAGTGTTAAATAATGCTTAAAGAGAAACAGTGGTTTGCACGGAACTTACAATGTACGAAGAAAACAAAAAAAACGACAAAAACAAGGCTTGGGCTGCGAAGCTAAGGATACATATCAAATTGAATGGAGCTGCTTTTAGTGCAGAATTTAAAAAAAAAAAAAGCTATTTTTTGTTTCTGAATCCGCTTTAATTTGCTGGAAGACAATGATTCCTCTTTGAATCCCTTTTTGAAAAGCATCAATCATTTTGTGGTTCTGGCACTAAAACAATGTTAATTTGAAAGTATGGACGTAGGATAAAGTGCGGGACTTCGTGGTTAAATCAAAGTGATTCTTTATATACAAAAAGGAAACTGGTGGAGTGAAGAGAGCTAGTTAGCTCGCCATGGGGTGGACTATCGTCGTCTGATATCAAATGCTTACAATTTTGTATTATTCGAAAACCTTTCTGTTACCTTTTAATCGGCTTTATCGGTAACAAATGCCACAGAAACCGCGTTAAGGGAGCATACACTAAGGTTATGCCTTGAATGGAACCTATTTGCACTTTTTTGTAGTTGAGCGACATAGTTTTGTTTAATTCATGTCGGAATTTAATGTGACCAAAGATAGTAATGATAACAGTGATAGAAAAAAAGACGCGATAAAGATATGATTAATGACAGACTCGTTGATGAGTGGATAGGATCAATGTATACTGAAAACGGGGTCTATAACAGTGATAGTGACGGGTCAACACAAAGTATGAATTCGGCTCCAGAGGTGAATGCAGCGATAGATTTCATGGATTTGCCGTAATTGAAGCTGCGTTTGAAAGCGTTCTCGAGTTAACATAGCCCAGAGCATATTTCAGCCTAATTAAACCTGTTTGAGGGTGATTTTGGATGCTTATTAAACGTGTATATTTTGCGTTGAGCGTGGTCCGGTCTTGATTTAAACATGAGAGGTCTTCACGACGCTTCGCCGTCCAGCTGTTGCTTTAAGTATCTTAAATGCTGTGATCGTTGTATACAGCTTACCATTTTAAAAAAGCGACAATTTTAAAAAAATCGATAAAAAGACAGGATTAGGAGACGAGTATATAACAGCACCAGGGAGTGCTTGTCAGCAGAATGCACTGTTAGTTTGGCGGTGGCAATCTTGGCCGTATTGACCGATCACCACTTAAAGTGATTTCTTCTTCTGCGCCTGAATTAGGTTTGTGAATGTAAGAGGTTTTTGTTATTGTTCAGACAGAGATTAATTACGGGACTATCTTACTAAGTTATGTATTTGGAAAAATTTTTGTTATAGGTTTCATTTTGTCAAAACATTAGTTCTCTCTAACTGGGCAAAAGCCCCCCAACTAAAATCCGCATTTTGCGGGGTTAAACATATTACTTGTCAGGCACTCTTACATCAAGGGAGGAAATCTGAGACGAGTTTACAAACCGCGTGCAACTAGTAACGATCGAAGGAGGTAAATATGGCGGTCATGGAGATTCCTTAACTTAACGATCGTCATGAGGGATTAGGCAAATACCATTTTAGTTTGTGTTGTATGCAACAAGAATATTTGAAGTTTTACACACCTAGATTTCTAGGAACAGGACGTTTAAGTTACGCTTTCAACCAAATGAGCGGTAGCACGGTTGTATGTAGACCTTTTGAAACAATCTTCTTTCACCGGCATTAAGCTAAAAATATTGGAAGGGCGAAGAGCATCTAGTTGTTTACGGATAATTTCCAAAGCTTTAGTAAAGTTTTCTTAAGCCTTGTATACTCTACATGCGCCTCTGGCGACAGTAATGTTTATCTTCCCAGAAGGAGTGTTTTAAATGTAAAATCTTTCATGTACGTTATATTATCCAGCTCTTTTTTCACTTTTTGTCGATTTACAATAACTTTTTTCAACCAGCAACCAAGATTTACCCATCATTCATATGGGCTCGTTCAATTCGCGCGATATTGTTCCAGAACGTCGGGGATATTACAAAGGGTGTGTTGTTCATGTTTATGAGTTAAATTCCCGAGAGCGTTCAGGCCCTCAATCGCCCTCTTATACCTAACCCATTACTTCCGTCGCAAAAAAGTCAGTAAAGTTCTCATCTGAGTGTGGTTATCTCTTTTCCCCTACCTTAACAATGCATAAGAGAAAAGCCTGGCAGACACTGGATTGTAACAACAGAATATATTTTAGAGACTCCTCAGCTTTATTGAATATCTTCTCTGCGCGTGATCATGGAAAACGATCACATTGTCCTATGAGATAGAACCCTTGTAAATAAAATCTCAATACAATCACTTAAGAACCAAACATTACTTTACAATATAATGCGAGCCAAAATAAAATATACATATGTACTTGTCAATCTAACACTACGACATATTATAACCTAAACGATGGTTTTCTTTCTCCGAGGAAGAAATGATGAGAAGCTCCTGTCAAACTCCTGCCACCAGAAGAGAAAGGTAAGATAAACCCAAGTACTCGAGAACGTCGGATTTATGAAGTAACTAATACAGAATTTTTATCAGCTCTTTTATTACTCAGCTGTGGTTTGCTAAACGAGTTTTTTTTTTATCTTGGCTTTAAAGTCTAAAAGCTTAAAAACGTGCAACAGATTGCAGTCGTTGATTGATTTGCGTATAAAACACGCTAACCGAGCGACAAAATGCAGTCATGCCGGCCAAGAAAATTCAAAACGCTGCATACTAGCCTATCTGTTCAGACATTATTTAGAGTTTTCTTGTGGCTGACTTACACTGCTAGTCACAGTGTTCTTCAGTCTTTAAAAAGCGTCCATAAGTGGAGTACTTTACTCCTTTTTGGAAGACTCTACAGACCGTCCCAGTCTTGTTTTGCAGCATGGTTTGGGACAGGCAGGTGGGCATACAGTGGGAGGCGCGGCTCCACACATTGGGGGACAGGGAGGCATAGGTGGCATCATAGGTGGCACCATAGGTGGTGGTTGTTGCTGAGGCACTTGGATCTGTATGGCAGGAAGTTTGATTAACATTGGCTTGGGCGGCGGTGGAGTCACTGGTTTACAGGGTTTGGCCGGAGGAAGTCCACAAGGCATTGGCATGGGCATTGGTGGCGCTGGCATTGGCACGGGCATAGGCATAGGCATAGGCATTGGCATTGGCATGGGCATAGGCATTGGTGGTGTGCATCCAGGAGTTGGCACTGGAGCGCACGGTTTGGGAGCTGTGCTTTTCGACTTAGTTTTTCCCGCTTTTGGTGGGGAGGGGGGTGGGCAGGGGTTGAAAGGAGACGGAATGCAAGGCATAGGCATTGGTGGCGGCATCGGAGGAGGCGGTGGTGGAGGAAGCATTATCATGCTGCTTTGTGGATAAGTCAAACCCATAAGGTTCAAAGGTTTAGGTGGTTTTGCTGCCTTGGCCGCTGGCTTCTTCGGTGGTGGTTTTGGTGGACAGTTCGGGGAAATATTTGGAATGCAGGGTGGGGCCATCTGTTTAAAATAAATAGAGCAAATTAGTAAATCCAAATGTTGGAGATGAAAGCTTGCTTTATATGATAGTTTGTATTTCAGTTCGCTTCGTCTTTTATGAAAACACCCCAACTCAAAGTGCTACTGAAGTATTAGTCCTCCCAATCATTCTCCACCTCTCCTCATCCACACCTCATGATAAACCTGATATGTTTCTTTGTAAGTTTTCTCCATTTATCCCTCGTCGTGAATGCCCTTCATTTTTATCCCTTCCAGAAAAATACTCCCCCTTTGTTCTAAGGTCATTTTGGCATGAAACTAAACTGAGCAAACTAGCTCCTTACCTGAGGCATGGGATATTGAGGTATCATCATAGGCTGAGGTGGAGGAGGAGGAGGAGGCATCATAATAGGAGGACATGGTGATAGAGCAGAGGGTATACACTGCCTAAATGCCCCTGCCTGTGGAACAGGCAACACAGCACGAGACACCGGCCTTGAAGATACCAACCTAGGCATTATACGCCTGTATGCCGGTTGAAGTGGAAATCTGTAAGCAATGCGAGGAGCACTCATCAAAGGCTTTTTAGGAAAGAAGCGTCCTGTGTTTACTGCCAGTGGCCTTGCGACCATGTTGCGGCAAAAGTTGTTCATTATTGTTGGAACACAGGGTGGAGGTGGAGGTGGAGGATATTGTGGGAAAGCTGGAGCAGGAAAAGGCATCGGTTGTGGACAGGGCGAGGTTAGCGTAGGAGTGCATTTTGCAGCAGGTCGTTTGGCTTGGACCTTTGGCTGTGTTGGTGGTGGTTGCGTTGGAGCTGGCTTAGGTGGGCAGGGATTATATGGAGTTGGTACACATGGGGGTGCCATGTATGGAGCAGGGGCAGGGGCAGGCACTGTGGAGGTGCAGCAGCTTGGAGCGCAGCTTGAAACACACTGAGTTGCACAGATTGGAGGGCAAGATGCTGAACCTGCATCAATATATAAGAAAAAAAGAACGTGTTTAGTAAAGCATCAACTTCATTTTAAGCTCTCCAAATGCTATTTACCTTTCTCTAAACTCGAGATAAATTCGAAATGCTCTTCCATCAAATACATTAGGCCAGCTTTTCTTCCAGGATAACAAAGAGAGTTACAGTTAAGTAACATACCTGGAGGAGCTATGCTGATGGTGAGAAGTTTCAGCTTTTCGCTCAGTGGTGCTGGTAGTTTGTTTCCATTAGCTCGAAGATATTCCTGAAGAGGTGATGTTGGGTCTGGTAGAATGTTGCTTGGTCCAAATGTCAGGGATAGTTTCACAATAACTTTCTTCTTTGGCCTAAAAACAGAGTTCAAGCTTATTTTTCGGCAAATATGGCATTTCTCTTAGTTAAAAAGTTTAACATTACCCCAGCATCTCTTCAAAGTTGAACATAGGTTTCTGTTATCTTGGGGTACACAAACATACTTTTTCAAAAAAAACATTTGCATAACCTCAGCTGTGTTATAGCACAAAGGTCAGTGATGTACCGAATGTAGTACTACCCGCCCTCGATGATAGTTCATTTAATCAAAAAGTTTATTGTCTCATTCATGTTTTAAGGCCAAAAAAATTGACTTTAAATTAAAATGGTTAAACCACGAGGATAATTTTTAACCAATAATCCTAATACGCTACATTTCTTTAACTTATTCGTTAATACTTGTGGAAGCTAACTCTTACTTAGTGGTTGGAACCTTAGGAGGAGTGGGCTTTGCAGGCGTGGCTACACCACCAGAGGGCTTTGGTTTTGGAGGAGTTGTAGGTGCTGGAGTCACTCTGATTGCAGTAACCTGACGTTTGCCAAAGTAGTTGTATACTGGTACTGGTGGTGGAGGTGGGAGACCGTTGCTAAATAGGACAAAAGATTAGGAACACAAAAATTTAGAAACGTCTTAACCGTGGTTCTTGCACTGAATATCTGATAACGAGGTTCGTATAGTGAGACTGAGCTTTAGAAATGTTGAAATAAGGACAATAGTTTTCTTGTTCTCTTCCCATGGACTTACCTGACAGAAGTGATTACGGAACTCATGAGATTTTTAACTCCAGCCTTTGTGTAAATTTCTTTGAGCTGAAAATCAAATATAAAATCGGTGTCATACAACTGAAATGCCAACAGCTCTGTTAAATTTTTTTATCCTCTATTTAGAACCAGGTCTTTCTAACTATACGTAGTTAATGGGTAATACACTAGTAATGTAAAATTGGTGAATGCTTAATTCATACCGCCTTTTGGAACTTTGTAGATAGTTGCTGATAAGCGAGAGATCCAGGATTTCCCAAGTCATCCAACCACACCATGGATTCCACTTCGAGTTTCAGGAGATAGGTAATGTAACCTACACGGGATAATCAACATTATGCTAAAACATTTTACACGCAAAACAACCGTAAATTGTCACGAGAATAATATTTTCGTATGTAATACTGATACACACTTTAGTGTAAAATGTAATTTAGGTCCATGACATAAGCTTCAGATTCTTCGAGAAAGTCACATAACTTTGTTCCGCTTGTTAACAATGTATGCTCGTCAAACAATTTCTGCGTGTGGTACAAAACAACAAAATCCGTTATCGCTTACCTTCTAAAGGTTTTTTGCACACATACGTGCTGGCAGTGGTACATGGAAAGTCTGCCATAGTGCCGTACTTGGCCTTGTTATTGAAGCCAACGCAGTTTTCATTTTTGCCTGTAGGCTGTCCATTCACCCAGTCCATGAAGCGAATCTGTGAGCCCTCAACCGACATGTACATACTTTCTGCCAGACGGTCGTTAAAGCCCAGCCAGGTGAAATCTTTTTGGCCCTTCAAGAGCCCCTGCTTGAAAAAATCGTTTTCTAATGATGACTCGATCGGAGGGAGAGTTGCGCTTTCTTTCAGACACTCCCCTAAAGCATTCATCCATGTCTGTTTGTCTTTGTGCAGCTTGTAACAGGAGCCTTGATATTCGGTAAATCCAGTGGGGCATTTGGCTTTATTCAAATAAATGCATAAAATGAGATCGGTGTGATTGTCAGTATTAGCGCTATTAATACTTATTGATCGCACAGACCCTTCTTTAGCCACTAAAACCGTATCACAGGTGAGATAGGTCGTAGCAACCAGCCATAAGCTATTTACTTTCTTACAAGTATTAGATTTTTCCCAAATAACGTTGCATTTGCTGATTCAATTTACACGTCTCAAAAAAAAAAGAAAAACAGGAACAACACAAGTTTTACCTCCAGTAGCTGCAGTAAACATGTCTGAAATAGAGAGAAACAAAATTAAATTCATTCTTCAGTACTTGGCATAATGGCGTTTATAGGAAGATGCGCAGATGGCAAGAAAGGGCAGCATAAAATAGTGCGTGCGTGCCCAGTTATGCAACAAGGTTGCCTGTTGTTAAAAGCCCATTGAAAAGAAATAATTAGGCGTTTCTCTCCTAAACGAGCTGTTTGATCTTAATTTATTTCGAATTTTTTTGTCTCTTCGTCTTCCTCGTTATGCTGCACAACTTTAAACTACAAGTTTTGACCAAACTAAAAAGCGATAGTGGCGTCAAATGGAGATAATTGCGTGTCCTGACAGGCTTTCCAAAAATATTATAATGACCCGGGACCTTTTTCTTCTTTGGAACATCATCTGCTCGTTTACAGACATGTAGCTACATGTTATAAGAGTTGATAAATTATCTTGTTAATCAATTAAATCGAGGAGGCCATGTTGATCTTAGTTCCCTTACCGGTATATGGTTTTACATTGGCTTTCAACTTTTTAGCATCGGGAAGAGCCTTGGGATTATTTACATCAGGAGCGGGATCGACCAAGATGGTCACAAAGTATCTTCCAGAAGGACCCTTTTTGACTGCTATTCCAGCATGAGTTGCAGCCATCCAAACGGCTGTGACGAAAAACCTGTTCTTATCTTTCAGTGCTGGTTTTGACCAATCGTAATCCTGCATTTGTTTTAACCAAAAGGAGTTGCACTCAGCGGACACTTTGTCTGAAGTTACCAATTTTATGCACTGCAGTTGTCCGTGTTTGATGCTGGCATCTTTCTTGATCACACCTCCTTTCTGCATTTTGTCGTTAGCGGCTTTAGCTCCAATGTCAAGGGTTGCCGACCTAAAAAGAGGGCCTCCACCGAATAACCTTCGATAACCGCTCAACTCGTACAATATCTTGCTTTCCAGTTGCACTGTGTGAAATATGATTAGATAAAAACAAGTCAGTGTGAAAGTAAGTAAATCAGTCATTAAAAGACCTCATTCGTTCCGCCGGCGTTCATGGCAAACTGATTAAACAAGCAAGTAGAGACATACTTAGTTTTTCATCGAACTCATATTTTTCGTTTAACTTGTAAGTCTGAGTCTGGTCAGTTTGGGAACCAACTTTTCTCTTTCTTTATCATATTGTAGGTCTATTAAGAATCAAACTTAAACGTTTCATTCAATTTATTTTGTTGACTTCCGTCATTGTTTCAACCTACCAGTAGAGAGGGGTTTAGCGGCAGCTTTTGCCGCGGTCTTGGCTGAGGCAGCTGGCTGCACATTCAGCTGACTCTCGTCCATGACGTCATCGTCATCATCGTCATCATCTTCGGATAGCCAATCGTTATTGGCGTTATGATGGTGACGGCTAGCAGAATCAGAGAACGAAGACGGTGCAGCAGTTTCGTCACTGCTGTCGGTAAATGCTGTAATATAACACAAACTCCTCTGAGCTGGGAAGTATTTCTTCAATTTTTATAGAATTTACTTTTTTCTCGCTTTTTAAACAGTGATTGGCATCCATTGCAATGGGGATTTTTGGATATTTGGTTGCTGATGATAGGGAATGCAGTCCATTCCAAACACTTAAGTTAATGGCTTTTATTGGTTGAGACGAGTTTCCAGACTCTCGAATAAGCATACTGAGGGCATATGTATTCTACAGCCACACGGGAAAGTTGTCAGTTTTACTAACCGTCGTTAAGGCCTGGTGTAGGAGATAAACTGTCGTGTTCTGCAGAGTAAAACACAAAAGAGCTAGCATCACCAATGGCGGGAAAATAGAACTAGCGTATCTACTTGCTCTGTTTTTGCGAATTTAGAAACTTAATTTAGAAACTGGTCGCGCAACCTGTCTATTTTCTTTTATTAACATTGAAGTCTACAGTAATAGTTCCAAAACCTGAATTCTCAAAAGGAAGATAATTCTAACTCAGAGAATAGTTAACGTTTATAATATTACTTCATTGTGTGGATGAATTAGCCAAGGAAGCTTAAGGCAGTCAGGCAGACAGTATTATTGGGAAAATGGTTTTTTTTTAATTATTCAGTTGTGAGAGACCACCAGTTGTGCCGTAGAAAAACAACAGCTTTACATCGATTGATTTTTACTCGGGTAGAACAATGCAAAGAATAGATAGGGAAGTCGCTCATAACGAGTTTGAATACGTTAGGAAAAGGTAAAATCTATTGTGACTTTAAATTTCAGGAAAGTTTTTTAATTTAAGGTGGATATAGTATTTTCGTGTCCTCACCTCTAGCTCTTACAAGGAGACCAAATGTTAGAAGAAAAATTCCTAAGAGTCCCCTCATATCAGTGCACTAGGTTTTCCAAACCTGTATGAGAGTAAAAATCTGATCATCTGCATCGTTGCATCATTGCTTTGATACACTATTGTATCTTGTATGATGGACTTTTACCGAGTTTTAATAAATGTGTTATACAAGTTTCATATTTAAATGCTTTGGGAAATCTTGTCAAATGAGCTAATGGTTGACAATGTGATATACGATTATGTATATCACAATCAATGGATTAAGTTTAAGTCTAGAATGTTGCCTAGAGAGGAGTGGGTTCGCCATCGGACATATTATGTTTCTTTCTAATGGTGGGGATAAGTACAGCTAATAATTTACTACTCGCAGAGAACAAATAATTTTGTAGAAGTCTTCCTACTATGTGTTAGATGATTTGCCGTAGATATACCTCTACGACAAATAATCTTCACACAGGCAATCCGTCATCCGTATTGCTGACATTGGCCTGGACGACCCAATAGGCCTGTGAATTTTATGCTTTTAGATAGTATACTCGTAAAAGGTTTGACGAGTAAAGGCAAGGCGAAGAAGAAATCAATAAAAAAAAAAATCAAATGGAATGTAAACGGTTAATAAATTGTCTCACCTCAATCTTTAGTGTGTCTTGCTGATCAAAGTGCGCTGTCCCTGAGATAAAACTGACAGGTCACTAGGTATTACATATTGCACGGATCATTTAAGTTATAAATACAGGATTTATAAACACGGCAGGTGGGTATAGCATGAGGTATTTTTCCTTAACAACTTAATAAAATATAAAATCCCTGCAGTGTTTCTGAAGAAATTAATTCCTAAGAATGAGAAGCGCTGAGGCAATTTGCAGAAAAATTTAAAAAACGACTAGTTACCATGTAAGAATTGACAAGAACTGCATTAACTAAGGGTAACACTTTGAACATGAAGATATATTATCTCATGCAGGTAAGTTACCATATCACGACGGAATGCTAAATTCATAACAATATTGACCGAAATGTTATACAGCTGTGAACACAAAAATTGATTAATGAATCCCTTACAACTAGGATTGGAGCTCAACTTTAAAGTTAATTTTACTTTCTTGTCTTATTGTAAAATGAAGTTTCCCCTTTGAGGGGTTTACGTTGAAGTTTTGTTTGTTTGCAATTTCGTGAAAGTATCTGGTCTTGCATTTAAAAGAAACATACCGTGGACAATAATCTCCGTGATAATAGGCTACAGGTCAAATCGATTTGCTGTGGCTCCCAATTTCTCTACTCCATTGCTCATGAGCAACCATGAAAAGATAAACATGCAGCTCGCGAACGGACAACATTTGGTTTTAATAGACAGAAGGTTGCCAATTTTCGTTGTTCGTAGGAATGGGTGTTTCAGTGATGATGGTACTCAAGACTTAGGATATAGCGTTATAAAATTTGACAATGAAAGGAGAGACGGCAAAATTGACATCAATCTAACAACTAATGGCTTCGTTGTAAAAGTTTTTAGCAACAATGCAAGCGAATCAGGGCTCAAAAATATAGGAAAGAATTGTAGCAGTTTATGGACTGTGCTAGGTAATGTGTTATTTTTACGCCTTTTCCGATATGATAGGATTCTCCAAAAACAAATTTCATAAGGATGCTCTGACAAACCCAATTTATGGTACAAATACCAGACGTTCATCTTACTAAAATACAAATACAGTTTTCACCATTAATATCATTTAACGTTCTAAATTCCCTACCTGGATGTCAGATATAAAGTAGTTTCCGGAGCCAAATAAAAGAAGTCCTCTGGTCTTTGCTAGAACCCTCCAGACATGGCTCACTTACAACTACTTCCGATGTCTAGTTACGGTGACTCAATCCCCTAACTTTTGAATATTTTCAGTCATAAGTCACATTGTGTTTTGAGTTGACTGACCAACAAAAATGGCGAGATTTCGTTGTTTTTATGTCATTTTATTTAAACATTGCAGCTTATGGAGCAGGTTACACTGAAAAAGGATAAGACAACTAAAGGTAGTAGGTTGCAGTTAAGAGCATCGACAGAAGAACGTTTGAGGGAAATGGCGATGCAGAATTAAATCGCTCCAGCTGTAGTCTATTTCTCTTTAAAGACCTACATGAAATTGGTGCAAAAAGTGCAAAATAGAAATTAAAAATATATTTTTACAGTTAAATATCACAGCAGTTACGTCACAAGCTTATTTACAATCACAGAGGTGCTAGACGGAAATCGGAGCAAACTTTCGTTTTTCATGTCATTAAAATTGATGGCGTTTTTCTTAAAGATGTCTCTTAAAACGTACAGAGATTTATTTCTTTAGTCGGCGTTCATGGGTCTTAAAAAAAGGCTGGTGATTGTTTTTATATCAGAATAAAGAAGTCACGATTTCATGAGTTGGCTTGCTCAAGCTTTAAATGAAAACTAGCGATTGTTTTCGTTATCTCAACAGTGGATGAAAGAAGTCTAACAGGTTGTTTGAATGTTATTTCATAACTCCTTAACCAGAAACTAAAACTGCCCCAACTGAATTGAACGAGTTGCTTTGTAGATTTATTCCTAGGAACTTCCCAGATTTCCTGTTACTTTGAAAAAACAAGGTTAGTTGTAAGCGTCTCACTATCTCTCCTTCAAAAAAAAACTTACAGTGCTGAGCAAAAATTACGTACACTTTATGAGGTCATTTGTATAAATTAAAAATACAGACCGCTTGACTAGTCATCATTAAACTTTTTTATTTTACTGTCTGATCTCCTTTCACATTTGTGATTTAATTTCCTAGCCTAACAGACGTAATCAAACAAATTACCAGACCAGGAAAACAACCATATGCACATATAGTACGCGCAAATTCTCCGAATGCCTGTGTTAATATTTGGCGAAAGCGGAAAATCATGAGTAATAGCATCAATCCATGGCACAAATGCACTTTTTTAGATCCTCTAGGGAATGTCAGATCAGGGTCTTAAAGTACAATTTAAATGAATTGGCAACTTTCGCGCAGGAAAGTCTTGGTCTGTCATTGTAATATTGATTGGTTACCAAGGACCTTTCGGTTTCTTATCTAGCATTGCGTTGGATTTTGTTCGATTGATGGATGAATTAAAAGCGAAAACAATATGAGCAATAAATCTCTGGATTGCATGATTTTATTCCAATAACACCTTAAAGATTGAAGCGCCTTTGAACTTACAGTTATACATTGCTTGCATATGATTTCTCAGCAAACAACATAACCATTTGTTAAAGAAACAAACACCAGAAAGTTATCTGAAAACATCCCTAAAAGAAAAAAAGATATGAGTTGTTTTGTTACTACCGAGGGAATGAAGAGAACTCCGTGTCCCCCACCAGCTGGCGAACTCCAGATCTTCAGTTTTGCGCTTTCATGCTCTACAATCGAGCTACAGAGAACTCGGATGGTAGGCTACCCCATTTCCAGTTAACTTCTTATAAGCTTCCTGTAAATTGCTGAGAAGGACTCTTTAAAGGAATTTGTTGTGATGTGTAGTGCGATAATGTGCAGATGCTAAAGAATTTATGAGCAAAATAAACACAAATTTCCACTGCCTCTGTACAACGAAATAATATGCACTCGATGATCGATGATTGCTGAAAAAATTATCGGATATACTGTAATCAATAAGGATTTGAGCGATTTTTAATTTAAGATAAGTATTCTTTTTACATAAAACTAAAATTAATAAAAGCTAAGTTTTTCCGTTTGTCTCACGATGTAGTCACGTGTGATGTAGATCGCGACGTTTCGACTGCATACTGCTAGCCTTCTTCAGGCGATGAGGTCGACTGGTCATGCGTGATCTTAGAAAGCGTGATGCTCTGCTGTGATTAGTTGTTTTTTCAACAGCACTGATTGGTGCACTTCGATCCTTGCTGTTCACTCAGTGACTTGCTCCCTCGGTGGTCCGTTGTCGCTGTCGGAAAACCAAACAACAGTGCCGAACCCGCCAACGAGTTCAAAGCTACTGCGGTTTTATCTTATGTCAAACATCTGTCCGAACAACTTCGCCGTTGCCTACAACAACAAGGCGTAAGCGCTGTTTTCAAGTCGGAGACTACGCTAAGATCTCAGTTAGTACGACAAAAAGACGCTGTCGACCCGGCTAAACAGGATGGCGTAGTTTATAGGATTCCCTGTGAATGCGGCAGGGTGTACATCGGAGGAACTGGAAGACCTATGCAATACAGAATTAAGGGGCACGATCGAGACATTCGACTTGCCCGTACTGAGACCTCCGCTGTTTCAGAGCATGCCCACAACACCGCACACAAGCCACTCTGGAACGAAGTAAAGTTTATTGATCATGACCCTTATTACTACACGCGCAGAGTTAAAGAGGCAATTCATATAAGACTTCACCCTAACAACATCAACCGGGATAGTGGAGTAGAAATTCCAGAAGCGCGGATGCCCACGATCAAAAAACACAACAACAGGAGAGCCATGCTTAGCTTTTATTGTTATTCATCACGATGAATAACCACAACCTTTTCTACGAAACTAAAATTAAAATTACAAGAAATTGTTTTCGATTCGAGCTGTAAGTGTTTCTTGTGAGGTCTGTGAAATATACATAAATTAATGTAATGATATACATGAAAAAACTACGCGCTTCTGACTGGCTGAAAACGAGTTAATTTCTTATGTAGCAAAGTTGTAGCACGAGTATAAACTTCAAATAGCGAGCGCGCGCCGTCAAATTTTGTCTATCTTGACTTTCTGGGATGCTTTTTTCTTCTAAATTACGAATAACGAATTTAAGGAAATAAACGACACTTTTTTAAAAACATGTTTCGACAGTGTCGTTCACTTTCTTAAATTCGTTACATATCTGCTGCTCTCCAGACCTTTTGGCAAATTACTAATAAGCAATAACATGATTTTTCGAGCAATTTGGTGTAAATAAGTACGAGCCCGTATTGCTAGTGCAAAACTCACTTGTGTTTATCAAAACCACATTGCATTAGAAATTATGTTTTTACCTTTACAAATTGCCCTATGACATTGTATTTGAGTGTAAGAGGACGGAACCAAACTGTCTTATATCCGTTAAGGACTACAATTATCAGAGAATTATAATCGCTCAACGCACAAAAGAGTACAGCTGCTCCGGTGAAAAGCGAACAAAACTATTTGAATTAGCTTGGCTAACAAAATCATATGAAATTTAGACTTATCCCTTCTTAGTTTTTTTCACTTTCAAAATTTTTTTCTCTTTCCTTTTTGCCTTGGCCTCTTTTTGCTTCTTATTTTTATCAGGCTTCTTACTTTTCGTCTTCGAGGGACTCTTCTGTTTCCTACCTCTCTTTTTACAACAATATTTCGCGCAATATGTAGGGCAAAATACTCCTGGATAGTGAGTACAGGATATTGGACAGCTACTTGGAAAGACTGGTGAAGGTGGTGGAGGTGGAACGATAGGCTTTGGAAGTAAAGATGCTGGAGCAGTCTGAAGAGAAATTTCGGGAAGCTGAACAATTATTGAATGGGGGGACGCAGCTATCTGAGGTGCATTTGGTGGTTTGGGTGAAACGAGCCTGGACAAAGGATTCATAACACTTGATGTATAACTCGGCGGTATAGGGAATGGGCGTGGTGGAGGTGGTTTGAGATAAATGCTTCCTTGAACCTGCAGAGGTCGTGTTAAAAGTATAGGCCTAGATTTTCTGTCGTACGAATTCGTAGGAGGCATTGAAGGTACATTTCCTGTATTTTGATTACAGGGATTCGCTAGAGAAGGGATGCAGGGGTTGATCATTGAGAAGGGATTTTGTCCTGGGGGATACGGAGGGAAAGGAAAAGGAGGAGCTATTGGTGCTGGCTTAGGATAAAGAGTTAAAGAACCTTGTAAAGAAATTGGTCCTTTGACTGGAATAGGCTTAGGCGGTTGAGGAGCCTGAGAGGGCTTTGGAGGCTCAGGCAAAGTCTTTTTAGGTTTGTCACCGAGAGAAGGTTTGGTAACTCGGCTGAAATAGGGGAAAGGCAATCCAAAGGGCTGTATTGGCGACATCTGAGACAAGGCAGGGGAGCGATACCGCTGAAATGGTGGTTGTTGGCCGTAATTTTGGGTTGCATAGGTTGGAAATCGCCGTATTGGGTAGACTGGAAATGGCGGTGCGACAAATGGAGTATAGGATGCCACCCGAGATTGCCAGTATGGTAAGTTGCTATACGGGACCACATAGGAACTCACAACGGGTTTGGGCATGAAAGCTCGAGACTTGCCCTTCTTGTGTGATGGTTTCGAAAGCTTTCTTGGAGGACAAGGGCGGTTAGGAAGAGGAATGCAAAGCACAGGCCATAATAGTGGTGATGGGTATTTGGCCTGTGCAGGCATAAAAGGGGGCATAATTGGTTGGGGACATGGATTGTACGCACTAGGAATACAAGGAGTCTGCGCCTGTGGTCGTACCAGCCGCATAAATTGTTGTGGTGGGTACGTGACCAGTGGAGGTTTTATAGGGGGCCTAATGGGCTGAGGACATGGATTGTACGCACTAGGAATACAAGGGGGTTGCATCTGTGGTGGTGGCAAATGTATCACATGTTGCGGAGGATCTATAACTTTTAATTTGGAAGGTGGAATATTCGTCTGAGGTGGACAACGATTGTATAAAGATGGAATGCAGGGAGGTTGCATCTGTGGTGGTAGCAGACGATTCATTTGTTGTGGTGGGGATTGTGCAAGTGCAGGATTCACAGGGGGTATAATTGGCTGGGGACATGGGTTGTACGCACTAGGAATACAAGGAGGTTGTATCTGTGGTGGAGGTAAATGAACCACATGCTGCGGAGGATCAGTTACTTTCATAGGTCTCAAAGGAGGACTTATTTGTGGTGGACAGGGATTGAACGCACTCGGAATACAGGGTGGCTGTAACTGTGGCGGAGGAAGATGTATTATGTGTTGAGGAGGATCTGTTACTTTTAAAGGACTTGAAGGAAGACCTGTTTGTGGTGGACAAGGATTGAACGCGACAGGGGTGCACGGTGGCTGCATCTGAGGCGGTGGAAGATGTATTATGTGCTGTGGAGGATCTGTCACTTTCAGAGGCTTTGTAGGGGGACGTATTAATGGTGGACATAGGTTATAAAGACTTGGTATACAAGGTATCTGCACTGGATTAGCGGCCCTTGGGAGAAATGCCTGCTGATTGGTTGAATAAGGAAGCCCTGGCAATGTCAAGCGTGGGATCGACATGATCGGACGTTGCTTTGGGCTCAAGATTCCTTGAATAGTTCGAGGTTGAGGCATTTTATAAGAGCCCTGAACAGTTTGTGAAACTTGAGTGCCTGGTGGGCAAGGTGCCTGAACGGTTGGAACACATCTTATTGCCAGGGTCACTGGAACTGTCATCGCACGGGCCTGCGGTACCATGGTCTGGAGGGGAGCCATTGGATACCTCGAAAAGCCAGGCATAATAAATCGCCTGCGATTTGCTTGGGTTATTACAGCGTGTCGCATGGCAGAGTACTGTATATTGCTTCCAGCAGCCATTTTGGAATTGCAACAAAATGGATTACAAGAGACGAGGCAAGTGGTATAGCAGGCGGGTGTACAAGTTCCCAACACAGCTGGTGGAACTCCTGAGATAAATGAAAAAATACATAATATAACATTGGAAAAGGTTGAAATAGGTTGTAGAGGTCTATTTAGCGTCTACCTTAAAACCATGGTATATTTTCGTTCACTTTCACATACTTATGTAAAAACTTACCTGGGTGAACTATTCTGACGGATTGGATAAGAGTTTTCAGATTAACCGGACCTGGAAGTCTTCCAAGGTTCCTCCTCAAATGATTTTGAAATGGCTTTGTAGGATCAGGTTTTACTCCTGGTCCAAACTTCAAAATAATTGAACTTGTCACCGACGACTTCTCACTAGCAGATAGAAAAAAAGGAGTTCATATCGATTTTTTCCGAGAAAAGAAAGAGAAGATGAAAAATGTTTCATACATTTGGGTCATGAAGTTTTTTTTTTTATTATTTTTTTGTGGTCATAAGATATTGTAGCCCCCTCGTTTGTTAAGTAAGGCCTGTTTCCGCGAGAGACGATAAACCACAAATCATTACAATTTTAATGTCGACCCCTTACTTGGAAATTGCTCCACCTGAAGTAGGTTTTGACGCTGGAGTGGCCTGTGTGGTTCCTGTGGAAACCAGTGTTGGTCTGGTGGCTCCAGAGACTGGAGATGTCCCTGATGACTTGGCAGGAGTCGCAATACCAGGCTTTGTTGGCTTAGCAGTGGGTTGAGAGATTAGCTTAGGGGTTTTGCTGTGGGAAAAAGCTAATGATCAGATGGAAAAAAGATACGAACATTTCATCACCAAAAGTTTTGTTAAAGAGGAAATTAACTGATCACTGATTAAAGTCTTCTCAGCAAAGTATACCTGCATTTACCTGAAATCTTCGACATATCCTGACACGAAGGTCGGATCAATCTTAAAGATTTCCAGCAGCTAAAATTAGGGAAGGAAATCAATAATAGCAAAAAAGCATTAATAGGGCAATTATCAACTGATGAGGTCATCTTCAGTTTGTTATTTGTGTAAACGACCACTCTAAGGTGGTTTATAGATGCGATACTACATGCGAAAACTGTTTGATATCTTAGATACTATTTGGAAGTGTATTGAGACGTGGGAAGAGCTGTAGCCTTTGTAAAAATCACAGTGTGGGTGCCTCGTGGTTAAATCCTCAAATTTATGGTACGCAATAACATGGAAACGGCTGTACTTGGCTATTTTTCTTTATGTTTTCAACTGACCCATAACACATTGATTAACTTACAGCTCAAAAACCTACCATTGTTTCTATCTTTTGCTTGAGGTCCAAATACGGGAAAGACGTCGCTTGGCCGTAATCATCCGTCCACAGTAAAGAAGTAAGTTGTATCTTCATTCGATATGTAATTAGTCCTAAAAGTAGTGTTTTAGAATGTGCAGGTGAGGAACCAGTCTTAAATCTGTACTTCAGTTTAAAAGTTAGTTCCTTCTACAGATCTCAAATGTGTCCTGGTTTTGGGTTGTACGCACATTTTGTTACACTAGGAAGGTAATGTTCAGTAAACCTGAGTTGTGGACTGCGACTCTGTGATGTTTTAAGGATCTTTAGTGCTGCTCTAGCTAGAGCCTTCTGGGTCAAACGTGCAGTGGCGTGATATATAATCCATCGGTATTCTCTCAAAAAGTCTCTGAAAAGGAAGATAAAGAGGCAATTCCTCACCTTCAAGTGGCTTTCTAGACACGTAACTATGTGGCTCAGTACATGGAGCATCAGACATAAGGGTGCCATAGCTAGTCCCTTCTATACCAACACAGTCTTCCTTTAAACCCGTTGGTTCGTTTGCTTTCCAAGAAGTGTGATCAACACTGGTACCGTCCGACCACGTATACGTCCCCTCCGTGATCCGATCATTCAAGCCTGTCCACACTAAACCTGTTATTCCTGGTGTAATAAGCCTTTGGACAAAGCCAACCTCATATGTCTGGTGGAAGGATACCAAGGTAGCGTTATCTTTGGCGCTCTGAAACAATGCTCCCTCCCAAGTTTGTTTATCCGTATGATATCTGTAACAAGTTCCTTTGTGAAGCGTATATCCCTTGGTACACAGTGCTATTGAATGAGATTGACAGAGTTACAATACGTAGTATTGCACAGAAACACCTTGATAATTTTACTGCAGTGAGCAATGGGTGGTAGAATAATTACTTCTTTGGTACTGATCAACGAAATGAATAGCCCCTGTAACCTGCATTTTGGCTATAAACACACAAAAAAAGCTTCCCGATTTTAATCCCCGAGCCATGAGCCTTGTAGGATCTTTTATTTACTGAGAAAATAAAACTTAAATCAAATTTTTGAGCGGGAGCATCACAAACGAAAAGGAGACAATAATTTACTTACCACTCTGCAATAGGATGTATACATCTAGGAATAAAGATTTGAAATACCAAGTTAACATTTAGTTTATCCAACATCTCCGTTTTCTGCCTCTTATTCTAACTTGCTAATCTTTGAATTGGTGAAAAAAGTGCGTGGTACAACCTAAGCAGTAACGAATATTCCTATTCGCAGCAATTTACAGTCATTCTTTACTACATTTCCCTTTCTGAATTTCGGAAAAAAATTGCTTTTGAAGTATTTAACGCCGGACTAAGAACCTGTATCATCACCTTGCGCTATAGTTTAGACAGTTTAGTGAGTATTATTTCTTTCTGTGTCGCATACCTGTATATGGTAGAACGTTTTCTTTAAGCAACGGCTGTTTATTTCCAGGCATTGGGTCAAAGTACACAACAATGTAAAACTTTGCAGATGGCGACCTGGCCAATCCGACACCAACAAAGTTACTTGAGAGCCATACGAGATGAATAAAAGGCAGTGCCATAATTTTTGGCTGGCGCCTGGCCCAGTCATAATACTTCACTGATGTGTACCATGTCACCACAGCCAACTGGGCCAAACCAGTTTGAGAACCAACCTTGGTGAACACATTCGAGCCGTAATTCGTGTTCGGATCTATGGAGGCTGTGCCTTTGGAGACCAAGACTTGAGCCCAGTTTTGGGCTGCCGTAGAAATACGAGTGGAAATAATAAGAGGACCTGCACCATGCAGGCGTCTCAATCGATTGATAAACTCCACCACCTCTATACGGAAACCATCTGTAAGAGCAAGTTTGGATCATGACGATTTTCAAAATGTGTAACCCACGATTCGTGAGAGTAAAATGTCGTGAGGTTCTACTCACGTGAGAAAGATGACGGACTCTATTTTCAGATAACTCGCTGCGATCAAGGAGCAGAGCAATTTCACCATATTTTCTGACCTCAGATTTACGGTGCGCGAATTTCTTACTTTGAAATACCATACCAATAACATATTTTACTTCGACATTATTAATACATTTCAGTCAATAAGCGTTAAGCACAGATTATGACGGTCTTGAACAGTTTTGAAAAATCTTGCTATGGTTCCGGAAACTTACTTATATTTGTGATAGCTCCAGGGGTGGTTACTCCTCCAGTGCTGGCCGGCTTGGTGGTCTGTCCTGGTGTTGTTGGAATTCTTCGGCCCGGTGATCCTTAGTGATGTTAGAGAAGGGATACAATTAAGCAAAGGAAAGTACCTCTTTGCATCAGCCCCTATCATTTAGAAACATGCACAAATGACAAGGGCTTCTTTGCCTGACACGGAATGCTTTATTTTTATGGTATGCTGTGCTAACATTCGGGGTCGAAATAATTTTCGTTTTGAAGTTTATACCATAAAAAATATCCGAACCCAAAACAGAAGAGAATGACCTTTAAGCCAAGACCTAGACTTTCATTCCTTTTATTAAGCTATCGAAGTATGACTTTATAGGGACCAGTCTCTAGAAAAGGGATCTCAGGCTCGTTGCTAACAACATACTTGCGAGTATTAGTATAAGTATAAGTGTACGAAGCGTCACCTTCACCACTTAGAATTTTATGTTGCTATCGCTATCCACATTTTTGTGATTACCTTTTGCTGCTGTTGTTCGCTTTCCTGTTGGTCTTGCTGTTGGCTTTCCAGTTGATTGTGTTGGTTTTTCTGTAAGCAGTGAATATAAAAGAGTCAAAGACCAGAGTGGAGGATGATCGAAACGAACCGTGAAACTGCAGACATGATACGATGATGATAATAACGGCGATAATGATGATTAGGATGTGAACGGTAAAGTTCTGCTTGATATTCTTGGGTCCACCTTCAAAAAGGTGAATCTAACATCTCGCAGTTATCGCTTGATGCGACTTCTCTATGTATCACTTTAACTGTTTGCGGTCGATAACACATGGAAGCAACTAAATAATTTCACCAGTTGATAATTCAACAGTTAAAATTACCTGTTGGTGGTCCTCTGAACTCAAATAAATTTTTTTCTCTCTCTTTCCATTCAGGGAAATGTTCGTGTTGACGTTTCAAATGGACAATGATCAATTTTATTTGGGATTATGTGAAAAGAAAACGCCATCGTTTCCCCTGAGCTTGGTTCTAAATCAAATTGAATTAAATTAAAATAAAGACATTCAAGCGAATAATTGTTACCGTCACATCGATGTCCACGGTACCCTGGTTTGCAGCGACATCGATAGCCGGTTTTATCTTTCGTGTCCACGATGCAGCTCCCTCCATTTTTGCAAGGACTGGCAAGACAAGGATCTTTCTCTGAAATATTGAGTTATTAAGCATAGTTGAAGTCAAAAAAGGCAAATTACTAGCCAAATGTTTCTGAATTACATGAAATCACTTACTGTCGCCGGCGGCACATTTCGTCTTTACAGATTGTATCTGGTTGGCAGTCAGTGCAATTCCATAAATCTGCAGACAAGTGACCCTGCCTCTAAAGTACTGCTTTGGGTCGCTCATGGCACCCATACGAATGGGATATTGAGTAGCTAAGTGTATACGTCCAATCCTTAAGTGAGAAGCCTAAAAGAAAAATAACAAAGAAATCTTTTTAACAACAAACGGACATCAACTCGCTTTAGGGCCGTAGCTGGTCTTTGTAACCTACATATCAACTAATATATTAACATTAAAATCACACATGACCAGAACGACCAAACTTTACAGATGGATCGAAACTTACCGATCACAACCGCCTTACGCCACGTAAGTCTTACAGCCAATAGCTTTACGGGTAATCTAACCAATAAATTTACACGAAACAGACCCAGTACATTCGAATGACAACAACTATTTACTTGACTCTGATGATGACCTCAGCTCAGGATGTCGAAACGTCAGTCATTACTGACAACAATCCTCCTCAGGTCTACACTTACCCGGAAGTGCACACCACATTATCACATGTTACCTACGGATTCAAACCATGTGCTGTATTACTTATTCTAGGTGAAGTGTTGACTTTGAATGCCCAAGTTATTGTTAAACCTCCCATTATGGCTTAGTGATCATCTCAGCTTTCTTAAATATAACTCATCTCACCATTTTGCCATTGACCCACAAACTTGCAATTCCGTGGTTGTAATCGTACGTAAGTCCAACATAATACCACCTCTTTGGATAAAAATTATAAAAATAAATTTTTCTTCTGTAAAAGTTGCGGCGGCTGTAAATAAGACCCACGAGTAGTTTGGAGCGTGTCATCCAAAGGCCGACGCCATATCCTCCTCTTCGGTAGTTGATGATAGGACCAGATGTGCCTTCAGGGAAAACCCACAAAAATATTGAGATAGAACTGTACGCGTCCAATTTGCCACGAGCGCTGTTTGGGAAGTCAATGTAGCTGCCGGATGTTCCCTTGAGGTAAAATGCTCCACCAGCTCTCCCGTAGGGTCCAGAGACGATGTTTACTGAACTTAAGTAACCTTTAGGAGCCTTACGTGCGCTTATGTCCTTTCCACGGGTTTGCTGGTTAAGTGGATAAATTCCGAACGCCGTAGGTAGGGCTGCAAAAAATACATCAGTCAGTGTTCAATAAAAGGCATGCTGAATTTGAACTTTTTTAGAACGCCGCAGGTAGGGCTGCAGAAAATACATCAGTCAGTGTTCAATAAGAGGCATGCTGAATTTGAACTTTTTTAGATACTGTCTTGAGATCACGATCACACTATCGATTGAGACTAGAGCACGAGCAATAATGGGAATCCTGGCGATTGGCCGGCGGAGGGTTATGGTTCGAGAAATTAAGTGGAACTCCTGGATAGGACGCTTTACTCTCACTGTGCCTTTCTTCGCCCAGGAGTATAAATTAGTAGCGGCGAATTGTCAGGGAAGCCTGATAAAATGCTGGAGATAATCTTGCAACGGAATGGCATCCCATCCAGGAGGGAGTAACATTACTACTGGAAGCTTTATGCCATGGAAACTGGCATAGACTCCGGCTGGATGCGACTGGAGTATAAATGGGTAGCGGCGAATTGTCAGGGAAACTTGATGAAATGCTGGGGGTAATCTTGCGATGGAATGGCATCCCATCCAGGAGAGAGAAGTATTACTCCTGGTAGCTTTATGCCAAGGAAACTGGCATAGACTCCGGCTGGATGCGCGACTTGGCACGAGTATACACCTTGCCTTTACTCTACTATAGGCGTCAAAATTGCTGACACATTGACCTTTCCAATTCCCCTCGTTGAGTTAACTTACTCTTCCTCTTCTTCCCAAAACGATGTCGTATCGTGATTCCATGAACGTTTAGCTACATACAGGCAACACTGAATGGGGGAGGGGGGTCTTGACAATGATTTAGGGTGTGGTACAAACAGGAGTGTTTTTCCACAGATAAATAAAACTCTTCAAGCATGATGTGTCCCCTAATTTTGACACTGATTGTAGGTAAGGCATAGTGTGAGGAAAAATGTATTTCCTTTCTCTGAGCTTTGGAGGGTGGAAGTGCTAACCAGCGACTAGTTACTGAAAGGCATCTTACCTATACCGACCTCGTTTCCAGAGGCATGAGACTTTGAGAAAAATGTTATTAATTAACAATGAATTTCAGATCTATTGTTTTTTCTTTTTTGAAAAACTTCATCACACACTCACCATTGGTACAAGTTGTTGTTGCCAATTTCGATATAACACTGCTGAGACTGCTAAACTTGCTGGATCGGAAGATGTGTGCTGGTTTTTCAACAAGCAACCTCAACTCGTAATCCCTCACGTACTGCCCGATGGCCAGAGCATAAACCTGAACTCCTTTGGCTCTCAAGGGTAGAACTGCTTTGTCAAGAGGGATCGAATCTGTGGTGCGTGTCTGATAACCGTCCGTCATTACAATCAGTATCTTAGGTACACTGCTCCGTGTTCCACCGTCAATAGAAAACACCTCCTCTGCGGCCTTTTTCAGTGCCAGGTCAATTCTGGTATACCCACCGGGATAAGGAAGTTTAGAAACTGCTCTGGAGAAACTCCAGAAGTGGTTATGTTGAGGAAATGATATTGTAACCTCAGCCCTCGTGCTGTACACTATTACTGCAGCATGCGTTCCAGAGCGAGATACTCCAAATATTCCCACGGTATTTTGTACAAATTTCTTCTCTTGATCATATCCCCATGATCCCACACTACCCGAGGCATCAATTGCAAAGGCTATGTCAACTGGACGTCTGCATACTGCACCTGCAAACATGGACCAGTTTTACAATAAACAAAGCTCATTTTTTTATTGCAGGTTAAAGAAAAATTTTCACACATACCTTACATTAGTTTCTTAACCATTATAGGCCTTTTTACGTGTGGGAATCATTGCCAATGATCAGGGAACTCGATGTCTTTAAGGTGCATGGAACAACACTATCATGCAGCTCATTGAAATATCTTTTGTATTTCATTCCAATCGTAGAGTTCTTCCCCCCCCCCCCTTCTTCTTTTTAATGGCTTAAGAGAGTCCATAGTTACAACTTCTCTTCAAGGGTTCATTCTCTCCAAGGATTACCGATTCAGAAACGTGTTACGCCCAGCTGGGACGGTAACCATGAAGATCGAAGCTGTTCCCGGAATCAAAGTACCTGGAGCTATGACTTACCATATGCACATCGCCCTTTAAGGAACAGCACAGTAACAGCTAACGGCAAAAGAAATTCCAATAAATATTGAAGTGACTTCATTTCATGCTGAAATTAAAATGAACAAACATATTTTTTTTACATAAAATTGAAAAGGAAATGTGTTCGAATCATATGGAGTATAACTTGTACTAAGAACAAAAGACTAAGAGCGTGAGATCTTCCACACAATGGATTTGCAGTCGCGAATCGGATCGTCAGTTCAAATTAGGAATATTTAACTACGAATTTCCCTTTTTCCTTCTTTTTTTTTCGGCTAAAACCTCCCTTTCCCTAGGAAAGGAATTACGGATAAAGGAAGATCAAGTTTAAAGTTGTTTTGCTGATGTGTACGGTAAACAATTTTTACAGTGTCTATTTTCTTTCCTTCAACTGATTACAGAATTAATACCTGTACTGTAAATAGACCGTTCAAAAGTCGGTGAGAAAGATAACTTGTCATTGAAAATAGGAAGAATTGTTTAACGGTCTCAATGGAGTGACTTTTACCCAACGGCTAACGATTAAAATTATGGCCATTTTACAGCTAACGGTCTATTTTTCCCCTTGAGTTAAAAAAAAAATTTTGCAGTCCATTTTTTTGCAACTAATGGTTAAAATTTATTAAGTTTTTTATAATTATTTTTTCCGTTTTACTGCTGATGGTTAATCCCATTGAGAGTTTCATGTCAGTTTTTGAGAACTCCTGTTGGGTTATGTTTTCCTAAATGTTGGCATATAGGTATATTGTATTTTTATCCTCAGGATAAAGGCCGAGTCAGAGGTCATAACTTTTTTTTAAGAAATCAATTTAGAGGTTTGAAACCGTCGAGATTCACAAGAGGGGTAAAATTTTAACGCTTCTACCCTATCGACTTTACATGAAAGGGATTGCAACCCTCGGAAGTAATTTAAATACAATGATCTGTGTTTTGTTGTGGTTCACCAGAAGTCTGTGAATTAAAATGAGTTGTAAGAACTTATAGGTAGGTACTTTAAAGGTTGGTTTGTAAAACTATTGGCTGATGTTTTGTAGGGTAACTTTTGTTGGATGAGATCAGGTACAGAAAAACGTTGTCAGAGATCTGTAGGAAATGGCAGATAAATGGCAACATATCATGGGAACAGAAACAAGTCATAAGGCCTACAGAGAGAAATAAACCCCTCTCCCTTCTTTCAAAGCGAATTCAAGGGTAAATTATCTCTGGTATGGTTCTTGAATCGTTCTGATTCCTTCCTTTGAATGAATAATCGTCATTTGAATGATCTTCAAAAGGTTGACAATGTTTACCGAAATAACAAGTAGGAGATGAAGTCATTTTTCAGGAATTTAAACAAACTTTGTCGAAAGGACGAAAGACATCCTTATTCTAAATAGCGGGAAGAAGAAATAAATAGATCAAATTAGTTACGGGCTAAAATTTAAACGTGTACTCACCGAGGTCTTTTAAAGAGTGCATTACAGCCATCAGCTCTGTCTCTTGTGAAGATCATAAATATATGCATCATCTTTTCAACGGCGATACGAGTCGGCAAAATTGTTTATTTTGAGTTATGATCCTTTGAGAAACCTGCAAATCCACACGCTTGTTTTCGTCTAATATAATTTCAAAGCCAGTTTACCTTTTTCCATTTACCAATTATTTGTTTTCGGCCCACCTTTGATTCCGATTTTGGCCTGATTGTCCAATTTCTTAGAATCAAAGTGATTAGATGTTATTGCTGATATCGACTCTGTTCTCTTTCCTTTGCTTGCTTCCATTAAAACGCCAAATGTCCAGCCCTAAGTCAGAGGAGCATGTATTTCAAGACCAAAAGACAGTCGAAATTCGACACAACACTGTTTTTTTTTTCTTTTTTCTTGTGGCGCATTGGTTTTAAAATAAATTATAAAATTGATATGACTGAATTTTCAGTTTCATGACTTCAGCCGTTCGTTTGCGTTGCACATACTCGCCACGTTTGGGGTGTTGTTTACTGCTCGACTAAAAGAATTGTCAGAATTACTATTCAGCTATATAAAAACAGGGTGAATAAATTCCTGATATCATTTTTCATCGATGACAAATTTTAATTTCTCGATGGCTTTTCCCTTCAATGAAAGTAAGATTGAGGGAAAGATATTGCCAGAACACCAAACCTCCCTTGGCGACCACCTCTGGTAAGCGACCACCTCTTGTTGGCGACCTTATTTTTTCAAAATACCAAACGTTTTCAGGTAAAATCACTGAAAATGGAAACTGACTTATTTTGATAGAAGTCGTAAAAGTGGCGCTACCGATTTTAAAATGCTTGTAGCCACGTGCATTTTGTCAAATTTTATGCTTGTGGTCCGTTCCCAGAAAATTTGGGCAGCACTTCTCGCTATTGATGTAAGCAACAAGCCGAGTGCCTTTCCCATGAATTGACCCAAACGCTGTATTAAATAATTTGTGAGATACAAGGCAATCATCATATTTTATATAAATTTTTTTTTCCTCGAATAAGCCGCTAAAAGTTATTACTATAGATTTCGATGAGCGCTAGCGAAAGGGTCTGGTCACTATATGCAAACTACCTGAAATATGGGTTTCCTGTGGCCTGACCTCTGGTGAGTGGCTACCTCCCGTAAGCTACCAACCAGACTTGTCATGTCAGGTGGTCGCTTACAGGAGGTTCAACTGAATATAATTGCTCATATACCTAAGATTTCCTACTTTAAAAACTATGGCGTTGTATACTATAGATGTTGTTGTTCATCGCGGTTTTTATAAAAATGAACATTTCATCGTGTGTCTCACAATATCGATGTAAAAGTCAAGTTAATCAATCGTGTATTGATGGCGACGTTTCGACTATTATACTGCTAGTCTTCATCAGGCGACAAGGTCGAAGGTTTAAACTGTACGAACCATCTCAACTCTCTGACAAGGTAAATCAAGTGTCACATAGTTCCAAGAGACCTTCGGAGTCCAACCTCCGGTTCCAACCAAAGACACTCGCAAAGATGACCAACTAGCTTCTCTGAGATTTTTAAGGGAAAGAATACGACCTACGCGGATAGCCAGGGGAGACGCGAACACAGAAACTGAACCTACTGCCTGGAGTATAACAACCCCTATGTCGGCAGGTGACGCTAGTGACATACCTGAAAATATGTTGTTACACATGGATTGTTTAATTTGATGCCGCTAAAGAACCGCAACGACGCAAGTTTTTAATACTTGTGCAAGAGAACCAGAGATTTTTTCTTTAGCAACTAATGTTCACATAACACCTCGCTTTGACTGTAATAAATTGGGTTAATAACTTATCTTCACCGTCCATCAGCGATGCTGAGATGTCTTTACTAGAGAAAGGGTTAAATTTCGAAGTAACGCCACCTAACATCCCTGCCACTGAAATAGTTATTAAAGTTGAATCAGCTATTACAAAACTTGTCCACGAGAAAGCGGAAACTACAGGAGGAACTCTAAACAGTTTTCTGTAAAAAACAATACCACCTATGCCCAACATCACGAAAGAAGTACAAAACACCCTTAAAGATCTTAAACAAGATGAATCTATCATGATCTTACTAGCCGACAAAGGTCGTGTAAGCGTAGTTTTGGATATTGACACAAACAGGTCCGTGCCTAATTCTCAACAGAGACCCAAAAATTTACTGATGAGCGTCTCAACCTGTAACGAAGTGGCAATCTGTTGGAAAATATATACAGCAAAATCAGACCTAGTCATAATCTGCCAGCTAGGATCTACACGGCCTCCCTGGGATACACAAAGCTGAGATAACGTGAATACCCCACAGGCATACGCACTGTGTTTATATCCGACAAGACGCTTTGATCACACGTAGTGCGACCTTATGATCCCATTGAGTCAGCGAAACGGGACGGGGTTGTTTACAAAGATCCCGTGTGAATATGGGGAAATAAGGAGAGCGATGTAGGAGAGAATTAAAGAACATAAACGATTAAAATTTAGCGGTTCCGAACACGCCAATGGAACGGGACACGTTCCTGTTTGGGAACAGGTTAAGTTTATTGATCATGACTGAGATACCACCGGAATCGATACCGGAATCGAAATTCCCGAAGCATGGATGCCTATACTACCAAAAAGCATAACAGACGATCAGTAACAAAGCGGAAAGCGCGCCATAACTCACCAATAACAACAAACCATGGTGCTCTAAATAGCGACACGTGAACAAATACACCTCGTTGCCTGACGAAGACTACCAATATAGCAGTCGAAACGTCGTGATCAACACAGGACTGATTCTTCTATGGCGTTCTAAACATGACACTAACTCAAGCATGAAGACCATGGTCGCCGGCAAAAAGAAACTGTGGATTTCTTTGGTGCTGAGATTCCCCGCCTAGACACATGACCACCTGAAGTAAAGATCATGATGTTGACAAGACCTATGATGTCATGCTTGTGGTGACATGTGAAGTTCGTCGATTAGCTACCGTTATGTGAAGATTTCAATGGGGTGATTGCTGTTACGGCTAAAAGTTAATATTTTGTCCATTTCACGGCAAACGGTTAACTTCTTTCCATTGTTTTTAAAAGGAAAAAATTTTAAGGATAACTTTTTTACGACTGACGATTAAAACTCGTCAATTCTTACGCCTAACGGCTAATTCTTTTGCCTTTTCACGGTTAACGCGGTTGATCCCACTGAGACCCTTTCAGTACATAGATACGACAAGGCCCTACAGAGTTCAGAAACGTAAGAGGCTTTTCACACCATAATCTAGTATTTTGCAAACTTTGGAAGACGTCACTTCCGTTAGGATGGCACAAACGATTCATCACAGTCAGATACAAAAGCAAAAGTTTTAATGTTATACATTGTTCTCACAGCTGAGGTAAACGTAACATGGCTAATTGTTTGGTTGATTTCCAAATTTCTCTATGCTTTGAACGGAACCTTTTTCTCTGAGCCGAATACTCATTTGAAAAGCAACTTTCTTTTAAAACTAATAATGGCTAACATAGAAAGTTGTCTTTAAAAAAGGAGCTTTATTTCATGGGCTCTGTAATTGTTTGTGACCGATTTTTATGCGGTTTATTATTTTCTGAAATGAAGTACGATTTACTCAACAATGATATATCTAGCTAAAGCGTTATTTGTTGATATAATGCAATTTTTAAACAGGGCTACAGAAAAGTATATAATCGTTCCTACGGTGACGTAGCACTGGTTGGAGTAAAAGGATGACTGAGAGTTTCTTTTTAATATTTGAGTAAGCGAGGTTCTGATTGTATTTTCATATCGCTTTTCAATCTCCTTGAAAAGGTGAGACGCTTGTCCCATAAGATGATGACGAGTTTTATTTATCAGAGTGGCTTGACTTTGTCCTGTGAATAAAATTTCTCTTCCTGCCAAAGTTACCAACATCATCAATTCCCTCTTCATCCAATATTTCTTCAGTTGGGTCTAATGCAGAATCTTGCAAACTCAAAAGTCCTTGTTCAGCTGGTGGTTCGTTTTCAGAATTGTCACCTTCTCCTTCCTCATCAGTGCTCTCCTCAATCATTCTATTTCCAGGTTCGTAGACATTAATGGGGTCGTGTTGCTTCGCTGTCTTCCCTTTGTTAATAGGTTCTTCTTCAACTGAGATATTTGCGTGTTGAATCGTTTTCACGGCGTTTTCTCTTTCTTTCACCATGTAATCGTTTTGATATTCGAGATGTGATGTTTTATAAGTTTTGGTAAAGCCACTTTTACTATCATGCTGTCCAGTTCTATTTTCTTTTGTTTCAATGCTGTCACCTGGATTGCCAGTGCTGTCCCCTTGAATGCCAATTTTTTCGCCTTGATTTTCAAGGCTGATGTCTTCATTGCCATCGTCGTCCTGTAGACTGCCCTTGGACTTTTCCTTTTGACCAAAGCTCTCTTCATGATTGTACGTGATTTCCTTGTTTGTGATATTTTTCTCTGCTACCTCGGGCCTATTGAGTGTGTTGCCTACAGGCACGCCTCTTGGCTCATTTTCATCATCAATGAGATCGTGTGCAATTGCGTCTAGTTCGTTTTCCTCATCATTATCATGTGACTGTTCCTTTTTGTTGAGAGAATTGATAACATGGTCATCTTTTGGTTCAGTAGAATCGTTAATGTCGTCGAAATAATCGAGCTTATCTGGTTGATATTTTTTCTTCAAGAGCCTTTGAAGACTTTTTATCTTTTTCTTGAGACTCTTGATAACATTTTTTGAAACATCCCCTTTATCATGTGACTCAGCATTGTTATGCTGCAAATCTGGATCTTTGTCTTCTGAATAACTAGATCCAAACTTTGTGTGATTTCTTTCACCACTAGTAAGTTGATCCTGATTTTGGAATCGTTTCTCCATTAGATCTTCGATGGCCTTCGCCTTCCAATCCCTTTTGCCTTCCCTGCTATCACAACATTCGTCGTTGCACTGCATGTAGCAGTCTAATGTTGGATACTGACTGCATGTCATTGGACAGCTGGCAGGGTATGGGTCTGTGGTGCCCGTCACGGTCTGCACCCCTGGGTAGTACACAGAGTATGCCGGTGCAGGGAGCCCAAGGTGATAATTATAAGGGTGAAGGGAGGAAGTGCATCTTCCATGGTTATTACACGAACCATAGCAGTAGTCTCCTGCTTTGCCTTAAAAAAAAACGGAATATCAAAACAAGACATTCGAATTGTTCAGCGTGAAAAGAAATTGTATCTATAACCAAAGCACACTGTGTTCGATTTTCAGGAACGTTGTGATTATGGCTTCCAAGTCTAACTGATTACACTCAAGGAAAGATACGTAACTTGCCAAAAAAGACAATAAAAAAGGTGAGAATCGGTGCATTTTTAATGTTTTTCAGCAACTATGAAGTTATATTACCTGTATGTCCTTCCGCTTTGTCTGCAAAGTGAGAGAGGAAAACAGTAAATTTTGGTAGCGCAAAAAGTGTCTACAAGAATGGACTATTAACAGTTAAATAAAGTAATCTAGTGTGCAAAGAAAAATTATGATATTAAAAGAATAATTACTGAAATGATGTCGAAAAGAAGGACATAGAAATTTGCATTTTGCTCTGAACATCAAATTGAGAATTCTCATTGATAACTATATTCATAATATTAACAAAAGTGACACTACTAATAGTGATAACAACAATGAAAATAATAGAACTTATTCAAACTGGAGTGATTTCTTTTTGTAATCAAGTCTCACCTGGTCTGTCAATGGTCATACTAAGAAGTTTCTCCGAAGGACGCAGAAATTTCTGAAACCGGAGAGTGGGGTCTGGGGTGAAGGATCTAAACTTGATTGAAACCGTAATTCCTAAGCCTGCAGGTCTAATGGGAGATAATTGAAACATTTTACTGAATAATATTTTCATCCATAATTAATTGGTATCATGATTAGTACAGAAGTACCTTGCACTGCAAATGCTATTAATTTTTACATCGAGTCGTGCAGTTTTTAATTTACGACAGCCAACGCATAAAATCAGTGATCCATGAAAGGAAAAGGGACAGACAAAACTTAATCCATGTAAGTGGGTACATTTGTAATTTATTTACAATATGAACACGAACTTACCTTCCCTTGAAGGATATTGCCCTAAAGTGAGAGGAAGAAAGAAAATTCAGAACAAGACAGCAACATACATGTAAATTATTTTTTTGCAGTTAAAATCAGACTTGTCACTCAGTGATACAAATAAGGAACACAGAGTAAGCGAAAGACAGGATATTAACTCACCTGACACCTTTGACTTTAACTTTTCTGAATCCACCTTTCTTTTTCCCTGACATTCGTGTGAAGATTTCTTTGAACTTAAAATTGAAAGCAGAAATAATTGAAATGCTAACCTCTGGTTTACCGGCGTCAACCCCACGAATCTTAGGTCTTAGGCAAGAGGTTGAGGTTTCTCACATTAAATATCTGAAAAATCTTTCAAGTATAGTTTGATATCCAAGCATCTAACTGGACACAATGGCAAAGAAAATTATATCCATGTTTGAAATAGAGAGTTAAAACTTAACCAGTGTTAGGATTATGAACAATATATTGTAACCATGGTTTAATCAGAGAGTTTCGTGATTTATATGTGTAAATTTACTAAACCATTTCCATACCGTTATTTTGATTCCATTCACCAGATCTCTGTAGGCCTTGGAATTTTTATCTTTATAGTTCGCTCTCCAGCGGAATTTTTTGAACAGGACCTCAGTTCTGTAAGTTGATTTGCCTGTTCAAACAATTAACGAAAAAAATCCCTTGCTTTATTTGATAATGCATACGGGTTTCCTTGGCTCTTAGGCCAGGAAACGAGAGTATATTTTGATCAGGGTAGCATCTGGTATAAGCTATGGTTCTTTAAAATTTTCTAGACCTCGTAATTCTTCGAGGTGTCTCACCTAAAGTTTAAAATGTTGAGAGCTACGCCCTTAAAGCTTTAACGCGATGATAGCGACAGAAAATGATGTTTAGGCTCTCCGCAACCATTTCATTTAATTAATACTATCTCCGTTTTTCTGTAAATTTTAACTATGATTTAAATCATACTTACGTGTCGATCGATAAAAACTCGAAATGAAAACCAGACATTTTACGGCGTAATTAAAGTGAAGTTAATATTTGTACTTCAACGAATTCATGTGACTTTGCTCACTCCTATAACAGGTGAGATGCAGATAACATATCATGACAGCGCCAAAAAGTGGACGTGAAAGTAAAGCCTTACTTCATACGTATACCGTCAACACCTAAGTTTACAAAAGTCACAAAAGAAAATAGGAACAGAAAAAAATAAATGCTACAAAAATTAGAGTAAAGACCCCCTCCCCCCCCCCCCTCTTGATCCACTCTAGAGCTGTATATTGATTGAGCTTTACTCTACCTTCAACGGGAATCCTACATGTAAAAGGTCTTTTTTCGTTGCATGGTCTATCGTCCCAGCATCCTTTGGGTTTGCGAATGCTCCATGCCACACAATTTTCCAAGTTTCCACCATCGGCATGAACCGGAACACACACGTGACTTTTGAACTTCAGTCCGTCAAACCATTTAAAGCTACCTTCGTGTAAACTATCATGTAAACCTGTTGAGTGTCGATCTGTCATAATTTATCCTATCCTCTAGTAGGAACAGTGAATTAAATATACTCTATCATATCCTTCCTCCTTTTCCAATACACGCTTAGGGCCTAGTTCTAGAAATGAAGTTAAAAATTTGAAGGGGACTTATAATATATAATCTACCTGAACTACGGAATATGAATTAATGTTTCAAAACATGTTAAGTTGGAAAGGTTCCGTCTTTTTTTTTTTTGTGGATAGCATATTAGACATCGTTAGAATAATGAAGAGGATGCTTTGATAACTAGTTTTCACTCGTAATTATTGTTTGAATCAGCTATTTTCCGAAATTTCTTTTCCAAGAAACATGGCTGGAATAATCAAACAAACTACAGGTATGAATTCAACTCCTTATATGATAAATGTTTCATACCAATCCAAGTCTCCATTCCCGACCCAGTTTTCTTTTGCAACCCTCTCACAAATTCTTCCTCTTTAGCATTTCTGATAGAGGCTAAAGTCGCATTTTCTCTTGCGCAGCGTGTCACTGCTTCGTCCCAGGTTACTGCAGTCGTCTCATATTTGAAACAAGACGTTTCATATCTTGAGTAACCTGCAGGGCATTTTGCTGTAAATATAGGCAAAATAATTTAGAATTTCATCAAGTCAAGTCAAGTCAAGCAAAACATAAATAACGTTGCTTTTTCGTTTTTGTTGTTGTTGACAACCATGGCAGGATCTTACCTAATGGGCTTGCCTCCATTACGACTGCAAATGATAGTTTAAAAAAGATGTCAGAACTGATATGCGTTAGAGTGAAATTGCTTTACCTCTCTAAGTGAGAGACAACCATAATTACGGGTTTGCGTTATTATAATATCAACGATGTGTATCAATTTAAGCAAATAACAAATAGCTGTTCCTTTCATCTCCCCTCTCAGGCCCTTTTCCATTTTGTGCAATTTCCTTAACTTTCCTATGAACCGTTATTTTCTTCACTAACTGGACTAATTATTACAAATTGCTCTAGAATTTTCTTTCGGAATAGCAAACATTTCTCAGGAAAGGCCAGCGAAGATGGTTTACATTATCAAATGAGATCGAGTATCTGCTTTTAAAGCTTGGAAGTTACGATAAGCAATAAGAAATACTTACTTTTTACCGGTGGCACGTTTCTCAACACATTATTTTCATCCTGTAGCGCAATATACACGACCACGTAATATGTTTCATCTGTGTCTTTTGCTATCCCTACTCCTGCTTTAGTGCTGGCTTTCCAAATCATGTTCACGAATGGAAGAGCTTGCCCCTCGGCTTTTGGATGACACCAAACGTAATACTTCATCGACACGTACCATGATGTAACACACGTTTTGTCCAGATCCACTACAGATCCCTTATACTTGCAGAAGTTGGCACTGTATCTGTAAATTGGAACATTGTCTTTGCTTTTGGCTTTCATGAACAACATGGCCGCATTTTGTGCGTTTTTCTGGATGACATCATCAACCAACAATGGTCCAGCCGCGTGCAAATGCCGAAACACGTTCATGTATGTGATGACATCTCTCTGTAGAGTAGCTGGAATAAAAGAAAGTAACTTACTATCATAATTCAGCAGTAGGAAGAATAAAATTCAGAATTCTCAGTTTGTCAGTAGTAACGTGAAAGTTCACGACTTAAATAAACCATGAATGCTAAAAAGAATGCTAAAATACATGCTTCTTCTCCAATTTTACGTTTCAAATGAGTGAAATTCTCGTTCCATTTCAATGAAAGCCCATGAGAGAAAAATTAACATAAACGCACCTTTTACACTCGTACACACCAGGCTTGTAGAGAGAAGACAAAAGAACAGTAGCTTCATTGCGTCAACCAAATTTATTCTTATATAGAAGAAAAAGGTTGTAAGTTAGTCAGCTCTCGTGTGATATTAAGAGCATTTGCCATTGACGTGTTATTGTTACTGCAATAAAGGTAAAAACATATTAGTCGAATCTGTTATTGATAAGGTTTTCGTCAATGCCGTGAATGTGGAGCAGGTGAGTGACACCCAAACGGAAATATAGCTTTTGTTTGCCAACCATGAAAATCCAACCTTTTTTATATCATGATATAAAAATTATACGAGGAAAATGGGTTGTCGGTTTAGGAAATAATCTAATGTGAACCTATGTCAAAATAACTATATCACCGTAGCTCATTTTTGTCGATGAAGTACACAATTGACGTTGTTGAGATAACATACACTAAAACGGAACGTAGCGGTCCTTCATCATAGTTTTAGTGAAGAGTTCCTAGCTTGGGTTAACCCAAAAGATGAAATGGCTTCTAAACCACTTCCAGCCTTGTTTTGAATCAGATTGGGTTGTGATGGATAATTGTAGTAGCTTATTCAATAATATCTACTTCAATCAACTTAAAACAAAAATTCTGGTCGTCGGACAAAATTTTCCATCTCAACCTTAAGGATTTCTGAATCACATTGTCGCATTTTTAAAGTTATTTGTGGAGGTACTATTTTAGGAAAACGAGACTACAAATGATTGCATTTTGAGTCAGTTGTTATTTTACTTACCCTGTTCACAAAAGAGAGCGAAGAAAACTGAATGAAATTATTACCAAATGGACGCCTACCCTGTTTTGAAACAGCATCAACAATTAAGTTGAGAAATCCTAGCTTGTGTTCGTTTTTCACGTGGATTATTTCTTGTCTTTATCTTTCATCTTGGTTCACACTGATGGTCTCGACCACGGAGTATTTTATGAATAAATAATGTAGTTTAGTTATCAAAAACAGTTCCAGGAGTCTTCATCCAAGAGTAAACAAGTTATATCACGAGAAAATATATCCTTTTAGGTGTAATGGAGATCGAATGCAAAAAAAAAAAAATAGTCCTAAATTTCTTGTACAATCGAAATAAATTGGTTCGTTCAGTTATTTTTTGGATTTAGCATCCACAGTTTATTCCATTACTGTTAGCAGATCGATATGAAGGATCAAAAGTATTTTTTAATTTGCAACCAGCTTTTTACCCGCTTTGTTTTCCAAACATAAGGCATCTGCCTTTGGCACAACATTTATCCTCATTCCAATAAACAAATTTGTGGGCGTGGATGGCAATTAAAGTCTTAACTCTATTTTTAAATTATTTCTCTGGTCATGCAAACCCTTAGACTTTTGTTTCCTTTAAAGTTAAGTTGTGAAAACCTCCTCAAATTGTTTTTAGATGCTTGTTAATAAAATCACCGATAAATTTTTTATGCTCATCAGCTTGGTAAAATGTATCACTTTTAAGTAACAACGCTCTTTAATAACCTCCTAGTCGATCTTTGTATGATACAATTCTGGAAATTTTATCAGCCCCCTTATTTTTAGAACACTAGGTGTGGCCCATAATTGCTTCCCAGAATACGGCGTCTTTTGGTACTAATCACCGATAGCGTGCTGTTTCAATTTGTTTTAATATCAGGTTAAATCTATCATCTCAATAGCAGATAACTGTAGCTATCCGCATCACAATTTCACAACTCATTCTTGCGGAAATAATACGGAGAAAGCCTGTTTCCAGCTCTCCGTCATTTGTTTTGCGGAAAGGATACCAAAAAAGAGAAGTTTGGCACTCAAAATTCTAATCCTTGTAAACGATGCTTGAGAAGCTTCCGGAAGATCACAATGATTCCAGTGTAAATCAGGGCTAGAAGATATCATGTGAAAATTCTTTTTTATTATTTTTACTGTTGTTTACATTGTTGATTTCCTTCTTCTTGTCACCCAAAAGTTTGTGGTAGCAGATCCTGGTTAGTGTGGTTGTTGTTGTTTCGTTATTATCTTCGTACTCCGTCTAGCCAAGTTTAAACCTCTTTAAAAATTAAATCAGCATAACAGACAGCTGCTTTACAAGTTGGTTGACAAATTTACTTGCTTTGCATCTCCGAGTCGTATTGATCAAAAACAAAAGAACTTAACGTTTTCCTGGAAAACAATTCTTGTACAGAATGTTTGTTGGCCTTTGGGGCCGATATCACTCATATCAAAACAACGTATCTACATGATGCACTGTTCAATTCAATAGAATTCATTGTCGTCTTTTATTGTCTCTGATATCTTCGCTGGTGCTGCTGCCTCCTAAAACGGATGTCCTCCTCGTCACCGGCTCCGTAATATTCATCTTCGTCACCATGGTCACCGTCATATTCATCATCCGGGAATCCTTCTTCGTCATAGATTGTTCTTCTTCTTCTGTTTGTTGGCTGTTCAGTGGAATCCCCATGAAACAACTCTGCGACAAAGTAATAAAGAAGAAATAGCAGAAATCGGACGAATGCTGGGTATTTTCCATGCAATCAGTCCTAACTTCCGTTTCCCATAAAACTTGTAGCTTGAGCAACCTTGTTAAGGTAAACATGAACATGTGATTATATCTGATAAAGGATGACTTGATAACGAGTGTAATTTAAAAGTAAAATCACAGACTTAGATGTTGAGGTAATACTGAAAACTGGATTTCAGTTAACATCCTTACTTTTTGTCTTAAAATCACGGTACCATCCGCAGTGAACTCAAGCCCTATTCGGTTGCGGGAAGATATGTTACAAAGCAAAAATTTCAGTCTTGCTGTGGCTTGACTTGGTAGGGAAAGCGACACAAAGATAAAAGTTTCTGCTACTTACCTAAAAGTGTAAGAATGACACAGGAAAGAAATATCACTGCTACCGCACCCCTCATGGTAAATAATGAAGAGTTTGAAATAATCATGCGAAAAATTACTTAATTCATGGTTCAACGAGAACTGGTTCCAACTGAAATCATCGCCGTTATATCTGCATAAATTAGGGCGAAAAAGATGTTTACTTTTTGATGCTGGTTTCCCATTATCTGGTTGCGTGATTTTCCTGGTTGTGAGATTTGTTTTTCAGCAAAAAAAACTCACTCCTTTTGTGATAACTCCTTGGTCAATTCTTTTCTATTGTGCGAATTTGCATGTCAGATTTCTTAGTGATATGTACAGGTCTTTCCCTGGAACTTTACATTTGAATTCCCCGTATAAATGAATTATAAGATTAAATCTCATTCCTTTGAAGCCACCACATAACATCGAGGCTCATCAGTTGTGGGTAACCTCGAAGTAATCTCATTTGCATTTTTTCTGTACGACTCGACGGGAATGTTTTACCGTGACTTATTTGTATATTTGTATACAATATCAATTTCTATTCGGTAACAGTGAACGAAACAGGAATGGACTCAAACAAAGATGACACTAGAAAGATGCGTGACGTGAGGGAAGAAAATCCATCGAAATGTTTCAACACCACCACACAGATTGAGGAAAAGTTAACCACTCTGGAGTCCAGAATTAGAGTTGTGAAATCGGATTTCAAGGCGCAAGTCGACGACCTTAGATCTCGTATGGAACGTTTGAAGACAGAGCTGGAAAATGTTCAAGACGATTTGAACTCGAGGAAAATGAAAGATGCGAAAAATTACGACGACGCGAGAAGAAATATCTTGAAAGAGACACGTGCGTATCGAAAACACCTGCTACAAAAGAACAAAGAGTTGACTTGAATTCATTCGAATTACAAAGAGATGCTTAGGGAAGATTTTCACCACGGAAAGTTAACGAAAGGGGTAGTGTTGTCTACGAGTAGAAAACCGGAACTCTAGGTCAGAAAAAATAATTGTAATTCATGAAAACAATGATAATGGCCACCTTAAATCTTCCAAACTGATGCCAAGTTTTTTTACTTAATTTGATTAACCCACGTGGCAATTTCGACTTGTGCAAACATCAAAAGTGTTTTTAAAAAAAGACTTGTAGAGCTAAACTGTGTTTATTTCTTCACAGGTAAAACCTCTATATAAATCAAAAGGGAAATTTTGAGCGGCAGAAATTTGGCCCTTAGAAAAACGAGCCTCTCCAATAATTCTAAAATTTCAGTAACCCCTCAGAAAATATTTTATCTCAGATACATTTTTCGCAGGTCTTTGTAATTTGGCTAGAATCTTCCAACGAGATGTTGAAGGAAAAACTTTTTCCTTTATACAAAGTGGAAATTGTAATTAAACTATGCACAAGCCATCGGTAATTGATTTCAGATGTAATATTTCAAGAAAAGGTACTTTTTGTTTGCTCAAGAGATTTTAAACTTTTTACATTCTCTTGGTTTGCTTGAATATACACCGCTACCAAAAGGAAGTTCCTGGTTTTCAGTAAAAGAAAACGTTTGTGGTTTTCAGTCCACATAGTTTAACTTCGAATTTGCTACATTGATCTAGTAGATATTCTTTTTAACAAATCAAAATATAATTTATAAGTGCAAGCTTTTTTATTTAACCTAATAAACAAGTTCAAACATCTAACCGACATCAATCGCTGATGCTAGAGTCTCACAACGTTTTGTTAGTGTTACTGTTTTTGTAACTTACTGTCTTTGTCGTTCCCCTTAAGTTATATAAATCGGAACGTTAAACTGAAAAGCGCATTAAACACTTGTCTGTGCGAAGGACCCTACCATGTTTGTTTGCTTCGTGGTTAGATCATGATTAATATACATTATTTTAATATCTTTATCGAAACTGACTCAGTTCTACATCATCTTTTTCATTAAATATGTTTTGCAGAAAAAGCAATCTAACAAACGCCAGATATCTTCTTTAAATTATCAAACCATTCATAACAAACTACAGTAGGGTCAAAAGCTATTTTAAAATAAAACGTTTACAAACTAAAAATTTTGTTTAACACCGGTAAAATGAAATCGGGGTTAAAACTTATGTATTCTTACTCGCGATCGTCTTTTGTTACAACAATATGGCGCGCAGTAAGATGGGCAGAAGTTAACATTATTGGTGCAAGCAATGGGGCACTGATATGGGTTTCTTTGGGGGTAGATTGGTTCAGGTTGGTAAGAAGCTGGTGATGGATACTGAACGGCTGCTGCTCCCGCTGCTGCTGCTCCTGCTGCTACTCCTACTGCTGCTACTGGAGCTGGAGCCTGGGCGCAGCAAGTCGGGTCACAACCTGGCTGACAGGTGCTGCTCACACATTGGTTTGGGCAAAGTGACGCGCCTGTGGTAAAAATGAACAAAAAAATTTTACGAGGTCAGCGCCTGTGGCACAAATGAACAATAACATTTTACGAGGTCTTATTAGAGGTCACATTTGATCAAGAGACCCTTGCTCACTCAGCAAACCGTGAGAATTAAGGAGTTGCAGCCTACCGTGGATTTCTCTTGCTATTGTAATGAAAACGAGCATATAATTTACGGCAAAAGGCCGGCAGCGGATATCAAACCTCTTCTCATCTGCCTAATTAATTATTGTCATGAAGTGGCTCTAAACCTTAAACGCTCTGGATGTTTCTAGGGTGTAATGTAATGATAATACTCCTAAACTGAGTGAAAACAAAATACAAATATGAAGTTAAAGGCTGGTTTAGATATAGTTGGGTTAACTTGAAGAAGACAACTGAGCACTGTGCTCCATTTTACCAGTCCACCATCAGTATCCTGCAATTTTGGAATGCTCACAATTACTTCGTTCTACGTCATAATTCATTTAGTCAATACCACCACATTCCAATTAAGATAAACGTTTGTTTCCCATTGATGGTTGATGGTCTCACTTGCCTGGCAGGAGAATTGTCACATTGATAAGTTTAGCAGATACTCCATTTTCTAGTTCCAGTTCTCCATCATTCTCATTAATACTGGTCTTAAGTGAATCAATCGAATCAGGACTGGCCTCCGGACCTAACCTCAAGATAACCTCAACAATTGATTTGCCGTCTGGCAAGCACCTAAAGAAAAAGGGAGAAAATAGACAACTCTTAAATCAAAATAACAATAATTCAATTATTCAGTACGTAAATGATTCATTTACCTGATTGTGTTCACAATTGGCTGAACTGAAAGGTTCTTTGCTTGGAAGTAACGAGCGATCTGTCAAAGAGTTAAAAAATCAACAAATGTTAAAACAAAAATAGTTTCAGCTTTCGTATTCCCATTTTGAGACTTGGGCTTAAACTTCTAAGTAGTAAGACAAGTAAGAATGTGTTTGACATTTGCCACGAGCGAGGGAGGGAAAAAGAGTACAATTCTTCAATCATCGGTTCCTTAGATTGTTCGGCCGGTACTGAGTACGATATCTCAACTTTCTTAACTATTTTCACACTGGAATTGAGGAAAGAGTCCTCCAAAATAAAAGCCAAATTTTTTCGCCTGAATTCTAATTATTTGCCTTCAAAATTTCCTTCAGTAAGAGAAGGACCATATATCATTTGATATATTATCGATGATTAGCCCTTGTACACCATAACATCAGCATGCATATTCTCCATACTGTTCTCTTTGGATTTCTTAAGGTGCTGACAAGGAAAATTTGTGGAACAATCGAGAAATTAAGTCGGTGATCATTTCCTTTATTCGGCTTGTGAACTTAATGTTTGATTCAGGTGATATTGTATGGAGAAATTAGACTCTTTGGGGTCAAATGGTTTAAGAGAGCAGAGTACCATTGCGCATACGTTACTTATTTTGCTTAAGTTCTCAAGTCTGCTTTGCAACTGATCACTATATGTGCAAATACAATCACTTCGGGTTTATGAAGGAAAAATCATTGTGCATACCTGAACGAAAACTTGACATGGAGCAATTAATAATGAATGAATTGTAGCCAATGCGATGGTGGGGCTTTATGGCCTCAAGAGTTGGAGAACGTGATTTTTCTCAGGTTAAGAATTATATTACCATAACAATTACAGACTGGTCACGATCTTCTATTCTCTAAAAATTTTTTCTAAAAGCATACAACTTAGTCTTTCATTTTTTTTTTTTTCAATTCCATTGTATATCATAATCCTTAGCTGACCCTTTTCCTTAAAACTTCAATACCACGTCATAACCGCCTCATTCTACCTTTTTTCACAAAGTATTTTGCATACAGTAGCTTACCGTATCCCTGAGAATGTCATTCACATTCTGAATGACAGGCGCACACACGGTTGGGTAATATGACCCAGGATAAAAGGACGGGGAGTACTGAGAATAGGAGGTGTACTGGGACGACTGTGTTTGTGGTTCCGTCAGGTTAAACGTTAACTTGTAAAAGGTATGACCTGCATTGAGAAGTTAACAATAACACAAAAGAGAATAGCCGACCAATCAATCAGGCTTACTTTAAACAAGAACCTGTCGTTGATTTCATCCTGACATCATGATAAGTATATTTTGTATGCTAATACATGTGCAAACGTAAGCATGGTCGCCCATTCTTTGGTAATTCCTGTTATGTTGTGTCTTTGAGCAGGATTTTGTTGTGGTAACTGATCAGCATGATTTGCATGAATGTATATTGAATATGAGTACTTATGCTGTTAAATGTATTTAAGTAACGTGAATATTGTTTTAAGGCTATCGTGAGTTGTGATCCTATAACCGGCGTCTCGACAGACTTTACAGGTCCCATAGTCATCACATAATAATTCCACGATCAACGGTGTCCTTTGGCCATAAAGAACCGAGTGTCATTGCCATTCACGTCAAGTAAAGCTTTACACCCAATGTAACTCGTTGATAAGAGAATGACTGAAAGATATGATTTAAGCTTTGTATTATCATTGTTTCTTACCAGGAGCGGGAACCTCGCAGACAAAAGCCTTTCTATCGGAACATTGTCTGTCAGCCCATCCAGGTCCGTATTCCCCTTTGGCTTGCACGATACAGCTCTGTCCTTCATTTCCATCAGGTTCACCGGGCAGCCACTCGGAGAATGGAATTTGCGATCCTGAGACCCAAACGTAACGGCCCTCGGTTGAGCGATCATGGAGTCCAATCCAAGCTTCTGTAAGGTTGGCTTCTTTATAAAATCGTGCAAGAAAACAGAGGACGTTTGTTAAGCTTTCATTCATCAACCAGCACTATGTGTGGACCAGTAATCACTAATAAATGGTAGTGGCACTACCTCGAGGGCATTGAACTACAAATGGTTGGGTAATAGCTTAAAAGCAAGTAATTTCGTTCGTGGAACTTTTACCTATTACCACTGCCTCGATGTAACGTATTGCACCTCCACTTCAAAACCTGTAGCATCGTAAGTGCCACTTTTCATCGTGGAAGGGGAACTCAAAGCTCTTAATCGTTCGCATTACCTATCCTTTACTGTGTTCTAATTTTCGTCCATAAAACTGTGAGGAGGGAGGAGACACTTGACTCGAGTCAGGGAGGTTGTTTATCTTAGATTTTGGCCGATGGGAGGGGCTCTTTTTCAAAAGGGTGTTTAATTTAGTGAATGGCTATCTCGAATTTATTACATTTGAGTTTCGAACAAAGTAGGATGTTAGCTTACTTGCAATTAAACTAACAACCAGGTCAGCTTCCTCTCTACTCTCAAGCGAAGCCAGGGTACCGTTATCAAGAGCACAACCAAGCAGAGCGTCATCCCAGGTCACTGGTGTGTTACGGACGGTGAAACATGATCGAGTAACACCCATCGGTATTTTAAAGTAGCCTTCAGGACAGGCAGCTTGATAAACGAAGAATGAGAAAGACGAATAGATTAGGACATAAAATAAATGGCTAACCAAACAAAACAAGCAAACTAACAAATGGCAGGTAAATTAATTTATCACTAGCTAGAAGAAGAAAGAAATTTGATAAATAGGTAGGTAAATAGGTACGAAGGTAACTTGGTAAGCAAGAAGGCAGGGAATCTGATTAGTGGGGAAATAGGTTGATATGTAGGTAGTTAAAAGGTTAGGTAGGATGGTAAGTAGTCGAATAGGTAGGAATGCTTTTATGGATATTGACTGTGAAAATAAGTTTCTAGAAATTTCTAGAATGCCTAGTTATGCTGACATACATAAAAGAGCTTTCTATTGTCTGGCATACCATAGAACTTTCCAGAATATTCTATTGGGTTATGTAGTCATGATTTAATACTTCCAAAATAGTTGTGTTTTAAGCTTCCAGATTCTAGAATGCTTTGTGTAAGTGTACAGAAGGACTCAGTTGTGTGGTACTAGTCGTTGTTGTCTGGTGTGACTGATTGTCCGGAGAGCGATACCGAGAGAGAGCTATTGTGGAAGATTATTCATTTCAAGGAGATTTGGACACAACTATCAGATTGTGGCAGTGGTGAGCTAATTTATAGTTTGTAGTGGGCTTAAGTTATTTTATCAAGGATAATTACTGTATTGCCTACAGGAATCGCTCCTTAGTAAGAATATTTCACGTTGTTTAATAAAGTTGTGGAACTTGTAGGAGTATGGTGTTCTTTCTGTCGGTTGAATTATACCGTAACAATGCAGGTACGTGGGCCATTGTGGAGGTACGTTTGGCGGTGGAAAGATTAGGTTTGTGTGTACACCTACGTAGCATTTACGTATCAAGTAAGTTTGACAGACTGGTTATTTTCTGAAACTATTTTTTCCATTTACCTTCACGTATACTTACCATCTGGTGAGGGTGTAGAGATTCCTGGAGAAAAACGCAAACAAGTGAGGGATCAGAAGATTGCAGATTGCTATCACATACATATGTTGAGTAAATAGGTCTCTCCTGGTGTACAATATACTGGATAATGAAATTCGAATCTTCATTAAGCACAACTTAAGAGCACATAAATCACCTACCAGCCGCAGGAAGTACGTTTTCTTTAACCTTGTCATCACTCTGTGCAGGACTTAAAAACACTGCAATATAATATTTCCCTGGGACATTCTCTCTCTTGGCATTTCCCTTAGCTTTAGCGATACCAACTCCGATGCTTGTGGTACTTTGCCATACCAGCTGTGTGAACGGAGACGTCTTTACAGTGAGCTTAGGATCAGCCCAGTCAAAGAACCTGATGGCACTATACCACTTGACTGCGCATGCCTTGGCAATATCAGCTTCCGCCTGATGGCTGCATACCAGTTGCCCAAATTCTGAGTCAGGATCAATCTTTTCTTCGCCAGAAGCTGCAAGATTTTCTGCCCATTCGCTGGCTAATTGGTTCAGTTCCTGACTATCCGACACATCAGAGGCTTGGTGGAGATTTCGGAAGACGTTGACAAGCTTCTCTACATCCTTCTTGAGTTGCTCTGAAATAAATCCAAATTCCTGTCATTTCGCTTGTGAGACCACATACATCTGTCACTGACTTGTTACTGATTTACCAAAAAGTAAAAATTGCACTATTACAGATAAAAGAATAAATAAGGTTAAGTTCAGAGAGCTGTTTTTTACGAACTCTAATTCCTCATAAAGAGCAGAACTGCCTCTAGATTACAAGGAAGGCATCCAGTTTGTTGAAAGCTCAGCTGGAGGGGAAACAATCCTCATCTAATGTTTTTTCTTTGATATTTCAGTCTAACAAAACCAAAAAACAGTTATCTGCATGTGCAGCGTTAGAAAAAAAGGTCCAGGATTCAGAGAACATAACAACATACCAACAATAATTATTTTAGAATTATCCGCAACGATTACAAAACTTATCCTTGAACTTTGGCTCAAAAGCAACTGTGTCAGTGCCTGCGGGGGCCACCCATGAGCAAAAAAATGGCTTTAATATCATAATAAGTTAATGACCTCTGTATATTGGTAAAATAAGGATAAAACCAAACTATTCACCTATATCTGGTGGTGGACTTTGTGTTCCAGTCGGAGTAGCTGTTGACGGAGGAGCTGTTGTTGGAGGAGCTGTTGTTGGAGGTGCTGTTGCATAGTAAGAAAAAAAAAGCATCAGAAGTTATATTGTAAGTTCTAATAAGATGTGCCATCATCCAAGCATTACAACATTCGTTTCCTTGCAAAGTTTCTTTTAAGTTCTCTAACTCCGTAAAATAACCGGGTTTTAATAAATAATTTATTTACATATTTCTTTATTCATACGTTAATCTTTGTGAATTCATCTAATTATTAATTCATTTTTTTATTTGATTATGAATTCGATATGGCTAATTTAAGTAACTGAAATGTTACAGCAAAAAAACAAAATAACACCTTAATGTTTCTTTGCTTTCAATGCAAGCGAATCATAAAACAGCACCTGAAAAAGAGCCTATGGCAGTCTGTAATATAATGTTTCCATTAGTGTAGTTGACATTTTGTCATACTAACATAAACTGTTGGCGTCGAAGAGAGATTTTAGCCTCGACTCTTGTGTTTCCATCTTATCTCATAATTGATTGACCCTTTCACTCAGATCTCATTAGTAATTCTCCTTACTTTCTGCCATATAATTCTTAAGCTTATTCAGGAGAATTTGGTTTTGGATCAATCAATAATCCCCTAATTGACATTTTTCTTTATTTTTACCACTCGTCTATTAATATTGCATGTCAGAAGAAATTCCGTCTTGGTCACTCACGGAAGTTAAGGGGTTAAAACTGTCAATTTCAATCATGTAAACTATATGTTTGTCTTATTCTGAATATAGCATCTTGTCTTGAGTCAGGTTCTTGTTGTAAGATTGAAGTCAAGTCCGTGCGTTTTTCTGGAAACGTTCGAAGTCGTCGCTGCTGTCAGTGAGATTTCCTTTGTTTGTTGTGAGGGACGTTGAACGACGGATATCCATAATTGGTTTATCTGTGGTGGAAGTGGATTTACCTGTTGTAGATCCAGCAGATGAGCCTGTGGCACCTGTTGAGGCAGCGGATGAAATGGTGGGTGTTGCAGTAGCAGTTGTTCCTGTGATAGAAGTACCACTTGTAGGTTTTGCAGAGGTGCCTGCTTTGCGAGTGGTTCCTCCAGATGATCCAGGGGTAGAAGCACTACTAGTAGAGGCACCGCTTGTAGGTTTTGCAGTGGTGCCTGCTTTGCGAGTGGTTCCTCCAGATGATCCAGTGCTAGAAGCTCTACTAGCAGAGGCACCACTTGTAGATTTCGCAGTGGTACCTGCTTTGCGTGTGGTTCCCCCTGTTGCTCCTGCAGTGCTGCCTGTAGGTTTTGCAGTGGTGCCTTTTGAACCGGTGCCTGTAAGTGGTGTAGAAGAACCACTTGTAGATTTGGCGGTGCTGCCTGTTTTGCGTGTGGTTCCTTTAGATGCTCCGGTGGTAAAAGTACTGCTGGTGGGGCTTGCAGTGGTGGATGCCCCGCTAGCAGTAGCACCAGTGCTAGATGCAATAGTGGTACCTGCTACGGTTGATTGTTAATTAACTTTTACTTTAATGAAGGTGAACTTGGTCAATTTTCAAGCCCAAAGCTTTGTACTTAATGCATTCAAGGGTAAACAACAAAATAAAAGGACTGAAATACAGTGAAAAACATTAGGTCCAAGAGTGACGTGGTTGCCAGCAATGTCGATAATGTCAATAGGGCTTCAGGGGAACATTGATGATAGGAAAGCCGTTAGGCTTTGTAAATAAAATTCTACGAGACTCTATCGTTAGAGATTCCCCTCTACTTTCAAACGCTTACATATCAAATTAAATGTAATGGTTATAACATTTCTTTGAATTGTACCATAATTATATTAAAATTATCATAATTAAAATAATTATTTTTGAGTTCTTACCCTGAGTAGTCTGTGGCTGTTGATCTTCCTTGACTGTTTCAATAAAGAATAACAAAAACTTTTTAGAGTGATCGACAAAAAGTAATTAAGCTATCGGCATAAGTCTAATTGACAGAAGATCAACTCGTACAGTTCGGTGAAGAAATTAACATTTAAATCGGTATTAATTATAATTCTTACTTTCGCATTTCACTCCTGCGTATTGCGGAGTACAAATACAGCGGTAGCCTTCAGGAGAGTCAGCATCAGTCTTACACGTTCCTCCATTCAGGCAGGGGTTCGGCTCACAAGCTAAATGTCACGTGATACAAACAACATACTTTCTTTAAAAACAGTATTTTTCATTCAGGATTACTCTCTTCAGACGATAACAGAACACGATCAACAAGTACGTTCATTACAATTAAACGAATGTACTAACCTTGAGGGTTGGGTTTTCCTTCTTTGTCAGGAAGCCCACCACCTGCCAATCAAATAAAAGTAGGGTGTTGCTAATAAGTTTGACGTGTTGACCCCTGCTATTTTCTCCCTGGGCTTTTTAGAAGTTTAGGGTAGTTCCTTTTTACCCATACAGTGTGTAAAGTATCTTAGATTGCACTGCGTTTTCATCGGTGTAACACAGCTTTTGGCGCACTCTCAATTAATAAAAACAAACAGAAAACGAAAAATTGATTCGGTCACCACTCAGCGCCATTTCCCTCCCTTCCAGCAATTTGTTCTGATTGGACGTTGTGAATGCTTTAGGTCTGGCTAAACGAACTCAATTAAGTTGCATCCAGTGAGGTATGTAACACAGATGGAATGCGCTAGTGACACCAGCTGAGTCAAATCAATATCCCAGTTCCTCTTAAGAAAGCAAGAATTTGTTTTAACACCCAAACTAATCAACCGATCTACTCAATTAATACTGAACTCGTGGAAGCTATTACAAGGGTAACATGAGGAATCTCTAAAGTAGGATCATATGGGAAAGTATCACTTTATGGTCGAAAAACAATTTAAAAACTTTGATGAAATGTCGGGTGTGCCCTTCATACCCTGGTTAAAAGCCTGGTTAACCTCATCTGGTTGCAAAATTCTGTTCCAAGTAGCAAACTGGTCAAACTTCATTGGTAACATCTCCTGCACTAGATTGTTATGGTTGGGTTTGCTTATCCTTAAGTCGTTGAATTCGTTTCCTCTTATCTGACCCAAGCTTTCGCTCATCTGTTTAATACCAGCCTCTGTTCCGTTGATGTAATACTTTAGTCCCTCCTCTACAAGAAAACAAGAAAAAAATTTACGGTAGGAATTTATAGAATGCACTCAGTATGCTAACAACCAACATGAAGTGTTTGTATTCGTTTCAGAAATTCAATGGTTTCAATTTGGCTCGAATCCAGCCTGTATTCTAATTTGCTGTTTATATCGATGATAATAACCTATTTCGTGGTCAATTTTATTGCATTCTTAAGGTCAGAAATTTAAACGATCCATGCAACACCATCTTAGAACCACATAAAAAGAAATCTCTATAATTCATTAAGGAAAAAAGAAAAAATAGAGGACTTCGGAACTAGATCCATTTAGTACAACATTTATTTAATTAGTCGGAGAAATAATTAAATCTAAATATTAAAATGGTTTTGATTTTAAGAAAGTACCATTTTTCCAGGTAAATGCGAATGAAAACCAAGAATTTAGCGGTAATTGTCCTTGTGGTATCTCAATTCTCCATTCTTTCTCAGCCGCCGACACTCTCAGTACAAACTGATAGTTCTGATGGAAAAAAGAGAATCCTCGGGATCTGTGATCTGACCCTCCACTGGATAATACGTATTTCGGAAGCTGCTGATCGGTTAGGAGGGCTGCTTGTTCGATTCTTGCCCAGAAAATCATGGTAACTCCATTAGCACATAAAGATGGGTCACTAATGCATCTTCCTTTGAGAACAAATTTCAAATATAGAAGTATAAGCTTTGTTCTGAAGTAAAGTATCATCGGCCAGTTGGTCTGTATTATTCAATGTCTCCATAAAAGGAATCAAACACTTCAAAATCTCAGATATTCAAAGGGGAATCCCTGAGTGACGTAAACAACTGATGACCAATTTACACCCTAATATATCTAAAACTTTCGACTGAAATTGTGCACATGTAACTATCTTGAATTCAATCAATCGATTTCTAAAAAGTTTTCCTCACTATCTCAGTAATCAGCCATCCCCAAACTGATAGTTTGTAAGACAAGCAAAGAGCGAAACCCACAAAAACCATCATAGTTTTGGAAAAGGTGGTAAAATGGTCAGATTTCTTGTTTTTCATGGTATAAAGGAATCACATTTAAAGCATATTGCCAAAGAGTGGAATCAACTTTATGACAGCATTTAGCATGTGTTGCTCAGCATTATTACATGCAGGTGATGACCTCACCCTTAAAGTTTCCCAGATCAATCCAACTGTTTTGTTCAAGTGTGGAGGCAACTTTTCCTCTTGCCGCGGAATCTACTATTCTAGCCCCGTCCTATGAAAGGAGAGAATACCACTGAAATAACGAACAGCACATGATGACTAACTTTTGATGGGTTTTGAAATATTTTAATGTATACATTGTGGCGGTAGAGAAATTAATATCGTGAACACAACTTCAAGCTTATAACCATCTAAAGTGAACACTGGGTTGGATCTTCAAAACATAATAAATGATCCATAAATTACCACCATAAATTAATGCATGCCTTTCCTACACAACAATATTCGTTTTTGAAGTCGTCTTCATTCAAGACCACAATGGTTTAACTTTACTGCACTTTTTCGATTAGTCTACAAATACTTGACTTAGCCAATCTCACAACCATTCAAATGCAAATCATGACTCGGTGACTCACGTTTTCCCAGGCGTTAAGCAGGTTTATTGTTACTTTTTGTAGTCATTGGCTCCTTAGGATAAAATCTTTCGCTCTGATTGACTTTTGCAATTACTATGGTTTCGTTTACACGATAAGGTGAAATTGGCACAATACTGTACATCAAATCCCACCCTTCAAGTAAGCTGTTAATCCATCATTGTACCTTAAGCTGAGCTGGGAAGTTTCCTACTAAATCAGGAGATGAGTCGGCTTGAGCATCATTAAACGGCCAGCAGTGGGAAGAGTCCTTAAAAACGCCAACAAAACCACCAACCACAGCTGCACAGGACGAAAACGATAACCAAATACAAGAGTACGATGAATAATAGATACAAATAGGGATGAAAGAACAAAATGAAAATGGAGAAAGCACCGAAGTGGTGCTGAAGCGAACAAATAAAATAATTTGTATATTTACCGCCTTGTTTTGATCCCTGTCCAGAAGGAAATAGTTCTTTCGACAAGGCTCCTTGCTTCAAATCACAGTCACATGTGAACACATATACCTGTCCCCCAGGCGCAGTAATTTTGACCTTTTGCAACAAAACTAAGGACAATTAGGAATTGCACGAAAAAATGGTAGGTGAGGGAATGGTGCAGTGGTGAGACTACTTGCCTCCCTCCGCTGTGGCCTGGGTTTTATTCCCATTATTATAATCATTATTGCAGTAAAAACCCTCTGGATGCCAAGATCATAAGCACGGTTGTTGGGCGGCGCGAGCGCTAGCCAACCCTATGATGAAGACTTAAACTTATACTCTAAAAATAAAATAAAACCTTAATTGTTAAGATATTGTACACCATATAAAATTCTTGCTTATGAAATTGGGATAAAGCCCCTTGTGACTAGAGCACTAAAAAGTTTCCTGATATTGTCTGTATTTATGAATCTAAGATGTGAAACCACTGTTCAGCATAGAATCTTGACCGAGCAAGCGAAATGAAGTGAACTGGTTAAGATAGACTTCTGCATCTGGAGAGCTACTGATTTACTAGAGTCTCCTGCAAGATATTTCAGTGCCCTGCTAACTTCACGGGAATAGCTTCTCTGCACATCAATGATGATATTTCACTGGTTCACCCGGCGTACTGATCAGCTGTCCTGTGGCTTCCACTCAAGTGGTCCGTACCTAGTTGTCTTCTCAACGGCTTTCACCTAGCGATTTCCGATTCCCCGGCAGCTCATCTCAAACAGCAACACTTCCGAGGGTTCATTTCACTCAATCTCACGTTTTAATAGGAGTGACGTATTTCGCTCTGACGAAGGGCTAATGCTCGAAACGTCAGCTTCAAAACTCTTTACAGTGGCCAATTTACGTTATCAACTCAGTTGATAATACTAAATTACCCTGTTATAATCTCCCACTGCCGCAGCACCACAGTTTCTTTAGAAACTTACCCCTTTATTCACGTCTTTAAAATTATGGATTTATTTCTTACATGCCTGGGTTAATTTGATAAAATTCTAAATTGCCGGTTATTTTGGTGCTCGTTTCTCTCTATTTACAAAAGGTTCCCTTATCAATTAACATTTGACGTACCCCATCCAGGTTCCATTCTGGCATAAATCCAAAGTTGTCGTGCCTTATTTTTATCTTTTTTATCTCGCCCACGTCCATTAAATTCAGTTGAAAGTTGTCAACTCTGGCAGGAGAAATTAAATCATATGCAAGTTTCATTAGCTATAATCTCAAAGCTTCCATCTGTGGAGCACTGCAGCAAATATAAAATAACCCCTATGTGCTTCCCTATCATTATTCCCGACGAACTGACAGACTAGTGACTGATTGCGCGGCTGACTGACTAACTAACCTACCGAAAGACTGATGCACTTTGCTGACTGCATCACTGACTCAGGATGATGGAATGTAGGAATAACTTACTGGTCTACTAAGTGGATAAAATACTGACTTCCGAACTTTTGATTTATAGGCTGTCATGTATGTACTTCTGTCTGAGTGACTGACTAACTGGGAGCAGATCTGACTAGTAATTGAATAACGCTCATAATATGGCATATGAGCCAAGGAATCAGTCGACTGACAATTGATTTACGTACTTTCCTTTTTCAAAGTTGTTTTCAAAAGTGTTTATCAGCTTCTTTTCCATAGTTTCTCCTTTGGTTCCATAAACAGTTAAGTACACGTTGGCATCAGTCCCCCCTCCTTCCTGAACACCCGTAGTGACTTGAACTTGATACGGAGCTGAAATAGATAAACGGACAGAAAATGTTGAATTAGAAACCGCCGATCAGCGTTTCAACAACATTTTATTTTCAAAGTACTTCAGACTCTTTCATGGCGGGTTTCCAATGTTTGCAGTTTCTGTAAGGAAAAAGGGAGCTTTTCTCAACGAATCTCTCTTTGAGTTGAAGCGATTTTCTTTTCCCATCAATTAATGGTCTACCTTTTTATTCACCTTGGAGTGAAATAAGAATGCCATCGCACGAAATGCCCGTAATATTTAACTTTATTTAGCTAATACCTTAAAGAACATCAGAGACAAATCTTTCTGTATCAGACGTCATAAACGCTATGAGTGACAAATCATGGAAACCGTCTGACCCAGGGATTCTAACCCGTCTGAAGGATTACAATCACTCAAAGAGGCCATCTCTGTGAGATGGTTTTTTGAATGCGTTGTGCTCTCTTTTCAAATTCAGATGAACATCTCTTTTTCGGTATAAACCTCACTTGACAAAATTTGTATGTTGTATTGACCTGTTAGCTGACCGGCTTTTCATTCTAAATCGTATTGCTTTCTTTGTAACAGTTAACACAACGCGCATTTCTATTCATTCATCATAACTCAAGGGTGCTTGACATTGTTATTAATCTTCTCCAAGGATTATCGTTTCACTCCTACCTGATCTTCGCTCTCTTGTGATCTTCAAGTTGCGCGCCTGCGTGCAATGTCCAGCTAAATTTAAAAGACGAGATTCCGTCAGATTCCAGATCGTCAAATTACCGAGTCCGTAACTAAAGATATCTCATCCTTTGGATAGGTTATGCTCGTTTTTTTTAATGTGAGCTAGATTAAAACCCTAACTTAAACAGAGTTTTAAAACCATTATAAACCTGCTCACATTACGACCATTTGGGGGAAAGTTTACATGTATCTTCGACATGCTGGTCCTCGATCCTTCAGATTTTGCTGATTCCGATTCAATCTTATGTGTCCCCTGATTAGACAAACCTGTAGCGCAAATATAAACCTGGTAGTACCTTCCTTTCTCGAATTAATCATGTTCGATAGAGTATAGGCAGTTGACTTCAAATCAAATCATCTTTCAGTGAAATGGAAAATTTTTTGTCTCTGGAAGGTAGTCTCAGGTTTTCAGCAAGCTAAGCTTTAGACGGAGTTAGTCTTAAGTACCTAATTCAGAATTTGAACTTTGAAAACGTACAATTCAGTCTTTCGTACCACAAGAGTATTTAGCAAAATGTAAGTGAATTAGAGATACAACGAGAATTCTAACATTACAAATCAAACAAGCAAGGTAAAATCAGTCAGCCTGTTGCTTGAGCTTGGAGGTAGCAATCGATCATGTGGTGTGTTCGTCCCAGTAAGTGCAGGCTGTTATCAACGTTAAGTTTCACCGAGAAAATTTCTTTTTGAGGACTACCCTCACTCAAGCAATTACACAACACAACTACACAATCAAAAAGTGTTGATTAAATACCTAGGACGATTCCTAAGAGGAACAATAAATAAAGAGGACCAAATGAGTCCATTGTCACCTAATCAACCTGAAAATGAATCACACATCAAATGTTATGACCAGATTAAAAAACCTTAAGGGTGAAATTCTCAGTAGTTATAATCATGGTGTCCAAACCTTTTTGGGCTGCTAATCTATTTTTCTCTTTTAAGCTAAGAATCGGTGTAATTCAAATCAAAACACTTACAAGGAGAAAATTAAACTACGGCTGCTTCTAACTTTGACTCGAAACTTATCTCATACCTCCTGACGTAAGTGCCTCATTGTTGTCAAACACAGGTTTTTATCGCCTTATAGTGTAATATCTGATCAGCACAAGCTAATTCCTTTTCTAGAGGACATATCATGAACAACAAACGTTTAATGTCACTTAATTGTCAGATTTTGTATCACTGTGTTTTGTACAATCCACTATTGATGACAATCTTTAAAAGAACAAAAGCTTCCGCCTTTCAACTCTTCCAAGGATTTATCTTGATCCATGTTAAAATTTTTCACCTGTCTTCTGATCCCAACGAGAATTCTCACAATATTAAAGTATTATAAATGAATGACTCTAGGTCGCACTCAGTTTAATACTCAGGTTTCACTTTCCATAGCCAATTCGTTTTGTAAGTTATTACAGGACACTAAGAATGAGTGTGGACTATTCCAAGTTCCTTTATTTAGCTCTGCTAGGCAAAGAAACCGGTCAAAAAAAGTTAGAGTTTTACACTTTTTTACGATTCGACAGTCATGCCTCTAAAACCCTGTCGGACTGATGAGACAATCAGTTTACTATAGCTAATCAGACTATTTGCTCCTCAGAAGATAAAACCAAATCGAATATATGTTTTTCAAGCGTTCTTTTCAAGTAAATCCAGGTGACGAATAGTTACAGGTAAAATATTGGTTTCACGTCTATCTTGACTTCCATTATTTACTCATGAATCATCTTGACGTTTTCAAACCCTTGAGCCATGCTTTCCCAAGGGAAAAACTAGCATTAAAGAAAGAACATTCAAATAGTATTTAGAGGCAACATGAAAAGCACTTAAACAGAGAGATTTGAGAGAAGCTTTGATAAAATTCCAACGCAATCGATCAGTGTGACATAAATAAATCAAACCAACGATTAGCGTTATTCGTGTTTCCCTGCAATTTACATCACTTATCTTTCTCGAAATCTTCATATCACTTGATTATCTAGAAGTTTTGACTCGAGTTGAAATTTAGCTTTGGCGAGAGAGTTGATTTTGTGGGAAAACCAATGAAACTTTATGAACCAACCGCTGTGGTACTTTGATTTCGAAGCGTTGGAACGTTATCATATAATTCCAGCTGCGTCAAGTTGGCGACTAGTAATTCTGGAAAAAGAAAGCATTTCTCGGAAAAATGAGTTGCCTTGTTTTCGAATTTTTTTTTTATTTTGCTTTGCCAATGGATGGTTTTGTCTACCGATGCTTTTTGTTTATCGTTATTACGAATTAAGATAACTACCAAATTGTTTATGATACACTAATTGACATCACACCCCAACTACTTAGATATTAAGTCAAGATCAATCGTAATGAAACAGGAAAATCTATGAATTATATGACTTACGTACATAAAATCAGAAACGATATTTCCTCGTCGATATCACGATGTGTCCTTGCAAACGATGTCTCTATAATCTCTCAAGTATACCTTTTGTTTAGATAAACAACTCGAGCACAATTAAGCGGCAGGTTGCAGCAGTCAATATTTCATCGAAACTGGTCGAGTAGAAAACTCAACAAGACGTGAAAAAAAATCAAATTCTTATCTTGAATTCTCCAGATGCTCTGATGCTCACTACCAAAAGTAAAGAAATATTTTATTCTTTTTATCTAAATAAAATCCTAGTAACAAGGGGGTTGTGTTACCAGTATAGCAATAAATGTTCTTTTCTTTCTGTTAACCTATGCTGGTGCCTTCTTGTGTTCTTATTGCAAAAATGTTCACTCTCTCTAAGGATGAGAGCAGGGAAGAGCCACCAGTATTTGCCACAGGTAAGCTGGCGTCGCTTGACTGGTGATCGCCACTTAAGAGATGTCAAAGAGGAACGAAAAGAATGCCACACCATTGGTCGAGATAAAATTAAATGTGAACTCCATTTGCCTGCGACCAGGCGAAGAGTGCAAGAGAAAGTCACCTCAACCTTTCATGTCACTGAGTCTTATTCAAGGGCAATTTTGGGCAATTAATGATGTTTGTGGGGACCTGGTTTCCCTCGATGGGAATTCCAGGTGGGATCCTGCTCGAAGCATTGAACCCACCCATTGTGCACTGTTGAGCCCCTTCAAATCAATCATTGAAAAACGGATTGAGAAACTCTTAGACACCATTACATAAGCGAACAGTTGCAATCCATGTACTTATATGCACATAGGAATGGCGGAAAACATACAGGATAAGCAACTTATAATCCGTTCCAGAGTTCACAGTTAACAGACTTCCAACAAATTCTGGTAGTTAAACTGGCAGGCATTAGAATGCCTAACGATTATTCGAACTATGAATGTTTTTTTCTCATCAAGCGTTCTTAGCAAAAAGTTTTGAGTTGCACCTTCGAAGGCTGGCACCATTTATGAGATAAATTTAGCTTCACACTTATCTTTTTGTCCAATAGATGAGATTTAAAAGCGATAGCAAGATCAATACGCCGTGAATCAAAAGTTTCTTTTTATAAAGAAGCTAAAGGCCCGGTGTATTGAAATTATGAAGAAATAGTTTCTATTTAGAGCAACATTTAGACAGTGATAAACCGTAACAAGTATTGATGTATAGATAATGTGTACAGTGAAAAATATGAGCATGATGAAGACTCTTTACCCTATAATTATACAAATATCTTAAGCCTGTTCGGAAGCATCATCTACTGGGATGTATTCCATCAATTTCCTTCCTGGGTGCAATGGGTTTGGTCTCTTCATGTGACTTTACCAGAAGATAAGTCGGTCTCACGAAAGATAAAAATAAATTATAATGATATTTCATAGTTAAAGAACTCAATAGGCGTTGCAGGCTCCTTTAGTTTAATGTCCAGAGAAAAGAATGTTTTGCCCTAAAATTTTGAAATATCGAACACGCCTAGATAAAAAAGTTTCCGTTTTGCTTTTGCGGTCATTCTATATCCTTAAAAAAGGCACGATGAATTTCATCACCTGAAAATTTAATTTGTAGTTATACTATATGGGTTTTCTTCACAAACGTTCTCTCTGCCGCAGATATGTGGCGTATGAGCCTGGACCGAGACGTCTTGCTGGGATCGTTGTGGGTTGTCTACACGTTACTCCTACATTAGCAGCAGGGCACAACGGTGGGAGGGGGGGGGGCATTGTTACCAAATCCCATCGCCGAAATTGTCGGAAATACAGCGTAATATTGACGAAGCAAATTTTTCGGAGGACTTTCTTGAGCATATTCTATGCTTTTATTCCATTCTTTCAGATTCATTGCAGATACATTGAGAAGTTTGCACGTGCTAACGAATAACGTAAAGGGCATTTTGGGAAGTTTGAGAGGGGATATGCCCTTGGTCTAGGGAAGGACAAGCCCTGCCACGAGCTGTCATTCAAATCTGCATTTGGACCATTAAGGAAGGTGTTAGCTTCAATAGATATAACGTGATATTACAAATATTTTTTCGACTCCGGGAGTTATTCTCATTCAACTAGACATTCTGTTGGTAAAAAGCCTTACTAACGTAGAATCCTTGTCGATTTAACCTAATGAGAATCTTCGCCTGGTCTGTATAATTCCAAGCCATCGCAGCTGCTTGTCTGTTTTTAAGAAAGGAATCACAAGCTCATCAAAATTGGTTATGTACAAATTTTGCTTCGTTAACCACAGTTGGAGTTTGATATCCCCAAAGTTGAGCGTGTGGACAAAAGTAGGACTTCCCTGTTTGAGAGTTGAAAATTCTTCTAGGTCGAACTGCGATGTTTATCTTAAATATTCATGAGTTTCATATCAATAATACACCAATATCCCTTTATCCTTCATGGTGAAGTGCTAAAGCTATTTACGAATCGGCTTCATCTTTATTCGTTCCAAACAAAATCAGGAAATTCGAAAGTCTGAGTAGAATAACTTAAAAAATAAGCGACAAAAATTTACGAAAAGCACCTAGGCTTGAAATGAGCCGTAAAATCGCTAGATTGATAGCAGCGGTGTTCAAATGTGACATTCAATCGTGTAAACTTCAACAAAGCGTCTCTCAATGGAATTGAACAATGAAGAACACGGGATTTATTTGAGGTAAGAGACTGCTTCATGAATCCATCTTTTGTCCTGATCGGTATCACGGACTGTTTGACTAATACTGGAAAGTTTAGGGGGAAAACCTGACTGTTATTGTTGTAAAAAAATATTACACTATATTAGTTGACCTCTCACCAACCAATGGCAAACATCTTCCTAAAGAAACTAATTTGAAGATTGGATCTGGTGCTAATATACTCTAATATACATTTATGGTTAGCATAAACAAAATAAGAACATGTACTCTAAAATTTCATAATAAAGACTAGGGCGCGAAATACCACGAAAATTTAATTAATGCTTAGCTTTCATTTTGCCCTGCAACCCTTTCTTAGAACATCTATTTACAAAATGCATGAAAATTGTTCATTCTTTGCTATAATTGCCTAGGAAATTTTGTATTTTTTGGTGTTCATATTTATTTTTCCTGTGTATCCTATAGTTGCCCAAATGTGAAAAAAACAGGATGCAAAATTCTGTGGTGTTTTTTACTCTACCTCTGTTGTTAACTGGTCTCATAGCAGGTAGGTAACTGGTAAAACCTTTAAGGTGACTATATCAGATTAACTTATCTTGCAGTTCGAATTTTGCATTTGCAATCCAATAATTCACGTCTTTTTAATCATACAGTGCTATTTCCGCGCCTCCGACTCGGCAATCTTTTTTCATGCCATTTTACGCCCAAGCAAAAATCCTGTTTCTGTCAAACAAGCCCCATGTTTTACATGTCAAGTAGAATTTGTGTGAACAAGTTGTAAGGTCACTTTTGACTTGGCTAAAATTAATCACCCACCGTTTCCACGGTAGGGGGGCAGTCTTCTTTAAACAAAAAAAAACCAAAAAAAACCAACAGAAACAACATTAGCAACAACATTTAATAGTCTGAAACAAGCAAGGCAATATCCCCGCAGGAACATGTTTTTGATTCTCTATTCAAACAAAATGGACCCGCCCACAGTTATTTGTTTCAAATGATATACACCAGAGTTTTAGTTTGCATAACTGAATAACTAAGTGCAGAGCGGTTCGCTAACAATGAACAGAGGAGAGAAAATACTATGGGTCTATTAAAAGTCATTACTTTTCACAATTGTTCTATGCTTAGCGTAGGTATATCGACGTATGGATGCACGCAGGAAGTTTTAAGAGCACGAGAGAAGCGAAAAGGTTGCTCGAGGAGAAGCCGGGAGCAACTCTAGCTTATTGTTAATGATGTTAGTCGTGTAGAGCTGGTACTTCAAGCTATAAAATAATGTTAAGATGACACTGAAATAAAACATATACGGTTATATTGTCATTCAGTCTACAATGGAAATATCATTCTTAATTACTCATCGGAATTCAATGCGAAAAAATAGCAAAAAAGTTGTGCAAATTTGGTCATGATTCTTTATCAGTCTATTCATTTCTGATCGAAACATCGAACAAAGGTTGAACGAATACAAAGGAAAAGAATATAACAGAAATGGCGCAATGAGAATTGACTAAAAGTCTAAAGTATGCTACAACTTTGAATTCTCCAAGTTATCACTCAAGATGCAACACGATGCATAGTAGGCTTATTAAATTTATTTACTCATCTGACTTATCAAAATTCTTTGATTACCGGATACCCAGACTACCTTCCGACATTATTGTATGCACATTTGTCCTCTTTCCTGGAACTTTTCTCGAGACAGCCCTATGAGGAAAGTGCGTCTTTTAAATTCCTCAATATAAATTATTGGGTATATCTCTTTACTCCCTTACTTTCAGGATCCAAAACTAAATATGAAGTTTATATATTCACTGGTAACAAGTTTGGAGCAGGAACAGATGCACGAGTATTTATCACTCTGTTTGGTGAAAAGGGCCATTCGAAAGAGATAGAGCTTGAAAGCAAAGGACGGAACGACTTCGAAAAAGGACAGTAAGTTGTACTAATGATAAACTCGTCTTGTAAGGATGAAGAGGGCAGGTCTCTATAGTAACTGTAGTGGTGCAGCGGTGGTGGGTTTTGCAAGATACAATTTGGTATAATCAACTGAGTTGATGATGTCAATTGGCCACTGTAAAGAGCTTCTAAAGCTAACTATTCGAGTGTTAGCCCGTTGTTAAAGCGAATATTTAAGGCCCATCTTCAGAAACTGAAGTCTCAGGGCAAGCAACTTTGGGTTTAATATTTAGTGGACCTTTAAAATTAAGTAGAAAAATAGGTGAATCTACAAGTACTTTAATTTTGACATTACAAATTTAGCTTCAAGTGCGTCAAGAAATGAGGATCTATAAACTTCTCAGATATCTCTATGTCAGTAGTATTGGTGGCTATTTTCAGGAAGGATAAATTTGTTATTGAAACCAAGTACCTGGGGAAACTAAATGCTATCAACATAAGACACGACAACAGCTGGTTTGGATCTGGATGGTATTTAGACAAGGTAAAATTACTTACAGGCATGTGTACCATCTAAGGAGACAAATTTAGAGCACCTTTGTTGAGAGCTGTAAAATTAAAAAACCAAAGTGGTCAAGAGGACCGATCAAAACAAAGCAAAATAAAGCAATGATTCATTGAGAAGTAAGGTAAAAAAAAAACCAACTGCTTTCAGCGCGGAAAAACTGATGCGAACGAGTGACCGTCGCAATTGGTTGGTTGAGGGAAGGGTGTTGAATTTGTACACAATAACAGGGCAAAAGGAATAAAGAGCACTGGAGTTTGAGATTACTTTTTGAAAAGCAAAATGTTTCTAAAGTTAAATTTTATTGCATCATTTTCAAAGAAAGAAGAGAGAGAGACCAATTGTATTGGTTCTTAGCACCACTTCATTCGGTAAATATCCTTCAATGTCTGCGTTTCCGGCCGGGATCTCCTTCTTTTAAAGCTGAAGCGTAATCGATCAAAAAGGAATTGGGGTTCCGACAGTCCACAATATGATAATACAACGACATAACGATGTTAAGGCCATTGCAAATTGATGAAAATCTATCGATCAAGATAGGATGCAAGTTATGCTAACAGTTGATTTTTGCTGCCCCTTACGTAAGATTCCATTCTTAATCTTTACATTTTTCATATTTCTCATTTTTCTTTGCGCCTACGTGCTTCTTCTTCAGCGTCCATCTTACCTCCGGAAATCGAAATGGCTTCTGTCGTATTTCAAAGTCGTATTATAACTGATGGAATTATTGCACACACTCCAATTGAATCAGTTTTTCTTATAATAATTAGAAATACCGTGCAAATTTAAGTTACTAAATATTTCTGTTTGGTTTTCTTGACAATCGCTGCAACTACGGCTCAATTTATCCTTGCGGGGAACTAAACTTTTTCTCGTTCAACGCTTTCAGTAAATTTTTAACGTCTTTTATCCTTCCATTCTTTACCAGGTGAAGATTAAAGGAAAGGATGGTTGTGTATATGAATTTGTAAGTCACAAGTGGTTAGCGTCTAACGTTGGAGATGGAAAGACATCTCGAGAGCTGAATGGCAAAAGCCGCTGCCCTACTTTAGATACTCCTACAAAAGGTACATGTCACAAAATATCGATTGGATGTCTACTGTCGGAAGAATGTATTGTCGCATTTTTGATAGCCCTCTCTAGCCATAGGGTGGAAAACATGCAGTGATAGAAGAGGGAAGGGTAAATTTCAAAATAATCGCAAAGAATACCAAATGATAAACTATAATGGCTCATTTTCAAAGTTTTAAATCCATGGCTAACTCCTCACGATGTTGTTAAATGCAAATTTAGATAAGCTGTCTCGTTTTCTTTAGCGGGATCATCAATGTATGGGTTAACTTTGTAACATTCTGTTGTTAATTGGTTCCAGACTGTCAAGAAGCTCTTGGTATAACCCGAGGACTGATAAAGGATTCCCAGTTTACAGCTTCTTCATCTTACGATGAACACCATCAACCTTACCATGCCCGTCTGAATAAAACCGTCAAAGGCTCCCGTGGTGGGTGGTGTTCGGCTTTTGCGGATGAGACAGAATTTCTTGAAATTGACTTGGGAAATAAGACGGGCATCTCAGGTAAGCTAATGTCGTCTCTTTTCCACTGTCGAGCTATAATGTTGTTGTTGTTGTTATTGCTTAGGGTTGTAAGGACAAGTCTTCCTGTTGTTTGTTGAGGACGTTGTGATCCTCAACTCACAAGGGAGACCTTCAAATACTGATCACTTATTTAAACAACGACCAAAAATTTGTATTATCGCTATGTACGAGCTCCGCTAATATTTGTGTTAATACGTTTTAAATAGAAATGATAGGGTTTCAACAAATTATTAGAAACTAGCTGTGTCATCCTTTAATTATCTATCGAAAGACTGCATATCTTTCTTCGTTTAGGTTTAGATTGAGCGTCCTTTTTAACAGATTTCATTCCACATTGGTAATTTCTACCATTCTGCTTGTACACTCATCCTTCCCTTAACCTTTCATATTCTCCAACGACATTTTTAGTATTTGTTAAGCCTTAAATTCTATGGAATTGATCTCTTCCCCGTTCATGTGTTACCTAACTCAGCCTGTTCTCAGGGAAGTGGTCTCTGCAAGAAAATCACTTTTACCTCCCTCTCAAAACAATCTTTATTCAAACAGGTATTTCAACGCAAGGTCAGTCCATGTTTGACAACTGGGTAACTAGGTATGCCATGTCATACAGTACTAACGGCAAGCATTGGCTAATGGTGACGGAGGGACGCAAAAGAGACAGCAGTCCCAGAGTGAGTGTAAATATAACACATTTCAGTTTGAAGACGTCATATATTGATGAACAAAAACTAAAGATGAGGAAACCTAAGCTTTAAAATTGTACCTATACTCTCTATGAAAGTTTTCGCTTCCCACTCTTCATTTAGCCGCTCATGGATAATGGCTCAGTAACCTTGCCTATGCAGGTCAAACAGTGAGGGTGACAATGGTAAATCTTTTGTTTATAGAGACTTTAGTTACATCATAGTCTAGTACAATCCTTAGTTCAAATCAATCTAATTGGGGACAGGAGCTTCGATAACAGCCAGCTACTAATGGTCTACTGCACCTGCAACACTACTTACCGTCGCCTGTTTAGTCCGAGAGCAGGTGCTTGTGTTTCCCTTACAGCACAGCTACCTCTAACATCATGGGCAATTGCTTATGGAAATAATAATTGACACCTCCGGTTAAAAATATGAATTATGTATTATGCAAAACGTACGCCAGGAAAATTGTTTGCGATAACCAAACCTACATACTTCTCTTCTTAGAAATAACTGTTTTTTTGTAACACTTTTTACAGAACTTTACAGGTAACAAGGACCGTGACTCAGTAGTAACTCACTGGTTTCCAAGGTTCATAGCTCGGTATGTTCGTGTTCTTCCTCTGACTTGGAGTGGTCTAACCAACTGCATGAGGATTGAACTCTTTGGCTGCAGAAATGGTAAATATGCTTCTTATCTAACGATGGGACAATGCATCTCACTCATCACCCTCTTTTGATCATGTGGTTAATTTTGCGCATCCAAAACGGGCTCGTCGTTACTGACTAAGAGTGAGGTCAGCATTTTTTATGGACCGATAGAAAGTCGAGGTTCTCATGGGACCAATACTGGGGGGGTGAGGATTTTGGGAAGATCGTATAGTTTTCAGGGGGGGAACGGAGGGGAGAGATCAGTCGTCGCCAATAGAGTATTAAGAGGGGGACGGTAGAAAACTGACTGCCAATGAGGAGGGAACATACGAATATTACAGAGCCTTATGGGGCAATCAGGTTAATTTTATCGTGACGCAACCAAAATCCTCAAGAGTTTGTAATCTCTTGAAGAAAAAGACATTGATTTTCCTCTTTTTGATTTCTCAAGTGACCGACGACATTTTATCGGATGAGGAGAAGAAGGAGAAAAACGCAAAGGGAAATAAAGAGAGCAAATCACAAGGCAAAAATGACGATAGTGATAGCATGAAGATGAAAGGTAATGACTTTTTTAGATAGTTTTTCAGATTGTATTTATGTGCTTGTCGGCTAGTTGTTTAGCCTTCACTATAAAGCCATTTAGAAGGCTCATAGAGACACAAATACTGTCAAATTAAATATAAACGTGTTTCCGTAATATGTAACTATCTAAGTAGCACACGATGTAAGGAGACAATTCTAACTGCACAAAACGCCAGAATGTTTTAATTATGTGAAATCTCTCGGTTAGACAAAAGAAAACTTGAAAACAGCAACGACCGCAAAAAATTTTCTTTTAAATTATCCAAAAACTGCAGTTCTGTCGCTAATATGTTGGTAGCTTTCCCCTGATTCTGGTGATAACTGCTTGCTTTTCAGGAAAACTGAGTGAGGAGGATCTTAGCATTATGTCCAGTAAGTACTAAATACTAACACTGGCGCATCTGCATTGGAAAATTACTGCTCGGTTATTTCAAAATTTTTGTTTGTCGACCGGATTAAACAAATTCGGGAAGAGAAAAGAAAAATCATAAGGCAGCGTCGCAAACGTCCACGATAATGAGTCTAATGAATGTCATGTTAGAAAGAAATTCATTTAGCAAAGAGGTAGATTGCCGGCTCATGTGTTGTCAGTTGAATCAAACAGATCAGAGCAAAAAATGGCCTTTACTTAATACAGTGAATGAAGGAATTTTCTCTTAGAGGTGTACCGAATGCTGTATCCATCCAGGGGTTACGCCAGCCAATAGCCAGCCAATAGCCTGAGCCGACAATATTTTTTTCACTCATTTGAAGTAGAGACCATGACTCTAACAAACCTTGAAACAAAATCTTAACTTTCTTCACTACATACTTTCATGTTCTTAAATATCAAAGACGAAGCAGGAATAAGTTTCGTAACGTTAAAAGACTAGGTTAGCTCGGTCCCAGATCTCTGAAAATGCCTACAACAAGTAAAAAAGCATCTTACGCCCTTGCTATCGGCCAATTTGCTGAATCTAATCGGTCCCATCCGGAACTATCATATGACTCGATAATTCATGTAACGAGAGCTTTATGGAGAGCTTTTGTTGTTTTTTACCACAACATCTTATGGAGTGGATTTTCCCAGTGATATTGGTTTTGAAATATCTTTTTTTTTTCAGCAATTGAAAAAGCAGTTGTCTACCTCCGTTTTGAATACATCTTAAAAGCCAACATCATAGTGGACGAATCTCAGTTTCATAATGACGCCAAAATTGTGAACTTCGCAAGAACAGCTCAGTTCAGTGAAAGATGTGGTAATGGCGTTGATCTCAACGGAGGAGACATATTACTAAATGGACCTTCTTTTCGGCAAAAACCACGTGTAGCCGTAACGATTGCAGCGTGGATAAAGTTATTCTCAGTCGAGGGAACAAACTCTTTGTTTGACACAATAGGTGGAGTTAACTCGACACACGATAATGGTCAGTACCATCTGGAAATCGACAACGGCTCAGTCAGATGGTTTCACAGGAATGAACGTAATCAGATAATTTTCAACGTTACGTCAGAAGTAATCGTTCCTTCTCACGTCTGGACGCATGTTGCGTGCACGTACGATGCTAAATTAGGCCAAGCAGATATCTACGTTAACGCCAAGTTTATTCTGAGAGGGGATGGCTCGGGAGAATTGTCACAAGATTGGCAAGAGAAAGCTGGGATCGGTGAACACAAAGGAGAGAGACTCTTCGACGGGCAAGTTGATGAATTTTATATGTCAAATGAAGCTTTGAGTCAGGAAGAAATTAAAAAATTGATGCAGAGATGTGAATTTGAAAAAGGTATGTACGACTACTTATTCGAGGAGAAAATAAACGTTTATTAAAGCTCGTCCAAGCCTGGTGTTGAATGCAAGTCCTCTTCTCGGAAGAAACAAAACAAGCATCACCACATCTATCCTCTATCTTTCATAGGTCTCGTTTGTACTCCCTAAGTAACAGTAAAGTCACTCGAAGAAACCCTGAAAAAATACAAATTAAAAAAGTATGATAAAAATAATGTTTTTCATCATTGTTAAAGAGTACAGCCTCTTTAAGACTCTTTCAGAAGAGAACCTCTTTAGCAACCTATTTCATACCGTCTTTGCAGAATGCTTTTCACCGCTAGGAATGGAAGACATGAAAATAAGAGACGGTCAAATTACTGCTTCCTCGACATATCATCTCCATAAGCCGTATTACGGCCGCTTGAATCTTGTTTCATTTTACGACGATCCTCAGAGGACAGCCTGGTGTGCAGATGAGGATGACAAAGAACCCTATCTGACAGTGGATCTCAGAGAAGAGAAAACGTTATCGGGCGTGGCTTTACAGGGTGCCTCTCTCGCTGACAATTACGTTACTAGCTTCAAACTCTGTTATAGTCAGAATGGAAGGACATTTCAGTGCGTAACTGAGGATTTAACGGGCGAAGTATGACCATGTTTTTATTTTGAAATTGCAAATTCGGAAATTTCATTGGAAATCTTAGGGGGAGTGATTGAAACTTGGTTGGAAGAGAGGGCAACTAAGAAAACAGAAATAACGTATGAAAAATAAATTCTTCCCACAGTGGTAACCGAAATGCTCGACAAGGAAATAGTAGGGTAGATTTATTTGCGCAAAAACTCAAAACTTTGCCGGTAAGATAAGTAGAGAATAATACATGAGTGCGCGTAGATATGGAATTTCTCTTCAAGTGTTCAACTCGATGGCTCACGAGTGAGTGCAGCGAACGAATGAGATGTCAAGTTGAACACGAGAAGAATAATTCCATATCTACAAGCAACCATATATTATTTTGTTTATCATATAAACACAACAGCCCTTTGCTGACAATGAATTGTCAACTTTATTAATGAATGAAAATCAAAGGATCTACAATCCCCGAATAAAAATCGTAAATTTCGTAAAACGGCTCAACATACAAAAGTGCGTTGGAACACTTCAAAAACAAACCATAGGCCTAATTTTCTATAAACAAAATGTTCAGTTATTGACTTGGTCCTTACCGACAAAAGAAATCTTTCAGATACACAGCCAAATCTTCCAGTTTTCGTTTTCGATCTCAGCCGCGAGAATGCCATTACAAAAGCCACTGAATACGTAACTTTCGGTTTTTCTTTCCGTATTTTTGGTTTTCTTCCCTTTCTAGGAAAGTTTGAATGTCACTGTCTGTAAAGGATAGGGAAAGGGGCCTGAGGGCTGTTACGATGACCAAGAGGATAACCAGAGTATCTAAGTCTAGGTCATGGTTGACTTGAGTTTCAATAATATTAAATTACTTTAAGACTTTCACATTTATATTTCTCTCATTTCCAAACTTATCCAATAGAGCTATCTGCTGTATCTGCTAATCGCTCTTTTTCTAGAGTGACATGACTTTTCTTCAAACCAGAAGCGTATGCATGTTGATATGGTATATATAACTATAGAGAAAATCCATAAAGTACTACTTACGCTTATTTAGCGCGTCAATTTGAATAACTAAGTTATCATTGTGTTTCATCGATCCAGTCATTGCAGGGAAGTGACGACAAAGATTCTGTCAAGATTCACTGGTTACAAAGATTTTTCGACGGACGTTATATACGTATCTACCCTCTGTCGTGGTACGGAGATCATATTTGTATGAGAGTTGAGTTATACGGCTGCATTCCAGGTAAATCTGTTAATTCATTACGTTTTCAAGGATTTGGTGCTGATAATGCGCATTACTTCTATAATATGAGATTTATATTCTGAAGTGTGAAGCAGTTGAAGATTCATTAGAACTGTTTCCAACCGCCTTAAGTCCGCTTTCTCCGGAGATGTTGCATCTCGGGTCGAATCGCGAACGTATGGCATTCTAAATTGATTACCTATTTTACCCGTAACTGAAGATTTTTCAGGTCCAGGGAGACGGTTTAGACGGACATGGACTGATGAAAATTAATTGTCACCTGATCTTTGATTTTTGCAGGATTGCTGTCTGATACAGTTCAAGCGGATTCTTCTGCCATAGAGATCGTAAATCCACTCACTTCGTGGTCAAATTTTGGCGATTGCAGTGTGAGTTGTGGAAAAGGAACGAAGAAAAGGGTTGTAAAATGCCAACCCAAAGGAAACGAACGAAATCAAAACTGTCCACCTGGAACAGAGTCTTACACGGAGAAAGTGCCATGTACCAGACCAAGCTGCCCAGGTAAATTCCAATTGTGAGAAATTTCCACAAATATACCCAACTCAGTAGACCAATGTTGCTCCAACACTATTAAATCATCGACTTCGTACTGAAAAGCGAAAAAATGTACAAAATCCTAATCTTTTTCTAATTTGGTGGCCAAGACACGCCTTACGAGCCACCTACGAGCCACCCTAATTTAGGATGTTGCTCACTATATTCCTACCTATCTTAATTCAACAGGTTTTTTTTTTCGTGGTCTATTCATCTTCCAGCCGCTGTCTTTAGCTTATGAACTATGTTACGTTTTTGCATATTAAACAGTGTTTCAGGAATGTGGTCGAAAATGCTTATTTTTTACAATAACCAATGCTCTTCTGATTTACTTGTTGTGGAAGAATGTTTTTCACCAATGGGAATGTCAAATGGTACCATCTTGGACCACGAGATCTCTGGTTCATCCACAATAGACAAGGCACACCCTGCCTTCTACGCACGCGTAATAACTGTTCGCAACGAACGTGTGTCCACAAGAGGGAGCTGGTGCGCAAAACTGGCTGATAAGGAGCAATTTCTAGAGATTGATCTCAAAAAGCCAAGAAAAGTCACAGGTCAGTCGTGGATGGCAACATTCCCGATAATTACAAAATTAATTGCAACACTTGTATACTGTTGCACTCTGTTATCACATATATTTCAGTGCACCTTTTATCAATCTCATTTTTGTCGTTTCTGATATGATTTGTTTCTTCCTGAGGTAGTCAAGACAAAAACAAATGTGAGAGATATAGCTTTTCCTCTTTATGTTTTTCTTGCTTGTAACGCATCAATTTTACTCGTTATGTATACTGCTTGTAAAAGTAAGTTTCTAGAAGTTTTTTAGAATGCTGACATGCATACACAAACGTTATATACAGTCATACCAAGGAAATTTCTAGAACAGCTGTTATGTTGTGTAGTTATTAAGTAATGCTACCAAACAGTTGTGTTCTAAGCTTCCGGAATGTTCTCGCATACTACTCTGTCGTGTAGAACTAGTTGTTGTTGTCGGGAGTGACCGACTGTCTGGAAATCTATACCGAGAGAGAGAGAGTTACTGAGGAAGGAGATTGTGAGATTGGAGAGAACTGTGAGATTGTGTCAGTGACGAGCTTCGTTGTTGTCCATAGTGGGCTTCAGTACGTTTATTAAGGATAATTACTGCATTGTCTATAGGAGTCGCTTCTTAATAAGAATATTACACGTAGTTTACTGAAGTAGTTGGATTTGCAGGAGTATAGTGTTCTTTCTGTCAGTTAAAGTAACACTCTTGTGTGTAAACTTCTCATGAATTATCATTTTCTCCTTTTGTTCAGGTATTGGAACACAAGGGCAAGTTAGTGACGACCGCTGGGTGGTGAGGTATGGAATCACTTACAGTGCAAACGGGTTAAAGTGGACAAACTACACAGAGGGCAACAGACAAAAGGTATCAAGTAACTGTTTCTCCTCCGCTTGTCTATTTGTGTGTTGAAGTAAAATATTATGTAATTTCGTCGATCGATACAAGTGGGGTTGCTCAAGGATAGCATTAACTGCAACTGCGATTTTAGGAAATGGAAAAATTTTGAGCAAATTTTGTAAAACCAAAATATCCGCCATCGCTTCTTTGTCCAGAAGATGTGGATGTAACTGATGTATTAAGGACATTCGAATTTTCTCCCTACTTCAAGTCTTTCTGTGTGCCACTGAGCTGAAAGGCTGGACTAAGCTAAGGTTATAACCGTACTTCGAAGAACCGATTAAATAAGGAGTGTGGAGAGGCGAGGAATTCCTCCCTTACCAAACTTTCAAAGAATCGTCTTCTTAATCAATTTAGCGGTAATCAAACTGTTGCGCAAGATATCTCGCAAATCCTGTTCAGGGGACAGCTACGTTTATCCGTTAATACCGGTTAGCGCTTTATTGCAATGTTTGTATGCTATGTAAATTGGTATCATACGCCTTTTATTTCTTATTTTTTTGTACGCTATCGAATATTTCGTAGGACTATTATCCAACGTTCTTTTACCAAGTAATGATTACGAGAAATTTCCACTCGGTATCACTGAATTTGTGTAGCTTGCTAAGCAAATTTAACGTGAATTGACCAGTTTTTTTATGGGTATTTGAGGTAAAACGGTTTAGAGTAAACTTTTCAAAATTATTTTTAACAAACATCGGTTGGCAACCTTTCAATTAACAACAGGAACAACAGCCATTCTATCAGAGGATGATGCAAAACGTTTTAAGTCCTTGAAATAACGAATTTTCTTAATTTCGAAGATTTTTGTCGGTAACGATGACAGCAAAACCATAGCAGTGCGTCACTTAAGACATCCAATCACAGCTCGTTACGTCAGAATACATCCATTGGCTTGGTATGGTGTACACATCTGCATGCGGGCGGAGCTTTATGGCTGTGATCACTTAGGTAGGTTTGTACTATGTTACATATGGATCTTTCTTCTTGCAATCTTATGACACTCATTGATGCCGTAAATTTCAAACAAAAAATGCAGTCCAGTGATAGAGAACTAATTTTGCGATTGTTTTGTTTGTTATAAGGTCAAAGCTTCAAACCAGTAGAAGTGACCGATAACAGTGAATCGTCCTTCAAAGTCACGGACGAAACTAGTGCCTCCAAAGCTAATTCAAAGCTTCACTTGAAAGCGAAAGTGTCAGCCAAAGATAAACCTGCCACCCTGAAAATGGGAGCAGCACCAGAGGAACACGCTGGCGGGAAAGCAACAATGTCTCCCACTTTAGTAATAAGCAAGTCCAGAGAAAACGCAGCTCAGTTCAATAAATACGCTCCACGTCCTTACCATGTTCAAGCACACATCTCCAATGAAGTAAATCAAAACAGTTATCATCCTGTCACAGGATTACTACCACAGCCTAACGCGCATCCAGAGCTTCCACTTTCCTTCAGCAATACTACTAAACAAGTAGACATCTTGAACAAGCAACAGGCCAACGATCTTCAAAGCAGCAAAACGAGCACCATTCACAATCATGGACAGTTTGATTGGGGTGCATTCAGCAAATGTAGCGTGACCTGTGGATCAGGGGTTAGAAAACGATACCGGAGGTGCAATGTTGAGCAATGCACGGCCCCGGGATTGGAGACTCAGGTTATCCCTTGCATAAGTGCCACTTGTTCGGGTATGTATCAATTCTCGTGGATAAGAATTGCCCACTTAAGAACAGTGAATTGAAAAAATAATTAGGGAGTTAAAAATTAGAGCTAGTAGAGTTAAAAAAAAAGGGGAAGATCTACAGAAAGGAATGGATCAAAGGGGAAAAAGAAGGATAGTTGAACAGCTGCCTGGCACAACGCATATCTTGTAATCGTCTCATGAATGGCTAAAATCTTTACTCGGCCCAGATCGCGGTCGATTGCTTTAGTTAGAAAAATGTTCCATTTTCAATGCATCAAATCAATTTTCTAAAGGTGCCCGACCTTAGGCATATCTTAATTTAACATTTCTCTGCGTATTTACCCAGCTGACGCTTTCAGTTGGTCTCCTTACTCGGCGTGCTCTGTAACGTGTGGTGTTGGCAAAAGAACTCGGTCCCGAATGTGTGATGGGGTGGCCTGTCCAAGATCAGGCCAAGAATTTGAGACCATCTCATGTTTTCGACCAGGGTGTCCAGGTAAGTTCTGATGTTCTTTTTTGTAATTTGTTCCACGCTCGTGACAATTAAAGCGATTAAAGCGTGCAATCCCGCGGAGGCAGAATGGGCTCATCTTGCCCTCGGGTAGCCAATTAATCAGAATCACTGGCACTGGAAGCGACATAATCAAAAGATTATACTGCGGGTACGAATGTCTCGAGGAAGTGACCTCACAAGTTGGGGTTCCATGTAGGCTAGCTGAAAAAAAGATTGCAACTCTAAGGTGAAATTATCATTCTAAAAACAGATGTTCAGTCCTTCTATGTTATCCTTTTAGTGTTACATTTAGGGTTCGAGAAGTGGGAAAACCAAGTGGTTCTGGACGAGTCCGACAAGGGTAATAACGCCTTCTTGGACAAGGGGGCGTTCATTGCTCCACACAGAGGAGTTTGTGGACACTATGCAAGCCTTGGAAAGTCAGGTAACATACTGCTGGAAGATAAAACCTTCAGAGGCAAACCGAGCACTGGCATCACCGTTGCATCTTGGGTAAACCTAGTGGGAACTTCTCTTGGATTTCATTCTATCTTTAGCACAGCTCGGGTGATGAACATTGGGCAAATCATGGGTAAGACATATTTCGTACTTTAGAGGCTCTGAAATTGAAGCATATCATTATAAATATAGCGCGGGCAAACTATTTAAGCGACTTAACACAGGTGCCCTAAGTAATCCCATTGGCTCTCAAAGGCGATGCCCATATAAACAATTTAATCTGTGAGTTCACTCCCTACGCTTGGCTTAGTCTTTCTGTTTTAAGTTCATTCCTTCAGTTGCGCAATGACACATCAAGAAACAAAGCCGTCTGTTTCTTTTTCCCAGGCAAGCCTTGACTTGATTACTCTTGCCCAAATAATTTCTAACGCGGACGTTACAAAGTCCCGGTGAAAAAGTGACAATCCATCAAATACTTTACAAGTGAAAGCGTTAATAACCAATCAAAGAAGAGAATTCTATTTAATAAAAAAATAACGCTACTCTTGCCCCTGCCATTGCAATTAATTGTTACAGAGGTAATGAGGCATACAGCAGAGGAGACGCCCGATGTAAAGTCTGAATACTTAAAAAGGTATTTCTCGACTTATTTTTCCATTTATTTTGGACAGGAGGATATCATTTTGAAATTGATGACGGTAAGGTTCGCTGGTTTCATCGAAACCGCTTTCAGAATCCAGTGTTCAGTGTTATCACTGATAACATTGTCAAGCCTGATGTTTGGACACATTTGATTGGCTCCTACAACAGCACCTCTGGAGAAGCCAAGGTATCATTATTTTTCATTCATTCAAAGTTTTCTAGCGAAATTTTATTACCACAAGCCTTGATCCTTGATCCAACGAAAGCATGATTTAATAAATATCCGATATGTATATTTTCCACAGGTGTACGTGAACGGCGCTTTGCGTGGTTCCTCGCGAGGTTATGGGGCTCTTGACGACTTTTGGGGTTACAAAGCATGTCTAGGGAGCTTTGACCTTGGAGGAAGATATCTTCAAGGCTTTGTCGACGATTTTTACATATTCAATTATGCAGTAGAACCTGGTCAGATCAAAGACCTTCTGCGAATCAAATGCCCTGAAAGAGCAGTAAGCTGACCAAAACTTCGTTGAGTTCATGCGGGCGAAAGATGGTCGAGTGCAAGGCAAATGGTGCACGAGCTAGCGAAAAAATTCGCTCCTAATGACATCTTGCCACTCGATACTAACGTTCCAAACATTATAAACGGCTTTCTAAGTCATATCCGCGAGACAAAAGAAACTAGCAAGATTTACAAAAATACTCCGACAGAGATGGATGGAAGTTCCGCGGAACACTTTTATAAAATAAATCTATAGCAAATTTGGAAGAATACCTCGCTAAAGTCGTGTTTTTATTTCATAGTTAGTCACCTCCAGCTTAGCAGAGAAAGCGAACTAATGAACGAATGAATCGACATACCGGGTATATGCGAAAACTTCATGACACGCCTCTTAGATCAACTTACCATAATAAATTCCACTTTAGCAGCTGACGTTTATGATTAAGTTCAAACAGTTCAAAACGCGAGGCGCTTTCCTCTTTGAAATAATAAAAATATAAAAAATTTCATGTGTTCGCTATACATTTTTTTACTGCTCAGTATCGTCAGAGGAGCTGCCTGATTTGTGTAACCGATGGCTAAATTCCCTACTGAGGACTATGTCGACTTAAAAATCATGAGAGAGACTAAAATGGGAGTCCATTGCCAGGTCTCCAGACGATACAGCCCCGGGTGATCTTTCAGATGTAATACTCTGTAGAAAACGAAATGGAGAATTTGCCGTATAAGGGGCACTTGACTGGCTTTCAACGTCGCACCAGCCAGCGTTCGAACCGCCGCAGTGGCCCCGTGTCTCAACCCAGCCAGTCGATGGGGATGATAAAGGCTCCATTTCAAACGACTTGGAATCTAAACTGCTATGGTCTAAAATACAATGGGGACCCTCACTAGAACTTGAATCAGAGTACCTTTTTGGGTTTCTTCTTGATGAAGCTGGAAGCTCGCTGTGAGATGATACATCCCGTGATAGTTTTGAACGACATCGTGTGACGGAAGAGGACGTCGGTTTAATTTCAATTCTATATGAACTTACTTGAAGATCGCCAGGGTAGCAGAGTGCTGTAACTCTCACCACACTGAGGCTAATCTGCAACAGAGTCTGTAGTTGTGGAAGGAATCGGAGAGTCAAGAAACGTGTCTCTGCTCATTGAGTTGGCCGAGAAGAGCGCTTTGTCATTTCCCTCTACTACTGAAAATTTCACTTGAGCATTTTAACCGATGTCTTTATCAGTTGCCGCTGAAAGATTAATCAAGACCATCATTAACCCTTTACACACTAACATCAGTATGCATTTTCTCCACACTGTTCTCTATACATTTCCTAAGGTGCGGACAAGGAGAATTTGTTTAACAATCAAGTTTCTTAAGTTGACGATTGCTTTATTCTCGTGACCTGGATGTTTGATTCAGGTGTGATGTTGTGAGGAGAACTCACTCTCAGGAGTCAAAGGGTTGAACACTAACTCAAACTCAAATAATCAGTTCTAATCAAAATATGAAGAAAATCTTACGGACAACCAGTACCCTAACAGAGGAACTGCAACCTTCACTTTCTCAGGAGGAATCTTTAATCCATCCTTCCTTAAAATATTACAAATTTAGTTCTGTTTGTTGAATCTGACTAAAAATGACCACATTTTCATCTTTAAAGGCGTATTTCATGATCATTGGGCTCACTGTCAGTCACTGAGTAGCTACGCACCTACCCCTCCCCTAACCCTAACTTTGTTATCATTTGACTGTTGTTGGGTTAAGGGAGAGGTGGGTGCCGAGTTGCTCAGATACTGACATTGATCTGATCATTGTATGAGAGATTCTCTTCATTTTGGAAAATCATCAGTAATGACGTGGGTAAGATTGATCGCAGAGCTCATGTGGAGATATCATAACAGAATAAAAATAAATTATGATCACGATTATTATGTACAGATACACGGCTCTTCTAAGTTTCCTTTAGTGCGCTTTCTTCGTAAAATGTTCTGCTTTCCAGGCCCTTTGATAGCAAGCGGATCGGTTATAAAAAGGTCAGCTTGAATTGGTACCAAAATTATTTAATGGAACTTTTCCGCTACTCAAGTTGTGAATCATCGCAGCAATCTGTGCCTGTCGATCCAGCTCAGACTGTAATTCCTTGACAGTTGCTTCTCGCTTCTTTATCACGTCTTCGTGTTGGCGGCAGATCAGTTCCAGCGACGAGAGCTGTGAACATGCAAACGTATAAAAAGAAAGCAATTAGCTGAGATCCATCGCCTTAAACACGTTTTTATCTTCATTTTAACATCTGGTTATCCCCAATTTTAAAGAAGATAAATCGATACCAACCTTATGCGATAACTCTTTCCTTTCCTTCTCGGCTTTGGCTAAATTACTTTTCAGTGAGTCGTTTTTCTCCTGTAGATCTTCGATATTCTTTTCGCGTTGTTTCGTTTCTTCCTCTTGTTTCTGTAGAGTTTTCCGGAGCTCTACAAAAGAGACAAGCTTTCTATTTCGAACGGGTTTTGGATATCAAACTGGCGCGAAATGCTGGACGAGGTTTTGTGTTGTTTTAAGTAGCTATTGCCAAAAATAAATATTACTAAAATAAATATTACGATCAACGAATTGTGACTCGAGACAATTTAACAACAGTGCTCAGAAGCCCCTAGTGACGTAAAAATCGACTACTCCATCACGTGGGGGTTCAGAGTTCAACGGCGATCCAGAGCTCTGGGGACGTCTTTACGAATCCGGTTCTCGAATATCATCGTGTTTCACTGAAAACGGTAAAGAATATTTTAGAGACCCACAGAACTTTACCTTGGCATTTCAAGTCCTTTTCTTTGAGTTGCTGAGCAATTTTCTTCCTCTCCTGTTCAAGTTCTTGAAGTTGTCTAGATGTGCTGGGTAGAAAAACACAGAACATCATCACAAGGTGTTTCCTTGTAATTTACGACCAGAACTAGACCAGCGAATTGTGTGAATATTGTTACCAGTCATGTTGACTCTTAAGATTATCGTTGTGTCGCCTCAACATCTCGTTTAAGTCAGACAGCGCTTTGTGTTCGTCTTGAGCCGCCATAAGACTACGCTGGCTTGTTTCGAGTCTGTAGAGAGGTAAAAAAAAAAATACAGTTTGATCAGGGCCAAGAATGCGGAATTGATAATATTAAGACGCTCATAAGATTGTGACTGCCAAAACAATCTAAATTTGACTTATTTGATTTCTGTATTGCAATGGACTTTCTCTTTTGGCGACACCTTCGTACAAGGAACACCAACAGGAAGTAACACATCGATACAAGGGCCGATTTTTTAAGTCCCAGGAGAATCCCCTGACATGTGATTCCACTAGTTATCAATTTCAACAACAAACAGTACAGCGCAGAAGCTATTTTTCATCGCATTGTTATAATTCTGATACTGGTACGAGTAAAGAATTAAACATGAACGACCATAGACGGGTAAACGTAGACTATTTGGGCTCTCACCGGACCAGTGGGGCTGAGATAACGAAGGTTCCTGTTCCTGGCCTTACCCTTACCTTTTGCCACACCATGCAGGGCTTCGCTCATAAGACTAACCATTAAACCAACCTTTGTGACTGCTCAGCAAAAGCAATCTTGAGTTGCTCATGCTCCTCTGCGACCACTTTCAAGTTCTCATTGTGTCTCATCATGACTTCCATCTGAAAGAAATCCGAAAAAAATAAATTGATCATAAAAGCGTTAAAAACATTGCGAAAGATTCATGGATAGACTGCTATTTCATCACGGGCTTGAAAATGGGGTAAAGAATGTCATTGTAAAGAGAATAGGAGAAACATACCAAAAGAAAGCTTTGGAAAAAGGTCAACTTTCACACTTCCTAATTTGTAATAGCGCGCACTTTTTCTCTCTTGGAAAAGTGTGATGTTTATGAATTTATAAAGCATCTTAAAGCATTATGTCACTGCGCCTTTGAGGAATGACTTGCGTCGACGAAAAACAAACTATATGTAAATGTTGGACATAAGAAAATCTGGACAGAAAAACATACCTCTTTTGTCGCCGACTTCTGAGCCTGAAGAAGTTCGTTTATCTGCAAATATATGCGAGTATTTCCTAATTTTTTGTTGAGAAAAAAAGGCAAGGCACACTACTTTTCGACTAATCATCTTGTTTCCCTAATACTAATTACTCGAGAGCTAATTTTCTAGTTTATAGACTTTATCTCACCACACATGCATTACCTGCTCTGCTTGCTGCTCGGCTTTCTTTTCTGTCGTCTGCAAGAGCTGCATCAGTTTCGCACACTACAAGAGATGAAGCCAAACGAGAAGGGTCGTGAAAACCGGTCTTATATCGACTATTATTAAAAACTGGATCATTGGATAATGCAATTCAGGAAGTTTTATTGGCTTAGACACCATGGGTTATGAGCCATTATACCATGCGCGCGCAGGACTTGACCGTTTCTTTATAGACATACGACATGTCATGAAGACGAGTTGAACTGGAAGTGTTTTGGTACACTGTAACATTCCGTTAATTCTTTCAAAATAAGTTAGGAAGATTTGTTTTTATTTTGAGGCGCTTTTAATTAAACAATTATTCCACTCGCGCTTGTTGGCTATGAGATCATTATAGCCAACGAATCCCTACGGATCTCATTGGCTATATCTATCAGCTCATATCCAACGCGCGCTCGTGGATTAATTGTTTAATCATAACCATTACAATTTCCTCAAACGTGATTGGTGCATTAGCTGCCCTATTTTTCACTACTCATTCAGTACAGCTGTAATTGGACAGTTGGCTGTAATCGGAAGTCGCCAATCATACTAAGTCCACTCAGCGAAATCCAACAATCACATAATTAATCGCAATAATCATAGCAACAACCACTTATCCAGCAAAAAATTGAGGAATTTCCAAAAAGGAGAAATTTTTTACTTTAGACATTGTCTCTATTGTCTCTACCGGAGATATTTGACCTAAATGTATTTGTTGTTTTCGGAAATTGTAACGGTTATGATTAATTGGTAACAGGACTTCTTGTCGTTCAATTCTCTCTGTAATCATACAAACAGAACTGTAATTAACAAATTGCACACCCGCTTCGCGGTCGTCTAATTTTGTTGATCACTCGTATGATTACAGACCGAATTGGACTCCACTCGGTCCTAATACCATTATTAACATTGAGAGCGACCGATTATTACAGCGAATGAGAACATCGTCATACCTCAGCTTCCGACTGAGCCCTCCGACACCGGTACTGTGAAATGAGACGATCAGCTTGAGCCAACGCGAGAGCCTTTGCTTCCAACAGATCTTGAAGATGACTTTCCTTTGTCTAAAATGAACATTGAAAGGCATACTTCATCCACCTGATGTTCTAACGAGTTAAGCCGAAAAAGAATTATGATTGAGAATGAAAACGAGAATTTCACACTAACCACGAAGGCGGCCATTTTTGCCTCGTATATGTCCATGATTTCAGAAGCGTGAGGATCCGGTTTTATCTACCAAAAAAATGACGAAGTATCGGGATAGCGTTATAACAGAGGGAAAAACCCGAATGTTATAGCTGCCAATACGATAGAGAATTTCAACAAACATTCAAAAACAAAACAAATAGCGCACACGGAGAAACTGGAACATCCTTTCTGGATATCTCCATTTCAGAGGCACAAACTTTTCTCATGACGGGATAAATGGCTCCTCATATATAACCTCTGTATGAGAACAGATATTAGTTTAAGAGACACTTTCCCTTGTCGCAAGGTTGTTCCCCAAAAAGAAGTTCCACTGCATCCTTTTCATGGATCACGAAACATTAACATGCTAAACCTAAGGAAGTATATATGTATTATGTGTATACCATGAGGCAGTTCGGTGCAGGAGTCAATGTTGTGCCAAAGAAGAGTTAAAGAGAAAAACGAGAAAACAAGCAAGGAGACCTCTAGTCCTGATTTCATCTTCTCAATCAACGACTCGATGTTTGCATCACGATTTGCATTCTTCACTGGAGCACTTATCTGAACAGGAGCGTGGTCCAGGCCTGCTGAACGTAAGCTGGTGGAGTTGCGGCTATTGTTGATGGAAACCTGGTGCCGAGGAGACGAAGGCGGACTCAAGTCTGTTTCGATGGGTCGTCTTAAAAGTGTCATCTCTTCCTCACGGGCCGCGTTATTTGAGGCGATCAAATCACCTAGCCTGAAATAAATGAACATCGAATATTTTATAGCTGATTGTGAATCCTCACGCCAATAGAAAGATATGGCATTGTAGAGGATGCTTAATATTAAACGAACTCACCATATGGCTTGGAAATCTGGCAGGCTGTTAGCATCGCACAGAATCCGGAGAGCTTTTTGAACGCTGTCACGTGAATCACTACTCATCGCGCGCGCCAAGAATGGCACTAACCTCTGGTCTTGTAATGCGGAAGCAAGCTGTTCCTATAGAGAAATAAAGCCCGTCTGCAGAGTGAGCGCAAAAAAATTTTCCTCTAACTATCGTGCCTAAGAAATAATTTACAAACTCGAAGTGCCTTTCTTGTAAACAAACCAAAATTGAGTTTGAAAAATAAATTATTTACGGTATGACAAAAGGAAAGGCTTGTACCTTGAGTCCTGTTATATCATTCTTCAGCTTACACAGCAAGTCTAACATCTGAAGCACAAGGTTTACGCCTTCCTGGCTGCAATGAATAACGCTATCAGCAGGCGCACATTTGACAGCTATATTGCGCATGCACTGCTTTAGAATGATTCACCTTCAGATATAGAATCAGGCTTCTGGAAAGTGTCAGGTTCAATAGGCTTTGACACACTGCTTAGTACAAAGCTTCTCTTGGGAACTTCTCACGAAACAAGAAGAATCATTCGGGAACGTCCTTTTTTTTCCTCCAACAAAACAAGAGGCTAACTAAGTAAAGATGAGGAAGTTTCTCTTTAGCAATAATTAAGGAATTTTGGTATGACTTGTTTAGTATTCTATAAGCGAACTAAACTAGGGTTAGTGCTGCTTTACGGCTTTGCAAACAGGTGTACCGTTTAGTTTGGCTGCTTTTAGCCATTGTGCATGTAACGACTCTTAACAATGCCGAAACACAACACAGCAGCTCTTGCGAGTGTTCACTGGCAAGCAATAATTTTACCGTTCATGTTTAGCAGAGAACATCCTGCCACTGTAACATTGTAACATACCTCCAAGGTAACGCTAAGGTGCTTCTTGTTCCAATACTGTTGTGCTGATATTGATATTCCAATAATTTCCACCAGTACTCGAGCTTTACATGTCCTAAAACAATACCCTTCAAAGAATCCTCAAAACAAAGAAGTTTGAATAGTTAAGGGGAGTAACAACTGGTGGACAGTGCACCATGATATGAAGAAGTAAGTTACTCGTCATGTCACAACAATGGGCCAAGAAAAAAAAAGTCCCTATGAGGAATCGAACCCCAGACCTTTGGATTCTGCACTGCGATGCTTTACCTTGAAGCAACAAGGAATATTGCTACTACCCGCTAGACGGTATGACAGTCCATCACAAGACACCCCAGCAGTATTCTGTCAGTCTTCCTGACAGTTTGCTAGAAACCAGTCATAGATGATGCTTGTTAGGGAAAGAATACAACACAATGGCTCTAACAGAGCTCACACTCCCATCTTTCAACTAGGAGTTATGTAGTAACTACCCAGGAAACTACTTAATCCCCCATATCTTTGAAATGGGAGATGAAAAACCATAAATACAATACAATTCTCACAGCAATACAGTTGTCATATAGTTTCCATACTGTGAATATGGAATAACCTGAACAGTATCAAGAAGGATATCATTAAGAACTTCCATGGCCTTGTTGATCTGTGCACATGTTTGTTTGAGTAAGGAGCCATCAATTTCCGTGGGTGGTACAAGTAGCTGAGTCAGAACAGAAACAAGATCAGATGTGGGAGGAGAGAGCTGATCCAGAAGACCACCATCAACAAGTTCCTGGAGAGGAAAGTAGAGATAACAAATGGACATAATCATGAATTAAAAGGTAACTGATGGCTATGAAGTCAGTTTTTTTAAATACTCTCTAAATGCTTCAGGTAAAACAGTCACAAGGTGCTTCAAATGCCTCTTTGTGCATTTTTTCACTCAAAAAGCTTTCCAAAATGCAGCTTTATGAGTCATTCGCCAAAACAAAACAACAACTCAAAAGTATAAGTCTTCATAAGTCAAATTTACTCCCAGAATTCAGTATATGGTTACTGCTGCTTATATTTATTTAGGAGTATTTTTGCTTCATGGCATTTTTGCTCTAAGATTTCCCATGGGACTGTAATAGATGAAACCATGAAATGTTTCTTGACCAAAATTTAATGCACTCAGAAAATTCATGTTTAAAAATATCTAATACCAATGTTTAATTTCGTACCCTTAAAACTTACTACACATTTTTGCCAAACAAATTTTAAGTTTGCAGAACATTTCCAACCATTTTTGACAATAACTTCATCAAGCAGTGGAGATTTCCTTCTGATGCATTTAGAAGTTGTAACAACTATTTTGTACCTCATAAATCTCTTTGATAAAATCAAGAGCCTTCAGGGACACAGTTGAGTGGGTGTCAACTGACTGACCGGCCCAGTATAAGACAACATCATATGCACTGTTCACATTTGGGTCCTTTGGTTTGGAGCTTGCAGGTGAAAACAATGCTCTGCACACAAGACATCGTAAACCAGTAACTGAGCAGAATGTCAACAGCAGCTCAAATACCTTTCAAGAAATAAGCAAACATTATGTGGTAAATTAAAAGTTCTGGGAGCACCTCTATCAAGCTGAACCAAGCTCCTCAAAAAACTCTCCGAAATTACAAAATAATTCAAAGAACATCTGAAAAATGGGACAAGACATAATTCTATTACCATTCATAATACATTGAATATTTTACTTGCGCATGATTGGTCTCATTGCATCACAGGACTGAATATGTCCTAGCTAAAATTGTTGAATACCCTCCTTAAACTTTTCTGTATGATAGTGCTAATACCCTGGATTTTCTTTCCAATATGAACCCTCAATACTCTCAGCTGCACATGAGGAGAACATTTTTATTTCAGTTGTCTCTTAGCCAGCAGAAGACACCCTTAAATTCACTCTTGAGATACATAGTTACATGTACATGTACACATTCATACAACAACCTCTACAGCAAATAAAAGCACATTGTTACAAATATCTACAATTATAATTTTAATGCCTAAAATGGACGACCTTAACTGCCTCATCTGCATGGTTTAAGTGTAGCAAAGCCAGAATCTGCTCCAGGTAAAAAGCCAAATGTTCATGTCTGAAACCAAATAAGTTGTGGAATCATTATACACATTAATTCATACATTTCATTCCATAGTATACCAATGTGTCCTTTTACAGGTTAAAACTGTATGCACTTTCCAGGAGTTACAATGAATAGTGCACATATTTGCAAGGGGTTTCAAAAAAACCTTTTTCATAACAAGTTGCTTAAGGTGGGAATGAAGCCTGTTGTCTAAAAGGGCCATAAAAATCGTATTGTTTATAACATATGAACAGATGGTACTAAAAGTCTTGAGAAGGCCCTCTGAGTGGCAATGGGCTTCATCAAGTCCTCAATTAAGCCAACTGCAATAGAGTTAGTGATTATGAAGAAATAAATCAGGGCTGTCAATAAGTTTGAAGGTAGACAGCAAATGAGAATGTTGAGCCATGTTGTTTTGTTGGATTATGCAAAAGACTTGGCACTATCCAGTTAAAATATCCCAAGAGTCCATGAAGATCCCATGCACCTTCCAGAGAATTTGAAATAAACATGGAACTGATTTACACTTTCTTATCACTACAAAATCATGCATTCTGCAATTTTGCTTAAAACTGGGAAATAGCTGCTGTAGAAATTTCTTCAATCCCCATGGTATTTTGATAATTGTTCAATTTTATTGGCAGCAATGTTAAAATGAAATAAAAGAAGCAAAGCTGGCTAAAGGTAGCACAATAGGCAGAGGTTTTGGCCAGCTACCAGCTCCTATAGACAGCTTTGCAAACCTTATGTTTCACTATGATGAACCTTTAAACAAATTAAGGATCCATACATTAGATGAACTTACATGAGGAGAGATTGCTGAATTTTAGGGCTGGCAAGTAAATCAACAAACAGATCCACTGAGGAACGTCTTGTTGTTGAGCCCTCACCATTTATCAAAAATGTGAAAACCAGCTGAAAGGTCTGGTGAATATTCTTGGAATTGAACAGCTAGTTGATATAAAGAAAAGTGAATGATCATGGTGGTACTTAAACTACTACATAGTAAGAAGAAACTGTATTTAATAAATAGATCTTCAGTGACATCTCTGATTAAATAATCTCACCTAAACATGGGGGGTTGGTCAGTAGGATTTAAGACAGAATTTTGAAGCTTTTAATTGAGATCTTTAACACCCCTCCCTTCTGCCCCCAGCTAGTTGAGATGTGGCAATGTAAACATGGAAAAAGTCTACTAATGCCAACACACTGTTTATGAATTCTCACTTTTTCAAACCTATTGACAAATGAGATTGGATTTAGCAGTCCTCAATTCATTAGGGTACAATGCTTTCAGTTTCAAAATGATCTAAAAGTTAAATATTAAGCTTAATTTTATCTACACAAGAGATTTACCTTCTCTCCTAGCTGCTCATGAAGTGATAAGCTTGTTAAAATGGATAATGCAAACACAATTACTGTCAGGTTACTATGAGACAGAAAGGCTATTAGAGTCCGGTAGAGTGATTTTATGTTCTCCTGCAATAACAAAAGTAGCCTCTGGATCAGTAAACCAAATCAGTGTTTCAAAGTTACCACAAGACTCAAAAAATTTGAGAATACCAAAAATATTCAGAGCATGTGATTGTGTTTTAGGGACAAAACAACCAGGTGTTCAGAAAATTTAAACCCAAACAGCAATAGGTATCAAGCTGAGGTTAAGAAAGTTGCTTGCGTATTTGCCATGATTATTTTTATTGGTCATTTTGGTTAATAGAAATTGACCTGTCAGAATCAAACCAAAATGTTCATAAATTTCTGAGTTTGTAGGTAAACTTTATTGTTATTATAAATGATATGCAAGTTAAACTCACAAGTAGCTTTAATGCTGAGCAATAATCAAATCTGAAAACTTTATTTTTGAGTATCAGATGGCTAGGTAATTACAATCTTGAAAAGAAAGTACAGTGCAAAATATTGCAGAGTTTCATATACAAACTGTTCTGTAAATATATGCAATTATTACACATGAAAATGAAAATTAGACTTGAAAGGGATAACTTTGCTCACCAGTGCCTTGACATGGGCTTGGATTGGCAGATTATGTCGGCATAAGTTTGCCAACAGACCTAAACATGGTATAGTAAGGTCTGACTCTTGCATCTGTCTACGTTGAGTGAAAAGGTAGAAAAGATTAAGATTATCATGAATAAAGTAGAATTCTATACTTATTTTATAACAGATAGACAGATGGACAGACAAACTGAAAGATGAACAAACACACAGCTGGAGCAACAGTTCTAAAGACAGACAGCAACTAGCATAATTTAAGTGAACAAAAATTATAACAACTCAGACAAAGTTCTGCAATCTTTGTTCAATTACATTAATACCACAACAAATGCTTGCTGCTTCCTTCAATGCCCAAACTATCATTTTTATGTTTCCCTTGAACTGTTTTCTCCTTCCTCTTCTCTTCTCTTAATAACAATCATGACAAATAATAAACTTTGCTTATTAAACTTCCCAAATGTTTCATCAACATAATACTATTATCAGCCACAGTAATTTTATGACAGCAGCATTGTCATCATATTTAACAGCAATAGATGCTTTAATTCATCATGCTGTACATAATATTTTCAATTTATATTCAGTTAAACATAATAGAAATCCACATGTACCTACATGTTATTCACTAGATATCTGATCAGTTCACCAATGTATCCACTTGGTGTAGTGAATTTACAGCCATATGTGACTCTTTCCAGAAGTTGCAGACACTTTGAATTTAAAACAACAGAAATGGTAAATATTTGTACATGATTGTACCACTGAATTCACAGAATTTTTCCTACACTAGAATGGCTACATCTCTAAATTCCAAATTATCAAAAAGATCTGTCTTTAGCAAACCTCTGCCCAATAAGATTCCTTTGCAGACGAGACAAAACTGCCAGGGTAACATACAGCACCTCTCATATGAATTGCAGCATTTCATGCTTGTGATACATACATGCAATTCCCACATTTTACACAGGCAAAACATGCACAATATGTCTAACTATGTACAAATGCATATGGTAGAAAATGCATGCAAGTAATCATGACATGCATGTAAATGCAGCAAAACATGCACAGTGTAACTATACACAAATGCATGATTGTGATATGCATGTAAATAACATGCAATCACATACAAGCAAGTGAAACTCCCATATTGTACACAAGCAGAACATGCACATTGTATGCAACTTAAGCATAAATGGATATGGTAAAAATGCATGCAAGTGATTGTGAAATGCATGTAAAATTTAATCACATACATTAAAATCAGTCCACTAAAACTCATTAAATGCATACACTAAGATAATAGTAATAAGATAAACTAACCCCAACTTTGAGAAAGTAAACATGAAGGGTACCTGTAAAATCATTTTGCCATTTGATGCTAGGTGATGTTTATGAAGTAGAGCTGCTAATGTAGAGGTCAGGTGATATGTGGAATGAAGAGTTTCTCTTGTGCTTCTATCATTTGCTGATTGAGTAAGATGGGAAGTTATCAGCTAGTTGCAATGCAAACTAATACTTTGAATTCATGACTTCCAGATTAAACTCACGTCTCTAATGTTCTGATACTTATTTCATTCAACATCTTATTTGACCCTATGGCTTTTAAAACAAAAAGTTGTAGGACATTTTATGTTTAGTTTCACAAAGGCTACATTTGGTTTGCAAATTAAGACTGTATAATGCACTACCAAAATAGACCTTTCCAATGAAATCCCCTTTTATTGATACTCTAGGAATCAGTGAATGTAGTTTACAATGTACATGTTCAGTGAATTTGTGATTCAACAGGACCAATGCCCTAAACCCTTCAAAGATTTCAGTGGATTTCTCCACAAAAATAATATATATATATAAATTGAATAACAATAACATACTTCAAGCCAGATATGTGCTGTAGCTCTAAAATTTAAGCACAAGCATGCACAAGTTCTGAACTCATACCTCGTTAGCTTACAAATAAAAAGAAGATAACTGGTCAACAAATACTACATGGATTTTAAGCTTTTACATGTGCTTGTGCTGAAATTGTGAAGCTCCCCCTTTGAAATCACTTACCAAGATTAAACAATAATGCCATAGCCTTGGTATGTAGACTTGGTTTCACACTGCTTTCACTCAATAGACCCACCAGTGAAGAGAGACATTCTGCAGGAAGAAGCTCTTTGGCATTAAATCCACGAAGAGGTTTCCCAGCTGAGGTGATTCCAATTAAAACCTGATATAAAAAAGAAACACAAATAGAAATTTGAGTCAATTGGCAAAAAGTACAAACATCTAAAACAGGATTTCTCACATTTTTTATCCAGCTGCATGAGTGCAATGTGGGATAAGAATCCAACTGTAGAATTTTTTAACAGTAATTTACACCTAGTCAGCTTAATGTATCTGCAGTTAGCCACTAGTATACATTTAACACGTAACCCTTCACACCCTAACATCAGTATGCACATCCTACAAACTGTTCTCTATACATTCTTAAGGTGCTGACGAGGAGAATTTGTTTAGAAATCAATTTCCGTTGTTCTTGTGACCTTAGTGTTTGATTCAGGGGTGATATTGTAAGGAGAAATTAGATACTTGTCATTCAAAGGAGTTTTAACCCTTTAAAAAGGGTTAAAGTTAGAGATAAAGATCAGCTGAAATTACGCCTGGCATAAACTTTAAAATATTCGCTTATTTGTCTTCTTTTCAATTTTTTACCACAAATTGAAGGCTATCTTATCCAATATGGTTCCTTGGCCCCAGATAATAACAGATCACCCAAACACCCAACCCAAACTGTTTTATTGTTTAATCACGACTATGACTCTATGCATGTATGCTGAGAAGCTCTTAAAAGAAACTTTTAAAACCTGGAGATCAGTATCGTAACAAAACTGTCGAATTTCTAAAGATTGTCATGTATATACAGCTAGACCACTAAAACAACGCCGAAGAACCGATTTTCCCAGAAGACAATCATCCACTGCTTATTTCAATGCTTCTCATTTTCACTCCAATTTCATGAACTAACAAGATTCCAATCTGCAACTTACATCGATTTGTCGTTCAAGATCCTTCGTGTTATGATCAGTGTTGTGATTTCTGTATTGACAAAACGCGCTTGAAAGAGCTTTGAGACAAGCTGTCACATCCAGCGACATCTTGAGCTTGTGAAAACCAATCTTCAAGAGCCACAATCGTGCAGTAATACTAAGGAAAAAAAATGAGATGAACTCCCTTCGCCAGTGTTGTTAGATTCTCTTCAAAATGTTCCTGTAGTTTCAAATTCCCGCGCATAACATGATGCGCATCGAATTTTACGGATTGCCGCTGACAAAACTGTTTGAGAGCAATGTTGGGTTGTTCGAAGGTCGGATAGCACTATCCGCTGGATAATCTCTATCCGGTGTAAACCGCCATACCTTCTGCCATCACTTACCCGCTGGATAGCTATTTATCCTTTGGATAGCGTTATCCGACCTTTACAGAACCGGGCCCTGCTGATTGGTAAGTAAGAACTTATCAGGAGCTGGTAAGGAGACTGAAACAGGTTTGTCATTTCTTCTCTCAAGCTTACCCACAATTATGAGCTTGGCATTAGATAGGTTATTTAACGGTTCAACGTAAAAAATTTGACGGGATTTACCGCAAGTAGACTGTCACGTTCTACAAACGGGAGATCCCTAAAAAAAAAAAAAAAAAAAAAAAAACCCCCTCCCCCCCAAAAAGGAGGAAACCTCCGTCCCCCCTCCAAAAAAAAGAAAAAACCGAAGTACGCTCTCATTGACGTTAAATGGGTTTTATAATCGTCTCCTAATCAAACTTTGCAAGGCTTCATAAAATTTTCCTTGGTCAGCAGAAAAATGCAGTGAAATTCATGACCACTAGTGATACCATCGTCTGGTCGTTCTCTTAATGTCCCTAATCGCTAATGGCTAGTTGATCAAGCACTTACACCTCGGTTATCAGAGACTCACATGATGAGACCACAGTTATACAAGCGACTTTTCATGACTACTTTGGAGAGTGTTGATTAAGGATGGAAAAAGCTAAAACAAAAAATCTCCTGTTTCGTGGAGAATAGAACGAAAATTTGTTTTTAATCGGATAATGTAGAGTTTTGAGGAGGGCCTTGGAGTGAGTTATTCAAGTTTAAGTGCCTTCGCTGTGCAATTCCGTCTTGCCATTATCACATTAAATCTGAATGCAAGATGAGAGCGTTTTTTTCAAACATTGCAAATGACTCGTGGAATATGCAGCTCGTGGCACAACTCAACAAACACGAGGGGCAATTTATAAGAATTGGGACATAATTTTTTTGTCAAGAAGTTTTCTACATGAAATACGATCGGTCTCTACATGGCCTCGCCCACAAGCAGGTCTCCGATGCGCTAGGCGAACACAGAAAATTTAACACTTTTCTTGATGAAGTTTAAATAAACAACATCGTTGCGCTCCTTATGGAAGTCATGTTATTTAATGATCCAATACAATATTCTCCTAAAATATAACAGAATCTGACGGAAAACTAAGAATTGTTTACCATTCGCCAAAGTACATGGTGTCTAACTGATTCAACCTGTTCACCTGGGACGAATACGAACACTTACCCTCTCTCTGACTGAATCTACCACAAGTGCTAACTCATAATAAATGCATGATGGCATCGTAACTGGTCTTTGCATTGTTTCTCTCTCATATTTCATGCTACAATGTCGATTTTCTATCTTTTGCTGAGTAGACGACATAAAATTATTTCAACGATGGTTAATCGAAATTATGCAAACTTCGACAGTGATTTACGGATAGCTTGAAGATAAGCAGAGTGTGGAAAAAGTAAAGACACATTCTTGACAGATTTTTCCATCAGAGATCTGACATGAACGCTGAGAGAACTTGTGTTATCATCGTCCTTTTTTCAATGTGTCTAACCTTGGAGACACAAGCGCAAAAGAATGGGTTCAGAGGAGGATCGAAGTCATACGAAATTCACGTTGAGGCAAACACAATGGGAACAAATCTACATTATAAATTGCCCGAGTCCAAGGTGAAGGCTGCTTCTAAAGAAGACTGGCAGGTGGATAATGATAACGCTGAGATGCTGGCCATGAACAGCCCTGTTTTGGCTACAGTCAATGTAAAACATCCCAAGTTTAGTATGAAAGGACAGTGGCCTGAGTATAAGACAAGCTTCAAGCTGCCCAAAGATGTAAGTGTGGCTTCGAAACGAGCGGACTTTTCGAAGCTTTTTAAAAGCAAAACGAAAGTACGAGAAACTGATCCTGATCAAAGTGACGAGGACTCTTCCAGGAATGCAAAAGCCTCGAGAAATCATCGAGGTGAGAAACAACCTACGGGTTCTGGGATAAGGTTAAATAATCTTGCAAGACAGTTGTTTTCTGGGAGAAAAGCAGGGAAGAAAAGGCCGCACAACAAAAGGCTGGACATGTCACAAATTACAAGGCTTCTCCTTCCAATCGCAGGAATGAAGAATGTTAACCTTAGCAACCCTCGCGTTAGTAGTGCCATGAAAGGGGTTATCAAGCACGCCCGGAAAGTGGTGGATGAGGCAAAAGCGGTGCTTAACGACGCCGCAAACTTTGTAACAAAGGTCCGAAAGCTTGTGAAAGTCACTAAAGATCACTCAAAAATACACAAGCAGCTCCACAGAGTTATTGCCATGGAAACGTCTTCTAAAAAGCAAAATGAAGACAACCTTAACTCTGTGACTCCTAATGCGGAGACCTCCTCTTTGTCATCTAAGGACCAAGGAACTGAAAGAGCGCGACTCAAAGTAGTGGAGGACGCCAACGGCAGACAAAATGAGTTGAACCACAAAGAGTCAAGTATGCAAAGAACAGTTGATGGGCAAAAGCACAATCAAAAAGAGAGAACACCAGGCAGACGAGAAAATAAAGCAAGAATTGGAACGAGTACCAAAGGTGTTGAGAAACGATCATCCTCAGATTTTATAAAAACAGCCGACCAAACAAAACTTGAAAGGAAATCTCGCGTGCATCGGAGAGGGCTGGCTGAGACACTGGAAAGCATCTTGTCAACAATTAACGACCTTCAAGGTCTTTCAGAACATTAGTAATGGCAGTTTTTCTTATTTAAAGCCTAAAATATACGAAGGTGTTCTGTCTTCACTTTCCTCCGGATAGCTAGTTGTGCTTCGACGGTGTGCACATTGTGCTCCTCCATTGTCCTCTCGCACCGCACACTTTCAAGGTTTGAAGCACTGCCATCGTGTAAATTTTCAGTAATACCCTCCGCTATGCTTGAATAGGGCTCTTGATTAAACTTACGAAAATTAAGTTACACAAACTCTTCATTATATTCTTTCTGTTCTGGTAAACAGATACAAGATCTGGAGGTATCTAAATAAAATATTTACATTAGTTACTGTAAAGGAGACTGAAAACAAACAACAGCGTTTTTAGCAGGGAATAACCTAAGACGCACTACCATTTGGTAAAGACACACAAATTGTAAGATTTTTGAAGGTTGGTAAATTTACAACAACACTTAAAAAAAAACCCAGTTTTGGGCTTTTATCATTGGTTATTGATAGTTCAGGTGCCCCATGATATTTCATAAAATGTATGCAAACAAGTAATGAAGGGAAAGAAAAACTTTGCACAAACAGTAAAACAGTTTTTCAATAAAAAGTTGCATCTATATAACGTTTGAAAAAAAAACAAAAAACAAAAAGACACCCGAAACAATAATCAACAATATAATACTGCACTGACTGTATGTTCAGTACGTCTACTTTTAATGAGATCAATCTGGATCAGGGTGTTTGACACCCTTTTTATTAACAGCACCCCTCGATGAGCTGCCTACAAACACTAGACTGGCAGTTAACTAAATACGAATTAGTTTTAATCAAGCCTTGACCAGTGCCAAGTATGCGAAAAATAATTGAAGTATTTAGACTTTATAGTAGTGGACTAGGAGCAGTCCCACCTTATCATTTAAGTCCGTTGAGCAAGTTAAAAAATTCAGGGAATGAAAATTTCAAATATATGCTAGCGCATTATGCAGAACTCTAGGAGTGAGGTGCCTCACTCTTTGTGCACCTCACTCTCAGGGTTCCATCTAGCACCCTAACATCAATTTATTTTTTCATTGATTTATTTCGACTTGCATGACTGACATTGTTGAAAACAGGGACAGCTTGTAGTCCATTCTAGTGGGGATATACTGTTAAGAGTTACTATAAAAATATCATATCAGTTGCTAACAAACATTCCAATAGCCGGTAAGCCAGTGCTATGATGAAGAATAATAGACAAAACATGTATTAAAAAGGTTCACTTTGTTATCTTACTGCTATGCAATGAATAGGTGATGCAGCAAAACAGAGATAGGTGAACTAAAAAGTTTTGCCTGGTGCCCAAAGGTGTCTTGCAAACACTTTCCCTCTTTTTGCTTTAATGTATGCCTGTAGAACTAGCTTAGTGGCTATTTTAGAGCTTGCAAATCAGACTATATGACCATCAATATGAATCAAGGATCTATTATGGACATTTTGATTACTATTGCGCCTAATAGTATTTGAATTAAATGATTATGTTCAACTTTTAAATGTTTTACTACAGTTTCTAGATTATCTCAAAAACTAAAAGATGAAATTATTGCGACTAATTGAATAACTGTGTTTTTTAAGGCTACATTAATTTGAATGTTTCTTCTTTTTTCTTTGCACCCCTTCTTCAGGATGACATGAAATCCTTCCCAGCCTACGGTGACATTCCAAAGGAAATGGCAAGAAAAGGAGGCAAAATAAATCAAGGATTGTGTTGTTTATGCTTTAATTAGTGCTAATTTCTTTGCCATGTTTGTAACCAAAAGGATACAAAACTAAAACTGATAGGGAGCTGGTCACTAACATTTTCCTGGACTTAAAGCTGCCAATGTATTTTCTTATAGTAGTCAAATGCACCTTAGGCTGCAAAAATTTCTTTGTGTGGTGATTAAGAAAACTTTACACAGTTCAATAACTCAAAGAATAAACTGGAAATTTACTATATAATGTGAATGACAGATTGTATGTAGAACTGATATAAAAATGTGAAGCTTGTCAACTAATGGCACATTATTAAAGCTTTCCTTCAACACCAAGAATAGCCAGTACAATTACTGCAATTATGATGGCTATTACAAAAACCAAAATGAGGCAGATCTTCTTGTTCTTCCACCACATTTCTCTGCGTAACCTTTTTGCTTGTCTGTGAAACACCTGAGACTGGAGAAATAAAATAACTAAATCAGAGGAAGGGCCACTCTGCTGAGAGACAACAAATTAGGTATAGAATAAACATATGATCATTGTCAACAGAAAATCTTTCCAAATAGTAAAACTACTTTAACCTTTAACAGTCCTCCATGAGAGGCCAAATTTCTACTTACAATATCAAGCAGACATTAGTGACAAGAATAGAGAAAAATATCAGTTAGGGAATTACTATTTAATCCAAAACCAAATTCTCCAAACAAACATCATACGTGTAATTGTATGATTGATAATAAGGAGAATGTCCAAAGAGATCTGGGAGCAAAATGGGTGAAGCACATATTTGTGCACACATATGTGCTCGTAGGTAAAACCAACTTACACTATGATCCAGTTCCTCTGTCTTTCCCACAAGAACATCAATCTTCTCACCTCTTTCAAGTACTTTTTCTACAGCAAACAAATGAGGGCAGTTAAAGGATATAGTTAGAGTACATTTACTTCTTAAACAAGTGTCAGAAATAATCCAGAATTCCTGAGATTCAATTTGCTTTGCTGTGTGATTTGTTTAGAAGCCTTCCTCCAAATCTTTAACAATCAGATGCATATCTAAAACCAATGATGGCTTTCTTATTAATTTGCTCCTTGAATACTTTAGGCCTGATTGCCTTCTACCTTATTCATACTTGACTTTGCAGGTACTTAATTTTGCGAATATGGTGGGACAGTATTTTTTGAGGTTTTATTTTTGCTATTTCAATAAGCAAATATGAAAACAGGGTAATAAATTTAGCAATTCAAGTATTCTCAACTTCCTTTTATTTTTTTAACTTTTCACTAGTAAACCCTATTAATGATTTGTGTATTTTTCAATGCATATCCCATAGGCTTTGTTGTTTTTACAAGTTAAACATTTTTTCCTTGATTTGAATTTATATATAAGTTTTAATTTTGTGTGTTTAAATTCTGCAACCACTTTTACTTTGAGTCATTTATTTCACAATTTTGTTACAATCACAAGAAAAGGAAAATTATGCACCTGTGAAATTAGGCATGAATACAGTGGAGGAATGATTTTTTCCTTACTGTAGACTAGGTACTGTAAATTCCTTGGCTTTGGTTTTGTTTTGGAACGTTTGGAGAACATGCAGCCAGGGATGTAAAGAGCTAAGAAAGCCAAAAGCTAAAGACTGGAACAGCTGTACACGTATGCAAATCATAAGAACTCAGGAAGAAGGCGCAATCCTTACCTATATTTTGAGTCATGACATCTTTGACCTCATTAACTTCCTTCTGAACTTTAGTAATCTGGTCTGACTCATCATATCCAGGATCAGAGTATAATGACTATAATAACAAAAACATTTCATATGTAACAACACAGAACTACCACCGTTTTCAACAAAGAGAAAAATTTGTGGGGTATGTATGGGAGTAGCAGGATGTTTGAAAGAAAACTCTCATTTCTACTACTGTTTTGTTATTGACATCTTCAATAACAAAACATCTGAAGGTAACAATTTTTTGGTTAACTCTGGTCTGAATGCCAGCAAGCTGACTGCTGTTGTCTGTACATGTTAAATATGTTTTTGTTAAGTCTCCTCATGAATCGATGGCAAAACTCTGGAAGCAAACAGAACTACTTCATTTAAAAGAAAATGTGCCCCCTTTGACCAAATTCATAGGATATGTAAACTTTACGGATTGTTTGAAAATTTGGTCCAAAGACTCCCGGGGGGGCAAAAGAGTGCAACAGCCTCCCCCTCCATTTGAAGGCCAAGGATTCTTTTACCGAATTTTAAAGGAAATTAAGGCCCTTTAAATTGTAACATAGCTAACATTTTTTAGATTGATTGTATACATTATTATTATTTATAATACCATATAATTATAACTTTTGTAAAGTAAACATTACAATTAACTTACAGAACCCCTATTTATACCAGCGTCATTATACTGAAGGGATTATCCTATATAAATATCATTATTATTATCAATGATGGCATTCTTGATGTCTGCATTAACTCAGATCTTTCCTATTGTCTCACCATTTGACTAGCCAGTACTTGTCCAAAATCTCGTCTGAATTCATATGCATGAGCTGAAATTGCTCTTTGCTTCAGTGAACTGTTAACAAATCTTCTTTTTATCTGTAAATTGGTCAGACAAGAAAGAACAACACAAAACATGATTACTGGCAATTCAACAAAATATTAGAAATTCTTAATAAGCTGAGAATAAGTGTACCCTACACAATACCAAGTTATTGTACTCAAGTAAAAATCAAAGTGTCCGTGAAAGTGGTGAATATTTACCTCCCTGCTTTGCAACTTGGTAGATATCCACTACTATCCACCTACATCTATAAATAATTGTTTACTATTTTCCAGCTACTACATTTCTTCACAAGAACTCTTATCGAGAGGCATTGACAAAAGAGTAGATTTGATCACCCTAATTACTAGCTCCCTGCCACAAGTTAAAATGTCTGTGATATAGGTAGGTGACTCCAAAGGTTACCTCCTCTAGGAATGCATATGGCTGTCTCTTTCCAAAGTCCTCATCAGCCATACAAAGATAAACAAGACCATCATCAACTATCACATGAAAATGGTAGCTTGAAAACATAAAAAGAAATATGACATCATATCAATAAGGTTTATGAAAGGTGTTGACAGTCATGCTACCTTTAATTTTCAGATGCTCCTTGATATGGCTAGATCCTTTTCAAATGGCAATGAGAATCTTTTCAAATGTCAGCTGGTTTAGGCAGGTACAATGGAAGATGATCTCTTGTCGCTAGTAAAATTTTTTTGTGGTTTCTGCAAACAGAATTGGCCGCTACAGTCACCGCTGGGTGATGATGATGAAATAAAAAAAATTTCCCTCCCATCTACTTCCGCCTCACTGTACAGCTTAAAGGGAAACGTTTTGTAAGGACCAAACAAGAAAACTCGTTTTCAACCGAATGAAGCAGGGTTATGTATTGTTATTACACGAAAATTGTTTAGGCGACTCGCTAATTTTAATGGCATTAAAAAACGAGGACATACTTGTGGGAAAGCTGATTGCGACATGTACATCTGACTACAAAAGCTCTTGGCTAACATTTGTAGGAGATTCGAAACAAGTATTACTTGACAAAAATACCGAGCTTGTTTTTAGAGTTCTCATTAAAACTAAAACTTGGCCAATATATTTTCCTAGCTACATCCAGATTATGCGAGAATTGATATTCTCAGTTAAAACTTTGTATTCCCAAGTAGCTTACCTTCCAGAAACGTACGTGCACTTCGTATCATCGTGCAAGGGAATCTTTTGCAAAATTGAACCTGTTATCTGTTGGAAGTTACCACTAGATTCTGTGTAGTCGACTAGAACAGTAGTACCGCGAGCTATGAGACTGTAAATTATCGACATGATTGAACTCTCTTTCCCGGTAATAGGATATTACCAGGCGACGATCACCTGGCACTGTCAGTTCGACTTGGTCCGAATCACAAACCATTATATGACTGTTACACCACATTCAATCTAGGGTAACCGCTCATTATCGGTACCAGTCTTCTCACGGGTAAGGTGAAATTTTTCCCCAGAGGTTGTAACTTAAACTCTCTCCATCTCTAAACGACATTGTCCTTGAGGTCGTATCAAATTAACGAAGGAATTCACGCTGGTTGATGTTGTGTCAAGAAAACTCTGGAATGACAAGAACATTCTAGAAGTTGCAATGATTAAAAAAAATGTCTTGATAGGCATTGCAGAGCATCACCACAAAACGTCTGCGCGTGCGCCAGGGAGAGTAGGTTCTTTCGGTCGGCACAGCGGTCGAAGCAAGGTCGAGGTGCGTCGACATTGAGGTCACCTCCCCGAAGACCCTATTTGTATCGCACCTGAATTCAAAATTCATGTTTAAAATAAAAGGGGTAAGTTTCTAAAGAAACTGTGGTACAGCGTTGGTGGGCGACACAACTCCCCGGCAAGATAATTTATCTTCATTAACTGAGATGAAAATGCATGAACAGTTTCCAAGCTGAAGTTTCGAGCGTTAACCATATGCATTCGCTGTGACGAAGGTCTAATTCTCTGCCGGAAAGTCAGCTTTAAAAACTCTTAACGGTGGCCAATTCACATTATCAACGTAGTTAAAACCAAAATCATCTTTACACTAAAAACCTTTTTAAAAATACCTCTACCATCCATGTGCTGATTGCTCTCACAACTGAGTGCTCAAACAATTACACCCGTAAATTTTTAGCCGTATTGATATGAAAGGTGCTTTACTTTAACCAACCAGGGATGACGCGAAAAAAGGGGAGGAAAAAGGTCAGGCAGAGGAAGGAGAGCTATAAGGCAAACACAAAGCATGCATTTCAGCGACTGGGTTGATGCTCGAAGCGAAATGCTAAGCGAAATAAGAGTCTGTCGGTGTGATTTTTCGCGAAGTAGCGCCGCAAAAGAGATTCTGGCCACTGTATCTCTACATTAGACAACAATATTTCCGCTCCGATGCCAACTGCGAAGAAATTTTCCTTTTTCCCCAATGACCCGATAAAAAAAACACTTGGGTACCTGAAGAACAATCTATCTAGCTTTCGGAAATAACCAGAGTTAATAGACTTGGTCAAATGAGCGATTTCATTGCTGTACAAAACTCTCCGGTGCGTCATTGTAAATCAATAATAAAGGACAATCGGGGGACGAGAGTTGCAAAATTCACTTCACAATGTTTTCTTTGCTTATCATTTTATTTTATTTTGTTGATTACTTTAAATAAGCCTTGTAATCTGATTGGTTGTTTTGTTTTAGGGTTTACTTCCCACTGACTTGGAAAAAGATGCAATTCAGAGCAAAAGATAAAGCGATTTGTACAAGAGACCAGCGCCAATCGGATCGCAAGGATCACTAATAGATGTAACTCGTTATTTAACTTTTATTTGTATACTAATTTGTTTATTCATATATCTGTGTGTCCACGTACGATTTAAGTGAATGTTTCTTGTGAAATAAGTTCGTGATAGTTGAAGAACGGAAACAAGAACCGTTGTCTGCTTCCATCGTCCTCTTCAAAGCATGTTGTCCAAATTTTTGTAAGAAACAACCCATTAATTTTGGAAAGGCAACTGAAGCCGAATTCGAAGGTCGGAAAGTCTAAATTGAGTCTAAAATAGATAAAATAACTCTATGGACAATTGGCATGCTTGTCTAAAAGAAAGCTGTCACGTACCGGGAGGCTGGGAGTCGCAACAATTAGACAAAACTTAGAACCTTCAAGAGCGGAAATAAAAAATTCAAGTCCCGAAAGTGTATCGTGCCTGTGAACACAACTGAAAACGCCCATCAAAATTAAAAAGTATAGACTGACTGAAAACATTGCCGAAATAGTCTGAAGACCAGAAAAGTGTTTCATGGAAAATGGAATTTTCGTAATGATGCACTGATCTTAAATCCTTATCAGTAGTCAATTTTACTTGCACATTCACGACAACATCCAGTTGTTCGTGGGCGACAAATATCTTATCTGCATCAGAATAAAGTTTCCTCGGGATCGACGCTTTTTTCAGAGCTCGAGAATGTGCTGCATGTTCCACGGGCCAAGTGTTCATGAACATCTGATCATCTAATTTCGTCTCTGCAGACTCGGCAAATTCAGTGTTGAACCTAACTGATGGGGGTTCAGGTGGCTGGAAACAGTTTTCCTATGCTCTGGATGGATACACTTGTTCTCAACGCTCAAAAACCAACTTCTCCACCCCTTACGCTCAAACGATTCTCACGCGTTTACCTAAGTGTTTCCTTACTCGGAACTGATTAGATCAAGTGACCACCACAAACCGTATAATATTAAGCCAAGCTTTAATAATTATTCGATCTAAAAGAAATACATTTATAATTCGCAATTAGAACAAACGCAAATCAAGTCTTTATCTTGTAACTGAATTCAAAAACTTCAATATAAACTTACTTCTGTGGCGGGTCGTTACAACAGTCTCACTTTACGGGTTAGCAGATTCTCCAGGTAAGCGGATTTAGAGACAGAAAAACGATAACAAAATAACTTCTTTCTCACTTCGATTCTGCTGAAAAACTGACTTAAACATAATAATCTAACGCTTTTAAATCAATCTATTGAATTAATGTCAATCACGATTCTTGTCATCGAATAAATCTGTCAACACGAGGCAACGCCTATTTATTAAACGAAACACTAAGGTTGGAAGTTTGAAATAGTGGGAGCGACCTGGCAATCTTAACCAACATGCTAATGTGCATGGGTATTTCCCCAATATTATGATGAACAATTTTTCGTTTCTGTTTAGTTAAATTGAGCGTGATTTATTGGAAATTAAACTATTACTTGACTACCTATGAAAGTAAACTGGAAGGGGGGGGGGGAAAGATACTCAAAACCTTAGTGATGTAAGGAAACTTACCATATGGCTGATGATTTCTTAGTATTCCTCAAGGTCAACTATTTCAATATCTCCCTGTATTTTTTTTTCTGTGATTATCTTTCTCTTGTATTGGTGTGTTTTTTTTTATATACCTTCACTTTTTACATTACATGACTTTTAAACAGGGAGATGATGTTGCTCTTAATTTTAGTCGGGCCATGAGGCGGATGGAAGTATATACAATTTTAAAACAATAAAGAGCAAAATTTCCGCACAGCCCCATACTTCATTATGCATCCATTTATGAGGCTTTATTATTCAGTGTATCACCAATAAGATGTGCATGCACAATTAAGTATGGGACTGTGCAGAAATATTTCCCAAAGTTTTATTACAGTTGAAAACCTCATCTTGATATGTCTTCTATTATGTGAAATTGCTGAAATTCCAACAAGTGAAAAAATCCTTCTTCCGTACGTGTCTCAAATCGATCGGCTGATCTGTTTACATGCGAAGCAACTCACTTGAAACTGCTGACTGATCGCTCTTTCAAATCCAAGATACTTCACAACAAATGAACACTCCTTTTCACCGATCATAATCTCGAGTGCGTACGGAAGTTAACTTTGGATGACAATTTTTTGACGCCAATGCGTTCGCAAGCAATTTTTTGTCCAAGATAAATTAACTGTACTAGCCCCAGTCTCCTGTTTAGCGTCTCGGGTATTCACAGAGGGGATTAAGAAAATATTAAGAAAACTAAGGAATACTAGATTACGCACTTAGAGTGTTTCCCAAGGGCTTTCCTATAGATGAAATACTTTTAAATATTTCAATACTTTTACGCCCGGTGCATTGCGTAAGTTTTGGCAAAATTGCGGCCAAAGATCAAGTCTCTACAAGGCCCACACCGAATTGATAAAAGCGAAAAAATCAGCTGATTTAAAAGAAACTGCCTACCATTTTTCGGAAACCTCTTGTGATTTAAATCCTTTGAGTGCAAGGCCTTCTTTTACAAAGCATGTGAAACTAATAAGAAGAACCCTCTCTAGCATATCCTCGAACTCGTCTCTTTTCCCGCCGAAATAACCCAAGAAGTACTGGTTTTCAACGGAACATTTGTCAAGGTTTTCCTCAAGAAAGTCAATCTCCAATTTAATTAAAGACGAATGATTAGTCGCCGCCACATTACGCATTCTAGTGTCGTAACTAGACCCTGTGAGCAGGGTAACTGGGATACCTGGATGGTACTGGATCCGTGGAATCAAGTGTAGTGATACTACGCGTGTCGGACTAGTATACTGAAATAGTGAGCTCAAGTCTGGCCAAGGGCATACACCTGTCTCAAAACATAGGCATGCTATGCATGCAATAGTTATTTTTTCTAGGGTAGGTGGATTACTTGAAACATTGTAAGTGGTCTACATTCTTACATTCTTACGTTAAAGAAGATTATTAACGCGGGAAAGAATGAAAATGTCGAATTACCTCACACACAGGTATTTTGTGGTAGATTATGTGTGTTGTGCGAATAAATGTAACCAAAAATAAACTGTATTTGTGCCACGGATACCTGTTAGTACAAAATGTAGACAGCAGACTACAGACCGGCTACAAAATATAGACTGCGTAGTGGGTGAAAAATGCAGACTGAGAATCTGAAGAGTTTGTACGTCTGGTATATAATAACATGTCATCTTACAGCTTACCGAGCGTCACGCAATCGCTTTTCCGCGATCAGCCTTCACGATTATTTGCACTATTGTGGAAAATTCCTGGCCCATTTCTTGATGAAAATCGATCGTAATATAATTTCAAGCCTTCAACATAGTCTTCTTACTTTGCGCGCGAGTTGGTTGGTGTTATGTCTGTACAGATTTTACCAATGTAATAAAAGTAGATGACGTGAATAATAGTGATGGTAAAGCAAGCTTAAAACGGCAACAATCGCCAGAAACTACAACGGATACACAGGGTATGAGTAAGTTTTATTGATTTTTCGAGAAAAATCTTCATATTTCGAAATATTTATCGTTGTAAATCGACCATATTTCGTTCCCTATACTATTCCTTATAACGTGTTCAAATTTTCAACTGTTCCTAGAATAACTTACTCTGAGTCACACAACGCGTGACGCGTTCGTGAATTAATCGTTGGCTCTTTCTCGAAACGTGACCTTGGGTCACCTGTGACAAGACAATTGCGTTAACAATACTTGACATAATAACATTATACACAAAAAACACGGGATTTTGGATCATGTATTTATTAAAAAAGAATATCCATACAACTACAATGAATACAAACATAAGATTCACCTTTCTGATCGTGAAATAATTACCATTCGCACTGTTATCGTAGCTACGTTTCCTAGCATCAAGTGAATCCAACATGTCGTCTTTCTTCACTAGCAGTTTGCATCCACTTGAATTTTGTTCTTCAGTCTCACGGTAGTAGTGTTGTTCAATAGATTGCATGGAGTATATGCAGTTTGGTTTCAGATTTCAGATTTTGCTTTTTACAACGAGTTTACGTTTTCAACTAAGACATTGGCATACTTGGCATACAAGACATACAAGGCATTCAATGCTTTCATGGCTTTCAAGCGTCCGATCCAAAATTACCGCTCAATAACATCTTTTTGTGTGGATTGGCCGCGAACAATACGACTTGTGTATGCGTCTATAAGTATTTTGAGCGTTTGCCCCATAATGCTCCAGATGATCGTAATCCAATTACGTTGAAATACAAAACGACTGACAAAATAGTTTTATGGGCAAAAGTCTCGTGTTCGTCATGTGACCCGGCCCTGTCCGTACATGACAACGTCAATCATCATCAAGATAGCACACGTGATCAGCATGTGAACACCTCATTGGACCACAGTTAGTTGTCATGGTGTTGAGGGCCCAATAACCTCTGAGTACTATTGCGCAATTTTTCCATTTTGTGGCGGAGGAAAAAAAAAAAAAAAAAAAAAAAAAAAAAGACGACAAAAAAACAAAGGCATTTTATGACTGGGCTACCACAGGTATCCCAGTAATAAAATATTGTCTTCAGGTTTTAGATGTCATCCTTTTTGCGGGCTTTCGCAATATTCGTGGGTTTCGGGTTTCATAAACTCTCCGCTGACTAAAATTACCGTGTACTCTTACCCTTAACGATACGGCGTTGCCCTCGACGATATAGCGTCACTCGGAAGAACGTATGAAGGTTTATGGTGTGTACACAATCTACATGCAACTAAAGAGCTGCACACGGAGAGCTTAAATTGAGGGAAACGTGTTCTATTCATCGTTTATGGTAAGTATCAACTTATGCCTCGAACAGAGTTATTCCCGTGAATAAAGGGGTAAGTTTCTAAAGAAACTGTGGTGCTGCGTTACCTGCCAGAGTTATTCCCGGTTCGAAGCTTCCTGAAAACCACGCGTAATTTAGGATCTAATTCATGTGCTAAGATGCCATCACCTTTTACATGTTGTCAGGAAAAATCCCGTCAGAGGTGAAAAGTACTGTAACTCAGCCAAACGACAATTCTTTTTTTCTCAACTTCCTACAAGGTAAGCCTGCCTAAGTGAATAGCTTTGTGAATATAAACTCAATTACCGGTAATGTGAATCTAAACGGCCTAGACTGCTTATAGGAAGGGTACACATTAGTATTTTTATTAGTATTTTTGAGCAATTTGTGCAGCATAGAAGTCACAAGACTAGGATGGAGGATTGATGCAGTACTAAGCCAGTTTGAAATTAAATTCATCCAATTCGGGGGGGGGGAATAAGAGTTTTGCAAATTTGCCATAGGATACTCTCTGTCCTTCATTTTCCTGCAATTTGATTGGTTACTTTAAACAAGCCTTGAAATCTGATTGGTTTTTTTTCTTTTTGGTGTAGCCTCCTCATTGGCTGGGGAAAAGATGCAATTTAAAGCAAAAAATGGTGGGATTCATTGATAAATCGTGCCAATTAGAGCCAATCAGGTTACAAGGACCACTAGTGATTTCAAAATGGGTGTAACAAAGCCCAAAATTAATACGTGATACTTGAATTTTAGTGAGATTTGAAGTTCCCTTTTACCAGTAATTGAGATGTTTGAAATACTGGTTACATGATCTGTGAATGTATGCGTGCATGAAGTGAAACCTTTGTCACTCTCCTTAGATCTAGGGGTGGATAGGCTTAAATTTGCAGAGGCTTTTGAGTGTGTTATCATTTTATGTTTTTGAAACCCATTGACAGTCATGGTTCATTGTCATCTTTACCATGTTTATATCTCATTTTATTTGCCATTGCGTACCTTATCGAACTTACGATTTTGGCAAGACAGTATTTCTTGGGGTTTAATTTTTGCCATTTTGAAAGAAGGAATTAAATTTCACAATTTTAGTATTTTTAACTTCATATTATTTTTCAAAAATTCTGAACTTTTTAAAATTCCTAGAGAATGTGGAACAACAATTAGCTTTAACTCTCTACTCCCAAGATCTGATTGTTAATTCTCCCCTGTAGCTGCTACACATTTCCTTGAAAATTAGTTATGAAAACTTGGTGCTAGATCAAGATAGCAGCATCTACCTGATAAGTTTGAATATTCTCATTACCTGTTTGCTGCAGATGGTATGGATATTGTTGGGAGAAGTTTTATGTTAATCACCTCTGGGAGTTAAAGGGTTAAACAATACTTAAGAAACAATTATTTGCCTGTCAGTGAATGTTGATAAACAATCCCCTTCATCTAAGAACTTATTAACCAGTGTACACTTTGCCTCTGATGACTAATAGTTAGATATGAACAGTTTCAACAAATATTATAGGATTATTTTGAATATAAAGGAAGGTCCCTTGGAATTATTACTATAAATAATTGGCAAGAAGCAGACAAACCTTTTAACAAACTTAAATGGTTAAGTTGGTTGCTTTACCATTCCAATGTTCAAACAATCTTTGATTGCATTCAAATCACTTTGAAAAGCAGGAATGAATCCTAATGTGAAAGAGAAAAGGGAATTTATTTCTATTGTCATCTGTATTTGCATTTTATTTTTTATTATTCATGTAGCAGTGTGTGCACATTAAGGGTGAATGCATCACCCCAACAGGTGATTAAATAGTAGAAACTGATAAAATGAAAAGGAGAGAACTTAATTTCTCCTCTTGGAGTTAATCATTGTTGCCACAGTTCAGGAAAATTCACCTTGAGTAAGGAAAATTTAGATCTTTGAAATAAGTCAGTTAAAAGTGAAATCCCAGCAAAGATGAACTTATTTAATATCTTATTTTGGCCTCTAGGCCTCTTCATATTTGAATAACAATGAACCAATTATCACTGATCACTAATTTGGCTTTTGCAGTGAGAGATTTGATTCAAGTTTGAGTAGTTTGCTTTTTCAAGGGGCAATTTGTAATTAGCATGATGAATTTTAAAAAATCGTGATTGATTTTGTTCTTTCCAGGAATGTTTGTTTTTCACAAGACATAATTTGCATTTGTTGATTTGAAGTTAATTCTTTTTCATGATATTAGTGAGCCACCTTGAATTGCAATTGATTTTCTCAGTTCACAAGAGAAATGTTAAAAACTTAGTTAGTTCATGGTAGGTGATGTGAGCTTGGTTTCACTTGTAGTCATTTTCTTTCTATGGTTGGTATGGCCATAATTTTCGTTACTGAACCACTGGCTCCTCCTGTATTCAAAGCGGTGTTAAGCAGTTACCCATAGGGAATGGTGGGGTAACTGCTGAATACAGGTTTCAAAAAAGAGGGGTAATATAAAACATGATAAAAAAATGCCATCTCATGCCATGGTTGACCACTTAGTGCACAAACACCAGCTCAAAAATACTACTAACATTAATTTTGGAAGAGAAACATGGATTGAATTTTACTTCTAGAGATTATTCCTATAGTTTCATTTGAGTGGGTCTGCTTTAAGTGACCATCAATGCAAGTGGAAGACAAATAATGCAAACAGGCTGTTGGGATTCAGTAAAGGGTCACCATGACACCTTAATAGAGGTGATCACTTAATACAGGTGAAAATTACAGTGACAAGGAGGAAACAAATTTGCAACTTTGACAACCAATCTCTTAATACAGGGTATTGGCTTAATACTGTTCCACTTAATACAGGTGCAACTGTGCATCTGTTTAAACAGATGACTTTCATTTTACAATTAAAAACCAATACCAGTTGAAAAACATGATCATCATCGAGCCTGATTTTAAATTTATATATTTTACTTCCCTTACAGCATTGAATCATGTCATCTTTAGAGTAGAGATTAAGCAGTAACATTTCAATACTTCACCTGCAACAAACATAGAGTAACTTTCAGGCAATGGTACCATTTAACATCAAACTTTGTGAAACTAGAAGCTTTATTTACATATAATGTATTGCTTCTTATATTAACTCTATGGAACAAGACAAAAAATGATGATTGCATGGAAAAATTAGAAATCTTTATTACCTAATCATTATTAGAGGGTGGTGTTCCATGTTGTAAACTTGATGTTTAATGCAGTTCCCTATTTGGAAAGCTTTTAAGGTAATAGAACCAATCTGCATACACATAATATTATATATGAGTATAGACAAAAAAAAAATTCAATTGTCGCTGTAAATATGTTACTCAGCAAGTTTCAATCTGATATCATGATTGGTGGTCAAAGCTGCAGAACAGTGGGAATTTACTCAAAATATTTTAGCACCAAATGCACATTTAATTTTCCCTTAACTCTCAGTCAATTTTTTTGAAAAACCTGGGAGTGTTTTCTTGTTGTTCTGGATACTCCGTGGTAAGAGTTTCAACAAATTTGTTGAGTTTTAGCTATCTTTTCCCCAACATGCCTAAGATGTTAGAGGGCAAGTGATGCACTGACCCAAAAATATATTCTTTCTGTCTGTTGTCTTTCCACTTGAAGTTCATTCATCAATTTTTTTTAAATCCATCTCCACCAAAAGTGTGGACTGCAAAGCAATTCAAAATCCAAGAGAGCTTGAAGTAGGGAAAAAAGTACACTGTACAGGGGAGGGACAAGAAGGGAACATCAAGTGAGCTTATGATGGTCAATAGAAAGCATCAATTTTTGTTTTAATGATATAAGGATCTTGACTATTGTTTCCCTCAATCATGTGTTCATGCAGAATTTGCAAGAGTTGATTTTTTAGCGGAAGAAAAGGCTGTGAAATGGATCCCTCCAAAGTGGCTTTGTCACACATCCAGTCCCATCTCTTTTATATTCTGGGGGAAGATAGCTTAACTCAACAAAGTCCTCTTGGAAGCATCAAGTATAAAAAGGTGGTTGTTAAATGGAAGTCAAAAAACTTTTCTGGGAACTAGTTTTTACTTAATGATAAGCGGTAATAAACAACAAACCAGCCTCTTTTTGAATGCCAATACATTTTTGGTGTGTGATGGGTTGCAGTTTCAATGTTACCAAAGAGTAGTAATAAGGAAAATCACAGTTTTAAAAAAAGCAAACAAAAAAATTGCACAGTCTGTAGGGTTTGCAGTCTGTAGTCTGCAGTTTGTGTTTTATCATGACTGTCCTCACCCATTTAGTGTTTGTAAACTTTTACAAACTCAGAGAGAAATATCTTCTTTTTTTTTGTGATAACTAATAATTTAGATTTAAGAATTTCAGACTTTGTAAATGTATTTTATAGTCAGTCACTTTTATCATGAGCCTCCGGCTCGGGAGATTGGGCAACCACTCCCCATGTACCTGACGGTAAATAAATTATACTTATACTTATATTGTTGTATAAATGTATAATAAAACAATACCTGAATTTGGTTTTTGAATGATATTATAAATTATCAAACCTTGCATCTGTGTTATCAGCCTCATCCTTTGTCTTCAGTTGATAACTCCAACCTCAGCATTCAATTTGATAATTCATAATATCATTCTCAACCTTATCCAATAATTGCTTAGCACCTGTAAATTGGGGCTAATGTGCAACTCAAGTTTCCTGCCATATGGTGTCATTTGGAAATGGTGGCATCAATTCTCTACAAAATCACTTTGTTTTATTTTGTCTATAACATATTGAGAATCAAGTGTGTTAATCAAACTATATCCCCTAGTTAATATTTTTCTGTCCTCTCATCAGCCTTCTGCTTATTAAAGTATAGATATTGTGAGGAGAAATTTCTATTTTGGTCACTCCTTGGAGTGAAAGGGTTAAAGCTAAATGACCCACAAGTTAGAGGAAGGGGCTTCATTGTTTGGAAAATTTTGCTATTGCAATTGAACCCAGTTTATTTACTGGGTATCTCCTTTACAGCTTGAGAGGTTGGGTCTCCATTCATTGACCCTGGATGTGTCTACCATGAAATAAATAAAACAATTCAACAAATAGATTGGATGTCTGTGTTTCTATTCAGTGATATATCACAAATGACCTCAATGTGCTAAGAATAGACTGAAAAAGTGGCACTCGAGGTGTGGCACAGTAACTGATGTTCTTGCCACATTTGAAGGTCTTCCGTGATCTGCTAACTGCACTGAGGTGCAACAACTTGGAGCCTCTTTGTTTTATGTCTTACAGAATCAAAATTTTGTTAATGGTGTTATCATCTGTCTAACTTCCACTAGGTCATTAGTTACACCCAACTGAAATGTGTGTATAATTCAGTTGATTATTTTATTATTATATTGTTTGTCTATATTAATTATTTAATTAGTTGTTGTTACCAGAGGTTTGTGTACCCCCTGTCCACCATATTTAACTTCAAGGTTGTATTATAATGATTGTGACTCAAGACTGTTGCAATTCTTGTGAGCACCCAGTATCCTCAGCCACATTTACAACCACATCAATTGCCAGATATGTCTTCATAGTTAATTAAACTGTATTGAACCTAGTAGTTCATGACTAGAGTGAGGATTAATCGTTTTAATCATCAAGGTCATGCTTGAAATATTATTCTTAGTAATATTTATATATTTGTGATGTAATATCCACAGACAGTTCAAATCAAAAGGTTATGGCCACCCCTCATCCAAGGAAGATATTTCTCTGGTTATTTCCTTTGTTCTTATCGGCTACAATCCTGTCTGTGTACATCTTCAGTGACCATTTAACAGGGTATGTTTTGTGTGACATCATTGGAAAAGTGAAACTTATCCATAGATCTGTACCTCTTTACTTTCTAAGAGAACCTTGAGGCAGCTAGGTTTAGTCACTGAGTGTGCAGTTAAAAAAATGCATTTCTAGATCTCTCCCTTCTAAGTCTGGTCACTTTTACTCCTGTTGGGAATAAGATATCCTTCGTTTAAGAATTATCACTGTTCAAAAAGTTCTTGAAGGGGTGCTTTCAAACATGACAAACTGACTTGGTAATCTGAGGTAAGGCTTTGCACCAATAGCCTTGGTGTAATGGCTGAAATTAGCAGTAAAAGCTCACTTTATTAAGTTTTTGAAACTATTGTGGTAGGTGCTTGTGTGTGTTCCCTGCAGAATGTGGAAATTGTTTTTAGTTTGTGAACTTTTGGGTATTGTTTTGTCATATGTAAATGGAATGAGAGATCTTACTTTTTCCCCACAGATTTAAACTTTCTGTTTCATGCAATGCTTACAACTTTGAGTTCCGGAAAAGCCTTGCAGAGGATCTGAGAGAAATCCAACAAAAAGTAAGGAAGTCATTCCTGAATAAAGAAGCACCCTCGCCAAAACTACTTTTACAGTTGGAAGAAATTGTGAAACGGCTTGATCCTGAAGTAGATCTGGCAAGTGTGTTCACTCAGAAGGGTACTGATACTGACAGCTTGGATGTATGTCCAGAGGTATATAATGGGACAAAGTTTGGTTACCCCTTCTATGAAAAGGGTTGGGTATTAATCAACTGTACCAATGTAAAACCTCTTCGCTCTGTTGTTAGTGTCCTGGTCAACACTGTTGCATATCCCAAGCAAGATGAGAACCATATTGAAACCGTTATAAAAGGCATAACAGAGACTTACCCAACAGTTCAGGTTTATTTGGCAACAGGAAGTGTCAATGTAATGAAAGCTGCCCAAAATTATAAAAATGTTGATGTTGTTCTGATTGATAAAGCTCAAGTAGCTAAGGGATGGAACATTCTGGTAGGGAAAGCCTCTACTCCTTATGTGCTGGTTGCACGTGATGTGTTTCACTTCACATGGCTAACACAACTTGAGAGGCAGATTCGTGTTACCAGTCAGATACCATATGTTGAAGTTGCTGGTGGATCATACCGTAACTTCTCTGGTCACTGGAAAGCAGGATGTGTCCAAACTACAATGAAGAACTATGTGTTAAAGTACCAAGAGGGATACTTGCACTCAAAGAATGGGTGCATGTTTTGTGATTATCTTCAGGGACCTTTTGTAACCAAAACAAGTCTGTTCAAGCTTGATGAGAAGCTTCCAATTCAAGTTGTGTTTGAAGACTGGTTTTCAAGTATTATTAAAAAAGGCAGCTTAGTCATGTCATGTCCAGATGCTATGTATTTTACAACAGACTACTGGTCATATTCTAAAATAACTGATAGAAATGTGTGGACACCATTGGCTAAAAAGTGGGAACTCAATCAAGTTTTATTGCCGGGAGGGGTAAAGCATTCCTTCTCTTGTGAGGATATAGGTGTTACATGCAAAGCCAAAAGTGAACTTCTCCCTTTGTGTTGCCTTCAAGAGTATGCTTATGCTTTAGCATTTTTTCAGAAATTTGCTGAAGCTCACAATTTCACTTTTGAACTTGATACTGGTTCTGCACTGGGTGGTGTTAAGTTTGAGGGTGTGCTTCCTTATGACCTGGATGGAGATTTTATTATCTCGACTTCTGGTATTGACATCCTTGGAAAAACTGAAACAGTTGATTATTTCCAGAAAAATGGATACACTTTGGCAGATTATGAACCCAAAAAAGGGTACGCCAGACTTTTTTTCAAGAAGTTTTATTTTGAGATATGGAAAATGGGGGATATGTCAAACAAAAGATATCTCCCACCAGAGCTACAGAAACAAGAAACTTTCACAAAAGCCAACATTGGTGGTTATTGGATAAATACAGCATTTAGTCCTGGTTTGTTCTCTAGGAATCGATATGGAAGAGAAATCCTCAAACACTCTCAATCTTGGATCAAGCTGGGCTTATCACACAGCTTTATTGAATACAATCCTGGAAGCTTTGAGCTTTGTAAAAAGCCAGAGCATCATGCATGCATACACAATTTCCCTGCTGACGGCAACATTCCATTTATGGTTAAATTAGACGTGTAATGGTGCACAAAACTCATGAACAGTAAGACTGTAAGATGTGATGTATTATTGCCATTTTAATGTGTCCGGAGTAGTAGTGGATAATTGACCATGGATGGACCTGCATCCCGTCTATGGGTTGTGGTAACATCCTGTTGCTTCATACTACTGAAGTAAGCTAAAACCTACGTCGAATTCTGTCACTTGCTGTTCAGGTGGTTTAATTTTCACTTTTGAGTTGGTTTTGCTTCAGATATTGTCATAAGTTGTCTGCCTTCGTTAAGCGGACAGGGATGCAGATCAAGAAAAAATCTGAATAGTTGACTGAGGAGTAGTGGTTGAGCTTAGTTGTGTTAAGTATGTCACAACTTTCCCCTCTAATAGGATAAGACTTTAATTAAAAACAAATGCTAACAGAAAAAAACAACAACAACAACAGCGCAAATCAGTAAGGTCACGAGGAATGTCAGCGTAGAATCTATTGGATCTAGCTAACTAACGACTGGGAACTTATTCTCACGAAAGGGAGGAAAGTTAAAGAATAAAAGCGAATGAATAGGTGACAAGACAATCATGATTTTCTTCTTAACAAATTAATAAATCATTCAAACCGTGAACATTTCCTTAGTTACTCTTCGCGTTCTTGAGAGCTGCCAGGCTTTTCTAGGCCAGATTATTGACCCGAATAACTGCACAGAAAACCTTTAAGATGCCTTGGCAATTACACCGGTAAACTTGTAGCAACACTATAACCCATGGTTCAAGAGTTCAATTTACTATTAAGTAGAGAACAGCACATTGTTCAGTAACAATGGAGAGCGCACATATCATGTGCAACAAAGTGGTCAAACGTCGGGCATGATGCGCAAGGGGATATTAATTTGGCTGCCCGTGTGTCAATTTCGCGCAAAATTTTAAGGAAGCTCCATAGGGTTTTTTGACCGTTCGAGGTCTGGGTGTGAACATAGCGCAAGCTTCAAGTGTCAGTTTGAAAAACAAACATAGCCGCTCAGTACGAAAACACAAAATTGCAAATAGCGAGGAAACTGCCTTTGTAACCCCTATTTTCTTCGGCAACATTGTGAAAATTTTGAGAGATTTCCCGGAAGCAAATTGAAAAATATATAAGGCAAAGCCAAATTATCACTGGCGTGCGCCTCTTTCGTGGAGCCTAAGCTTAATAGCGAAAATAAATGGTCTGAACCTTGCTCATCGCCCCTTTGATAGCTTTTAATGACCTATGACACCTTAATTTAAAAAAATAAATAACAATCCCAACATCAGGGTAGTCCCATCAGAACGTAAGGCTCTGCTATCAATAGGAGCCCTGGTGAATAGGATCCTAAAATAAATACAATGCATAATACAAAAATAATTATAAATGGTACTACTAATAATAATAACAGCGGCAAGAATAATATATATGCTATCTAAATATCGAACGATACTATAAAAATCTATATATATACAATGGTATAAAAATCTATAAATACACACAAAATAAGGATCTAGTCAATATAAAATATTATGGAAAATTCTAATTAACTTGACTATTATAAACAACACATCCATGATAATAAAAAGATTTCTTGGCTGTTTCATTTCAAACGCGAGGCAAATGAAGTAAATTTCTCTGTCTTGTTCTGGTATTATTAAAATTGAAATGTTTGGACAGTTTAGAATGAGTTCCAAATAGCATGGCTTCAGTTTTGGTGGTATTAAGAAACAAGCTGTTTACTTGAAGCTATTCACCCAATGTATTCAGGTCCTGATTCAGATTGTCTTCGATGACTTTAGAGTTAGATCCGGCACAAAACAGAACGGTATCATCTGCGTACATAAGCACATTACAAATCTTAATGCAGAGGAGGGAATCGTTGATATGAATAACAAAGAGTAGAGGGCCCAATATGGAACCTTGTGGAACACCAGATGTTATGTGTGGAGGATCAGATGAGGCACCACCGACGCCAACAACTTGGATGCGGCTAGAAAGATAGTTTTCAAACCAGTTTAGCTCTTTGCCTTTGATTCCAAGAAAGTGCAGTTTCCTAAACAAAATAGAATGATCTATTGTATCGAATGCCTTACGCAAGTCCACAAAAACTGCTCCCGTCATAAAACCCTGATCAATATTTCGCCGGATTGTGACCCAGAAAAGCGAACACAAAAATTTTCTAGAGTAACAATACGCTGGCGCGCGCGCCAACATTAAACAAAGACTGCATGGAGCCTCCTTAAAGGAAAATAACCGCTGTCTCGCAAAATAAGTGAAAGATAATTGAAAGGTTTCTAGAAATCAGTAAAAGCTGTGAGACCACATGGTCGAGGGTCTCCAAGGGTTCAACCGGTAGCCTTTAAGTATAAAAATTGTCAAATTTTGACTAATAATCGTCAAAACGTTAACTGTTGGAAAAATTTCTGGTGACAATAATTTAGATGGAATGTTATTAACCGTCAGCCGTAAAAGCCATCACCCCGTTGAAACCCTCTTGGCTCTGAAAGCCTTAAAGCACCTACTCATTACAACACATGCGCAGAAGTTTGACCACTTGGTTGTAACATGTAGTATTAATTTTTTATGATGCAATCTCAGTCATTGCACCTACGCAGCTTTCGGTTTATTGGGTACTCGCTTTCGGTTATCGTTATTGGAAATTCTTCGGGGACTTTTCACCAGTCTGACACCTGAAGAGTCATAGAACACGTCAGTTACTTAACGTTTTCTTTCCTTTTTCGTTCCCTTCACTTTACACTGCAATTCAGTTAGAGCCTGATGAGTAGGTTACAGCTTTTAATTTCCTTCCGCACCGTGCACGATGATCATCTGTCATTTTGTGTCACTCTGGGTGAATAATGTAGACAAGCTACATTAATGGGTTGAAATGACCATTGTAGACGGTATAGATCATTAGGCGGGAGATTGGGTTCCGCTCTCTTGTAGGCTCCTTGGCAGCCCGCGGGGGCTCAGTGGGATGTCACGGTACGCTACACCAAAGTTCTCTTGGCAGAGTGTTGCGTGACACTTGTTTCTTAAGATATCATTTATTTTTGGCCATGTGTTTAGAGAGACGATTATAGTGGCAAGTGATTACAGGTGGCCCAGGTGTTAAGAATAGGGCGCTCTACGAGAAAGAAGCTCGAGTAAAATGATACACAGCGGCTCGAGCTCCAAGTGGAGAAACCGTCCCAAGCCTCTCGCAGCCTTACTACTCGAAGTCACGAGTAACTCCCAAAACTGTGGTGCGTGCTAGGATACCATTCAAAAAATTTATCTTCACAGTAGCGTTTCCTCATTTTTGGATTAGGTGAACGACCTTGTTTAGCCGGCTTAGCTACTTCTTTTGGATTTGCTGAGAAAGCAGTGGCTATGAAGTAAGTCCTCTACGCGTATAAAACATATGGATCCAAATATTTCCTAAAGAAACCGACCAGAATTTTGACGAAGCAAACATTAACTGACTCGATAATAATGTTGTGTAGTCATGCTGAAAAAACACTATAGTTGGCGTTAACTGCTTGGGAATACCTGACCATGGCTTTCTGTACCGCATTAATTCGATTTAACGCCGCGGCGTTCGTTAATTTTTCTTGATTCGAGTGCAGCGTCTTAACGAGGGCGGCGTTTCTTTAAGATCCAATTTTTTTCTTGCAAACGATAGCATGTGTTTAGTGTTTGTCTTAAAAGTCTCTTTTTAGATCGTTTTCAATTTCACAATTTGCATGTTAATACTACTACAGTAATAGTTTAAGTGAATTGAGCGAATAAAGATCTGATGTCGGATATGCTTTCTCGACATCAGACCTGGTACAAACAAAGGGATTTGTGTCTGGTTCGTTAAAAATTTAAAACTGCGATCGAAACGCCTCATCATGTTGCGGCTTTTATTCGAGGGCGGCGTTTATTAACATTTCAGTACTAAAATGCAGTGTTTATTTGAGGGCGGCGTTTAATCGAATAAATACGATATGCAAATTTACGAATGAGAGAGAAAATGAACCCTCTGATAACCAAGACCATAAATAACTTTGGGAATCTCGACCAGATGAAGTTCAGAATGACACTGAATTTACAGCTAGTTAGTTTTCCTATTGCGAGTAAAAGCACAGTGATGTCATGATTGGTACTTTAGTGATTACTTAGAGTGTATCAAAGGGGAGGTCCTGATCCTGTTTCACTCACAATTAAAATTAAAAAAAAAAAGATTCACGCATCATTAACATAAAAGGGAAATCTTCAAATTTCTCCTCTTGTGTACAAGATTTCTGGGAAATCTTAAATTCACAAGTCATCTCATGCTTATATTAAAGTTCACACGGCAACCAGGTGGACAATCAGACATAGTTTGATGCTACTTTGGTTTACAGATTTAATGAATGTAACCAAAGAAGTTACAATTCATAGACCTAACGTTTTGACACTCCTGTCTAGTGCCTTCATCAGGGGTGATCTAAACACTGCAACAAGAGGTCCTTTTATATGATTACTAATTAGCGGCCTTTATTCTGACGAGGTGTAAATGGCATCAGGAAGCAAACTGCCATTGTCACGATTTAAAGGAGTGTGGGCAGAGTTAATATGCCAAGCCTCCAAACAAAGGTGCTGGTGGTAACACCTATTAGTGGTGATAATTTGTAGAATTATCTCACCCAATTGTATGGTTAGCTAGGCATGTGTGCTCTGATAAAGCTGAATATTCCTTTTTGCAAAAGAAAACCACTTTTTGATGCTCTCATGCTTGTTCATAAATATATGAATCACATTCGCCTTCATGTAAAATTCATGCATCACATTGTAAATCTGGCCCTGGCTTAATCATGTATAAACCCTTTTCCACTCTCTAGACTATGCTGTTTGCATTCTTAAAAGATATTTTTCTTCCCTCCCATAGTACCTAGTATTTCATTTTGCTGGTCTTTGTATGTTTGAGAAGTATTCTATTTTTAGCTTATTTATATCATACAAGAGTTGTGTATTTGTGAAAAAAAAAATCAGTTAATTAGTAGTCTAGTAATACTTAACATTGCTTGCTATTTTTCTTCCCTTCCATAACACCCAGTATTTCATTTTGCTGGTCTTTGTATGTTTGAGTAGTATTTCATTTTTAGCTTATTTATGTCATACAAGAGTTGTGTGTATTTGTGAAAAAAAATTAGTTGATTAGTAATCTTGTAATACCAAACTTTGCTTGTAGTCATGTTTCATGATTTAGGTCTTTAAAAGTTTACTGGGTCAACAAAGATGCCAATACCTGGAGCTTATAGTTATACATAGTCCCTAGGAATCGTTTTTAGAAATTAATACAAGATGCTGAAATTTCTAACTAAGAGAGAAATTTGCAAGAAATAAAAATAGCATAAAAGGAAGGTCTAGGGCAAAAATGTGGGATGCAGAAACCTCCGAAAAAGAAAATGTGAAATTCAGAGTTCTCTTACAGAAGTTATGCATTGTCACTCCATAGTCAAGGTGCATGAGTGACATGAACAGTCCCTTCTTTTAAGTACACATGCATGTCTTGCAGCATTACATGGACACATGATGTATGAAATTTTCACAAATGACAGGAATATTGGATGCAAATCCCTTGAAAAAATAGTCTGAAATGTATGAAATTTAAAGAAAAAAAATTAAATTATTTTGAAATGAAAAGGCTTGTCTTAAGTCCAAAGCAAAAACCTTTGTGGGAAGGGCATTACTGACAATAAATGAAAATTGCTGTTTAATTTAAATTTTGATTTAAAGATTACAGTATCTAGTATATACTAATACATGGTTATCTTTGTGTACAATAGGGTAAGACTTGGCACAGTCATGTCTATTTTTCCTCAGTCTTGGGGAGTAATGTTGATAGCATGCCCAATACTCGTGTTGGTAATGGTCATGTCCTTATTTGTAACCAGCTCACATTGGATTGAAAGCTACAGGTAGATATATTTGGCTTTTTGTGAATTTGTTATTTAACTAAACCTCTCCTTAACCTCTCCTTGGGCTGATGGCTTCATAAACAGGAAAAAAGTATTTAAATACTAGATCAGAGGTAGTGCTCTCAATAACTGGAATAAAGTGATAATGGAGGCATAAATGGTATGTTACAGCCACAGCATGTAAGCTAAGGCAACAGTGGTAGTACCACTTGCCAAGATCTTTACAACTTAAGGTTACTTTCCACCTTCAGAGGCCGAAAAAATTGATTTTTCTTTTATTTGAGTAAACTGAATTCAAACTTTTAACAAAATGTTTCCACAAAAAACTTTTCTGAAATCTTTAAAAGCAACTGAATTATTTAGAAAACATATTTTCAAATTAAAGGTAGTAAATCAGGAAGGTGTCATAATCTTGGACCTGGGTGAGTCCCCTGGGGGAACTTTAGCAGCAACCACTCTTCTTGGGGCTCATTTTTCATGTTATTTCCATATCTTGTCCACATTGCACACTTGACAAAATTTACAGGAGGAAGCCCTTTGCTTATAAAAAAAATCTTTGCAAAATGTTTGGGATCTGTTTGGTGATTTCCAACACAGTTGATTAAACCCTTTACACTCTAATATTCTCTATACTGTTCTCTATAAATCTCCTAAGGACTAGGAGATTGTGTTTAACAATCAAGAGCTTCTTTAGTGGGTGATCATTTCCTTTTTTCTCATGACCTTAAACTGTGATTCAGAGTTGACACTGTAAGAAGAAATTAGATGCTGTTCACTGTTTAGGGCCCAAGGGTTAATGTGTAGGAAGTAAGGAACAAAGAGGTAATAAACCACAGCTTAATTTCAACTGTTTAAAATCTTTACCATAACCATTATGAACTTGACAATAGACTGTATTTAATACTGTGTTTCTTTAAAATATGTTTAAGGCATAAATTTTACTTATTTTACTTATTTTCTCTTACAGGCCATGTGAAGAGACCCTCAAGTTACAAGAAAATCTTGTAAATGAACTTAGTGACATTCACCAACAATTGCAGGAATTCCTCCTGTTGAAAAAGGAACCATCGAAAGAATTGGCTGAGCAGTTAGAAGAAGTTATAAAACAGCTTGATAAAAAGGAAGCTGTGGAAAGTGTGGGCAACAATGATGCTATTTTAGATGTGTGTCCAGAAGTTTACAAGGGGACAAACTTAAGCTCCCCTGAGAATGTTTGGGTGATGACCAACTGTACCAATGTTAAACCTCTTGATTCTGTTGTCAGTGTTCTGGTCAACACTGTTGCATATCCCAAGCAAGATGAGGGCCATATTGAAACCATTATAAAAGGCATAACAGAGACTTACCCAACAGTTCAAGTGTATTTGGCAACAGGAAGTGACAATGTAATAAAAGCTACCCGAAATTATAAAAATGTTGATGTTGTTCTGATTGATAAAGTTCAAGTAGCTAAGGGATGGAACATTCTGGTAAGGAAAGCCTCTACTCCTTATGTACTGGTTGCACGTGATGTGTTTCACTTCACATGGCTAACACAACTGGAGAGGCAGATTCGTGTTATCAGTCAGATACCATATGTTGAAGTTGCTGGTGGATCATACCGTAACTTCTCTGGTCACTGGAAAGCAGGATGTGTCCAAACTACAATGAAGAACTACGTCTTAAAGTACCAAGAGGGATACTTGCACTCAAAGAATGAATGCATGTTCTGTGATTATCTTCAGGGACCTTTTGTAACCAAAACAAGTCTGTTCAAGCTTGATGAGATGCTTCCAAATGAAGTTTTGTTTGAAGACTGGTTTTCAAGTATTGTTCAGAAAGGCAGCTTAGTGATGTCATGCCCAGATGCAATGTATTTTACAACAGATTACTGGTCATATTCCAAGAGAACTGATAGAGATGTTTGGACCCCTTTGGCTAAGAAATGGCAACTAAATAAAGTGCTTCTGCCAGAAGGGATAAAGCATTCCTTCTCTTGTACAGACATTGAAGTTACTTGCGAACCTGACCATGAACTACTCCCTTTGTGCTGCCTAGAATGGTATGCTGATGCCTTGGCATTTTTTCAGAATTTTACTGAAGCTCACAATCTAACATTTGAACTTGATTGTGGTTCTGCATTGGGTGGTGTCAAGTTCAAAGGCCTTATTGCTTGGGACATAGATGGAGATTTGACTTTCCTTTATACTGGTATGAACATTTTTGGTGAAAATAGAACAATTGATTATTTCCAGAACAATGGGTACAAGTTACTGAGTTTTGAACCACAAGTGCAAGGAGGTAGTGCTGGATATGTGAATGTCCATTTCAATGGGTTTGGTATTGAAGTATGGGGAATGGGTGACCTGACAAATAAAAGATATCTCCCCAGTGAACTGCAGAAATATGAAACATATACAAAAGCCAACATTGAAGGTTACTGGATTAATACACCATTTTCTCCTGGTTTGTTCTCAAGAAATCGCTATGGAAGAGAAGTGCTTAAACATTCTCAGTCCTGGCGTAGGACAGCTTCTAAAGACAGTTGGATTAATTATAAGTCTGGTAGGTTTATGCCTTGTGAGAGGTCAAGTGGTTATGGTTGTGTACATGATTTCCCTGCTGATGGTAACATCCCATTTTCAATAACTTAACCACTTTCATTTAATAATGCAGAGTGTTTGACAGATGAGATTTGTCCTGATATTGGACTGTTGGAAGTCTCTAGCCTGAATTAAGGGGAGATCACCATGGAATACAGGGAAGAGTTGTCATATTTTTCACTATTATAATTTATGGGAAATATTTAAACAGGCTTGCCCAGTTCAACTTAAAGCTGGTTTACATGGGGGCCTTTTACATACAGGCACATGAAAACCAATTAGCTGAGGAGTAAGTCACATGTAGGGGTTTAGTTCATGCAGTTCACAACATTTATTGAGGAGTTTGTTCTACATGTAGGTTGGTACTCTACATCAGCTTTTTACCTACTATCAGAACCTTTAAGATAGTGGCTTCAGTAATGGCTAGGCACTAGCAAAAACACTGCTTTGCCCTGCTGCTATCCAAGTCTAAAGAAACGATGACTCTTCAGCAACTACAGTATTTTAGTTTCTGCTCCAAAAAGTTGAAAATTTCATCTCTCTAACCCTTAAACTCCCATGAGTGACCAAGACAGAATTTCTCCTTACAACATCAATACAATATCAAGCAGACAAGTGATGCAAATAAAGAAAAATATTAATCAGGGGATTCTAAGTTGATCTAAGACCAATTTCTCCAAACTAAAATCACAAGAACTGTATGGTAGACAGTAAGGAGAATTACTGATAAGATCTTGGGAGTTAAAGGGTTAATGAGGAATTTCAAAATAATTCAGGGAAGTACACCTGGGGATCTTCTTTGAAGGTAGGGGGAGGTGGTCAAAGCTGTTTCACCTAGTGTTAATTATTATGCCCAGATGCCTCTACTACTTCAAACCTTCATTAAACCCTTGTTAATATATTTAATTTAATAAGCAATAAATTCACTTTTATGTAGAGTAAGTAACTGAGAGAGTGACAATCCATCGCAGCTTCCATAATCTGAAAGAATTATGTAGTTCTAGTCACACTTGGGACAGGTTGTATGCAGCTTGTTTGGTATTTAAGAAGTTATTTTTTTTCTACAAAAATTGAATTTATTTAATAAAAATTTACAAAAGCAATAGACAGCATGTTTTTTTTTTATATATACCATAGAACACAAGTCATAATTGCAGTTTTAGAACAGCAGGATTAGATGAATAGTTATTCCATGTAAAATTAACATACAACAACCCCACAAAATTTAGTGTTAAGGTACTTAAATTCAGCTGAATTAACCAAAATAACCCAAGTAACTCAGGAATAATAACCTCTGGAACAGGAACATTTTTCTTCATGAGAGCATCCTAAATTTAATTTATGTTTGAAAAATTCCCGGTTGGGTGAAAGAGCATTAATTTAATTAATTTTCCACAATTTAACTGGCACCACCCACTGGTTTGTCCTCCAAACTACAAATGTATTCAAATTCATCTGAAATGATAAAAGGGGAAAGAAAATTTGACGTTAACTTTTCGAGGTTTACAAGAATTGTTGGAAATAATTTGAGTGCAAATGACTTGAAACAGCAGTGAAACAGTTAGTGAATTGAGAGTTACTTCATTCATTTGCTATGTTCTTTAAAGGAAAGTGCTTTGAAATTTGTGTGTGGCAAATATGAAAATGAAGAGGATAAGTTTCTTAAAAAAACTATGGCTTGTCGCTGGGGTGTTACAAGATAATTTGGTTTTATAGCAACTGAGTTGATAGTTTAAATTGGCCATTGTGAAGAGTTTTCATAGCTGACATTTAGAGAGTTAAAACTTCCTCATTCACTCCAACAACGACTTAACGCTGGAAATAAAATAAAATTATCTTGCAATGTGAAATAGATATTTCACTAGTATGACAAACGAAATAAATATCAAGTTTACCTTGACTTTATCACTCTACTGGGTTCTTTACAAGCATTTTGAATGTGTGCTTTTAAAGAAGTTTACTAATAAATGAGTAACTACATCAACTAAGTAATTGTATCATGTAGGTGTCATGCCAACGGCTAAACATAATTATAAAGTTAAATTTGGTGACTATTTTTTCACAAAAGACAAATTAAACAGACATCAAGTTGTTAACTATCTAATACAGTAGTACAATTTGCATGTTTTACCTTTAGTAACGGGTTGAACTGATAGTCGGGCTGAAGTGAAGAGTGCCACTGACTTTAATGGACCATTGGTTGCCTTGTGTTCCTATTAAACACAAAAACAAACCATCAACAAACAAACAGGCTACTCCAAGTGTTGTGTACGTGCAGAAAGCATTTTACCAGTGAGAGCCAATGCTTTGCAGCTTTTGTTCTGATGAAGGGCTATGCTCCAAACATCAGCTTTGAAACTCTTTACAGTGGCCAATTTACGTCTCAACTTGATTAATGATACTAAATTACCTTTTTATACTCTCCCTCTGACCCAGCACCACAGTTCCTTTAGAAACTTACCCTCTTTATTTATCTGTTGTTGATCAGCCAGGACCTGTAATCTATGCCATTTAAATTTAAGAATTTGTTCATGCTTAGCGTGCATATATCGAGTTATGGATGCACGCAGGAAGTTTGGAGAGCTCGAAAAATGTGTAAGAGTAGCTTGAAGCACAGCGGAGAGCAACTCTAGCTTTTGAGAGCTCTCCAAACTTCCTAAGTGCATTCATAACTCAATATATACACACAGCTAAAAGCATGAGCAAATTCTTTTATAACAGAGCAACAACAAGGATCTGCGTGAAGAAGCCTTAATTGTGATAGAGTGCAAAATTCTCACAACGCACAAAAAAAAAGGAAATAAATGCCTCTATTGGCTGGTCAAAAACACAGCACATTTTATACTTTGGTTTGAGCGAGAACATTTGATCCAGTTAACCGATAACTGTGAATGAAAAGCTCAAAATTTACAGGGAAAATGGAGAAAATCAAACCCAAATGTCATAAAGGCTCACTAAGAAAAATGCTCACGTCATCTTATTTACACATGCACGTGCATAAATAAAGATTTTGTTCATAGCGGCTCAATAGGACTTATATAGGGGAAGCATGTGTGCTGTTATAAAATTACTTTATGGATGAGTGAGACAGCTTACTTGATGAAGAGCTTTCAGTTCTTGTAGAGAAATAAAGCGTTTCATCATACGGACAAACTTTACATCCACCTACAAAAAAAACCAGTAAATATCAAAAACACAGTTTGCACCAGAAGAGGTACTCAAAAAAGAAAGGCCTAATTTTCTGATGGTCTGTTAAATTCTCCTTCCAACTTGCCTTCTATTTCTTTTAAAACAAGGAGAATTTAATGTTGTATCAAAAGACATGAAGCTTTGATCATTCTGTGCTGCCCTTAATTAAGATACACCTTCAGTCATCACTCCTGCCATAGGATACTTTATAGTCAACCAATTTATTATGAATGCAATACCTTTGTGAAAAAAGATAATACATCCAGCCTTTCCTAAGTTTACAAGTCTTCTTTCAAAGTTATTTAATGTTGCTATTGCTACAACTTACCATGAACCATTTGGGGTTCTCTTTCTTGGAATTCCTATAAAAATAATAAATAATGAATCACTCATGTAGATCAACTAGTTAAATATATCAGCAGAACTTGAATGTTTGTTCACATTTCCTCTCTCACTATCCGTGATAACATAGTGAGTTACTGAGATTTGCATATGCACATTTTTTCAAAGGCACCACAAAATGACCTCATGCATGGTAATAAAGGAAGGTGCTGACTATTAATTTTGTTATGATCATCCTCTAGAAGGATTGTGATGGCAGACCTTTGGAATACATACAAAAAAAACTTGTTGGTGAGCCCGCTGGTTCATGTATACAACAAACAACCAGCATACCGATATCAAAAACAGCACAGAGATACAAGTAGAGGACGAGAGGTGGAAATGGAAAGAAAAAAGATTTGATCTGAAATATTTGATCGATAATTTTGAAGCCTGTTATTACTTACGGGTCATAATGAGGATCTTCTTTATCAAATTGTGTATAATCCACATAACTTTCTTTGACAATCTACAGGTTCAAATGAAAGTATATCAGTTTCTAAATAATGGTTGAAAGATTGACCACACATGACCATAATACACTTTTCAGAAATGGCTTGCTCTGGAAATCTGAAATCTGGATAAGTTTTATTTTGGATCACCTTCCCATCCTCCCCTAATTTTTTTATACTTCCTTGTCTCATCCCTGAATTCACTAAAATGTACTCGAACAACCATCTTTGAGCAGTTTCATCCAAATCATTTTTTTCTAATGGAGATATATGCTCCCCCCCCCCATTTTTTTTTGTAATACAAACATCAAATTAACCAATATCTGCAAGATTTAGAGGACTGTGGAAGAGAGCAAGAGATTCTTCTCATAGAGGAGGAAGTAAGCTGTAGACTCCTACATACTTTGGGAAGATTTAGTCTGTAAAGTAGGTTTCAACCCCATAGTCTGTCAACTATGGGGTTGAAACCCTCTTCAATGTGAGATTTTACCTCCACAATTGCAGCAATGCCAGGGTTTTTACAGTTACTGTGATAAAAGAATGCAAGGTGACCACTCTTCATTTGATCTCGCATAAAATTTCGAGCCTAAAATGAAAGTAGAATACAACCAAAAGAGATAAATTCCAAGTTCATTTGCAAAATTTACCAATCATTAAATAAATGCACCTTAGCAGAGATGAAATTATTTTGCTGAGCATTTTCTCTGGAAAAATTACATTCAACTGATGACTGAGTTGACCCTGAATATTTTGACCATAAAAAGGGACCCTTAAATATTTATTAATTTTTAAGAACTTGGTTCCTCTCATCAGGTTTGAGCAAGAAAGGAAGCAAGAACTATTTTACTGTGTAATTTATTACAAATTGATGCTCCTCAAATAAAATATCTATATCTTTAATTAATCCTTTGAGCCTCATTAGCAACTTGCTTCTAATCTCTCCGTGCAATATTACCTCCACATCACACATTAAGGTAACAAAAATATAGAAAACAAACACTAGAGAAGCTCTTGATTGTTACCCAAATTCTCCTTGTCAGTATCTTAGGAAATGTATAGAGAACAGTATGGAGAATATGCATAGTGATGTTAGGGTGTAAAGGTTAATAATAGATGGGAAAATTTTCATATACCTGGTAATTTCTCACACCATCCCAACAGGCTGTTTGATTTGGTTCCTTCTTTAGGTCCTCAATGCCAAACTAAGATAATGTTCAGAGAACACTCCTGTTTACCACTCACTGTTATTAACCCTTTAAGTGATTAACAAGTAACTGCACCCTATAATAACTAGATATTATCCAGCAAACAGGTCATGAGAAAATTCAAACTTAACAGGTCAAAGCTGTTATGTGTATCTTGATCTGACACCAAATTCTCGAAACTTATTTACAAGGAAATATGTAGCAGCTAAAGGGGAGAATTAACAATCAGATCTTGGGAGTTAAAGGGTTAAGTAAGATTTATATTAAGTGGCTGGATAATACATTAATTGTAAGATTATAAAAAATTATACATCTCACAAAGATACAGTGTAAGTGAAAGACATTTTCTTGGTTTTAGGCATAGGAGTGTGGATGGTGTGGCATTGGTAAAGGGGAATTGGAAAATTAACTAGGTTTAAAAAATGGTAATTCTTCTAACTTTAAGACTGTGGCACACTTGAAGTTATTGAGAACTTTCATCTCCCATAAAATTGAAGGAACTTAAATAATGTGGAATAATTAAATGGATTTGGGTGAAATGAGGTAATGCTGGTGTAAACAGATTATCAAGGCTGAAAACACTTAAAATGTACAAAGGAAAAGAATCACAGCCTCACTTAAATTGTTTTATTATTGTAAATGTTGACTTCTAGAAGTAAGTTGTTGTACCTTTACATCTACTCCTTTCTCAAATCTGCTTTCAGGTTCAGATTTCATAAGCCATCTTGAGTATTGCACTTCCTGAAAAATTCAATGATTTAAAGTTGCAAATTCATCCCTTTTCATAAAGAAAAGTCAACCACAGTCACTGACAAAAATATAATAGTAACTACTTTAGTTAAGAATGTCATTTCTGTTTCTTAATCTTTTGAGATATAGAAAGCATTGAAATAATATGAGTGGGGCCTATTTATACATTATTATATTCAGGTTTATTTGTTATTATACTTGGATACAATTTGTTCTAGAAGTGGGAGGGGATTTTGTACAAACAGAAGAACCCCGCTAACTCAAACTCTGTTAACCTGAACCCCCTCTGTAACTCAAACAAGGTCTGATTTCTTTTCACCTCATTTTTTTCAATCATTTACTATCAGCTAACTCAAACACCCAGTAAATCAAACCATCTATTCTGTCCCTTGGGAGTTTGAGTTACCAGGGTTGTACTGTATATCATGACAAAGTTCTTAACCCTTTGGCTTGGAATGATTCATTGATTAATGAACTAAGTAACTTTTACTTCCTTTTGATTTTATTAACTAATTCTATTTAATATTAAAGTAGTCTCATGATAATTTTTCACTTAGATTCATTTATGCATATCTTATAAATTTATCTTGACACAACAGACTGAGCAATAAGTCCAACAACATGTTACCTACTATGCTTTTTACACAATATCCTGTTTACAGGACACAGAAACAGTTGAGATCAGTAGTAACTGCAAACTTACTTTTTTTGAAGTCCTGCTTGGTTTGGCACTCTCCTCTATGGAGAGAGTGCAGTTCATTAATTTTATCAATAAACTGCATTTTCAAACAAAATTTAAACAATTCCCACTACATTTAACCTTGCTGGTAAAGTTAGGTTCCCTTCCAGTAGTGTAGCAAGCAGCACTTAGAGTGCCATATAATACAAGCAGTCCCTCCTTTTAAGCAGAGTCTGTCATGCATGTTAAAAAAAAAATTTGAAAAAATTGATGTTTTAAGTGCCACAGGGAGCTCTTTTTACCTTTATTCTTTTTACTATTATCATTTTTTACTTCGCCAAAAAGGAGGGACTGCTTGTTGTTTAAAGGCGCTAAGACATCCCCCCCACCCCCACCCACCTCCACCCACCCCCACCCACCTCCACCCACCCCCATCAAGTAATGTGATGTCCTATTATTCCTATTATTATGTAATCAGTGCAGCAAGATGAGGGAAATATTAATAACGTTCACTGTTTACGGCCTAGCACTCATTAAACGTTTTGGCTGTATCAAAATACACAATCTCTTGAAGTCCTCCCTTTTCCTATAGTAAATAGTTCGAAATAGTAATTTCAGTAATTATTATGGCTCCCTGATGATAACACGTGACATACAGGACGGTATAGTATTCGAAGCATACTAGCATGCAGGTTTCAAGTTCTGTGCAGATAGATAACATAACTTTCTCCTCGACTCCGATTGAGACTTCCGCTCAGGTTGTCGAAACGTCAATCACCACTACCGACAGTAGTCCTCTTCAGGACTACACTCACCCAGACGATCAAACTACACTATTACATGTTACCCCCGAGTTCAAACCATTTACTATATAACTAAATGTCTTACTCTACCTCTTTTTGTAGTTTTTGAATGTTTGTCACTGTCGACCTTCGGCTTCTTCTTAGGAGGCATCTTGAATCCCCTCCTAGCGCGCGCGGTGTTGGCTCTTTGGACTGAGCCCGCATTTCTTTCGTCTATTTCATGTGGTAACGCAATCCAGTGGTTTGCTTAACCGTCACGTCGATTCCTTAAAGAGACCTTGAGCTCTCCAGGGTATTAGCGGGCTTCTGATTTATCCGTACATGCGCACAGTTCTTAGATATGAAAGAAAACGATGGCAATCTCGAGTACCGGGTCATTTTGGCTCCTTGGCAGCGGAGAAGCCAAAATGACCCTGGGCTCGAGAGACACACGATAGTGAAAACACGTAGCTTGGCTACGGTCATGATAAAACTCGTTGTTTGTATTTTGACTCGCCCAACAGGCTCGTCAAAGGTATACTTGTAAAAATACTCAGCTGTACTGACACACCAAAACGTATAATAAGATACATTATTTTATTAGGGTCCTCGAAAATGGTTTTGGATGGTATTTGATCAGTACTCTAGAGGGGGGTGGGGGGAGGGAAGAGCAGGGGGAAGGTAACTCTTGAGAACTGGGGGTGGGAGAGGGCGGGAAGCGGGGTCCTACCAATCAGGCTAAGGCCCTATATAAATATATATATATATATAATTGTGGGAAATTGTACCAAATGCTGTAGGAAAGTGCTCAATACACGTGAGTGTAGAGCGAAATACAATTCAAAATGACTAAAATGAAACACGCATGATTCTCTGTTACTCTCAGTTTCGTGCTTACGCACTCGTCAGACAGATTTAATGAAAAACATTCTTGTAGGCTAATTTATATATAGAAAAAAAGGTAGCTGCTGATTGCAATGGGTTTTTGTAATATAATAGGTGAGAAAAAGCGAAAATTACAATGGATGTGGGTGTATTAATGAAGGACAATGGGGCAGTAGGTGTGAATATGTTGACGAAAGGAGGCGTCAGATGTTCTTTAGATAAAACTTGTTTTCTTGACGGCATTTGGATATTAGTTCGGATCTTTTATTCAGCAAGTTGTTGCTGTTGAACTTAATAATCATGAGTTTTTCAGTCAGGCAAAGGTCGCATCTTTTCGTCGTGTTGTTGTAAGGCCTAGCTCTTGCAATAATGGACCATTTTATGTTGAAGTTTACAGAGTTGTCCTTCAGTTGCCAGATGTATTTGGATAGTTCAGTGCTATTAGTGTATTTTCTGTGTCGGAATGTAACCTTGTGTTGATTAAATCTTTGTTTAAAAGTTCCTTCGGTCAGTCCAATGTAGTTCTTAGGGGTCGTTTTGTTGTCTGTAGTGGTGATTTGTGCGTTGTAGATAACGCTGGAAGACAGGCAATTGTTGTTGAGCGGGCACTGGACAACTTCCAGAACAAACCCACATGCAGACTTATTAACCCAGCCAAAAGTGAAATCGGACGTTTGAGCAAACAGATACTCGAGAATATCAAGACTACTGTCAGACAAAAAAACTGGACTTAACCAATGGAAAAACTCCTTCTCAGTGATCAACTTGTTCTCTGATATTCAACACAAGAACCAACACACTTTTGATGTCTTCGACATTGAAAACTTTTATCCATCTATCACCGAAAAGCTTTTAACAGACTATCTGCTTTGCCAAACAATACACTACTATATCGGATCTTGACATTAACATTATCATGCACTCAAGGAAATCACTACTTTTCAACAACGGTACGGCCTGGATCAAAAAGACAACAGCTCCTTTGATGTTACCATGGGTAGCTACGACGGCGCGGAAGTTTGCGAATTAGTCGGTTTATTTATTCTCTGCGGTTTAGGTAACACCTACGGAAAAGAATGCATTGGTCTGTACAGAGACGACGGACTTTCTGTATTCAAAAACATCTCTGGACCACAAGCCGAAAGAATTAGGAAAGACATTACCAGTCATTTCAAGAACAACGGACTCAATATCACTATACAGACCAACTTGAAAATCGTCAACTATCTCGATGTCACATTTAATCTCAACAATGGAACGTACTGCCCTTACAGAAAGCCTAACAACCAGCCGCTATACATCAATGCAAAGTCAAACCACCCTCCCAACATAATCAAGCAACTACTTGACTCCTTCAGCCGTAGAATATCTGATAACTCCTGCAACGAAGACGAATTCAACAAGGCTATGACGGAATACGAAACTGCCCTCAAATCCAGCGGACATAAAATTTTCTCCTCAGATCAAGACCTGCTCCTTGTCAAAAGCAAAAAGCAAAAAGAAAAAAAAGAAAAAGAAAAATCATTTTTGTCCTTTACCTTGGGCAGTGCAAGTTCTTGATCAAGGCCGATGTCTAAGTGAGGGATAGCAGCAATGCTTGCAAACAGGAGACAAATGAAGAGGGCAATCTTCACAAGCAAATAATGAAAAAAAAGTCTAAGTCTGACATACATGGTATAAGTCACATTGACAATAGTGCACAATCATCAGTATACAATTAATGTCACAGTAACAGAAGAAAAGAAACTACAGTACTACTTGTGGATACTGCAGCACCCTCACACACACATCAAGCATGTGTAATTACTTACATAACGTGAAGTTATACGCATGCATGTAATCAAATGAATGCATTTCAACTTGGTCTTTGTCATTTGCTACAATTGCAGATGTGTGTGTACTCTTACACATGAATGTCATCACAATGGAAATTGGTGTTTTTTACTAAAAAAAACAACAACAACAAAAAATTGGAAATATGTACACATGACAAGATGCCAAAACAGTTTTTCAGAACTACAGAGCATAGTTCATGAAAAAATGGACACGTGATAAGTTAGTTGTGCACTGAAGTTCAAAATGGGTTTTAGGTTAAACTGGCTTCAGACTACACGCAGACTTTTGAGTGATCTTCCTCTTCTACATGTATGATCCTCAAACAAGCTACATTTGCATCATAACAAACTGAAAAAGAGCCCCCTTAAATTAAAGAACAGGGTCCACTGGACTTGCTTCTGCTAATTTCTAACATAAACCCTGCACTTAGCACTGGAAGACTTCAGAACCTCACCACTGTAAGTCTACTGTAGTCTGAAAGTAAAACTTCTGCAAAGTAGTTCTTCATGAAAGTATAAAAGCAAATCATATGGTCTTGGCTGTCATCTTTTGGCTTCTTTACATAACACAAAACATCCGAGCGGTTGTTCTCTTAGCGTTTAGCATCTGATAAAAAAAGAAGACATCAGGGTCACAAATGCTGTAACTTGGAGCAAGAAGTCAAAGAAAACAGCTGCTGCTGCGTAAAGTGAGAATATTCTTACTACTGGCATAGTTGACATTGCACCTGGAGAAAAATCAAAACAAACTTAAAAACTGTATGGTACAAGCAGATGTTAATGCCAGTACTACTACATGAATTTCAAACTTCACTTGCTTGATTTAGCTTTGTACAGCCTCTTCAATGACAACAGCCATCAGTGCTGCAATCAGTAGCCATTTTGAAAAAAGATGATGGACCTCTGAATCATTGCTTTGGAATTATTTTAAAAATAAAGTACACTGCAACACAAGTAATCTTCAAAATTCATTGTAAATTCTGAGAATATTGACATGTTTGATCTCAAGCTCATTCATAATCGATGTTAAATGATACTCACCTATTGTGAATGCAACAGACTCCGATAAAGGGGTTAAGAGCATACTTGGTGATACTTCACCCAAAACACGCCCAATTTTATATGGTACATCCCCTTCTGCATGTTGATCCTGGTGCTGATATGCCTGCACAAGAATGAAGATGTTGTCCACACCCACTGCTAACACAAGGAACGGTACCACTTCAATGATAATGAGAGTTGCCAGCTCATGAACAAAACTCCAAAAGCCAACTGAAGAAAGAACTGAGAATAACACTGCCAAGATGCCACTGAATCCAAGGGTAAATTTGGAGTCAATCTGAGGAGATAACATCATGAAATTTAAGACCCACAAAATTGAATCCACTATAGAATATTCAAATCACAGGAAAAAACATTAATATGTAATGACAACATGTACAGGATTTATGTACAAATCAACAAATACACAAATTATTGACTGATCTTACAAGTAAGTTCTATTTTGTTTTTTCAATCATCCAACAAAATTAGTTTCAGACCCCTGAAAATATTAGCTTATCAAAATTCTGTCATAACTCTTAAACTGTCCCAGAGCTATAGTGATATATACAGACATTATCAAATAGCTGGCCAGTAAAGTAAAAATATCAGTGTCACTCTTGCGGTCCAGCTCATCTTGAATGTCACACTCAGCAGAGTAACTTGTAATAAGATTATCATTGTGCATTAAATCTAGGAAATGTTTTTCCCATGCCATTGCTTTGGATAGCTTGCTCTTCTCTTTGAAGTTATTCACAACGAAGGTTATGATCAAGGCTGCAACATTTTCATAGGCACCATTATGGAAGCCTCCTAACACAATTTTAGGGTTCACAGGTCCACCATAAGCTCCCAAGCATAGTTCTTTCAACTGATTTTCATTTTCAGATGTGGGCGATCCAAACAAAAGGCAAATGCTAAAGGCGTAATAAAAAGTTTACATTTATTCAGTTTGGTCAATACACTGTCAGGTAAAGAAGAACAGTGATTTAAAGGGGTGTTGTGGTCACTTGTTCAACAACTATGCACTCAAGTGGAGGTCAATAATGGTGGATATTTACCAAGCAGTAAAACAACCAGGTAAATATCCACCACTTTCACCAACACATAGGTGAATAATTTTATTGGTATATTTCACACAGAAACCAAAATAATAGTTTAGTTTGATCTGTAACTATACTTAAAAAGTTTTCTGAAATTTAAGTCACTGTAAGATTTTGTCTCTTCAGCTGCTTTGAGTTGAACAGTACTTGCCGATTACTTCTAAACTACCCAATCAGCAAGCAAGAAGAGAAATATTCACCTGTGTGATATACCAATAAGATAGAGACCACCTGTGTGATATACTAATAAGATAGTGATCACATCCGAGATGAGTACTATGGGAGACAAGTAATAAGCCATGTACTTAAAGAGCCAAGAGGAAGGCAGCAATCTCACCTACTGACAACCCTGCAACATCATAACTGTGGAACAGACCGACTTCAGGTTTTAGTCTTGCCTAAATTAACACAACACTGTACTCTCCAAGAATAGTTACAACTTACATTGTGCAAGTTACAGTAAATGATCCTGGAAGTCAATTGCCCTAAAGTAAGGGTATTTAGGATTATTGCAGTGGTAACCCACGCTGGTTAAGTAATTGCTCAGCTTGGTTTTGCTGTTTTGAAAATATCGAAAGACACTTTGTATGGTACAAGCTTGTATCTGAGAAGCCAAAGGCTGGAAGCAGATATCTTGCAATGTGATGTTTGTTTCTTCATGGTGAACTTTCATGTTGGTAATTTCGTTCTGAAGATCTAAAGCCTAAAAATAGACATAAAAATGTTATTAAGACTGTTGAATCCCTTCCCTTTTTTTTGATCAGTCTCTGAATGTTGAGTATAGCAGTTAAAATCTGTTGTTTGCCTTTGCTATAACATCTGCAAACGCTTATCAATACTTGTCATTAGAAGAAATTAGGGACATTTTTCTCCCTCGGTGAATTCGGTCAGTGGTTTCGTCAACTACTACTACGCATGCACTTTGACATCAAATTTCATGTTTCATTTCAACATGGCTTGGAGTTTTAGTCGATCACAAGGTCTTAAATACTCTTTCCACCGTAGTTTTTTAAAAACACATTTTAAAGCAAGAAGAAGTGGATCTAAAGTTTATTTGGTCGAGAGACTGATTAGCTTGAGAAGATGAAAGAACGAGGTATGAAATGTTCGAACAGTTGATACAAAAAATATTATAGTTGACAAAAATTAATGTGATAGTTAAAGGTTTTTTTTTTATCAACAAACAAAATTTATTTTTAACAATTTCAGGACTTTGAGATCTCGTGAAATAGAAGAATTGCCCTCTATGGACCAGCTCATGAGAACCTTCAGCTCATTTGAGTGAGCAACTTAGCAGGTATTAGATTAAGTTTGTTTTCAGAAAGTGCTAGAAATAATCATCCGTGCATGCAGCTTGGGTCCACACCAGGCCTGGGTCTACACAAAGCTTATGCTTTCTTTTAATTAATAATCTTATAGGGCCTTATACAGCAACCCTACTGTTTCCGTGCAAAGGCTACAGCGTGTGTCAGCCTCGTTTCTGAAAGGCATCCTATCTATCCTTAAGTCGAATGCAATCAAAGTTAATTACTCCTCTGAGTTGAGAGAGAGGATCATGATATTGTTAGATATGATTTTAGATGAAGAGATAAAAAAGCACACAATGGAGTTAGCATGCTCTATGAAAAGGACGATTTTTCTCGCCTAGAGCTTCCTCCATATTGGTGGTATTATTTAAATAATTTTGGAGAAGGAAGAGCAGTTGACTTTCCTATTAAGTTAACGCTTTAACTCCCCGATCAAATTTGTCATTCTCCTTACTGTCAACTATACAATTATTGTAATGTTAGTTCAGAGAATTTAGCATTGGATCAACTAATTATCCCCAAATTAATATTTTTCTTTATTCTCATCACTTATCTAGTTGATCTTGTGTTGATATTGTAAGGAGAAATTCTATCTTGGTCACTCATGGGAGTTAAAAGGTTAAAAACTGTCCTTATTCATTCAAAAAAGTGTTTCATGTCATGTAGTGTTTAAATCAAAGTAGTGCCAAACTTTCCAGCTGAGAAAGTTGTGTTATATCTCAACAGAATTGTAACTACATAATTCCACGAACATTTCATTATCTTAAGGGCAGGCAAATATAATAATCTGTCACATATGAATACAATCCATCGTCTGACAATAATAATTATTTTTGAAAACATATATATATATATGTATTTTACAAGCAAACAGATAGAAGTTTAAGTATTCTTTTTAAAGAATTAAAATACAGATGAAAATTATTTACATATTAAAATACAGATGAAAATTATTTACATATTAAAATACACATGAAAATTATTTACATATTTGTACAATCAATGAAATTAAATACTGAAACATGTCTTCATCTTTATTGCTTTTTTTTTGTTTTGTTTTGCTTTTTTGCTGCTAAAAGTTATTGATTTTTTTTCAAAAGCTCAATCAGTTGACACTTTCTCATCCTTGCATTTCTGGGTGCTGTAATATATTTAAATTTTATTTCCTGTACTAACTGATGGATAGTCATTCTTTTGTATTCATCCTCAATTAAGTTGTTTTCTGGCACTTCAGCTTCATTATAGTTTGCTGGGAGTTCTCTGAAGCATGCTCT